TTTTTTTTTTTTTTTACTTGGTCGCGTTCTCTTTTGGCGTCTGTCTGTTCTTGAGTAATAAGATACATAGCTAACGAGGTTTTGCCTTACGAAAATAGCAAAAACGAACAGAAACGACGGATACCCACTCGTAAACGTAGGATATAGTGGCAGGAGCTCGAAATACTGTTGCGGGGCAGTCGCGTACAAGGACGGGGAGATCACCTGCGCAGCGGAGGGAGATCCGTTCAGTATTGATTTTGGGACGGCCATTCCAGGGGTTGCGGGATTGGCGAATACGACGAGTACGGAGGGGAATGCGACGGCGACGGCGACGGCGTGTGAGGATTCGGGCTCAAACGCGAAGTCGGGCTCGAGTGCGGAAGAGGACGCAGAGAAAACGACTGTGAAATATGATGTGGCGATTGGGGCCGGGGTGGGTGTGCCGTTGGGGGTGGTTGCGTTGGCGTCGATTGCGTGGGCTTTGTATGAGCGGAGGCAGAGACGGGTTGCGGAGAGGGTTGGGATGGCGGTGTCTGGGAAGGACGAGGGTGGGGAGTATATGAATATGGGGGTTATGGGGGCCCAACAGGCGCCGGTTGAGTTGGTGGATAGTCGGAGGGTGGTTTTATCGGAGTTGGATGGTGGGAATGGGAAGGTGGAGGTGAGGTGATGGTTGGTTTCTTTGGAACGGGAGATATGTTTTAGGGGGGAGTGCAAATGCCATGTAGTCTTACTTGTTTTGGGCTGCAACGGATGATGTCAGATATTTCGATTGAATGGATTGTTTGGCTGTAGGAGTCTTGGGGCTTGATTTGTGTTGGTGGAGTCTGTATACGGGAAGTACGATCTGACTGGCTTGTTCGTCTTTCATAATACGAGCACACAAGGCATGCTGAGTTGGCTGCTTATGGTCTGGCGAACCTAATCGGATCATTAGGGTTTGACTGTAGATGGTGTTTCCATTGTTTATTGCTTATTATTTTCTCTCTATCTCGTATATCCTTGTCTACCCGGTAGACTTCTGTCGTATGAGCTATCGTAGCCAGTATCCACGTTGGATTTTCATATACATCGCCAGTTCCTCCCGGACAGATGTCTCCTTCTGGTTAGTCCTACGCTGGCTGACCGTCGGCAGAGAGAAGGCCAGCCCTTGTCCCTTGACCTCAATATGCGGCCGCGCAGTGTCATTCGCTAGGTTGGTCGGTTGGGTTTCTGGCGCGCCAGACATGTCCAAGCGCTGCAGGCCGGGCAGTCGCAGCGCCGGATCGAAGTTGATGAGGATGATCGCCTGCATATCGGAGCTCAGGCCCTCCTGATTCACCGTGTAGATGATCGTTCGTTCGTCCGCCATAGCCTCGACTTTGCCAGTTCTCTTGGATGGGCAGAGAAGTTGGGTCAATTCGGGCGGTGCGTTGTCGGGCGGCCACAGACGGACTCCGCGGGAAGCGAAACGTTCTTCACTGCCGTCTGAGGGTTGGCCATCCTCCTCTTGTTCTTGGTCTTTTGGAATCTCTGGTCGATATAACAGGTTTGCCGGCCCTTCTTCGCCTAGCTCATCAATGGGGCACTTGCGCTTGCGGGACACCATGCGCAACCGCAACCGGTCATGCGGGATGAGGCTCCCCAGGGTTGGGCAGGGGTCATTGACGAGATCGACAAACGTCGACGCGGACAGGTTGTACGTGCGTAGTTTAGTTCGATTCAAGATGAATTCCTGCCGGCGTCCTGGGTCGTCGTGCCCCACCGTGTATTCGGGGTGATAGTGTCGGCGTAGGCGCTTCCGCGGGCGTTCGTAGTTCGGTTTGCTGGACGGGTCCAGGGTTTTGGTCAACGGTTCGTCCGGTAGAGAGACAGGGCGGGAGGGTTCGCCGTGGGGCTTACTTTGCATAATCTCGCCCGGCGAGGGAAGGGGTTGCACGTAGTAGGTACGGAAATGCTCGCTGCCCCCTTTATGCCACTCACGGCGACATTCCAGGATGATCAGCTGTTTGGTGGCCTCATCATGTCGCAGAGAGATATCGGACCAGGAATCATTAATTGGGCCTTCCCGATGCTGCCGGCGCCAGGTCCGATGCAGTGTCACGCGCTTCGTATTGTTGGTGGGGGCCACGCAGACCCAGACGTAGAACGACGTCCAGTCGACCTCTTCCATTTCGAAACCGGTCTGGGACGACACGGCATACAGATGGTCCTGGTGCACGTCAAAGCACACCGTCTGCCCGATTTCGTTGCCGGCGAAATTGTGCAGCTGCACCGGTTTCTCGTTCACCTGTTTGCCCGTCGCCAACTCGACGCAGTTCACGACCCATTGATTATATCCACGGAAGCCCGCGCCAGAGTGGGTCCCGTAGTACAGGTAGGATTGGTTATGGCGAACGAATAATCGCTGTTTATTCTCAAGCTGCTTGCGAAGGCGTAACCGCCCCTTCCCGCACTCCGTCTTTCGCCGCATATCCACCGCCAGGAGCCAGGCTTCCCGCCTCTCCACCACCTCCACTAAAAATGCCAACACGCCGTGGCTGTAGTTCATGAGAGACATTTGCGTGGCGTCTTCCGTCGGGTCACAATCCGGAATTACGCGCGCCAGCACTGCGTGCAGATTCAGTACATACTCGACCTGACTGGCGCCATGGACATCCAGGGCGCGGATCTCATCGTTGAACACGTAGCACAACGCACCGCCGCTATACAAGAACGCGCTCCCATAGCCTATAATTGAGGCAGAATACGGATTAGCCGTGGCTACGGCTTCCTTGATGTCATACAGACGCCCCAGCGCTTTGCGGTAGCCGGACTTGTTTTTGCTCACTTCTTGCCCTTCCTTGGTATGAGTCAGGTGGTTCTGGAATCCTTTGTCAGTGTCTTTCATGTCTTTTACCCCAGCCACAGGAGCGAAAGATCGTACCTCAACGGTCTTTCGTGCCAGCGACTCGTTTCGCATCAAGGCATTCAACGTTCGATTCACCCGGCTGAGATGCACGAAGTCATGACAATCCAGGGTGGATGCAACCTGATAGAAAACATCGTAGGGGATGCAGTCCAGATTTCTGGTCATTTCTGTCATGACCGAGCGAGTAAAGGATGGGCCTAAAACGCATCTGAAGGAAGGAAGTAGGCGTGAAAGGGACCGGTTGAATGCGATGTGATGTATTACGGGGGAGAGGAGGAAGGGGGGGAGGGGGGGGGGGGGGGGGGGGATGGAAGGTATCGGAAAGCAGTGTTCTCCGGGACACCGTTCAAGAGCAACAGCAAGTCAATCGTTGCTGCAACCGTGGATATTCCCAAGGAACGAAGGGCAATGATCCATGAAGAAGGAGAGCTGTGGGAGCATGTTTTAGTAGTAGGTGGTCGGGGAATGCGGCTCTGCACCAAGCTCCAAAACCATTCAAAATGTGATTGCAACACCCGATACTATCGTCGAGCCTCCCGTGGCCCAAAGCAAGGCGATTGGCTCAGGAGGCGTCTATTCCATCGCGTGGGTAGTATGAAAATTGAGAGCCAAGACAATGGAGCGATCTGAAGGGTCCGCGCGTTCGGATGATGAAAGAGCGCGATCGTCGCCCTCCCGTGTCAATTCCCGCGTACAAGGAAAGGAAATAGGCAAGAGCCTCAAGAGTAAGACTAGTGTGGGTGGGGAATGGAAAGCTAGGTTTCCCTAGTTCCAAATGGAACATGCAGTATGATAGCGGAGATTGGCAGCTCGATCTTTTCCTTGCGTTCTTTTCCTTGCTTTCTTTGACTATGTGTCTCCTTGTTGGTGACCTGTCCTGACGTGGATTGTGCCACCAGAGAGGATACTAAAAATAAGATTGGAAACGGCACGCAAAGGGAGCTGCAAGATACCGAGTGAGATCGAAGTAAGAGGTACTAGTGAACTAAATTTTGTCGCTCACCGACATTGGTCCTTGCGGCTCTTTTCCAACTCCTCGTTTGGTCGCCCAAGTTCAGTTAACCCCCCCTTCTTTTCCCTCCTTTTCCTCATTTGTTTCGTCGCCTCTTCGGAGAAACACCCGAGTCTCTTATGTCTCAGCGTTACACAATTAAAATTAGAAAGCTAGGCTCAAGTACGACCTTCCCGAGGGAAAACAAAAGTGATGCGGCTGGAAGATATCTTTGCCACCGAGTAAAAATATTACCAATGGATGCGAACACGAGAGAGACGAGACCCTAACTAGCTTGCGCGAATTATGTCCCGGATAAAGGGAAGACAAAACGAAACAAATCATAAGAACGATCATAATAAAGGTAAACGAACATAAATTAAATTAAATTAAATGAAATCGAAACCAAGAAAAAAAAAAAAAAAAGCACTAATGACAGGGAAATCAAATTAGCACCCCGAGGATTTGTGTGATATCAACCAACTCGTGGCTGTGCTTGACTTATACTGACTGGTCAGTGCGCTACCTTGGATCACATCTTAAATTCATCTTACCATGAAAATCCTCCCGTTCCAACACCACTCGAAACCGACTAAGGAATAGATAGGTAATAACACTAAAAGATGACATAACAAGGGGTAAAAAAAAAAAAAAAAAACGTGGTTGCCTTTGGAAAAGTTGGGGACCACACAAGTGACCATCCAAGGAACTCTGCGCCGAAACCGCGCCTTGCACTGCCACTCTGAACGAGGATCAGATAGCTACCCCATACGAGGCTGAATAGCCAGATCGACGCATGCGGTCGATGGCACAAAGAGAACCTGTCAATCGGACTGAAAAGGGTGTCCATGCTTCTGGTCTCATGCAGGTGTGATGGATCCTCCGCCGACGGGCGGCTGGTCCTGGACAGCCAGCCTCGCTGCGGACATGGGTTGAAACGCAAGGTGTGCTTAGTCCTTTCTGCTCACCTTGCCGCCACTGCCAATCAGGGCGGATCCATAACGCGATAAGGCATCAGAGGCATAAGCACGGAATTCTGGCTCTGCGGGGTATCTCAACAAGTCGAAACCTAGACCTAGTCACGTTGCACGTTGCACATCCCTCCACGAGATGCGACAATGATCTTCCGAAAGAGTGAGCACGTCGATCGGCTGATGAGCATGCTAAGGTGGAAAAAGATACGGGTGTCTGGACTTTCGGGTGGGCCATGCGCCGCTAAAGGCTGAGGAGGCACCTCTCCTTTTTCGGCCGTATTACTGACGGACGGCCGTTTCGTTTGCCAAGATCCTTGTCGATGCTAGAAGAGAAGAGGGGTTGGTGCTTCTTATACAGGTGCATCAATCAGCAATGGAGAATTGAGTTTTCATTCGGAGCCTCGACGGTGCGGGATGAGGCAAGACTCCAGGGGTGTCGGGGCGGACATGCTGAGGGGTCCATACTGGAGCACGAGGGGGACACAGAGCAGGGCTATGATGAACCCGCCTGGGAATTTGGGTCCTCCTGGCGGCTGATTAATCTCCCATCCTCACCAAATGTTCTATATATTTTGCATCACTATCGTTCTATCTACCACCATGTTACGCATTCCTCGAGACGCGATCTGGAACCATTCCCATGCTCGAAATGGGCGACTGTATCTCGGTGAGGACCTGACGATTAGCATTGCGGGTAGACATCATGATCAGCCTTGGCGCATATAAGACTCCCTCACCTTGGAGTGTGTCACCACTAGAGCTTGTAAGAAAAGCAACAGTTTCGGAGTTACTAAGCTTCGGGTCCGCTGATGTGCGTTTCACGACCAGTCATGTGATGACCTGACCCCGTTTCCGGTCACGGTAAGAGGAGGTTCTTGTATTTATCTTGTCATCCATTTTGTTCTACGTATGAGAAGATAGCAGGACGGGAATACTCCGGTGTGAATCTCGTGACCAGCACGGATTAGGAAGAATCCGAACGATCGGCCAGCCGACAGCCGAGAATGCCATCATCATACCTGCAATGTTATACTTCCCGTCTCAGCCAAGACCCAAACAAGTTATGCTGGTGCCTAGCGAATATTCTGGAAGGTTGCCTGGTTGGGACAAGCGCCTCTGGCCCTCGAGGTGCCTGGAGATGGATTGGTTGGATGAAGGGAGCCGACCATGGAACCAGAGCTGTAGGGCTGTCCCATCCAGAGCAAAATAGAAGGGGGTGTACGTATCATGTGCTGAGAATCATGATGCCAAACGCTATGCGGGATGGGCCAAGGGGCGAATCCTATTTGCCGAGAGTCCCGTCCTCCACTCTCAGCCTGTGGTAAGGCTGACGGCCTTCCAATCGTTTCTTGTTCTGGTTGTTTATGGCGTTCTGTAGTCATGAATTACTCATGTCAATCCAACATGACCTTTCTTTCTTTCTTTCTTTTTTTTTTTTTCTGGGAAGGTGTTCAATTCCAGCCCTGTATGATGGGGATCAGGGTATATCTTAAGGTCATTCTAGGGAAATAAGAAATCATCATGCTATTACTTCACTGGCTGGGCAATTCCTCATCTCATTTCTGAGTAAGGGAGAAGTTCTCACTTGACCGCTGCTGCCCTACGCCTCGTGTCAGACCCACTCCGGGGCGGTTGGGCCAATCGCCCGATGGCACCAAGAAACCCCCACCGATTATCAGTCTGCCTGAGGATCCTCAGGTTAAATCTCCCTGTTCCTTCTTTTCTTCTTCTTCTCCTTCGAATTCCCTTGTCCATCTTTCGTTCTCCTCCTAACTTTCAGTCTTCCAGTAGACGATAAGCTTACTTTTCTTCACGATATTGTGGATTGAAGAGGGGGTTTGTTTGTGTTTAGTTAGTCGCCGAACGCGCACTGACAGTTTCTCCACACAAGTCACTTTTCCTTGGCGAGGGGGGAGTCTTAGTACTCGGTCATTCGTACTCTGTCTCTTGAGACAGTCACAAACATCATCACAATTATCGGCCACATTCCAATCCTAATTGATGTACTACCCACATCACAATTACCCTCCCCCGCAATCGGGTTGGTCGGGCTATTATCCACCGCCGCAGCAGCAGTGGTCACCAGCACCACCGCCGCCGCCGCAACAGCCTTACTAGTGAGATCACGCATATGTCTATGCTGTTACACCATTAGGGCTAACCGGTTCCAGTTCCAATCCATACCCTCCACCATATCCCCCAACCTCGCAACCACGCCAGTCATATTCCCCACCACATTATCCGCCTCCCGCCCCATATGGCCACCATACTCCGACACCGCCTCCATCCTCGGGGTCGCAACATCGCTCTTATCACAGTAAGCAGAGTGCGCCTTGACCTTCTGGCTGACAGGTCCAACTAACGACCCTAGATCATTCGCCGTCATGGGGCCAGCTTCCCCCGCGGCCTCCAATGGAGGCCCAACAATTCGGCAAGGGAGCCCCGTCAAATTATCGCTTCCAGTACTCCGCTTGTACGGGACGCCGGAAGGCTCTCTTGATTGGTATTAACTACATCGGGCAACCGAATGCCCTCCGTGGGTGTATCAACGATGTGACAAACATGTCAACATTCCTCCACGAGAAGTACGGTTACCGGAGAGAAGACATGGTCATCCTGACCGACGACCAACAAAACCCAATGAGTGTGCCGAACAAAGTCAACATCCTTCGTGCGATGCAGTGGTTGGTCAAAGACGCGCAGCCAAACGATTCCCTTTTCGTCCATTTCTCAGGTATAGACCCCCCCAGAAGCTGACCGGCAATTCATTGGCTGATCCATCTAGGACACGGCGGTCGAACACCTGACCTCGATGGAGACGAAGAGGATGGTATGTTCTTTAATATCTTTGAGTGCCCCATTAGTTATAGTGGCAACTCCATGCTGACGAACACAAAGGATACGACGATGTCATCTATCCGGTAGATTACCGTGTTGCAGGCCACATTGTAGATGATGATATGCATGCGATTATGTATGTTTGCTTCCTAAGTATCTGCTTGTTTCCTTACTGACAAACAATTCAAGGGTACGCCCGCTACAGCCGGGTGTTCGTCTGACCGCAATCTTCGATTCCTGCCACTCAGGGACTGCGCTTGACCTTCCTTACGTATACTCCACTCAGGTACGTTATCTAGCCACCCGGCCGAGGGGGAGGGAGGGGGTTTGCTCTTGCCATACTGATCAAGTTAGGGTATCTTGAAAGAACCCAATCTCGCCAAAGAGGCGGCGATGGACCTTTTCAGCGCAATAACATCGTATGGAAAAGGTGACTTGGCTAGTGTAGCCCAAACCGCAATCGGCTTCTTTAAGAAAGCCGCTCTCGGCGACTCCGCACGTGAACGTACGGTCCGAACAAAGACTTCGCCGGCGGATGTTGTCATGTTTTCAGGCTCCAAGGATACCCAGACCTCGTAAGTACCTAAAAAGCGCGTCATCGTAGTTCGCAATTAACAAGGTCATAGCGCGGATACATTCCAGGATGGAGAGGCTCGAGGCGCGTTGAGCTGGGCTTTCATTAAGACTTTACAGCAACGACCGAACCAGAGCTATCTACAGTTACTAAACTCGATCCGGTCCGAATTAGAAGGGAAATACAGTCAGAAGCCGCAGCTGAGCTGCAGCCACCCTCTAGGTGAGTTTCGCCCCCTTCTTCTCAGTTAGCCACCACTAACAGCTTCAGATGTGAACTTGCTTTTCGTGATGTGATATGTATTGTATGAGGCATGATGTATGCGTAGCGATGATTTTCTTGCATTGGCATTTGTTCGTTTACATGACCGCACCGAGGTCAATTGCATTTCCATCAGCCTCCAGGCAACATTGAGGTTGATTTTCCCTTTTTATCTCTCTTTCCTTTTGGATAGGCAGCAGCGCTGCAATGTCGTTAATGATTCTCCAATGAACCGACATGCACAATGATTCGTATTCACCTAGACAGTTAGTCATTCATTCTCGCAGAGTACGGAATCGAAAATAATCTTTTTGGTCTTAGGGTGAAGTACTGTTCTGTCCTCAAATAGCCAAAGTTGAGTTGGTCCCAAGCCCAGTCCTATACTACCTTGGCAGTGGTGTCTTGAATATGATACTTGTTAACGGTTTACTCGATGCCCCTCCATTATTATGGTCCATTCGGCACTGTCGTCGTCCCATTTCGGCCCATTCTTCCTTTTTTTTTTTTTTTTTTTTTTTTTTTTCTTTCCAGTTCACTTAGTTGCTAATGCATAAGGCACAGTCAAGTTCTATGATACATTTGGGGTGATTCTACTGTAAATTGTCGGGTTGACACTCCATATGCATGGTAAAGCGATCCTCTCTAGTCATCATTCGCACGAAAGTTTCGAGGCGAATCTGTTCGGTCGCAACCTTCATATGTAATCTGGTTGTTACTAAATTCATTCATAAACGAATGAAGTTCTGTAATAGGATACGACACAGGTCAATTCCGTCAAGAAAGCCACCAATAGTACTAATCTTTATAAGAGAACGTGTCACCCCGCTTCGCCCATGAACCCGGGGATAAATACTCCGCACAATATGTCCAAACAAAATCTCGAATCCACATGAACATCCATACTACTAGAATTTACCTCCCCCTGTCCTATCCAGCCGACGAAGCACTTTTGCCTTTGATACGATCAACAAAATGGAACTGTCCTTGGCCAAAAACGATCAAGCACCTTTTGACAACAGCATATTTCAGCTTCGAAGCTCAAGCTGACATAACTTATTTGTGGGCCTCTAAATTCCTAACCCCTACCAGGCTCGCGCCTTATTTCTGCTGCACCTTACTCGGCCTCTAAACAAATTCTTCTGGAACATACTCAATGACATCAGTCTTCAGCTGCACAATGCAGATCTGTGGAGACAGACGCTAGTGATGCACGAGACGTGCATCGGCCGGATGACACAGCCCTCTTCCAGCGTGATTAATAGTGGGGCGGAGTCAAATTACCAGGGGCCAGTATGTGCGTGTGGAAGTTGCGCGAGCTTTCCAAAAGCTCATAAGTATTCGTAATGCAAGTACAACAGGCAACAGAGATTCATGACTCCGCCACATTTTGATATAGGATGGGTCAGATATTTTGAGTGGGATTGGAGGAACGGGGCCAAGGCATGTATGGATGGATAACTATAGTCCAGCATACAACACTGGGCTAAGAACAGTGCTTGCGGTTGTACATTGTGGGTGATGGATACCTTTAGTTTTTTAGCAGCTGAGGTTGTATGCTCTACCGAAGCGAGATAAAGGAGCCAGTGAATTGCACAGAGTGGTCGAGAACATGGTCCTGGTGGGACCGGCATACTCGACAAACCCAATGGTTTTGCCCGTGCTGGATGACTTTCTTGTTTAGTATTTGGCTTATCTAAGCTATGATGGGGTTGTTTCAATGCCCTCCTGGTGGAGGCTACAATGTAGACTCGTCCAACATAAACGCTGCCTCAGACAACGCCCAGCGCGAAGCGTCTTCTCAGGTGACAGACAGCGGGGTCTGATCTGGCCTTTGTACTCAAAGCCATTACCAAAAGGCCTCCCAAGGCAATGGTCATTGACTGTCCTTGAGACACCCATTTAATGCAAGCCAGCTATAATGGATGATCAGCAGGGAGGACTTTGAGCAACAAAGGGGAGATATATGTCATCGCTTCAGACAAAATTTTGAGAAAAGACTTGTCACCTAATACCGCTTGTTTGTAATTCAGACAGCCTGTCAGATGTAATCTCGAGTGACATTTTGGGTGATAGGTCATCCTTCTGTTGTCTCTTTGAATGAATCTGAGATGATAGCTGCCTCCAAAAGGATCCCTTCTCGTCAGCTGCGTTCTGTTAGAATAAGGCCATTTTCTCCACCAGTATAACCAGATACTGTATAGCAGTAGAACAAAGCTTAGTAATAGTATGAGAGATAGGCCTCCTCCTCATGTGCCTGTTATACTCCCATGACGTCCCCGTCGCCTTCGTGTATGGGCTCATCTTTTTTACCTCCTCCTCTCCCTTCTTGTCGGACGCCTTCGCGTACACGTCTGGATACTAATTGTCTCTTAGCATTGGGCTCATGGCTGCAAACGGTCACGATAGAAAAACAAAAGCTCATTTCGTTTGGTCATTGACAAGTGACATCCACACTGCAATTGATCAATGTACGCGAAAACAAGAGGTATGATAGCAGAAGTTAAAATGACCGCTTTAAAAATCCCCTGCAGCACCGAAATGGTCGAATATTATCCCTCAATTTCGCCGCTTTCATGCCCGGATGAGGATGGCTCGTATGACTCCTACGAGTGGGGATCAGCATAGTCATTATAATTCATAGTTTCTCCCAAGGGCGACTCACAAATTCACCCATCAGAAAGCGAGTATGGATTGTATACTTACTATAGAGCATTTCAGAGCTCTTCGCCTAAGCCCTCAAGTGTAATACCCTGGGTTCTGGATCATCGTTCTAAATGAGCAACCTCTACTTGACCCTGTTGAGGAGCTTATCCTTGACAAGCAATGGACATTAGAAATACTTCTAAAAGCCGTGCAAGCGGAGGATAAAGTGATCAGATGGTAACAACTGGAGAAGGGTACATGGGATTTCTACGAGATATAATCTACGGAATCGAGTCAACCCTGGTTTCTTATAGTATTTCCACAATCCTTGGCTAGCAAGGCATGAATAGCCCACTTATTCTAGAGCAATAGTGGGGAGAGGTTTCTGTAACCGTGACTCCTAGCAGTAGAGTAAATTTTCTTTAAAAGTTAGATACCCGTATATGATAGAAGAACGAGATAATATAGTCTGCATTTTTTGTTGAACCGCATGGACATATTTTATTGGTAAGAGGTCAGCATCGTCTATGACATGTGATATTAAGAAGGACCGTAAAGTGTTTCTCTTACTAGTGTGCTCCAAACGAGACGACACTTACATGCCTACCAATTGTAAATGACCAAAGTATTTCTGGAGGAAGCCAATTGCTATAGGAGTGGGAACAGACATGCCGTAGTTAGATTCAAGCCGATAACAGTAGAGGAAGCGAGCAGAAACTGAAAGCTTCAAATATGAATAAAAACCAAGAGCTGACCTCTTGTTGAGGACCGGCTCTTGCAGTCCCCATTTTCTCAAGGATCCATGAAGAATTTTCTCTTCACCCCCATTTGATTTCTCTTTGCCATTTGAGATGCTCTGTCGTAATTAGAAAATTTTGCAGATAGACCATCACAACGGCCATAACCACAATCGTACTCTCCTTCTCATCATAAACCGGATTGCACTGTTCTTCAAAAAAGCCATCATCGAAATCTGCGTTCGAGTACGCTGTCATCTTTTCGATCATAGACTAGGATAGACAAAGATCCGGATATTTCTGTATAATAATTGACGTCCGTTTCTTCTGATAGAAATCGCCCTGCCATGCTGCTTCCCAGAGAGTCCGGAGACGTAGAGAGCCTTTTTGCTCGAGCATCACTTCCAAGGCCCTTTTGCCGTAATGTGGATCAATATCCTCCCCGTAATTGCGACTTTTGATTCCAACCGAGAAAAGAGTATCCGTAATATATAGACCGAAATCATTGCCTCTATTGCAGCTACCACGATGTCTTCACTAACCATCTTATCATCGTCTCATCTATCAAGCAATAGAGGAAGTGGTCCTTTTCCACCATGTACAACCCTCGGTAAAGTCCTCTTAGTAACATCAGGATTGAGATTAAAGAGAAGATCTAAGGCAGAGTGATTTATTGCAACAGACTCATTGACTTGTTCATTGTTAATAATGAGCTATTGATCAAGTAGAAGTTCAAGAACTTAGTTGAGTCAAAGCATCGAACATTTCTAAGATATTGCCAATGGGTACTTTGTTATGAGATTTATCCCGAAGCAGTGACATTCGTTCAATATTGTCGTAAGCCTCTTCAAAGGCTCCATCAGGGACCGGACAGTCTTCTTGAAACGTGTTGAGAATATCTAGGAAGGTCTGAGCACTCAAACCGCGAGACCCTGCTGCTGATTCCAGGATATAGTCAGTTATAGGAACTTTTTGTTGGCAAAGATTAAAGAAATCCTCCATTGAAGAATTGGGGTTTTCAGTATTTTTTTTTTAGTAGTAAAGATGGAAGTTGCCAAAAGCCCTCGGGGAACGCCCAGTTAAATTATCTCTTGAATAAAGGTGTGCCTGATCAGTCTCAGAAGGAAATTTATGCCATTGATCCCGAGAACCACGCTCCAATACACTTCATTACTAGCTTCGTTCAGATTGCTTGGAATTCCCCCCATTTGTCTCTATCTAGCCACAAAGCGTTCCCACAGATGATGTCTACCTTAATCTTCGGAGGGTGAGCCCTTCGCTAATGGCTGTAACACCTCGTCATGTACCGATAACCAGTACTCACTGTATCTTAAGTATAGTACCTAGTCACATACATTTATTGTGGTTGATTTGATAAGATATCTATGTTTGTAATATTTGCACTCACTTCGAAATTGATCGAGGGAAATTGTTGACCAGTCAATCCAAAGGACATTTAGTGTCGCTCACCCTAGATACGATATCCAAAACTACAACACCATCTCTTGGCAGGGACAAGACTCTTGTAATGCTTACCCCTTTCTTTAACCGTTGTTGAGATGTATTTTAACAAAAACTTTAGGCTCAGTATCGAGCTTTGAGCTAGTGAGGTTCAAAACATCACCCACAAATAACCGAAGAATGCTTAGAAAAGACAGACCAGAGATAACCGATTTCCACCGAGAAAAAGCATTCAGCTTTAGCTTGTCGATCACCGGTTCAACCATTGAACCACTAAGATCTCTCGGTTGGCCCACAGTGGAGATGCGGTGCGGATAGACTTTACCGCTATATCAGAAATTTTTGAATATATTTGCAGGCGACGGAGGTACAAACGCACGCAGTACCATATATAATCAAGAATACTCCCCTCTGTGTGGCAACATTGTCTGAATTATACATATTCCCACAATGAACCCATTACGCTATCTGGCGCCTCCTCGCCCATTCAAGGATATCTCCAACTGCACAAGCAAAGAGATTAAAGAACGGATCAGCTATGTGGACTCTATGAAAGCCATCCCTCACTTCCAGACATCGGAAGAATACCAAGATGCTCTTTGGACCTATCTGGATGCCTGTCATACTCTGACCGATGACGTTCCCTCCCAGGAAGAGAGCGAGGCCGCCAAGGAATGCATCCGGAAATACGAAAAGTCGCTCGAAAACAACGACGAGCCGGCCAAGCTGTCCTTTGATCTGACGACCAAAACCAAACTGGGCGAAGAACTCGACAATCTCTGGAACATGTGGACTTTCAACCGATATGAAAAGTATCTCCCTGAAGACGTGGCTAAGGAGGCGAAGCACCACCCTTCGTCTCAAGTGGCCGACCCCTGGCACAAGGCTTTCTGGAGACCTCTCAACGGACGCCTTGAAGCGGAGAAAGAATCGTTTGACAAGGTCATGAAAGGGCAAAATTTCCATAACGGATGCCCAACTTTCCTTTTGCTGGCGCTCCTGTGTGACCGCCACACGCTTGACTGGGATGAGACTCTTCAGTTGATCAACGCTTGCGGTAGTGACGGTGACGATGTCAAGCTCCCTGGGGTAGATCTGGTTGATTTCATCAAAAACCGCGATGCTTCCGGGTTGGCGGCTCGTTTGGATCGCGACGAGGCGAGCATTTCGCTTTCCACGGAGTATGTGATGGGTGTGGGGTCTTTGGTCCTGGCGTTTTTTGCCACTCATCTCCCAGAGTTCTTCTTCGATAGAGATGAGTCTGATGTGTCGGATTGGAAACCGAAGCAGTCCTTGCTGGTTCTGATGGATCTTGACTCGGGACACGAGCAGGCGTTGCGGTTTTTGATGCAAGAGATGTTTGAGAGAATGGCCAATGGGGAGTCGGATGGGGAGGATGATGTTTACGATGATTGGGATAATGATGATGATTCTGATGAAGCTGCCTTTAGTGATGAGTCTGAAGATTACTGATTGTGTCGATCTGGTTGGATTTGTTGTTTCTTGCTTTGTTGATTTTCGTTCTAGCAGAAAATCATGAGTATACAATACCACTTGTGCTGCGAATTTGTGTCGAATACTGTATCTCGATTGTCATGTTAGATACTGTCTATAAAACAAGGCTATAGTCGTAGAATGAGTAGTGAGTAGCCAAGAACATCTCTCATCCAGAATAGGAGGCCCCGAGTCTACAACACCATCGAAGTAATGAAAAACTGCCAAGAGGTATGAAAGTTAATCCTATCAGTATCCACACCTTGTTGCTACTTAACCTGATCATTACATTCACACCCTAGCCGCGTAGCTCACGTTTCTCCTATGCCCCCAATCTGTATTTAATGCGAGGTATTAAGACGAAAGAGATGTTCCCTATCTTACTACGATAGGTTCTTTCATTAATATATGAGTTATATTCCCGGAACAAGCCAGCAAGGCGACCACGATTATCATTGATTCTGCTGCCGTTTTACTTCAGAAGTGAATTAGTTATCGGCCAGCTTGATGTTAAGCGACTAATCTTATTATCCATGGTATGCCAGGGCGACAATTCAAATGTAATTGCCTCTCGTAACATGACCTACTCGTTGCACCGACTCCTTCTGGACGAGACACAGCTAGCTTTGATAAAAGGAACTTTCGCAATGCAGCCGACGAGGGTTAATCATTTCCCATTGGTTCTAGATCAACCACTTGATACAACATTTTTGATACCCGGTTACTATCCAGTAGTCCTAGGTACACCCCATTACAAGCAAGATGAGGAGAAATCAAAGCATCGCCAGCCATAGCCAGCAAGGCAAAATCCCTCTCCTTCCCATCCAGCATACTAGGAGTTCACGTCCCAGATAATTACAGATGAGCCAGGACAGCCTCAGCACCGGATACCTACATCCTCGTTAGCACTCAACGCTCTATAAGCAGACGGAAACCAAACACACCTCAACAGCGCCCTTCTTAGTCTCGATCTGCGCATAAGTCACCTTACCATGATCGATGATAATGGCATAGCGACCGGTGCGAGCCCCGTTTGCCCAGCCGATGCTCCCGGAGAACTTCGCGTCGGGGTCGGAGAGGAACAGCTGGAGCAGTTAGTCTTCGGTATCAGATATTTTTGGTGAATCGTCACGTGAAAATACATACAATATCGTCGCCATTTACCTGATTGGCCTTTCCCCAGGCGCTCATGACATATGGGTCATTGGATGCGACGACTGCCACGATCTGGACACCCTTCTCCTTGATCTGGGGAAGATTTTTGATGTATCCGGGGACGTGGTTGACCGAGCAGGTAGGGGTGAAAGCGCCTAATGTTGTAAATCAAGTGACATTAGATGCAATGGGTAATATGCGGGAGAGAAGAGGATGCATACCGGGAACAGAGAACAGGACCACCTTCTTATCGGCCCATTCTTTAGAGGCGTTGTAAGGGATGGGGATACCGCAGGCGGTGATGTCGCCCTTTTCTTCGGTCCAGGGTATGTACCTGAAAACAATTAACAGCTGATTGAGATCGATGGATTGGGGTAACCAACTGGAAGACGACATCGTTGGGGAAGGAATCTCCAGGCTTGAGAGACATGGTGGATGAGAGTGGAAAATATGGTAGTTGTTTACTGGTGGTTGATCGTGGTGAGGAGTGAATGCTGAACGTGGGAATGCTTGTAAATTCAATTGGATGCGGGGTAGTGGATCATATCATAATCAATAATGAGCAACTAATTCGACGGTGGGGTATATTTTCATAGGGAATTGTTATTTGGACGAGACGTTATACCATAATAGGAAGGTGATATACCGTGTATTGGTAATACTGTATATTGGCCTACTCGATGGCTTTGAAGCTTTTGATCTTTACTATCTAGGAAGGGTCTTCTAGTATAATAGGATTATTGCCTGTCTGAGAGCCTGCCTGAGCACCTTGCTGCCGGAGCGCTTGTTCAGTCTGTTCAAAACCTGAGATCTCTCGATTTCTAGAACCTCTATGCCTCCCACATGCCCGTATAACCAGCGGTCCTAGTAGATCTGGCTCTAGGTTAGATAGATCAATTGGTTCAGGCAGATCATCCCGTAATATTAGTCTCTGGAAATGGAAGAGTAAGATAGGCAGCGGCTCCCTAGATATATGATAATATAGAATAATATGAATACAAGGAATTCCTAATATTTTAGTAGTAATCCCTGTACAAAATTTAGCCGGTAGATTTTCTGGGCCTATTTATAGATAGCAGTTTTGTATGCTAAGTACCTTATTCAGCGCGTAGGTTGAAATATGATAAATAATGTTGTGGAATAGTGGTTCAGCCCGTAGATCACTAGATGCCTGAATACGCTCAATTAATCTGAGCATATTTAGTAGATTACCTAAAGTGCTTTAGAGATCTTATTTAATTCCCCAATGGGATCCCTCACTACGAGATGTAGCCAGCTGACCTATATATAGGTAGGTGTTTGTATAGCAGCGGAGAAAAGTCCTTTCTGCTTACTGTGAAGCTATTCAGACTCTATATAAAGTAAAAGCTTTCAAAATATAGGCTGTTAATATATCTGCTTAAAACAGGCCTATTTATAGTCTTTTACTTTAATAGATCGTGCAGATATAATGTTATATTATTATTATTATTAATCAAGTTTAATGTCCATATCGAGCCGTTGGCTATGACAGACACATGTGCCTAGACAGTGGCCTAGGCAACTGCCTCTAGATATTGCCTAAGGGCTCTATCAGCCCCCTTTAGCATTTCTGTGCTCATTCTGGTGCTTTTCCTCGCCCGAGCCGCCTATCTACGCCGGAGCTTGTGGGCTATGCCCTCCTCAGTGTTCATTACTCGTTGGGCGTCATCTAGGCGAGCCTAGATTGCCCTTTCCACTATCCTTCTTCTCTACTTTCTGCTTCTTCTACCAGCTCTAGGCCCAAGGGTTATCTCTAGAGGCTCTATGTATCTCAGTAGCTGCTTCCCAGGGGAAGCAGCTAATATTCGTTGTTGCAAGGAATGTCATTAGGGCCTTCATGGCCCTCTGATCCTCAAAGAGTCGGCACTTCTGAGGCTGTTTCTTCCTGTCCGGGTGGTGATACTCCTGCCTTGACTAGGGCCTGTACAGAGCCTGTCTCGGGTGGCGCCATTTTCTGCATTCCACTAGCAGATGGCCTGCTGTTCCCTATGGAGCCTGGCAGCTCTGGCATCTAGGTGAGTCTTGGACCCCTATTTGATTCAGATAGGTCGGTATTGCCGCGTGTCCAACCTTTAGCTGATAGTATTGACGAGCGAGCTGTTTTGGTGCTGCTCTGCTACCGGATCTAGTTTCCAACCATTCTAGGGTCGATAGTGCTGTTGGGCCCTGTAGGATCGTTTCTCTAGGGCCTGTTCAAGCCATCGTTGTTTCTGGGCTTGGTTTGATATAATATTATACTAATTAGCGAGTATAGTCTTCTATTAATTATCAGTCTCCTCAAGAAATTCTTTCTCATTAGACGCTGCCTCTGTAGGTATAGATTGTACAAGTAAATAATCGCGTATAGCCTATTATCAAAATGTAGGGGTTTCTATGTAGATTCTCAATTAATAATTGATGGCTAAGAAAGACTGCGGAAATATGACAATTCTTGCATATTCGATATTTTATATACCAATTGCCTTTTCATGTGGTATTAAGCTGATTTAAGGCTTGAATTGGTGTATGGCCATTAAGGTGTTCGATATCAACTCTATATTGCATATTGTAGAGATCTCGGGCTCTAATTAACTGTGCACAGCCTTCCTGGTGTAGAACAGATGTAATATAGCGTATTGGAAGGCCTTTATTAAGCATTCCAGCAATCTAGTTATACCGCTTGCAGAACTTACTCCGCCAGTGAGCTGGGAGGTGCTGATATATTCACTGGACTATGATTATGACTACCTTCTTGAATAGTCAGATACCATACTTTAAATGTAGGATTATATTTAAGCCGTGCAGTAAAGAGGCAGTCAATTTATCAAGATAACACGAATTCCCTGGCACTGATTCTATGCTGTATAGCCTCTATTACAGGCTATATCAATATATCTAAGGATTCCAGTTCGTTTAACCTTAGTAGAGTGATGTCAAATGATTGTAAAGCCATTGGTTAGACTAAAGGCCTGTAGCGAGTTGAAAGCCTCATCTGCTGAGCTAAATGACTGAGATAAAGGCGGCTCTGGGATAATATTCTCATTATTTTCGTTCTAATCCTCAGGCTCTGATTGGTCAGAGAAAATAATCTCATAATCATCAAGAAAATCACCCATTTTAAGCACTTTTTATAAACCTTTAGGAAGCACCTTTTATAATGGGATATCGTACATATGCATTTGAGAGGGATTTACTAGTGTGGTTTTATGAGCACGTGCAGATAAAATGGTGCATGTCCGGACTCCGGAGCCCTCCGGCTTGTGCCGGAATTAACCGAGATATTGTAAGAAACCAAATATCATTTGCAGATCTAAAATGAAAACGATCTATTCAAGTCTATGACATTATATACGTAACCCTTATACCCATACTTTTTTCTATAGTGCTCTCCAGAATTGATGTGGTAATGTCACCTGCACTCCTAACTTCTTCGCCGTCACAATGACCCATTCGGGCTCTCTCAGGAATTGACGCGCTAAGAGCACGACATCTGCCTTGGGCTCAGAGCCGGCCACTATAGCCTCAGCCTCCTGCGCTTCATCGGCACCCTGGACGAGACTCTTCGCCTGTTCGGCTTCGGTGATCAATCCCACCCCTCCTACAAGGGTCGACGCCCCGGCCTTGCGGATCGCTTTCCTCAGCTCTCCGGCTAAATCAACCTGGTAGCCAGGACCCCGCCCAATCTTCTGGTCCTTGTGAATCCCGCCGGAACTAACATCCACTAGATCAATGCCAAGTTCCGGCAAAAGCTTGGCCAAACGCAGCGAGCTCTCTAGTTCCCAGCTGCCCGACTCGGCAGCCACCGGCTGACCCTCAAGCCAATCCGTCACACTGATCCGGAGGAACAACGGCATGCCCTCGGGAATGACGGCGCGAACAGCTGCGGCAACCTCACGGACAATCCGGACACGGTTTTCGAAGCTACCGCCGTACTCATCGGTTCGCTTGTTCGTCGCGGGGCTGAGGAACTGATTCAACAGATATCCATGCGCCGCATGGATCTCGACGACATCGACCCCAGCCTTGACCGCGAGTTCCGCGCTCTTCGCGAAGGCCTTGACCACCTCTTTGATTTCCACCGTAGTCAATGCCCGCGGAGCCCAGTATCGCCCCTCCGCGGGATCCCAGATATTTTCTACCCCGCCACTAGGGCCAACCACGTCCTTCGGCCACCCGAAAGCGCTTTCGTCGGCTCGAAGACTATGCTGCCCGGCTTGTGCCGCAACCCATGGGGGGAATACGCTGGATTTGCGACCGGCATGGGCTAATTGAACGGCGACTTTGGCACCTTGGCTGTGGGAGAAGCGGACGATGCGTTGAAGACCCTTGAATTGTTCCGAGTCGGTTCCATCTTGCCAGAGACCGAGGTCGTGGGGTGAGATACGTCCGTTAGCCTGGACAGCTAGTGCTTCGAGGAAAACTAGGCCGGCGCCTTTCAGCGCGAATTGGCCCAGGTGTGCGATGTGGTAGTCGGTCGGGGCGCCGAGGAAGGGGGAAGCGGGATTGGGCTCTGCGGAGTACATGCACATTGGTGAAACGATGATGCGATTCTTGAGGGTCACATCGCGGATGCGCAAGGGTTTGAAGAGGGTGGGGGTGCTGGGGTCGTCGGGGTTGACGGCGGCGCCTGCATTGTTGGCGGGGGTGAAGTAGGGGGTGTCGGCTTTCACGACGGAGGGGGATGGGGAAGAGATAGACCCCATTGCGATTATCTTGGTGTATGCTTGTGAGGGAGGAAGTGCAATCGTATATCCTGCTGGAAGAACATTATGGTAGGTGAATCTATGGTGATTTATATGCTGTCGATATGGCGAATCGCGGTTACGTTCATTTTGATGCCAAAAAGATCACGGCTGACAAATGCTCGGATTAGGTGCCGGGAACAAGTGGACTTCCCTGCACTCCTATTGGTCATTTTCCTCTAACACTCTACTGCTATTGGCTGGCTATCTTACCATCTAGAAAAACGTACTTTGATAAGGCGTTATTATGGATCTCTCACGTAATGATTGTCCTACCTCAAGTAATGAGGAGGTCAATCGGGATCAAAGTTGATTATAAATGGATGTTTCCGAATGGACAAGAAATGGGGTAAGATGTGATAACTAAGCTGAAATGCAGAATTTTGTGAATTGTCGGATATCCAGGTTGCTCAAGGAAATTAGGGACACGCTCAGCTCCCACCGACCTGGATTAAACACCTATACCGTCCGATCTCACCACATTATGTGTTACTATACGCCTGTCTACACATCTCAGAGAATCTTCACAAGCACCGCGCAGCAAAATATTACACCCGATTATCCCTCACTTTCCTGGCCTCTCCATAGATTATCGTTTTCCTATCGAACCAAATCCGGAAGATCCACCACACCAACGATGCGAAGACCCCCAGCACGAAATCATATACAATCCAAAACCGCGGACTCGGTCCCCGCATATTATTCAGCAATAGCTCCGTCTGGAAGTCGACCGAGATATACGTCTTCCCCAACTCCAGCCCCTGGATAATCTTGCCAGCGACCTGCCTGGCAGTGGGCATATTGAGCTCCAGTTCTGATCGGGACATATCGGTACCCTCGATAGCCTTTGTAAGATCTGACTTGTGCTCCTGTTCCTGCAGAAAGGACTCGGAAAGGAAAGTCCCTGGGAAACAGCAGTGGACTTTATATGCGTCTTTCCCGTAGAGAAGTAGTTCTTGGCGAAGAGTATCGGTTAAGGCGCGGATGGCTACCTTGGTAGGAGTGTAAGCGATGTAGCCCGGTAGACCTAGGAAAGCGGCGGTAGAAGATGTGAGGATGATATGCCTAGGAGAGGGGGTCTGCGGGGCGACGAGCCATATTCTAAGACAGCATTGAACGATGAATATGGTGGTATAGTAGTTCAGTTCCATGCAGGAGGTGATAGCTTCTGGAGTAATATCGGCGAGGAAGCCTACCTGCTGCGGAGTACCTCCCGCTGTGCAGATGAGGATGTCAGGGGGGTGGTAGTGTCTCAGGACTCCGGTAATCTGCTTGATTAGTAGTGGCTCGCAAAGATGATTTAACGGTATACGTACATCATCGGGTTTTGTTAAATCAACCGCTCGCGTATCGATGATTTGTTTTGAGGAAACACAGGCAGCCTCAACTTCATGCTGTGTAGCTTGTAACGTACTTACTGTTCGGGCGAGGATGAGGAGGTTGGCACCTAGCTTTTGTGAGCATCACCTCGACTGTAGGGAATAATGTATGATGTAGTCAAGATATTGTCAAGCGTTGGACCATACCCTTCGCTGCTAGCTCTAGAGCTATCGCCTTCCCTAATCCTCTTGATCCCCCAGCCACTACCACCAGCTGATGATTATTAGTAAAAGCGGATGACAGGGAGGTGGATGCAAGACCTTGCCATTCACATCGAATTTATTTCCAAACATGGCTGGTAACAATGCTTATTCATGTACGCTGCAGAGCCGATGAGACAATAACGGTTTGAGTTAAAACATGCATGGTGAGGATTTAAAACGGTCTCTGTTTTGGTGGCAGACACGCGAAGTATGCAAGGGGGAGGGGAGTTGGGGCATGGCCGAGGCGGTGTTCTACACAATTATATCTCTAAAGAGGGACTTGGAAACCGTTTCCACGTAGTCTTTCTTTGTAGGCCGTTACAATATGATTGATCTAGATGTAATCAAGAGTCTAGATATGTCACACCTTGTGTCCCACATGACCAGGCGTTTTGCTATTTATACTGAGACATTGCACGATGTTGAAAAACACCTTTATGTGAGGAAGTCTACAGTTTCGGAACTTGTGTACAGTGCTCCTGTGGTTTGTCGAGCATACCCTTTGTCCCTCGAGTCTTGTTCATGGTCGATGGTGGAACCCACAGAGCTGGGTTCTTCTGAAAGAAGTTCGACGCCCGGAGCGTAACATCCGCCGATTCTACAGGCATGATCGGAAAGTCCTCCGTGCGGGGAAAATATGCGATTCCGAATTGGACATAGCATACAATGTCCGTATTGTCAATTGTTTCGTCTCGAGCCACCCAATCAAGTATCGTTTCGCTATTCGGATTATGTGACTGGCACAGATATTTACCAGTGGGGTAGAGCTCCCTATCCCGGTAGGGAGTGACCCAGAGCGCTTTTTGAAAAACCCCTGCTCGCTTGCCTTCCGGCTGGCTGTATAGTGGGGGCCAGTTTCTATTGAAAATCCTGTAGGCAACTGGTTTTTTGGATCTGGGGTTGAGTGAAGTAGGATTGATGATATCCCATGTTCGACTGGTATCAAAACAGTAACTGGCAGCACTCTGGGATGCAGTGCGGAAAGGTGTCTTAATGTTGGCCGGCCGGTCATTCCACTGCGTCGGGATATTGGCAGAGCCACTTGTGGTATCAACATCATTCTGGACCACGGAGTTGTGAGGTCCATCCATGGCTGGATCAATCCGGAGAGAGAACATGTGTTGGTGATCAGGAGCAGCAACCGCCCCGAAGGGGGCAGGGTCATCTTGCTGATGCAACCAGGATATAGAGGGCGTTCCGGTCATTTTAACCTCCAGTTTGTATGTTCCGTCGAGGCTAAAACTATGATAGAAGGCATAATCAAAGTTGGCTGCAGAAACGGTTTGAGAAATGACGAGCTTTCGATCACGAGCAGAAACAACAGAGTTATCTCGCATGTCCGTGTGTTTGTAAAGAAGTCCGTTGTCTTCCTCATGGATACAGATGGCATTTTTGATAATATATGGATCCCCCTTGGATGTCACTGTGACAGCATCCAAGGTATGAATAGGCCCTGTGCAATCACTTCCGAGTTGTAGCGAATTTGCCATTGAGCTAGGGGGTCCATGAGGTGTTGTGATCTCCGCGATGCTTATTCGATTAAACAATGTCCGCTCCGCCTGCTCATAGGGATCATCAATCCGGACGTCCGACAAAACAATACCCTCACGGTAATTGAATCCCACATGCATCTTGAGCGCCGCCCATGTTATCTCATTGCCCTCAGTGTGGAATGATGTGCCGTGTGGCTCATTAATCTCAATGGGCTTCAATCGATCTAGGCAGTAGAAGTCCTCTAGAAATTCGGGACGGTAATTATATTCGTCAAGAGGGATCGGCGCTCGTTTGTTATTGGCAAGCCGGACATCCACAGAGATTATTTCGTTCGTCTCGGGGTGAACTACAATGCTGAAGTCTAGTGGATGAGCATATTGGTTGTCACAGGCAGACAGGCGGTAGTATGGAATTGCTTGTTGAAGGGGTCGGTTGAGGCCCCATCGGTCCTCGACACCACTAGCCCATACATCAAAGTACACCCTGTTCATATCTGTGATACCGAGTTCGCGGCACACCTTGATAACATCGGGATTAGAACGGGCTGCCTCTTCCAAGTGCCTATTCTCCGTGCCGTACACGGGTAAAACATTGTGAACATCTCTCCACGATTCTATCTGCCTAGCTCTGAGATTCACTACCGCCTCTGATACTTGCCCTGTACCATTACGGAGTACAATCGAGAAAGCTCGGCGGTCTGGATGGCAGGCAGCCCCATTACGGAAGGCCGTATACTCGCATCTCTCTGGTTCCTGGAGAGTAATGCAGTTGAACGCAAGGTCATCTAAACCGGCATGGTCACGGATAAGCGCAGCAGTAACTATGACTTCGTCTGCAGTTAAAGGATCTGTATTAATCAGTGACTAACCCTTTAGTGAACAACATACTCATTCAATAATCTTACCAAGTGGATGAAGGTTCCGCTCTACTGTCTTTGGCTTTTGAGGTAGGGCACAGCAGCCATCCGAGCAAACTCGATAAGCGCGCGTCATGTTTATGAAAGTCTTGATATGTACATTCCAAATATAATCCTATGTTGGGTATTCAGTATTTATATTCCTCTCCAATACCACCCATCTCGCGTTATTGGTCGCGATGCAGAGATGTGACAGATTGCGTGTAGATAGAATATCCAGTTTGTTCCACGTGTAAACCTGTTTGATATATACTGTATAAATGCCCTTAGCTCACGCCACTGAATCATTCCCCTAGGGCTAGATCCCCTTTACACGTCATTAATGGTGATTTCCGGTAATGAACTTGAAGGAATTCTATAACCGTTACTCATTAAGGTAACACCTTAGTAAGGCACGTGGGAACACCACGTGTGTGCGATGCCAAGTTTTTCGGGCGACAGTTGGGAATAGGAATTTTCGAAGTAAATCTGGTCAAAGACCTCATTTGATCAAGTCATATCCAGGCCTTCTAACATCCAAACGCTAACCTGAAGGTAGTGGCACCTATGGCTGCTACAACATCTTCTGTGCCCTTCTTTGGGTACGTATGAGTGGAACCGCACTCGAGTTTGCTCCCCACGCCACTTATAACCTTGATAACTTGCTTTTAGTGTATGAATGGCTACTATCGATAATGTTTCAAGGGTGGATGGGCATGTTGTACTTACAAAATTGAATGACTTTAGCTGTAAGTAAAGACGAGGAAAGTGATTATCGAAAGTGTCATTCTTTATTTCTTAGCTGCAAGCTGCCATGTGACCTCAAACACTTGTAATATATAGATGAAACACCTGTACAACATTGCAAAATAATCTAATCCCTATTTAAATCGAAGATGACAGGGTGTGGTGCTAACAGATTGTAGAATTTTACATGACCTGAGGTTTAGTAGCTTAGGAAAGGTAATCGCTCCTAAGATGTCTGATCTTGTAGTGATGATTTCTCTGGCTTGATTTTGTCTCATCATTGGCTAGTTCGTTGCCATTGTCGGAGAGCTCCATGCCACAGGACCCCCGCAGCATGGCTAGAAACACCACTTTCATTCAAGTTGATGCTCTTCGCTCAGCGTTGGGCACAAGGCTTAGTTCAAGCGTGTGGAAGGGATTCTCGGCCCGTTAGTTGATACCTTGGTTCTTTTCGATCTCATATGCTGCATCCACATATGGTTTCGCCCCGAAAAACTTCCACACCCTTGGGCTGTCCAACTCCTCCGCTCGGCACTTGACGGATGTAATGATCTCCACTGAGCAGTCTCCCATCCACATTAAAGCTTTCCCCTTATTGTTGTTAGCCACCACGTACCAGAAGGAATAGAAGCTTAAGTAACTTACTAGACCCACATGTAGCTTCGTCATTCCCTCCCACCACTCTGGATGATACTCGAGCTGACTCTGTGAATTGATGGATCGCACGATATTCTGTGAGACACGCTGTGCTTGCTGTACAGCTGCTCGGCCATTGTTGATATTATCCATTTCTACCACATCCCCAGCGGCATAGATATGGTTCAGCGACATGTCTATTAATTGCAAGGTAGGGCGGACCTTGACATGACCAGACTCAGAGATCGACTCCGGCGATAGAAGCTGTATGAGCTTCGAGTTGGGGCGTTGTCCAATACATTTCACCTAGGAGATTAGCAATGGCTCAATAGGCAAGTCACAGGGACCGTACCAGATAATCGCACGGGATAGTCTCGCCTGAGCTTAACGTGACAGTGCCATTCTCCGCTTCGTCACTGAGTAGTCTTTGACCAAGTATGATCCTCACACCCAGTTCTTTAAGCTGTTGCAACGCTCTCTTCCCTAGCCTAGGCCCAAATCGACCCAGCAATGTCTCCCGAGAATGGACTAACGTGACATTCTTCTCCGGATAGAGGGATTTTGCATCCGCCACAAGCTCGATTCCCGCAGCTCCACCCCCAACGATGACCACATTCTTTGCGGCACGAAGCTTCTCCTGCTCAGACACTAATAGTTTTATACCTTCATTCTTAGTCTCAGCGGGGACCCGCGACGGAAGGCCCCCTGACGACCCCGTTGCGAGCACGAGGTAATCAAATTCGACCTTCGCACCAGACGCCAGCTCTACCTTTCCAGTCTTCCCATCCTGATCAGGCAAGATCCGCTCAACAGTATCTCGCACCCACTCATACGAGCCCTTTGGAGCCGAACGAAGATAAGACCCATATGGGATGAAAGCCTTATGCTCGTGACCATGCACGACAGCATACCGTGGCAAAACCCAAGTCAACTGAAAATGCGTATTTCGTTCGACAATCACAACCCGATAGCCAGTGGGAAGCGAACTAGCCAGGCACTTCGCAGCATGATATCCAGCGAAAGAAGCGCCGACGACGACAACGTTCCGGGGATGCTCGACAGCGCGGTATGTGAGTTGGTGCAAACGCGTCGCAATCGCTAACTTCATACCGGCGAATAGCTGTCGGAAGATAGGTCCGAAGAGCTTTAATGCGAGAAGGAACTGGGCGAACATGGCGATGAGACGGCCCGAGTCATCCCGGGGTTTGTGATTGCGCAGCTATTGCCCTCGGGTCAGGGGCTGTTTTTAAAGATCCGCGGATCGCCGTCGGATGTCGGATTGACGAGATATTTATCGGGTGAGTCTGGAATCATCGTATTCTTTCGCTTAGGTTTGCCCGAATACGTTTGGTACTTATGTCCGCGGTGTCGGGAAATTCGTGTGTACTCCGTGTCCCCTGCTGGCATCTCCGTGGAATCTCCGAAGCGAACCGCGTTATCTTATCTGATCCGATCCGATAATCGGCGTTGATCTGGTTCTTTGGAGACGGAGCATTGGTTGTAACGGTCTGGCTCGTCAAGTTATTAGATTTTAGATTTCCTAGGCCGATCCTTACGCAAATAAATTGATAAAGTTGAAAGAAAGAGCCCGGAAAAATCAGAGACAATGGACACTTCCGGAGCAGGAAGAGAATTCTCACAGGGCACTGGGGCAGAAGTGAAGACTAAGGAAGAGATGGAGCGAGATTCTGGGATTCTATTAGCATCAGACCGTCGATTCATCGCTCTTCCTTCCGCCAATACAAATGAAGTGGAAACCATACTCCCAGGAAATGTCGGTCCAAGCAAACTAGGTACGTCAATATTGCAGGGTTAATGCTCAGCCTCTCGATGGAAGTGTTAGCCCAGGAAAAGTCAAAAGGATGGGCTGTGCCCATGGTTATTGCCCCAAAGATTATAGAATAGTGTCTTAACCGCTACAGTGTTTACCGTGGCATCGCCCTAGCGGGTTTCCGATTAGTTTTGTGATCCAGGAAGAGCCCCTGTGGATGATTTGTGGAGATACCCTCTGTTCTTAGACATAGGCGCTTAATGTATCTCCATAATTATAGATGTAGCGCAGCAATACGACACGATCTGCGGTCCTTTGCCGCCAACCTGTTTACCATGAATTCCAGTTAAACGCATTTCTATGGCTTGCCCTAGAACTGGATTTCATACCCAAATACTCCGTAGAACGAGCGAAAATCAGTGGCAAATGTTTTTGGCGGATATACAGGAACACAGCCTCCTGAGAAGTGAACTTGCACTTTGGGCGTGAGGTTAGGCAGCTACGAATCGTGCATCTTTTGCAGGGATTAATCCTTGCAGTTGCGCCATTTTGCCAGATGCTCAGCAAAGGAGAATATTGGGCGGTGGTGCTGAAGGCCAAAAGACGCCTGGTCGAAATGCCTTGTCTTGAATTTGAGGTCCTGATTTAGATGATGGCCCCTTCATGATTTTTAGATGCCCCAGTCCCCTTAAAGGCCCGGCCCGCAAATCATGGCACTAAAATAGATCCATTGGTTCAGAGTCATGACTTTTCAGCCCCATACGGACCTAGCGTCCCGACACCCAATCACTGGGCCTTAATTAGTCCCCCATCTGCAGCTTGCACAAACCATCAATAATGTGCCAATGATGTTGTCGCAAGTTTCAAGCGCTGACGGGCTCGATCATCTAACCAATAATGGGCTCCATGGGGAAGCTCTACCGCGTCGCAGCCTTACCGAAGAAATAAGCCAAAAAAAAAAATGTTTCGCCCGCCGCATCGACACGCACAACTTGTAAAGGGACTCTGCCTGCCCGTGTTCTTATAAAACACTGCGAACTTCTCCTCATGTTATACTTAATCCTCCGACACTAGACACTGCATCATGTTCTTCGGTAATAACTTCGAAGACTTCCACCTCGACATCGTCGGTTTCCTCGCCATCTTGGGCGAGGGCTCCGTGTCGGTGAACTACCAAGCTATGACATTATCTTATTTCACCTTTCTCCCACGCCTCCTGCCCGCACCCCAAGCATTTATGCGACCGTCCCGACCGCTCCGTTTAGACGATGTTCCAGGAATGGTGGTAGGAGTCCACTCAGGAAATTGCCGACACCACGTCTACCGCATCCCGCATATCATCCTGCCCGGCGAAAAATCGATGAAGATCAGTTCCGATTACACGGTCCGCCATTTTCGCATCGAGATGAAAGGAGGGAACCCCGAGGATGCCCTGCTCACGGCCCAGACCTTCGGGATACTCTCATTCCTCGCTATCCTCGGCTTCGCTATGTCGATCGCGCTGCTCGGCCTCTCCATCCACTTCAACGACGGCTGGGCACTGGTAGCGACCGTTCTCCTCTCTTGCCTTTCTTCGCTCCTCGGAGTCATGTGCAAGTGGTCCCTGGCGCTCGGAAAACGCGTAACAGGTCGAGACGACATCCCTTCCGGAGACGTCATAATCTGCTACCCGAACGGCTCTTTCCTCATCGTCGAATGTGACGAAGCGATCGCCCGGCCCCTCTTCTTCGCACCCGAACGCTGCAACTACCTCCTCTCCGGAACGTGGTATCGCTCTCTCGCCCTCCTCGGAACAATGATGCTGATGTTCGGGGTCATTGCACTTGGTAACTCAGGATCACGCATGCAAGTCGCCTTCGGTGCCGCTTATGTGCTGCTGAATGCCGCGTACTGGCTTGTTGCAGCCATGCCTGAGAAAATCCATTGGGATTACTCGGCGCTTGATATACAGGAGCTTTCGACCATTCGTCCGGCCCCAGGCGAGAAGCTGAGCTTTCGAAACGCACTGTGGACTGCGATTAGACTGACCGGGTCGACAAGATGGGTGCGGACCGGGCGGATTGCGCCTGATACCCAGGCATGGGATGACTGGTTGCACAAGGCAGATGATGCTGTGAATAGAAGGGAGGGGATGGATCCGGATAATTGGGATTACTCGAAAGAGTTGGATGAGTGCCTCGCCTGGTATACTGATCGGCCACGGAAACCGAGTGATCAATCTTGATGTTATGAAACTGTGCTTCTGGGAGAGGCTTTTGGATATTTCGGATTATGTATACCTATTGTGATGATGTTTACGACGATGAGTTAATGACTGTGATTCTTGCATATATAAGGATCTTGCGATTTGCGTTCATTTGCTAGATCGTTGGTTTCTTTTCGCCCCTGTCTTCTTCTTGTTCTTCTTCGTTGCTGTTGCGGTTATGATTATGACGATGATTATGACGACGATGATGATGATGATGATGATGATGATGATGATAACTCAGAATGATGTTTTAGATAGTTGAATGAATGTATAAATACCAGCCTCAACCAAGAGGAACCAAGTGCATTCATTGGCTTGTGGTCAGGAAACGCTTCTACAGACCAAGATCACCCAATCGGGAAGACCACCACGTGCACCGCAACAACCCCAACCACGACAAAGCTTTCAACAGGTACTAATATTAAATCAGGTACCACTGCATTGTACAATACAAAGTGAATTGATATCTATAGATTCTATAGAATTCAATTTCCAGGCTGTCAAAAACCTTATGACGTCGGTACGGTGCGTCACTGTATTGATGACGTCATATGATATCATGGACTCCTCAGGAACTAAAAAGTCAGGCGTCAGGAACAGCCCTATTTAAACAACCATCTTGGCCTGTCTACAGTATCAACAACAAATCAAATCATCCATCTCAAATCTAACGAAATTAACAATCTTCTGCATCTTCATCCTCTTTCTACCAAAAACCACTCTTCAATAAATACAACAACCATCATGTCTGACAACACGGGTTCTTCTACTCTCAAGTCCTACGTCGACTCTGCCACTGGCATGGTCCAGAGCGCTGTCGGTGCCGTAACTGGCAACACTGCTACTCAGGTACTTCCGCCTATCTCCACTGACCATCATTAATACCCTATACTAACAATAACAGGCCGAAGGCGAATCCACCCAGCGGAATGCCGAGGACGAACACGACGCCAGTCACACCACCGCCAAGATGGGCCCCATCTCTGCTGACCCCAATACCGGTGCAGTAGCTAAGGACCGTGAGCAGCGCGCCACCGGCTCCTGGGACCAGACCGTCGGCTCTGCGAAGGAGTCCCTGGGCAACCTGATTGGTAACGAGAACTTGCGCAAGGCGGGAGAGGACCAGAACCTTCGTGGAAAGGGTGCCGAGGCTGAAGGACAGCTGAAGGATTTCGGCGAGGGTGCTGCAGATCGTCTACAGGGTGGGCTTGGAAAGGTTGCTGCTGCTGCTACGGGCGATCGGAGCGAGGAGGCTAAGTGGACTCAGGTTCATGATGAGGGGAAGGTCAAGCAGAGGGGTGCGGAGCTGGATATGCAGAAGCATGCTTGAGTTGGGATACTCAAGGGTTTTGTTGTAATACCGATATGATTGATGATATCGTGGCCTATGGAGTTTCGACGGTTCGGATGTACATTTATGCTGATTGAACTGTATTATACCTAGCGGAATTGATAACCTTCTTTCCAGTTCTTTGTATTGGTAAATGTATGATTGTAGACGACTGTGCGGTCTATATAGCTAGCCTGAGACAAGAGAGCAAGAGATTTTGTCACAGTCTTGCGGCCAGGACATCTTTTAGGACCTGTTCACTTGTATTCCACAAGTCTTTTGCCAGCTGTCCGTTCCTCCCATCCTCTGAAGTTTCACCAAGTTTACCAAAGGGCACCAAATACACTCCTCCGTATTTTTCCTTCTCGATCAAGGGCAACGGGTGAGCAGCGGCAAATATCGGAGTCAAAGCACCATCCATAGGTGTCAAGAGATCCTTGAGTCGGTCGTTACCCTCGCCAAAGTACCTTGTAACTCCGTCTGTATTTAATGGGTGCAGAGATAAGCTATAAGATACACTAAGTAGGTGGATTTGATTCATACTTACCGGTCTTTACACCACCAGGATGCATACTCGTGGACAGCATCAATTGGCCCTCTTCATCTGCCTGTCTTTGTAGTTCCTTTGAAAAGAGCACCATGGCGAGTTTAGAGAGACCTTATACATATCAGCAGAAGTTATAAACACACCGAGGTGGGGAAGAAAATGTATACCATAGCGAAGACGGTTGCTTTGATGGTCATCATCGGAGCCAAAGTCTCGGTTGAAGTCATCTAGAGAGCTGAATTGCACTCCGGAAGGAAGGGCAAGGTGGACCCTAGAAGAGATCTACCGTAATAATATTGTTAACTATCCCAGGCGTAAGAGCTATCAAGGAGCAGCGGGTAATACTTACATTGACAACCCGCACTCCGGGTGCCACCCGGGCTGTCTTCTTTAGAAGAGGAAGAAGTTCCGTCGTAAACAGGAATGGACCGAGAAAGCTGACATTTGTGAGTACACCATTGCTGTCAGGAACGCTACTCAGAAACTAGCATACTTCGTACCAAATGATATCGAAATACCATGTCGGTCTTTGTGTAAAGGCATAGACATGCTTAAAAAAAAAGATTTAACATTAGAGCATAATCGATACCAAAATTTAATTCATCGTATTCACGACCAGGTCAGCCGTCACTTACCGCGTAGCATTGTTAACCAGGATATCTAGCCGCTCCTCCTTCGCCAACATGACTCTAGCCGCGCTCTGCACTTGGGGAAATCATCCAAATCCATAGCCAACGTAGTTAGCCGTTCAGGAGCCAACGAAGGGGTTGACTGAAGCATTTTGGCGATGGCATCTTGGCTTTTTTCAGTGCTCCGCGCGCCAACGTACACTCTAGCACCTTTGATGGCAAGCTGGTGGGCGACGTGATATCCGATTCCCTGGGGGGAGCTGCCTTTGGGATTAGCGATAATCTCTATAAATGTGTGGATTTATATATTGGGAGAAATGCTGTACTTTGCGCCCGTTACGATGGCTACTTTGCCGGTTAGGTCGGGTATCTCCGCGATGATGTCCCACTTCTGGAAGGCATCACGTTAGCTTTATGTTCCTTTCTCTAACTAGGTGTCTTGTGCCAGGTGTGTACAATATCCATATTACTTGGTGACATTAAATATGGCGGATGAGTTGTGGATTGACGATGGATGTCTTGGGTTTATAAGTATTCATTACATCTCGGCGAAATGTGTTCTTGGCTCCTATCTCCGCACCTATAAACCACTCGTTTGTTTCGAGTGGCCCTATAAATGTGCCTAATCCTTCATAGTGGCCTTCTACTAAGTGTTTTACAGAGGTATATGTCTTTATAGCTTAAATAAAACCAACCTTTTGAACCACGGCTGTTTTTCCCCTTGTTGAATCCAGGAAATATGTCAAGATTTGGTATTTCGGCCTTTAGACTTCACCTACAAACCCGAGTTTGACTAAGAGGCTGCCTTATACTTAGCCTTTGAGCACAAATAACGTTACTTATGTCTTGATATGTGGTTCTGTAGCATCGTGTCCCATAAGGGTCTTTCAACCAGCTTCTAACAATAATCCTACAAAACAAGCGTTGTTACCAAAAGCTTTGACTAGGCAACCCTGGGTAGATTTTCAACCAGATGACTAGTACCTTTCGAGAGACAGTCGAATTCTTAAAAATATCTAATTCTTATTCTTCTTCCTCTAAGAATGGTCGTTGTTTATTAATAAGCTAGTAGCTATCTCCTTTCATAAATCATATCTTGATATATTAATATACATTGTTGGACGAAAAAGCCTGGGACACGACCTAAAAAAAGCGAGACATTGAGCCTTGTAGCCTTCAGAGCCCCAAGTCTGAGTGCATAATTTTGTTTTTATGTCTGAAACAATACCATAAAATAAAACTACCATAGATTTGTACCACTTTCTTTCATATAAAACTAAACAAGACATTGCCTTTGCTGCTTTCACCCCCGATTAGCGGACTTTCCCTTCTTTCTTTCGCACTTCCGATCTGCTTCTTTACTGCTGAACCTAGTGGAGTCAAGCTGGTAAAGGTTTTGGGTGCTATTCTTGTCACATTTGTTCTTCACTGAAAACCAAAGTGAGTATTGGTGAAGATCAGTCCTTAATCGCACTGCTTAAACTAACATTTACAAGGAAAAACAAAGAAATATAAGACAAACAAAGATATGCTTATTAAGTACCCCAGTTTATTTCAAGTCGATGCTGATTGGACTATCTTACCTTCTATCCATTCAGGATCCAAGTGGCCAATGTTTATGCAACTAGCTGGGGCATTCATTTCAGTGACTGTAACCATTCCTAATGTATATCGCTCCTTCATCTGTGGTATTAGCCACCGACGCTTCTTCTGCCTTGTGAAGCAGGTGGGTAGAGACAGAAAATGACTGTTTATTATAAACGAAGACTTTATGAAAATGGCTTTCCCTAGAAACGCGGTGACTCATCAAATAGCAGAAAAGCTATGAATTGATCGTTCCTAACCTACAGTTGATATATCCCATCTAAGTCCCTCTTTACCTTTGAATTTCCTATTGCAGTCACTCCTTCAGTTCCTTGTCCTATCCCCGCCACTTTTTTCCTTCATCCACCATATCTCTAGTCCTATTATAGAAAGAGTGTCACATACGCGATTCTATCCGATCTCTGCTAAAATAGCCCCTCTCATTATATTGATCATTGATTCTCGTTAGGTGCATGCAAACATACCACGTTATATCCTTCGCCGTTGTATATATACCCAAACGGGCTCGTTTGGGTCTTTGGGCCAATCCATACCCACTTTGAGAGATGCCGGATATCCTGGGGCATTATGTGTGGAACAGCTGAACCGGTTGACAAGTTGACAACATGGACCATTTTAACTTCCATTACTCTTGCTTCCAAGATGTTGCTCAGTCTCTGTCGCTGATTCCTAGAATCAACGCCCTTTCTAGAAAAGGTTAAGGATGTCTTCCAACACCGCACAATGTTCGTTCCAAAAGCGACCCTACTCCAAGGTCGATGCCAACGTCTTCTTCAGGTTCGAAATTATATATTCTGGTCATGTATAGTGTGATCTCCGTGTTATATTGAAAGCTGGGATATTTGAGATCTCTCCCTCTATTAACCATCGATACCCAGCATGCGGTGGCGGGGTTTGGACCACAATTCCCAAGTCTGGATGACGACGTCTTTGATCAAATGCTTGCACCATAACGAAAAGCGAGTATTATAATATTACCAATCATGCGTCTAATAATGGCACCCTTCCATCAGAATGGGTGCCAGGACTTCAATATTGGCGTTGTTAGACATGGAGTCTGAATTAGTGTCTCAAGTCATTTGCTGTTGATGAATATTCCGTTCAACAGCTTGATCATAGTGCAAGCTTTTATCCAAAGGTCCGCTATCATAAGCAACTCGCAGTTACAAGGCCCGGGACGCTGCTTTCAAATCCCATTTGTCAAACTGTATTACATTTATATTATTATCCTTGTTAGTCATAGTATTGGTACTCTTTGGACGTGGGGTCCTGATGCAGTTTCACTAAACACTCGCTTCCAGAGTCTACATATGCTGTACTATACGCTGTTCTTGTAAGTCGCCGAGGGGATGTTCGAGACACTATGAGGCGGTCAAGACTGAGAGCGAAGGGCCGTTCTGTACAGAACTTATTTACATATTTAGACATTCGGATGCTTTGTAAAGTGAGTGACGGGAAACGATTACATGCTCTGGCGGTTTCCGGTTGTGCATACCCCTATGACGGAAAAAGTCATTCTGATTCATGATGATATAAGCTGGTGATGGATAATGGCCTGACCAGGAGGTGGACGATTTAAGTTTCAGAGGACTTTCTTTAAATTAGATGTTATCACTCTCCATGGATCATGCCATTAGTTGTTATAAGCTCAAGAAAAACAACCCTAGCCTAGTCCAGCCCGACTTGATAATCACAAGTCCGTAAGTTCTCGGTCTTGCCAGATCAACAGCTTGGACCCAGTCAATGTGTTGATATCCGGACAAAAAGCTTCCTTTTGATGTGGTAAACACAGCAGCATCTGTAGTCAATAGCCCTGTTGTTCACCCAGTCATAAACAATAAAAGTATCCTAGCGCTTTGCGAAAGATTCATGACTAACGAATAATTAGCATATATTATGCGACGAGATAAGGGCCAGAGGTCATACATAGATTTTCGGGACAACTAGAGACAACCTGACCAGCCCGCGGCCAGCCTCGACTCATCGAATTATAAGCGTAATGTTCCAATATGCCCAAAGCTCTCAGAATGACATCTATGCAGACCTATCATCTGTGCTTTTGTGAATTGGACTCAGCATTCAAACTATAAGCTTTGGTCACATTCTTTTCATGTTCTGTTTCCGAGAGCTGCTATCATGCTCATTAGGTCTTTGATACGATTGCCGTCCAAGTAACGGCGAATTGAGTGAAAGCTCCAAATCTAACCTTTTGGTACTCGATTTCTGGATTGAGGGAGGAACGTGCTTCTCTGCGTCTGCTGTGTACTCAAACCACATATAGAACATTAAGAAGGGAAAAATATCCATTTTGCGTGAAGATGATAAAAATGACGGTCAACCAGTGACTCTGTAAGGAAATATTCTCGATCTATGGAGCAGAACGAGTCCATATTGCTCAAATGTACATAAATAGGGAAACGCAGGGTACACGCTCCAGGAGAAGAAAATCAGTATCACATCTGCAACAAAATAAGGACTGAGTGCCGAGAAGGATAAGAGATGAAACAGTGTGAGACTGACTGAAAAATGGGAAATGGTAGCGGGGATCGAGACCTTGGTAGCGTATGATTCAAAGTTTGGAGGCTGCTCGGGAGAATTGATTTATGACGATCAGCAACCCTCCACATCGGATCTCGGGTAGAACCTGATTTGGAGTGCTTGGGGTTATTCTCCGTCCTGCCACATGATAGAGTGGTTTCACTATTTAGCTTTCTCAGTCGCCCATCGCGTCGCATCCCTTCATCTCATCTCCCTTCGGTCTATCGCTCAATATCGCAAAAATGAAGTTCGCATGGTTGCTCGCTACCCTCTCTGCTACGGCATTGGCAGCGCCTGAGCTCGAAGAGCGCGATGCTGCTACGACTGACTCCATCAATTGGTCTTCTCTTGGGCATGCTTTGTATGTTTGGGTTTTGAGGCTTGCGCTCTTGGAGACGATTTTACTGACTGGGACAGGCAATCGCTCACTATCTCAATGCCTACCAAGACCGCGAACTTAGATAATATTTCTCCGCCTCCACGCTCCTTGATCCCGGAGATTGTTCAGAACGTGCCTCCTTCAGTTCTGGCTCAGCTGGTGATTCCCGCCCAGCGAAGCTCAATTGCCAGCGAGTTTCAAGCGGGACACACTCCATCCTGGTACAATGCTCTCCCTACGGGCGTCAAGAGCTACCTGTCCGCGGTGAAGAAGCAAATGTCCGAGGGCGCATTGACGGCTACCACGGGAAAAAACAGCCCTGCGGAGGCTACTGCCTCGGGAACGAAAGATGGCGGCGCATCATCTACAACATCATCAGGAATGGCCGCGGCAGCCGCTCAGCCAACGGGCGGGCTACTACTAGGAGGCATGGGGGCCTTAGGCGTGCTTGGGGTAGCATTGGCGCTGTGATCGACATGAATGTATTGCCAAGTGAGATGATAAGATATGTAAATGACGAATTTTTGGGCATCTAGTTGAATTGCAACCCTGGCGGTGGCGTTGTCTGTGGTCCCTTAGACTAGTGTAGTCAGAGATTAATGGATTAAAATGCAACACAACGGACTAGCTGCAAGCACGGACTGAACAAGCTTTGAGTGGAGGTGTGGAGTGAGACATTAATATAGTCCGTCGGTCTTGGTCTACTACCTGATGCTACCTACGATCATATGAAAGCGGATATCGAGTCCGAGTCGGTCTCTGTGATCGGACACTACCCCATATTCGAGTTTTGGTCTCAATTGGGGTCATGCTAAATATAGCAGTGGTCTATCGGTTCCGAATTATCTCCCCCGTTGGGATAGATTACATCTAATCTCTTCAACCGTGTTTCAAGGGTTTTTCACCTCCGAAAAACAGATCAAGGTTTAAAGCTCAGATCAGGGGATCACATGTATCTCTCGGTCCGAGGTGAAAGGAGCCGTAAGAATTTACATTGTAAGATTTAATTGGGTGGGCAGAGGGTACTCACCGAAGTGATCGACAGTTGCAGCACTTAGTTGAGCCCTAATGCAATGCGGGGTTTCTGGAGTCTCCAGTTCCTGCCGAGCCCCAATGGTGTCATCCCCGAATCCTGGTGGGGATTAACGATCGTACTGATATGGTAACGAGAGAGGGGAACAATATTCATTGACTCATACGAGCCGATTCAGAGGCAGATTCACATGGACGAGATGTTCCTTCTGTGCAGATTGGGGCCTGGAAGCGGGTATAGCCCAACGAAGCCTCGGGTGCACAAAACAGCCTGGCACACAACACGAAACGATGGAATAGATCGAGTAAACGGAAATCGACGATCCTCAAGCCCAGACCGCTATTGAAGCACATCTAACGCCTACCGAATCAGAGACAAGAGTCCGGAATGTGTAAGGGTCATTCGTTATCCATGGATGTACCTTTAGGTAGGATGTGGTCCCTGTCTGGACTTTGGTACGGGGCCCCAATCTCGAAAGTTGGAAGGCCACACATTGAGATGCCGGCGGGGGTCACATTGTTTCGGAGTTAAATTAACGACATGTTTATCAGGGTCCAGGGCTACATATAAGATAGGACAACGACTGTAGTCGGTGATCTTTTCCATAGACCAACACCCTCTTCAAGCTCTTAAAGATCTCTCCCACATAGTCACTCGCTTGCAATCCGAACATTCAGACACATAAACAAGATGCGTTTCTTCAAGTACCTCGTTTTTGCTGCTCCCCTCGCCCTTGCCACTCCCGCCCCTAACCCGGTAGCTGCTCCCGACGGCGGCCTTCTCTCTCAACTGCCCGACATGCTCAACGCAGTCAAGGAGCTCTTAAACCCAGACACTCTTGACAATCTCCAAGTGATCGTCAAAGGTGGTGCTGTTCTTCTGGGTGGAGACACCCCGAAGAACCTACAGAGATTGGTTTCCAGTCAAAACATTGACAAATTACAGCATGTCATCGACAATGCTGAAACTCTCCTGACTCCTAAGTTCGTAAATGAGACGACTTCTCTCATTGATGATGCTGCACCAGTAAGCCGGAGCCGAAGATCTTTACTACGAGTCTATGCTGACGCCTCTTTTAGCTCGTCGATAATGTGTCGAAACTTCTGGGTGGACTTCTTGGAGCCTTGGTTTAGTGATTTCGCGGAATAGCGCTTCGGATTGATGATATTTATGGCTTTGTTTTGTCTTTCAATTAGTTTTCTAGATACCTAGATGGTAATCTTAAGTGTCTATTGATCTCTCTTGTGCTTTAAATTTTACCTCGCATAGCATTCGTGAGAAAATCACAGCCTCGTTTTTTCGGTGCAGTTGTTTTGATCATCTCTGTAGCGTGCCGCGCATGCTAAAATTGCGCTTATTCCTTATATTAATCTGACAGGGATCCAAGTACAAAACAAGTTATTTTAGCTCAATATTAATCTATATGTTATATTAGACGCAGGTGCACGTGCGTGAAAGGATTTTCACTCTATCTTTATCTCATTAATCCCACTCATCAATAACATTGAGATAACGTTTCGAATACATGAGTGGATAACATGGATTCATGCATTACCAAAATGATAAGAACAGAAGTACAAAACAGCTACACGACGTTCAAACTCTTTCGTAATTCTTCCAAATAATACCGCAATGGGTATCCTCGCGTCGATGTCGGCAACGCAGGGTACACCGCTACCGAAAACCCCATCGTCGTCCGATACAAACCTCGAGTACTAAATGTAGACTTAAGCCCGTACGCCTCCCGGATCCGCGGTGGTAACATCTCGATCGTAAGGACCCGTAAGAATGGCTTCAACACTGACACAAACCGCGGGTAATCGTTCCGATTCAAGAGGTCTTGTGCGAACTTGTGTGCGTCCGCCGTGACAGTCAATTGCTCAATCTGATCATCCCAGTACCTCCAGAACGCCTGCCGGTTCTCCGGCCAGGTACCGGGTGGGAGCCCCATGGAGTGCATGATTACCGTGAACTCCGCATACGCCTTCTCAGCTGTGCGGTAGTTGACAAGTCCGTAGACTCGCTGGTAGAAATCAGTCGCGGTCGCGTAGAGCGTCGCTGCAACCCAGAGCTGGGTCGGTCGGTGAGAGGAGAAATTCTCACTCCCGCGAAGGGGTGGTTGCCCATGGTTTAGCAGCTCCAGTAGAGTTTTCTTTTCTTTTCGAGTGCCAAATACCAGGCAGGCAATGTAGCTGAGATTAGCCTGGAGGGCGTCGCCTAGCTCTGTTGCTAGGTTAATTCTGCTACCGTTGCTGGCATGATGGGTATCGCTAGTTCTGTCTCTGATTCCGGGGAAAGCCGCTTGGAGTAGCAAAGCGGATCCTGATCCAGCAAATAAAATACCCTCCTGGAGGATCTGGGGAAGAATTTCAAGTTGGTCAAGGGCATCTAGTCGACTGGCGTCGGACGAGTCTGATGGTGCCTGAGAAATTTCGTCGGGGGACTTTTTCTCGTCGAAGGGCATGGTGAAAGTATTTTTGATGGAGAATAAGGGGCTTTTGGGCTGGTCTCGTAGAATTATGTACGGGTGTCGCGGGTCTTTGCACTATTGACGACTTAGGGTTACAGGATCACCACACCTTACCCAACTGCACATGCACGACAACCTCGCCTTCGGAGGTCTGTCGTACATCAATCCTCTTATCTCTGAGCTTTATGATGCAAATCAGTTCCCGGTTGATTCCCTTGTTTTCCTCACTTTCCCCGCATCTCGAAGAGGCAGTCCCTCCGTCCCCAAGGTTTGTCCCTTGGCCAGGTGGATCCTCCTGGCCCAAAGCTTAGGTCCCATCCTAACAACCGCGGTTTCTCAATAGTTCGTGTCGATCCTCATCCAACTTCCGCATGTGAACTCGTGTGTCTAAAATGAGGTCGCCATCATTGGTCATAACACCCCCCTCGCCGCGATCGACGGCATCGAATTGCCGATCCTTGCGGAGTGATACCAAGGTCGAAACCATCGTTACTCCGGAATCCACCACTTTGCGTTTACACCCTCGACGCGAAAAACTTTAGGACAGGGATCCAGATTACACTTAGTTAGCTAGCCATATATTAAATCATACACTCCTCGACCATATATCTTCACCCTTTGGACGAGCTCGACGTATCCAGCCCTGCTCCCCGTGGATAGGCGACTGGGCGCAGCCATGGAAGAGAAGAAATCTTATCTCGGTTCCAAAGCCGCCAAATATGCCTTGGGCATCCATCGTGGGCCGCTTCCTCAAGGCGATGATGAGGACTACACAATTGAACATGTCGAGACCGCAAACACCATCACCTTAGAGAAGAAGGAGAGGACGAGAGCTGAGCGAGCGCGCCGACATTGGGCTCGATTTTGGTGTTGCTATATCTTTTGGAGCATCATCTTCCTGGCCATTTTCTTGCCTATTTTGTAGGTGCTCCACTGTAAGATCGACGTTTCAGAATGACTGATTTTTGCAGCTTCACAATCGTCATCCCGGCCATTGCCCAAAGAGTGGTCGACAATTCATCACTGGTACTCACCGAGGCGAGTGTCTTGCAGCCACGACCTGATTCAATCATGCTTAGCTTGAAAACCGCGCTGAAACTGCCCATCGGGGTTCCGGTACGCATCGATCCCATGGCGGTCAGCCTGTTCAATCGCAAAGAAGAGGGCAATGGGACCTGGGCTATTGTCTATCTCGACGGTACGACGATCAGTGGCAACACCACCCTAGGAACCGACAACCAATTCACCCCCTTGGGTGTAGAGCAGTGGAAAAAGTATGTCCACAGTGTGGTCTTTGAGAAGAACGCCCCGTTGTCGGTCTATGGCAAAACCCAGGCATTCCTGGGCCAGTTAAAAAACCATGTCACCATGGACAAAGATATTCATCAAAACAGTATGTCCCCAAATATTCACATTCTAATACTAGACTAACTGACGTCGTAGCCCTCGATTCGTTTGCTGGATTCACCATCGCGGACCCTCAACTCCTTCTCCCTAAAAGGGCCGATGGGACCAACTTAATCGCCAACGCCACCTTGCCTAACCCTTCGGTCATGACCTTGGAAATTGTGTGTTTAATTATCCATCATAAAGCAATTGAAAATTGCTGACTGAGTCAGGGAAAAACAATCCTCGATCTCAAAAGCGGTGACCTCGTCATCGGCAATGCGACTATCGACAATCTCGTTCTCAAACCAGGCAACCACTCGACACCAGTTCACGGCATAATAGACATCCGCCTCTTACTCAAGAACCTCTTAACTATCCTGCAGACACAGGCCAGCTCCATCAAGAACGGATATCTCACTCTCACTACCGTCGGCAAAACCGTCATCTACGATGGAGTCGAAGTCCCGTACTACACTGAAGTAATGAGAAATCTGACCATGTCAGCCCAGGTGCCTCTCGGTGGGTTAATCACAAACACACTACGGGGGATTTTACACGGTGACGGCGGAAGCAATATCTTCGCAAATCTTACCGACAACTTGGGCTCGAGTAGCGGGGGCGGGTTACTGGACTCACTGCTCGGTTCCGATAAACGCGTGAGTGATCTGCTGACTAGTCGCGCTGTGGATGACATTTTGAATAATCCCGAGAAGCGCTCGTCGATGATTAATATCCTTGAGGGGTTTCTTTAAATGATGATTCATGATGTATATACTGGTTTCTACGATGTTAAGGGTGGCGTTCGGTTTCTGATATGATTTTATATGATAACCCTATTGCGATCTGGTTGGTTCATGATAACCTGACTATGATAATTTAAATGTCTAAAGTATGCAGTAAATAACATATATCAATTGACATTAATTATCTGATTCACTCTAATTGACTGCGAAGAATCATCATACATCCCTCGGCATACCACGTACCTTTATATCGAACGTCCTCGATCCGCGGTTGCGAGCTGTCCCAGCCTCTTTCTACCTTAAGTTTAGTTAGTTTCTTGCCTGCATGCTTCTGCAGCCATTTCAGGGAAGATATGCGAAACTCCGCTGTCAGTTCGCAAAGCGTAAAGAAGCAAGTGCCACCTTATTTTGCGAGGTACGCCTAATAATGAAATGTCTAGAAAATGACGCAGCCCTGCAGGTCGCTATCGCTATTTTGTACGTATATCAGGGATTTTTTGATTATTTCTTTTCTCTCAGCGTTGACATCCTGCAGGATTCCAGCAGACAGTGGGCCGAATTGCCGAAAATGCAGAATTTCACATTATATACAAGCGGAATGTCTAGGAACAGCAATATGTTCGCTACTACGGTTATATCGGCTGATAGTAATAACGCCATGAAATTATTATTATTCTATAGTCTCCTGTGTACTCGGTGTTGCAAAACCGAGGTTAAGGTAAACGATTACTCTGGAGACACGTGCAGGTCCCTTCATATCTTTTTACACGCCGACGAGAGCCCAGTAGACTTTGTGGCCAAAAAAACTTGCTTGCTTGGCTCTCAGAGCTGCAGCTCATTTTCTTCTTTGGAGCGATTTGGAGCTGTATCCATCTGGACACATCGTTTTCAACATGTGCAGCCGTCTCTCTAATTTGCCAACTGCCTTTCGCCTACGTACTTGGTTGTTGGTTCCCATCTTTCCTACCTTAATTTCTAAGGCTTTAGAACCACTTTCTACGGCTGTAAGTGACACACCTCATCTTTCCCCCCTAAAGTCCCGTTCGCGTCCAGGAGTTGCTGAGCAACATTCTAGCATGTACTGGCGCCCTTTGACTACATATGCTCGCTTCAATCAAAAGGGGTACGAAGTCAATTGATCGATGCCCTTAATGTTTGGATCCAGGTCACACCAGAGAGTTTGAATTCAGTGAAGTCACTCGTAGGCGCCATCCACAATATTTCTTTGATGTAAGTGCTCACTTGCGCGAAACGTCTTTTTATCTTCCCTCCTTGCCTCTTTCTTCCCCGCTAATCTCGAGGCCCATGCTCCTATTTACATTTGATTAGATCGATCGTCGAGTTCTGGAACGGGGCTTTCGATATTCTTGACAGTGACAACAGAGAGAATCATCAATTGCTCGACAAAGATCTTGTGGACGATAACCTTCATGGCCATGACTCTGGCAAGTGCGGATGCAGACAATCCAGCGGGACTGAGATGTATACCAGCTTAGGACGAGCCATTTCTCAGAGTCATTACCCATACTTCTCTCTTGAACTGTCTTTCTGTCGATTCCTTTGTTGGCACTCTGTACACATCCTTCGGCAGCACGAATGGAGACCGAGCAATGAAATACCTGAGAAGTGTCTGCCGGAGCTTGAGAACAAAAAGTGAAGAAGCCGATGAAAATGCATAGGTGATCTCATTGGACATGACGAAGTTGCTCTTGAATGCCCTTTACCAACTACTGACCAGCGTCCGACGCGCTCAGTTTCGCGATGAACTTCCCGCGCTGCTCGACTTAATCCGCGACCTGGCCTTCAAAATGACCGAAATATGCTCGAAAGACGACCTTGACGGTGTACAAATCAAAATAGAAGCAATGCAGAACCTGATAGCCAGAGCTAACCACAGCCTTGTCACACCCCGGGCGCGTGAGGAAGCTCCCCAGATACTGGGTCGGCCTTGTCGTCTTTCCAATGGATATACATACCTGGCGGGAGACACGACAACGACTTCGCAGAAATCTATCAAGTTTAGATCCTTCCTACTCACGCAGAGATTGCCAGCGGGCAATTCAGATATCTACCCTCTACCAACTTTCTTCAGCCTCACTTTCGCGCTGACTCTTCGCAAAGATATATTGACTCAACATTTCGACTTCTGCGCCATGATAAGTTCAGCTCAGCCAAGGATATCCTTCGAGATCTGCTGTAGTAGAATGATTTGACACGAATTCCTTGTCTCTCAGTCAAGGATAGCGGGGCACATTTCTACCTGGGAGCACAGGTCCAGCAAATATTTGTCAATGAGAGAAATGAGCTCGAAGCCACTGTATCCTTTTCTACCCATCAAAACTCTGCAAAAGAACCTTTAATGAGCAATGCAAATGGTGGCAAGACTCCAACCGACTAGAAGAAGGAAGCCTTCTGTCCTTCTTGATGTCCCAAGGAACTCATAGAAGACTTATTTTCCTCGAGGTCACTGTGAAGAATGCTTCCAAGGACTGAGCGCACCAAACCAAGAGTAGGCTTGTTTCTGACAGGTTTGCACATAGTATTACGGTCAAGCTCGCTGCATGCCCACGATGACAAGTGACCCTCCTTGGCCAGCTCTACAGCGAGAAGCTCACCGGCATTCTGGTCGGTTTCTACTGTTTGATCCCTGCCATGTTCGTCCCAATCCAGAAAATTCTTCAGCGAATCCAACGCGGAGGGATTTGGCGTTCCGAACATGGTTCTTGCCAAGCCGTCAGGACGATGATGGTCACAGGATACTCCCACCGGCGTACGCGCGGAGACCGGGATTTATCTTTCCCCTAACTCCAATTACAAACGTTGGAGTTGATAGTGTTGCACATGTTGTGAGCCAACTCTCGATCAAGAAAACTATAGAGCTTCATCTGCGGAATAAATTCCGTATGGAAACAGATTGATTGGAAATCAACCTGATGTTCATGTTGTATATAAACCCTCAAGTTTACGATGAGAAAATGTAACAATCAATCTTCCTCTGAATTATTACAATTTCACTAACGCCACGACGGTATAGGAACGGATTTCTGGGCGCAGAGGGAGGAGAAGATTTACAGAAGTGGTGGTACTTCTTCGGTCCCAAGGATCTATCACAAGTCCTCTGTGGAAGTGTAACTACACCATACTACCAGCATGAAGATAGTGAGGCTGTTGAGAGGTCAGTTATGGATATGAGGACACTGTCGAAAACCTTAAGAAACAAACTAAGTCAGGCAGAGGGATTTGAAGGAACGGTAGGAGTGACCTTTTACACCTATTTAAAAACTATGGCTCCGGAAAAGCTTTTCGGGAATGCGTTAATTAAGAAGATGATTTTGGGGGCAGCTTTGCGGAAGCTTTCATCGTGGTGATATCGCTACATGAGCGGTACTATACGAACGTAACTTGGCGACATAGACGATGCAAAGGCATACTATGCATCTAAGCTATGGAGTAGAATAATAAATAACCTATGAGATATTGAGTCCCGCGAACTCGACTAGGTAAACTAAATATCTAACTGTGCATCCGACACCCAGTGCGAACCTCCGGCACACCGATACCCACCGCTCTGCTTAATCCATCGGTACCCCATAACACATACCCCCATTTGTCTCAGTTTCCTCTGCGTTTGAGCTTCTTTTCTCCTCTGCTCTTCGATCTGAGCTTTCTTCTTGCGTAGCCTCTCTAGTTCCTCTTCTTGCGCTCTTCGTTCGATTTCGCGGTGGAGGCGTTCTTTTTCATAGGCTCTTTTTATTGCGGAGTCATTTGCCGAATTATCTTCAGCAGTTTTGTGCTGTTGCTTGAATGCATCTTTAAACGTCTGCATGCCTTGAAGAAGATGATGATATACTTGTTCTGACTGCTGTGCTTTGAGCTTGTCAAGTTGTAGCTCGTTCCATATCTCATCCGATACTCCAGCATCTCGTGGAACAGTCGTGTTCGGAGTGGATGTTATTGGTTCATTTGGATCAGGATCTGGCGACTGTGCTAGAGTATATATATTCGTAGCCGTTGTCGTACTTGTAGAGACACTAGCCTTCATTCTGGGTTCAGCTGTATCTTGTGTATCCGTGGCAATTGGAAGATGGTTAACAACACGACCGGCATGACTATGACCAACTCTCGATTGACTCGAACGTTCTTTAACCATCTGGCCCATCTGTGTCAAAATATCACTCTCTGTAAGGACCACTCTTCCAGCACCAATATTCTGAATTACTTTGGCGAAGATCTTCTTGGTCAGATCCTGGATATCTCGCGCATTAGCCCAGTTGGGGGTTTGGCAGAGTTCTTCAAAACAAGAGTGCATCTTCCAACGTAAATCAGCGGGTAGGTGTTCCAGAATGCCAATGTTGAACTCCTTCCCCTTTTCTCTCAAAGTATCTCTCTGCTTTCTAAGTAAGGTAATCAACAATGTGATTGATGCATTGGGATCAAGCCCGTGAAACACAATAGACTCCGGAAATCGACTCGTCAACCCCGGATTAATATCCATGAGCCGATTAATGTCCTCTTCATACCCAGCTAGAATAATGATCAATTTTTGTGCATACTTAGGATGGGTAATACAAGCGACGATCTCATCAATAGCCTCTTTGGCAAATTGCCCCTTAGCCAGTCTGTATGCTTCATCAATGAGCAGGACTTTACCCAGTGATTTCTCGAGTACTTCCTGTGTTTTGGGGCCTGTCTGTCCGCTGTATTGGCCAACAAGGTCTGTGGCCGACGATTCAATCACCTCTGTTGTAGAGAGGAGGTTCATTGAGTAGTATAGTTGGCCTATCTTGCGGGCTGTAGTTGGTTTGCCAGTTCCTGCTCATCTTGTTAGTATATTGCTAGCAAGGGCAATCGGGTATTTGGTGCACCTGGAGGCCCACGAAACAAAAAGTTGAATGGAGCCTGTGTTCGTGGATCCAAATCCAGTACCCTCATTCCATGAACAATACGACAATATTCTTCCATCTGAGCAATGATCTTGTCACATCCAACGGTTCCTTGAAATAATTTTGTAACATTGCCCTCTGCATGTTGTCCACGATCATAATCCTCATCAAAATCTTCAGGTAGAAATGTCGACGATATGCGTGATTGGCCAGTATTGATTCTCTTCTGGTGACCAAGCTTGGCTCTATTCAAGAGGATATCAATCTCACCAGCGTTTCCAAAATGAGATCGATCCCGCGACCTTCTGAGAACATCCATAGCAACTTTTCTTCCAAGGCTGGTCGTATCAAAGCCTTGCTGCCTCAATTTTAGGTCAAAGATCTGGCCCATCTCATCGTCCGTGAAATCATGAAATGTAAAGGCAGTATCTAGAGGAAACCGTCGGGTGAGTCCTGGGTTGACATTCTGGAACATCTCCTCCATTTGGTCTTTAAATCCAAGGAGTAAGACGCAACGGTCGTCGCCAGGAGTGCTTTGTATTTCTGCGACGATTGTATCGACGACCGCGGTTTTGAATTGGTTCGTTTGAGAGCCCATTTTATCCTTTGTGCCTCCTCCGAAGAGGCCATATGCTTCATCAATGACAAGGACTTTGCCGACAGTTGATGCGAGGATACCCTTTGTGTTCTTTTCTGATTCACCGAGCACACTTCCCACGAAGTCCGCTGGGTTTTTAACAATGACTGACAAATTAGTACAATTTGCCTCGTATTTATGGATTTGTCACTCACCCTCTCCATTGGACAAAAAGCCAATATCAACCAGAATCTGTCCATATAGTTTGGCAATACTCGTCTTTCCAGTTCCCGGAGACCCCAGGAACACACGATTCAAGGTGAATTCCACCAGTGGTTTCTCTTCTAATTCACGATGATAATTATACTGTATGCTATCCAAGAATGCCTTGATACTCTTCTTGACAATATCAAGTCCTATCATTCTCTGTAGTTTCTGCCACGCAGTGCAGTTCTGTAGAGCCTCTGATGGCTCAGGGCCAATGAGATCTTCTTTCGTTAAGAGCATATCATCCGCTGAGGCATTTTTCTTTCTTTCCCTTTTAAGTCGAGTCGCTTGTCTGTCGTATATTCTTGAGCAGACGTTCTGGATAGCACGCGCATTACCGAATCCTTCATTTCCACGCCCTCGGCCGATGCGACGAGACACAATGCGGCTGTAGAGACCACCCATGCCACCTTCTAATTTCATCCGGTTCTGATATGTTTGATTGACATTAAATTCGAAGATCTGAAGCAGTTCATTATCGGTGTAGTCCTCGAATTTAAATTCATGTGGAAATCGACTCGGTAGGCCAGGATTATGCGCGAAGAACTTCTCCATATGCGTGCGATACCCAGCCAACACAACCGCCATTTTTCCCGTTTGATTCTCCACTTCTGCTAAGAGAAAGTTCATGACTTGTGCCCCTTGGGTCTGGCCTTCAGTTAGCTGGTATGCCTCGTCAATAAAAAGGACTCCACCGCCGCTGTTGAGAATAGTGTTGATCTTCTTTTGGCAACCTGGTACGCCTTCGTTCGCGAGGATTGAACCACTTGTTTCTACAAAATAGCTTCCAGGGAGGACTCCAACTGCACCGAGAAAGTTTGCATAGAGCCGGGCCACTGTTGTTTTGCCTATCATAGGTGAGATTTTTATATCTATTCCTTAACCAGGATGCTTACCAGTTCCTGGATTCCCAATAAGGACAGAGCCAAACCGTTCTTTGCTCAGATCAACGCCCTGCCGCAATGCCGTATCAACTCGAGTTTTGATGGTAAGAAACTTGTCTTTAACTTGCTCAGGTCCGATCATAGCCATCAGCTTGTCAATACTGTCACTGCGCGCGCCTAGAAACTGTTTCTGATAATCCCATTCGTCCTTTGCAGATAAATTGTCTGGCATGGGCTCTGGCGGAACTGGCTGCGCTGGGTTATTTTTCACAGCTTTATCTGCCTCCTTTTTAGTAGAGAGTAGAGGATGAGTACTTGATGAGATTACGTTGACATTGCTGTTGCCGTTGCTGTTTGTTGCTGAGGTATTGGTACCCCCGGTTGTAAACATATCTATCTCGGTACTGCCCTTGTTTGAAAGATCAGTAGACCTCAAACCTTGGAGATCATTCCGATGTTGTGCCAGAACTCTCTGCCGATCTTTGTCCTCCCGCCTTTCTCTCCGTAGTCGTCTCTCGTGGGAAATTTCATCCTGTAACTCCGCCAACTCTCTCATATATTCTCTCTGTTTTCTCTCTCTCTCCAGCTCGAGCTTCATGTCTCTTTTTTTCTTGGCTTCCTTGGCTCGATCCTCAGAAATGCATGGTGGACATGCACCGTTGGCCTGGAAGCAGAGGCAGGTTATTTTATGACCCCGAGAACAATTCCATTCCGTGATTTTTTGGCATTTCATTTTGGAGTGATCAGAAAGTTGGTGGCATTTGTATGGGCAGGTGTGTACTCTACAGGCCAATTTGACGCCACTATGTTGATGTTAGCTAGCTGGAACAATATATCGGAGGCGAGGGGAACTCTTACCAAGGCAATAGACACCCTCCATCCGGACATTCAGTATCAAACTCCTCTATCGTTTTAATTATTGCGGTCCTTGTCGGATGCTGTTCGCATTTCACTGGTAACCCATCATACAAGTGTCCTTTTTCTTTAAGATTATTCACGAACGGGGTCCAGACATCCTTTCCCTTTCGACCTTTCCCTTTCGACTATTGATGAAGGTCTTGACATTTCCAACCATGATGAGTACATTTCGAGCACGAGATAAGAGAACATTCAGTCGTTGGGGTGCTGCCATAAAGCCGATGTCGCCGGCATTGTTACTGCGAGTTAGAGTGGATATGACAACCTCACATTCCTCACCTTGGTAGTTGTCTATTTTTATTAGCATCGTACAAATGAAGGGGATAGTTCTTTCACTTACCTATAGTTGATAGGCGAATCGCTCGCTTGGAATGATCTGCACTAGCCTGTGAAAGCAGTCCAGCTTTAACAAGATCATGAGAGTCCAAGTCATTTAACACAGGGTCATTATCCTTTTTTAGCCGATCCCTCAGGAGATGTAACTGTCCCAGATACGGTGTCAGTACAACGACCTTGTCAGTTCCATACCCCTGCTGTCCTAAATATTTGACAATTTTCAGAACGACTTCCACCTCGAACGGATTTGTTTTGCTCTCTTTTGTCCCCTCGTCTCGACGGTCAGAGACTTGAGCGAATTTAGTCTCGGGGTTTTCATGATGAAAGAAGATCACTCGATCCTGCAATCCGCGAGGAGCGGGACGAGAGAATGTGGCTGGTGCATCTTCTAAATCAGGATAGGTTAGACTTCGCACCAAGAAGGAAATCTCCGGACACATCCGGTGTTGTTTAGCTAGCGTGGAATGGGGGTATCCGGCCAGGACGAGTCGTTCAAACAAGGATCGATTAAGGTCATATCCATCACCCTTTTCTACCGATAAAGCGTAGTTGTTGATCTTCGGCCGTAGCTGCTGGTGATCTCCAATCAACACTAACTGCTTCGTTTCTGAATTTATGGCCGCCAGAACATGTGACTCCAGTATTTCACCAGCTTCTTCGAGTAGAACGATCCCTGGAGATACTGCACGAATGTCTTCGGTGTACATGGCGGCGGCGGTGGTAGTGCATCCGATAATGCGTTTGGACTTTAGAATGGAGTTTGTTCTTTGGTTCCAAACTTTCTCTATATGTTTTTGACACTCATCCATGTGTCGCGTGGATTCGTTTAGACTAGTGACTTGTTCTTCAAGGATTTGAAGAGACCATGTGCGGATATACGCTTGACGTGTGGGTGTATCCATTGACCAGATGCGATGAGAGTCTTCAGAACAGTCTATCTTGAAGAAGTTGGGTTGTTCTCGTCCCCTTGACCAAAGATCATAGAGATAATTCGAATCGACTCCTTTTCCCTTCTCACCGACGATAGACATGCCTTCATTCTCCGGTGGCATGAATGCATTGTAGAAAGACGGGTCCTCGAACTCAAGGAACTCAAGCATCGTGCGTGCATCAACTTTGAACTCGGCATATGTATTGGATGCTAGCGTCAACCGCTCCCTAGTGTCCGCCGCTTCATTCTTATACTTGTTAATCACGTCCCAAGTATTTCGAGTGTGTCTATACGAGGACTTTTGAGCGGATAGTCTCAGAGGTTGGGTGCGAGTGGTGGATTTCGATCCGAGTCTAACGATTGATGACGAGTTGATTCCAATGTCTAGGAGGTCTTCAAGAAACTGATCTAGTGCATGGTTTGTATAACACATCACGAGAATCGCCTCTTTGCTGTGATCATGGAACATCTTGGCTAGTAATGCCCCAATAAAGGATTTTCCAGTTCCTAGGAAGTCAGCTTCGTATTGAAATCCTGGAAAGAGGGATTACCTGGAGGTCCTTGTATGAGACTAACCGTCTGCGTCAAGCCAGAAACAAACGATTGAAGCTGGGTGAGGTCAAGTTTCACTGGACTTTTGGTACCAACGAGAAACTGAATATTTTCGTCTCCCGCATTTCGTATGTTTTGCACCATGTCGTCTGGAATGAGGCTGGATTCCTGCGCAAGCCCATCTCGTTGATATTCGAGCAATTCTCGCGACAATGGCAGATCTATTTTATCTTGAAGGCATTTCAAGATCGGTTCATATGCAAAGACCGCAGCATCAACAAGCAAGAACTGGATGTCATTGTAGAGCTTAAACGCTGTCAATGTCTTCTTCATTGCTTGGTCTCCCAAAACCCGCAGGATAACTATCGGTATGTCAAGACAGAGTTGATCGACATTCCGATCCAGAGTGGCAAATGCGATGATTTCTTTATTACGAAGCAGGCATCCAAATGAATTATGTCTGAGAAAGTTACAGTTCTCATTTAGGAATGTCTTTCGTTCGGTAGCTGAGCGAGTAGAGAGAGGGTTAAGTCCCTTTGCGCAGGAAATCGCTAGTGAACAAGGGCGAAGGCGCTTATCATCGCCGCAAGAAATGTCCACAATGGATAGTTTCTGAAGTAAAGATGCACCTCCTTTTCCTTTTTTCTTTCCTAGGGCTATCTGGATGTCATCACGGAGTTCAGATAACATATCCTCTCGCATAAGTCGAAACTGATTGTCCAGATGGGCTGGGATGCGTTTTTCGCGGGACAGTTCTGATATCTCGTCCATGCGACGATAGAACGGCTTCTCAGTCGATGCGAACTCATGGGCTGTTGGGTATATGGCGACCGTTCGAAAATCTGTAAAGTCATTGTCGTGTCGCCCACCGGGTGCAAAGTCGGGTTTAAAGGGGGCATTGTTCGATTTAATTATCAACATGTTTTGAATTTTATATGCCAATGATCGGATTTGTGGAGATGAAGAGAGAAACATATATCCATCGTCGAAGATTTCCTGGGCGTCATCTTTGATATCGATGCTCGATGAGGGTGGAAAGGAGAGCAACTCGACTACCATCCAGGCCAAGGCGTGGATACTAGATTCCGATAATTCCCTTTTCTTAAAACAATCGACGAATGCTGTCCATAGCATCTTTAGCTCCACAATGAGTGTCAAAAGGTCTTGCAGGAATTGACCATTGCAAAGCTGTTTGATAGCTGGATCAGCAAGATAGAGAAGGAATGGCGTAGTATACTGGTTAATAAATTATGGGGTGATGTCAAACCGCAATCCAGCATGGAGAGCGGTACAAGCGGCAGGACTGGCGATGATGTGCTCAATACACAAAGAAGGGTTTGATTGATCCCGAATAGATTCTAGAAACAGCTTTAAATTATTGACATTGATAATGGTTCTTTTTCCCTGGAGAATCAAATTAAAGAATTTGAACAGTTTGGCTGAGCATTGCGACATGGCGACGATAGATTATAGAGACAACTGATTGTAAAAGAGGACTTCGTTCCAAGTCATCTAAAGGTTGCTGATATTTATGCCAGGAAGAGCGGCTTAGCCTATCAGGCCGTGGCAATACAAGGCAAGAAAGAATCATTCACAGCCAATGGACCATAGACACTTGTTGATGCACTGTGCCGCACTTCATCAACAAAGGAGCATTACAGGGCTTTTCGTGCTTTGGTCATTGTAGCCTGTAGTGCATTGCGGTATTTAAATGGGATAGTCTCCTTGCTTAATTGCGAAACTATCATTTATCCATCATGCAATCTCCCAGGGCTAGATACAGTCGCTGGCAGGGAGGAGGCAGAGGAAGGAACAGTCCATGGAGAAGACTAGATGTTGCTCAGCCACCTTCTCCTCGACTAGGTCCTGTCTTGACGACTATCGCAATTGATGATTTGCCTCTTTCAGTAGATAATTGGAAAATTACTGAATGTCGTGATATTGCATCATACAACTGGTTGAATCGAAAGACTGCAACAATTATGATCCCAGGTGTGTACATAAAGGAGAGACCAGGCCATATCTAACTCTACGATAGGGAAACCACCTGCCTGGACCCCTTTGACTGAACCGACCAAACTCAAAGAAGACGCGGGCCTCTACTTTCGAGACCAGAATGCCGCGCGATACCCCTCCCATCCCTTCCAGCCGGCAATCGAGGCGATCTTCGAAAGGTATCCGGACTTCCCCACTGCTGATATTGACATCGTGGGCTGTGGTAGTACATTGGGGAATCTGCTGCGCTTTACCAGCAATATCGACAAAAAGTTTCGATTTGTCGTGCAATGTGTTGGAAAAACAGTGTTCTTCATCCGCAGAGAGAATTCGCCCACTCAGACGATTCCTAACGTTCGGGGGTATGGTCATGCATTCCCAGAGGTTTATACCACTTGGGATGCAGAGGTCAAAGGATCCGAGTCGCATCAGCGAGTTATTCAGTATTCTCTTGGAGGGTTGAACTGTGTTGTCCGGTTCGAGGCGGATGGGTACCACCCTGACTTAATCCCCCAGAAAGACCAAGTAAAGAACACTATTACAAGTGACAGTGCTAAGGAGGACGAGAAGTCGGTCGATCAACCCCTATCTGCTTTCAATGATAACTCAGTCAGTTCATATCATTTAACGGATAAGGCTCTGACCAAGGAGATTGGAGGAGGTTACATTCCCCAGGCAGCCATATTTGACCTCAAAACTCGTTCGATCCGCAGAAAGGACCAGGACGTCCTAGGGGAACAGCTACCTCGTTTGTGGATTTCCCAAATTCCCAACATAGTCCTTGCCTTTCATCGTTTTGGGGTGTTTGAAGAAATACAAACGACTGATGCTCGAGAGATGATTAAAAATTGGGAAACGGAGGAGGAAGACAACCTACGCAGGCTGGTGGCATTGTTGAATATGTTGACAGCCTTTGCGAGGGGACAGCCAGATGGGCGATTGGAAGTGTTCCACGATGAAGGCAGTTCCGTCCTGGAGTTGAGGGTGGTTGGGGATAATGTCAGCAACGCTCTGCCGGAGGAGGTTGAAGACAGATGGATTTTGAATCATTGATTCAAGAGAGAAAATATGTGGGCCTGATCTGGAGGCTCTGTCGAGTGCAAGCCACTCGGGTTGGCTCTGATTCCGACACGTCTATGCCGCCTGTCCTGCCTCGAAGCGTAGATAATGTCGGCATTCTCGATATACTGGTAATCCTTTTAGTCTACTTGTCCCGTATTTGATTATCTACCCAATTCAAATTTTCTATTATCCTACTATCAACCTACGAGTGAACATTTTGTAGTGATTGACTAAATCTGGAGGCCCCGGTGAGGGGAAACCTGACATCCCATATCCATCTTCCATCGCCACTTATTATCCTTTCTCCTTCCTCGATTACCGGCATTATCGAAAATGATCCACGCAAATGAGTTTGGTCGTCATATAAAGACAGAATGCCGCTGCCACACTTGTAATCGCACCTTTTATATGTCAGAATACCTAGCTCGATGCACCCAAGATAAGGCATCTGTGTGTGCTGTTTGTGGGGAAGTTGTATTCCAGGAGGTACGATAGATATTCTTATTTAAGCGTCCTTTCTGCTAGCGAATAGTTCTTTGTTGATGTGAAAGAGCAATGCCTCTCCCATCGCAAAAAGCAGATGGGATGTTGATGTTCACACATATATCCCTATCCACTCAAGGAACAGTGCAGTCAGTAATGATCTAGTTAACTGATGAGCGTGGATAACTCCTATTTAGACCTTTAGTCAGTGTTTGTATTTGTTCTTCATTCTGTTTGACAATGCGTACAGAATCAAATATCTGATTATTAGGAGATGACTTTGACATCTTCTATATTTCTACAGGCGCTTATCCGACAGGTGATATTGCATATGGCATGCTCGGCTTCTCCCATACGGTCGACAACGTTAATCCACCAGTAGGTCACTAAGAGTTCGCTACATGTAGTACCATCTGTCAGTGGATAGCTTGGTTGTATTAGAATACTGATGCTCATCCAACAAAAGAGGAAATTCCTACATCATATATGCTTTACCCGAGATTACGAATGAGTAGTCCTGCAAACATCTCAAATCTTATTGACAACTATATTCTTATGCAGCTTTTTGTTGACACTGTACGCAATTGTTCAGATGGTTTCTCCATTGTTTCTACATTAGCCCCTTCCTTTCTGTACAACCAAATTCTGGTTTCTCCCGACGGCAAGCAAGCGAGAAGTCATTTGAGGATGGGGTTACCCCACCAACATACTCTTTACCACGAAACCCCGAGAAGTCGCAAGGGGCATGCAATAACTGTCTGCATATGTGCTAGGAATGCATAATTCGTACTTTCACCTGAAGCCCATCTGTAAGTAGCTTTCCTAATCGGGAAGTTATGGCACCTTCAGATTTTTACTTCAATAAGCAGAATAGTGCCATCCAGGTGAGCACTACTAAACGCTGGTCGTATCAAAGGCTATAGACGCAATCGCAGCAATGATTACAGATAGGTTGCTAACGTACTCGGCATAAGCAGATAACAGATAGGTGGACTCTAACTATTTCAGAGTCTATTCTCTGCACGTACAAGAGCCTCTATCTACAGTAGAACTGCATCATTCAAACCTCACCCCAGTCAGCCAGGTTGTGCTGTGTACCACAGAGGCACATCAGTGACAGTTGTAATTCAGAGGAAGATGAATTGGTTGTTGTTCAGTTCCCTAAGCTTGAGGGTTTATATACGAGTTGAACATCAAATTGTTTCCCAATCAATCTGATTCTATACGGAATTTGTTCCGAATATGAAACTCTATAATTTATTGATCGAGCCTCAATCCACAACAATAACAGCATTTAATGATGCTGAAATCAGCGGCCAATCAAGAATCCAGCTCAGCCATTTTGTACGGGTGCGGTTTACCTCCCTGCATAGCAGTTTCTGTAATATGGCCAATGAAGATAATCCGCGCTTGCCGCGAGAATTGTTCTTTTGCAAGGAAAGTCTGTCTGTTCTCTGCTTGGGGTTTGAAGGAATTCACTATGTGAAAAGCCTATATTTCAGGTTCACTATAAGAATTCCTATTGAATAGGTTTAGGACCCACGATTTTAACCACAATCATTTAGTAATAAATCCTTGGCTTGACAAACAATATGGCTACAGAAGAGCATGTCAGGCATGTTGAAACAATTATCGGCCACACCTTCACGTCAAAGTTTCTTATTCTCCTGGCACTCACGGCTGCAGGGGCGGACAAGGAGAATTACGACGGCAATAGAAAGTTATCACAGCTTGGTGCCTCCCTGGTGGATACGCTTCTAGCTATCATTGTATATGGCACAGGGGTGAATAGAGGTGAGATCAGGTTGCTTGTGCGGAAAAGTCATAGTCATCTTTATACTGATATCCTTCCAGAATGTACTGCAAACCTGAGAAAAGATTTTATCAAGAAAGAGCATTACTCCATTGTAGCGAAACAGACAGGCATCGATAAATGCATCAAAAAGAATGAGCGAACCGAATCAGAATCTCCCGAAGTCCACCGCAAGGCCATCAATGCAGTTATAGCAGCTGTGTTTCTGGATACTTGGGACGTTAGGTCCACTATGCGTGTCACGCTGCGGTAGGAGCTCAAAGGGCCATTTTGAAAGAGACTGAACTAATGCGTCTTTGGCTAAGCGTTTTCATCGACGGAAATCATGGTTTCCGATTACGGACGCTCTCAGCCGAGCCATCTCCCACGATGCAAATCCTTCCATATGTTTTGAACTCTGTAATAGCACGAGAAACTGGTACAATCAATCCGAGTGCATTGCTACTTGACCAGTGCCCGGCAGGCGAAAATACCTCTCCTATAATATACAATCTTCTAGACAGGAAGATATTGACGTCACTCGCCCTCGCGCAGAGCTAACGAGGGTACTAACCTATTATACGAGAGATGCAGCCCTAACCTGGAAAGCGAAAGTGATCTCTCTTGGTGCTTGAACGAGGAATTTTTTTCCTCCGATGGGTCCTTGGTCCCTAGCAACTCGATAAAAAGCCTTAATCCAGATAGTCCAGTGTCTACGGGAGGACCCAGTACGAGAGGCTCCTTAGCTGCGTTAACGCACGATAGTAGCCAATTCCTGAACGCATCGAGCGGCGGTGGTGAAAATAATCAGCCGGCTGCCATCCGCGGGAGCCAGATAGCAAAACGGCGGAGAACATCTGCTAGCTGCTCGGTGAATGAGTTTCAGGCTCAAAAGAGGACGAAAACCACAGCGCAAGGTTTGCTTCCTCTACAACCCACATACTTCAGACAGCGCATCCAAGACCAACTGTTGGGGGTTAAGAATGAGCTCCTCGTAATGCTTGCCATAACCATAGCTAGCCCTCAGCAGATAGTAGCCCTGCGTGAGATTCTACGCAATGAAAGGGCCGGGAAAAGTCTCCAGTCGTGCTTCTTGAGGGGAGGTATTTCCCGAAGGGAAAGAGTTGGGATAATATTAGAGCTAGATAGAAGGCTCTCAGTCACTCAACTTACCCGGTGGTACCACATCATCGACTTGTTTGAAGGATGTGGGGGTCCTAAAACACGTTCCATCACTGGCTATGTGGTCACTACAACGGCCGATTTCCAGTCTCAGAAGCAAGCCTTCGGGAACCCATCCCATAAGGACGATGCGAATGTAGCCCAGGCCATGATGAAGGATATCTTTCCCGATGCGCAGCCGGGTACAGAGGAATATAAGAAAAAGAGCAATGCAATCAAAAGGATCCGAAAGCTCGGGCAGCGGCTACATATCCTTGTGGAGAGATTTGGTCGTGGGGTCCTTGGCCTTATGTTGGGCCTGGACCGGGGAGACAGTGCCAATATGACTATTCCGGATCAAGTGTAAGTTGGGGTCGGCTGTGCACCGTAGCTTGTTAGTCTGATGCCTTTACAGGATTTGAAGCCCGAATGATACGGCATTTGCCGAGTTTGTCAGACTTCTTTCCCTCTCTCAGGGGGAACTCCTTCGCAAATTCAGTAAAGCTATCTTGCCACCTTTGATAGCTCTGCTACATGGCGCACTGGGCGATACAGAGCCCTTCCCTCTGGAGAATGTCGACCCACAGCAAATTTTATCACTGCCCAAGGGCTCCACATCACTTTTGCGCCTGATTTCGTAGCTCGATAGTGAGTCAGTACATCATTTTATGCAATTGAAACTTCCTAAACTATATTAAACGAATATATTGTGTTTGGGATTACAGAGAGAAAAACGTATGCCCAACCTTAGAGAGAGTACTCACGCTGTCATGGCTATAATCACTCAGAACCGGCCACACTTCGCTGATAGAAGGTTCTATAGCAATAATATATTTTGCATATCTTTTCGTTCGCCTCCTCCTATTCTGTACTATCGCTGTTGTGGTATCCTTATAGAGCGCATCTTCCTGCCTAAGGACGACACTACCATGCTCACAAATCCTCAAAGTGGCCCTCAGCCCTTTTTCCGATACCTGCTGCTACGCCTCCTAAGCACCAGTCAGCTCAGTTGACCTCTGACACGGCAACTCGGCCTTTCCGCATCTGCAATTCAAATAACAGTTGTTTTAATCTAGGAGTCGACCGTGGCCGACTTCATTAACACTGCCATCAAAAACGTTCCTACCGCCACACCAGCAGCTAAGAATGCCAGCCTCGCAGGCATAGTCCTTGGCTCGCTAACCAAAGACCCACAGTAGGTAAACGCAAGGATGGGGCATCCTCTATATATGGTGACTCAGGCTCCCTAGAGGCTCAGCAAGAGCTTCTCAATACTATTCTTCAATCTTTCCTCTGCAGCGGATTTATCACCAGCGATGCGTTGACTGACATCCTAACTAGCGGTGTCAATCCCAGGGGCAAGCTGCCCTATCAGTTTACCGCAGTGACAGGATATCTAAATATCGTGTCATGCGTTAGGCACCTTCTTTACTTTTATTTACTGTGTTTGGTTTGTATTGTTTGGCCCACATTGCAGAGCTTTCTTTGTTGTGAAGGCATGTAGGTGTTCTTTCTTTCTTTCTCTTTCCTCTCTCTACACTTGATATTCTGGTAATAAAGTACCATTTTGTTGAGATCCCTTTCCAAAATGACAGGTCAGTCACTTACAGTATCCATCAATTATCCCAGTGTTTTATAGTTTCCGAGTGTTGATACAGGCACAGTGGGTAGTTTGCTATTATTCCATTCCACATACAGATTTATGTCGGTGTCATTTAGCGAGTTATGCAAACTTTCATGTTTCAAATGCAGGGACATCTAATGATATGCTGAAGTGCGGGTTAATGTGAACTGATACTAGTTTATATCTTACAAAGGAGGCTGTGTGGGTATACTAGCCGCACACAACGACGGCATCGAGTTTACGGGCTGACAAGGTTCAGAAGGTTAAGCTAGATGCCAGAGATAATAGAGTCCACGTTGTAACTCCGTGTAAGGGACAAGGGACTATGTTAACAGGGAGTTGAGCGTACAGAGGAGGCCATATTCTTTGTAGGTTAGGACGAGTACAAGACTGGAGGATTTGTGGCGGGTCAATCTTACAGTTCTTCGGTAACCTACCTAGAATCTCAAGTCGATAGATCAATCAATTAATCAACGGCTCAAGATTTCAATGAGCTTGCCGGACAATTGTTGGATATACTTGCTGTGCAGCCGCCAGTGAGGCAGAATATATACTTTTGAACCGAGTGACCCTCAAATCGGGACATAGGAAACAGCGAAGTGCCAATAGGAAGGATATACACAACTAAGAATATGTGGCAAAGAGCGGAAAATGTTTCTTTTTGCATACCTCGCGCTCGTTTCTCTACCCACGGTTTTCTAATGCGGTAATTTTTGATTAGATGGGGGAGAATGGCATTGTGTTTCTCCATTTAAGACAAAGAATAACAACAGCCCGCAACACATATCCAAACTAACTAGGCAGTATCGGGGTCAACATCCCCCAAGTTAATAATCTCGTGTACCTCATCTTCGCATGGGCCGGTGGGAGCAGTGGCGGGCTATTGAGAACGTGTAGCTAAATACTTCTAGCTATTTTGGATGAGATTTCCAAAGGTTTGTATTGTAGTTTAGAGGAGGATTAATTAATATATTTTGATCCGATCTTCCGAGAATTCCAGTACCTGAAGAGCACCTAATGAATTGGTAACCCCAGATTATTTTCCAATCAATCAGGCCCAGAATCTATTCGTGTACGGTGTACCGAGTTGAGATGCCCACTTCGGCTTTCCTTTTGTTTATTTGGTATTTGTTGAAGATATGGCGTATAGCTGGTGTATAGCTAGCGCCTTGGCAAGCGTGCGGGTTTAATACCTGAGACTTTCTCCCTTTCCTGTAACTATTTAGGTAGGATACTGCTCAATTTACGTCTTGTCTCCTTTCAAATGCCATCTTTCCCTGACATCATAACAATCATAGAGGCTCGGCTCGTTTCACCGAATTAAGATGTTGTACGGAAATTCCGAAGTCTAGTCTCTAGTGCGCGGCGCGCGCCGAGCCTTCACTGCATTTACACACGCTAATTGGCTGACTAGGCGATGTCTCCGGTGTGCGTGTCAGCATTGGTCTATATGCTCTTATTGCTTTTCTTGCTATTATCTTCGGCATTGGAGTCACTTGCCATTATTTGATTACTTTAATTCTCATGTACGTTTTGCTACTGGTTGTGATGATCCTATTCACATTGGAAGATAATATCATTTATATCTAATGTGGCGATCCAACGAAACATCAAACGTAGAGAAGGAAGAGAAAAAGAAAGAAAGAATCATATCATACAAGAACTGTGCGATTTTGTGTTGTAGGATCAGATCAATAGGTGGTGAATAGTGAATAGAGCGGACTTGGTGCCTTAGGTAAGGTTGGGCCTAGGGCCTGACATAGCTGAATCCTTGAAATTCCTCATGGGAATACACAAAATCAATCGAGATCATCCGCTTCTCAAGTTATGTTATTGATAATGGGTAAGGATTCTTATATTTTAGTGTTCTTTTAAGTGCTTGCCAACTGCCCATTAACTAACGTAAGTCTACATTCTTCCTAGTGACGACTGATTCTGTACAAATCCCCACTAGAAGAGTTCAATTTGACTTGGACTAATTCTAACGACCACTCCGGCATCATATGTAGAACATTGTATCCCTCACATCTGGATGAATCTGTACATCTGAACTATGCACTGCTACTTCTCCGCGGCCCCCCTCAGTAACACTCCCCGTTGGGGTATGTCCAGCACTCTCGTCGAAGACCTTTTTGAGATAACAGCGGGCACGTTCACATACCAAGTCAGCGTAGTACGCTGGAGGGCAAATACTGACGGCTTTGGTTGCGCGTCCAAACAGATAGCACAGGTTGTGAGTGAGATCCTCAAGAATATCGGCAGTGTTCGCAAAAGGAGGACGTGGTCGCTGAGCCCTAAAGATCTCGTCCCAGACTACATAGTAGTGTGCTGGGCGTGCGGTTCCTTGCAGAGCCGAATGTGCCTGAAGGAAAAAATCCCATTCCCTCGCTTCGGTTACTCCACGATCCACGACAGTACCGTTCCGGGGATTAGAGGATCGATCTGCATCGGTGTCCCGGGTCGGGTAGAAGCGTGTATGATGCCGTTTTCCAACCACAATCACGGAGAGGCGGGGCTTTCCGCATCTGGTATCGTGCGCAGGGTACATAAACTCACATGCCGACTTCAAGAGGGGAACCTCGTCATCCACGACTTGTCGATACTGTCCTTCTGACACCCCGTCACGATAGACGAGGATGTTTTCAGGTAGCTGCTTGTTGTGGACCATCCAGTGTTCGAGTCGCCTCTGCAACATCACATCAAGCGCGGTGACCATCTCCTGGCGAGAGCGTTGGATTCTTAGCTCTGCAGGCCACTGGCCAAGAATGCGATCCACGGACGCCACCATACCAGCGACACTGGGGGCGTTCGATGCAGAGCCTGGAGATGGGTGCGTGACATCGATACCAACAACCATAGTTTGGCCTGACGAAATGATCCCCAACTTTTGACCTTCCAAAATATGGTTCGTACCGCCAAGCTTCAAGTTGACCTTAAGACAGACATTGGCAAGGTACTGAGGATTCCTACTTGCCAATCTCTCCGCGAGAACGCAGACGTTTCGCACGCCTTCTTTAATGTCGCAGACACGCTTTACGGAGCTGTAAATATGCGTGTTCTTGGAAGGAAGGATTGCCAAGAGAAGCTGCATCTTGTGTTTGGTCTTGAGGTGCTGAACGGCGTCTTTCAGTATTCTGTCAAGCTCGCCTCCATCGTATGTCCCGTCACGATACGCTGCAGTGACATTCACCCTCTGCCCGTCCACGGCGGGACTAGCGGGAGCACCGATCTCACTCAATTTCGAGTTCAACGCGGAGAGGCATGGCATGAGATCTGCCGGTCGTGGAAACGCTTCTCTTTCCCTGTCACAGACAATGTAGATAAACGCCCAGGATACCAAGCGTATTGGTACAGAAACCTTATTTGACATCATATTCCAACTGCCGGAGGACAGCCTGGCTGTTTTATTAGACCCATAGAGCACTGGCGGAGAGGGTAAAACCCGACCAGGCACAGTAATGAGGCGGGGGTCCAGGCCAACGCCAAAGGCTTCCTGTCATATTACCTCGTTACTAGGGAGCACAATATGTCATGCACATTGAATATACTGACCAGGGTATCGTTCACGCATGGGGGTGAACCAAGCAGCTCAGTACCTCTTGTTACGATAGAGCGCGCATTTTGAGCAGGGCTGCGGACTGCGAACCTGATCATATTTTGCGTCTGTCGCCCGCTAAGGCTGGTCCGAGCAACTTGTGCAGCCGCGACAAGACAGACTTCAACTGGCAGATATGATGGATCCTGTCGCGTACCGACATTAACAACTGGCAGGTCTGCACAGACAGTAATGTTATATTCTCCATACTATGTCAGTACGGTTACCCTCATGCGATCGGGAAAGACATACTCTCACGGAAAAACTGTTCGACCGTGACATATCGCCCGGGTTCATCGGGTCCAGCTCTCTTGGATTTCCCTTTACTGATCTTTTTTGGGCCGCTGCCATCGAGCCAGAACTGTACCTCCCGTGGACCAGCGCCATATCGACGGATTTGTGGTCTGTTCTGGAAGGAGTCTCCGTCGGCAGGTGATGCGAAGTCTGTGATAGTTTTGTATCTCACGATCGTTTGGCCCTTACTATCTTGTCGGCGGATATGAGTCACTTGAACTCTCAACTTTCTTATAAACGCCCCTAGTCGGTATATGTTTGGGTGGCCCTCCTCTCTGTACGCAGCGATGAGAATTTTCAGTTCTCCCTCGCGGTAACAAGCGGCGTACTTAACTTGGCAGTTGAGAAGGAAACGCGACGTGGCGGCACGAGCACTGATAAAGAATCCTCGCAATACCTCGAGACCTGCGCCTAAATCGCTCCGCTCTGAAGGATCGGGGTGGGCACTGAAATGTTTGTTGCTGCTCACAGATGCTATTTGGGCGCTGGTCTTTGGGTGGTTTCCAATCACGAGATTCAAGGCCTGCAGCACCTCCCACTTGCATTGGAGCATTGGACTTGCATTGGTCGATGTTAGCTCATCCAGGAGGTTGGATGGGTTGACCCTTCCTGTTTGCGTAACTTTAGCTTGAAATATCCTGGGGTTGTCCGGATATTCCTCCTCGTCCTCAGCCTTGTATCGCACTTCATAAACACGCTCTTGATCGGTCATCAGAGGAACGCATGTGATCAGAGTGGCCTTGTAGTCCGATGCTATGGCACTGCCAACATGTGCGAAATTCTCACGCACTAAGAGTGCGATGATTTGCTTGAGCTTGCGGCCTTTCGGCTCTCCTGAGATCTCCACTTTGTAGCGATGGAGGTCAACTTTAGATCGAATGGATAGCTGGAAGTAATTTGCATATAGTATAATTTTCTCTCCTTGTGTCCCAAAGCCCGGACGCAAAGGAAGGCAGATTCGAGAATCGGCTTCCAGGATTTTGTGAATATCGTCTTCCCTCTTCCTACTCTCATCAGCATTCAGCGAGCCTGGCTGCCTGTATGCTTTCCCTGTTAGCCGTCTGAGTGAACCTTGTCTATAAAAAGTATGCGTTATACTGACTGAAAAATTTCTGTACCACGAAGTCCGTGGCCTCTTCCACCACCGCGAGGCGCCCTACCTCCACCTGGCATCCTACCGCCGTGGGCTTGAGCACTTCCCTGGCCTCGGTCTCCTTTGCCCTGCTGCACTGGACTTCCGGGAAGTCTTTGACCAGATCCTCGAGTGCCTCTACCTCGCAAGCCGCGCCCTCTTCCCCTGCCATTACCTGTAGTTTGAGAAGCCATCGGGTATGAATGAGTATTCAAAGTAAAGATTAAAGTAAGTTATAGAGGGACAACAGAATGTCGGTGTAGATCAAATCTGCTCTATTCAGCTTCGAGAGGGGTGAGCTGCGGGTTCTTATAAGATTGAGCGTCGGCTTACGCAATGGTTATCTGTACATGATCACGGCGAATGCATGAACTTGCTTAGAAGATAAGGCACTTCCTGGTGCTGCCTATTACCGTTAGGATTTCCTGGTTTACGGGCTACGAACGCTAGATTCATTGGTCCAACCGCCCCTAGGCTCTTGCTCCTCTCCACAATCTGTCAACCAATGTCGGTATCTCAACTACAACAGTAGTGTAGAGGCCAATTCCCGAAGATTCGAAGGTCTGCATTGATGAACCGACTTTGTATTCTGACCAAGTATTCTAATACCGTCGTAATTAGGAGCGTAATCTATAAGTAATATCGCAAATAAGGGACCATAAGTATCCGGCTATAGATGAATTAGTTCATAGGAGCCTAATCTAAGGCATTTATAGTTGACATCATTTCCTAGAGCTCCTGTCCCTAAGGTTGATCCCATAGCGTAGTCATCCGCGTAGCATCCCCATTCTGAATCAGACGCAACAGAGATGGTGAACCTTTTGCCAATTCCAGGATTGTACTTGGATCAACTGTTTCTAAAGGGAACGGCTCTTGGCAATCTAGCGTACCGTGCAAGAAAGCCGACAACAAGGGATTAATTGAGTTGTTGATATTCCTAAGGAGCTCACCTTGGGTGGAATCAAGAATATTAATAAATGTAGTGAACACAGTTTCCTTCGGGTCGAGAAGCCTACATGCGTCAGAGTTACGAGCTCTCATGTTGGAATATGACTTACCTGCGATCGGCGGTGGCCATGGTGTCATTTCTTGTATTCAAATTAAACATGAGTCCTAATATTCCCATCCCAAACCTTTCCACTAGCATATGCAGTCGCTTCCCAAGTTTTCGAATATGCTTCATGACCTTCAATTTTGACTTAAAGTCATCCGAATTGGATGGCATATCTGGAAAGTACTCAAGTACCATGGCGTTAGCTACGAGTGCGTCCGCCCTATGCACGGGATTTCCGCGACCTTGCTTTTCTGTGTTGAAAGTCGTCGGTGTAGTATTCATATTGCCACTGAACGAAAGAGCTTCACGACCACCACAATCCTCAAATAATTTGAAAATGTGGTACCAGCGAAAAAGCTGAGTGGCGGCGAGTTTTGTATCAAGTTCAAAGATAATTCCCAGCCTTTTTCTCACGGCCATCCCTTCCTCGAAAAGGAATGAAGGGATGTTGTTCTGGGCTCTTTCTTTGCAGATAGTCTCACGGAGAGCAACGATCTGCTGAGGGCCTCCTATTTTCATCAGAAGCACGGCAAGGAAGTCATTCTCAAGAGCGATGACCTGGCTTTGAACCTCCGGGCGCAGGTATCCATCTTCTGGTGGTGCAAGTTTCTCAGTCATGCACTTTTTCCTCTCCTGGGCCAAAAAATCGTGGATCATACGCCGAATGCGCGTGCGTTCTGATGGGCCAGTAATTTTCTTCGGTTGCCTCGCAGTCCGAGTCGTATTGGATTCCGCATGTTCCGCTTGACAGTGGCTCACTGTACGATCTGATTCTTGTTCCTGGGTGGGAGTTGCCGGGGTAGCTTCGGTATCTATGATACATGTCCAAGCGCTCGGAGACGAAGAAGCAAAATTGGTTTCCGTGGCTGTATCTTGGTAAATTGCTTGGTCGTCTAAGCACCATAACATGTCAATTTCGGGGCATGTAACAGGAGTCTCGCTTGCCGATCCAGTACTTTGATTCGTTTGCGATGAGGCAAGGAAACCCAAATTGCTTTGGTCAAATAGAGTGTATACTATGGAGTGAGTAAAGTCCCCTCCCACTGATCGGCCGGAGAGCATGGTCGGGTCTACAGTCCCTGTATCTCGGGCCAGCACTGCATGCAGAATAGTAGGGAGGGCCTCCATTGTGGAGCTTGGAGTAGCGGGTAACATCCGTAAGCGAGGGCCGTTATTGCCGTCGATGAAAATACTACATTATAGCCTACATTAGTCGAATTCATCACGGTTAGCGTCTTGGTTCCTACCGCAGCGTAGCGCACAGAGCAGCTCTAACATCCCAGCTGTCCAATAACACGGCCGATATGATTGCATTGATTGCTTTCCGGTGAACCTCAGGCGATTCTGCGGCAGTTCGCTCGTTTCTTCTGATACACTGGTCAATGCCAGTTTGCTTTGCCGCAAGCGAGTAGTGATCCTTGTCGACAAAATCTTTTCTCAGATTCGCAGTCCCCCCTAGGATTGCAACAATCAGTGTTGGAATAGCTCCGATTCCCTCGAAGAGTAGTGCATTCTTACTCCTGTCGACGCCCGTCCCATATACTATGATGGCTAGAAGCAGTTCTACCAAGGATGCTCCAATCTGAGACAGCTGTCTATAGCCATCATAATTTTCTTTGTCAGCTCCAGCCGCCGTAAGTGCCTGGAATATCAGGGATTTTGATCTGAATGTGTAATTGATGACCCTCTCGACGTGCTGGACATGTATCTGCGTAGCCATTTTAGTCGCCGGGCCGGCAGAGCCTTCTGTGACGCTTCAGCGACACTAATATCACAGGGAGTTCCTCTCACTAGATGGTGGGTTACTCAATATTTATTGCTCGACAAGCGTGACGGTCCATCCGCATACGTGGCTAACCTTCAATCCTGCGGCGAGAGCACATAGTCTTTTGGCCACGTCATATAGGTTCTGGCCACATCGCATAACGTTCCTACAAATGACCGTCAGTCCCATACATCCGGAAGTTGAACTAAGTCGGTGATTGGATTCGCTACGGACATGCTTTGCCCCGCAGGAACATCCGATATGACTGGTTTGGGGTACCGGAAAACATGCTGATACCCTTACCCCATTATGACTGATGTATGATAGACCAATGCAGCAATACTGGGTCAAAGTGAAAGTTATGTCAATTTTATCATGTGATTTACGATGAGGCAGCCAGGTTTCTGGCGAGTAGGGAAATCCGTTGCTCTAAGCATAGCTAACCAACAGCCAGAGGACACCAACCCCTCCATGTTACAAAATATATAATGCTGGCCTGCATCCGGAAAGCGAGACATAGTCCGTTCATTCTCCTTATTGCGGCCTTGTAATAAGTGCTAAATCACCCAACACGTTCGCAAGATGTTTTGCTCACTGGCATTTGTCGTTCTCGGTGTTGTTATATATTATCTTTGATGACACTGCAGTGCGATAAACGGTTTGTATAACACGAAGGGGCTCAATTGAAACTGTAAATCACAGTCGTACCCATTCGTTGGTAGGGGGAGTAGCCTGGGACAATATGATCCTTCCTGTAGCACCAGAATCTTCCTGGTTCTCCACGTCATATCAAGAGGATCCACGATGCGATATTCTTTGTTGCACTGCGGGTGCAACGAATGTCACATAACCCCGTGCATCCAACTTTGTCTTCTCCGAATGAATTGGATGAACGGAATCTACAGACAGTGAGCCGATATGCTAAAGCAGCGACATAAAGTTGTTATAATACATACTCTGCAGACCCAAGATAAGAGAGTTGCAATGATAATCATGACGAAACCAGTCGCTGCTGCTCCTTCCATGGCGAATAGTAGCTACGCTGGTAGCCAAGTTGCACCTCGCATGTATTGTCCCCATGTTCCCGGTCCTTGAACGGCCATACTCGGTCATGGAGACTGCGGATACCACGACATTGCAACTTAGTCTGGATTGTCCGGAAAGCACAAGAATATTTGGCCTGGAAATACGACTGCCATTGTTCCTCGATGTGGCAACGAAGGGTACTGTTCGGCATAACACGGGATGGAACAACTGCGACGACCACGATTTCCAGAACAGATTGGCACTTGAAAAGAAAGAAGAATATGGTATTTGTCAGTGGTTTATTGCTCCGGTTAACTGTGCCTTTATCCAAAGCCTTGGCTCTGATCATGTTCGCTAAAGTCAGAGCAACTGTCACGATGGGTGATACCACCGTGACCACTGCCGAAAGCCAGGTCGGCAATGAGAGTAATATGGCTGATGAGCGTGAACATGCTAGACTTGAGTTACTACTCATATATGCGCTTCTTCAATCGTTGGATGGGGCCGTAGACTCCCAGGCAAAAAGCTGAGATAGAACACTAAACAAACCCCGAAAGTGGTTGGGATAGCAACCCGGGTAACGGAGACCAATTTGTACATACCAATCTGCTTAAAACAATAAACAATGTCATGATTCCAGATGAGGAAGGCATCTTGTCAGCCTAGTACAGTCTTTGTTGCTGTTCAACGAGGAGAGGAGTCTGAACATGTCAAATGTTGCAGTGAAGGGAAAATCGTATCTTTATAGCTCATGCATGGTCGTGTCAAGCCAAATGGATTCAACACCACACGAGCACCCTCCAACTTCCAGACGAATTCCTCGTATTCCCTTGCTGTTTGTGAGCTCAGCCAAGCCACAGGGTACGAAACTCTTATGTTGAATGGTTCGAAGCTTACCGTATCACACGTGACCCTCTTTACTCTTTTAGGTATTTACGGCATGTCTCAATCATAATTTCCAAACAGGGAAAAACGCCCGGTGCAAAGTGCCTAACCAGCGATTCCACATACTGCAGCAAGGAGCATATACAAAGAAATGGGGAATAGAACAACTGGGCGGAACCTTGTATCATGTCATTCTCAATGGAATTAGGACCGATGTACTAGCATAACGAGCCAAATGGATGTGACGTGGGATGTGCCGGTCTTTATAGAAGGGACATCTTTTAGTCTGGTGTTCCTAATCTCATAAAGATCGTTCAGTGCCCACCGGTCCTCCATCTCACCGTCTTAGCCTAAATTACAGCATCCCCGGTGTCAGAGCTTCCTTGGGCCACCCATCATCGAGGTGAAGAATACACTAACAAATGGAGCAATTTGAGGCACGGAGCTACCAGCTTGAAATGCTTGACCAAAGCCTTCAACAGAATATAATTGTTGTTGTAAGACAAACTAATCATTCTGAAATTATACAGTGCTAATTAAGCACCCAGATGGACACGGGAAGTGGAAAGACTCACATGTATGTGAATTATAACTGGGGAGCCAGTATCTGAGATATTGAATTGACTGGACCTGCTGCAGCGCAAGCATGCAAATAATGGCAGAGCTGGCGCGATGCTCTCATGACAAGGTAGGAGAATATCACATCAGAATTGACAACGCTTCAAACACCTAACCAGAAAGATGGTTTGGTTTCTTGCTCCCACGGTACCTCTTGCAACTCAGCAGAAAGAAGCCATCGGGGCGTACATTCCAGCTATTAAGCTACGACTTTTGATTGGACCGGATGGCGTAGACCGCTGGAGCAATCAGGATACTTGGGATGCTGCGCTTCTGGACATGAGGATAATTGTCTCCACACCTGCCGTTTTGGCGGAAGCCTTGGAACATGGGTTTATCAAGATAGAAAAACTGGCCCTCCTTGTGTTTGATGAAGGTAAGCTTATCGCCCGTGATCGGATTCCATTCAGTTAAGCTGACAGACATTCTAGCACACAATTGTGTGAAGAATAATCCGGGCAACCGCATCATGCATGATTTTTAACATCCTGCACGGATGAGATCTGCTGACGTGTCACACATCCTAGGATTGACAGCCAGCCCAATCATGCGATCGAGGGTCAGCGATATAAGGTAAGTTGTGAATTATCTCCTTCCGGGTAGTAAAAGACAACGACTAAGGGAATGACATTGTAGGAAAATTGAGAGGAACCTTCATGCAGTCAGCAGAACTCCCCAATTAGAACGGCATGAACTCATGAAATATGTCCACTAGCCACGTCTAATCTTACTCGAATATCCTGCGCCATCTAGTGCCATCACTTCGATCAATGTGAAATCTCTCGGAATGTTGCATCAGGTACGGTCCGGAGCATTGCTCACGGCACAACCAGAAGATCCTCTGAGAAGATTTTGCGCCAAAGTCGAGAGAGTCTATGCTACATTGGGGGCCTGGGCAGCCGACTATTTTGTTGTCGAGTCGTGCCAAAGACTTGTGAATCAGGTGGCTATCGACAGCGAAGGTTTATGGGCTGATGCGGGAAAGTTGAGGCTGGGAGAGTTGCTAAGGGTAATCTTAACAAGGGAACGGCTACATTTCTCCGATCAGGACGCCGTATCTGCGAAGGTTGGTTGCTTACTGTCATTCTTGGAAGAGCAATATCATGACACCTTTTCGGGGATTGTGTTTGTCAAAGAAAGGGTGATCGCTCACGCATTGGCAACAGTGATTGCACATCATCCAATGACCCAAGATCTGTTCCGTTGCCAGTCGTGCGTGGGTATAACACAGAGAGCCAAAAAGTGGAATATATGGGACAATCTAGATCAGGCAGGTGTGCACAATACGCTAAGACAATTTCAAGACGGCCGACTGAACCTAGTTATTGCAACAAACGTCCTAGAGGAGGAAATCGATCTGACAGCTTGTAACGTAGTCGTATGCTTTGACCAACCTAGCAACATCAAATCATTCATTCAGAGGCGAGGACGCGCTCGACAAGAGAAGTCTACCTTTGCGATTATGGTCTCAAGTGACTGCGAGACGAAGACGATCTCCCAGTGGCGGGACCTTGAGAAAGATATGATTCGACTTTATCAGGATCATGAGCGGATGGTCCAGGACCTTGAGGCATTGGAGATGCATCCTGAGCCTGTCCCATTCCGGCTGAGGTTGCCCACTGGATTAGTTACTAACACAACTTCCATGGATGGAGTAATGGGTTGACTAACGATCATATTCAGTGCATTACTGACGGCTGAGTCTGCTATTCCGCATCTTCATCACTTCTGCAGTACCATAAGGGCTGAGCCACACGTTGACACTCGTCCGGTGTACAAGGTCGAAAGACAGTGCGGTATGTCCAGGGCTTCGGTGATACTTCCCAGTAGCATTGACCCGTCCCTCCGTCTTAGGCAAGGCGTCTCATGGTGGCTCACGGATCGTGCTGCTAAACGGGACGCTGCCTTCCAGGCATATGCGTCGCTCCACCGAGCCAAGCTTGTAAATGACAATCTTCTTCCATCTTCTCAAGATGGAAATCCATTCCAGGCCCCTGACGAAGCGTATTATGGTCAGGCATCCTCGAGGATCGCCGTACGGGAAAGCCACAACCCCTGGCAGACGACGCCGGGGTTTTCCTCCCAACTAGGAGTGTACAGACACCGGATCTCTATCAAATAGAATATGACATCTCGGCCTGATCTCTCGCTGGTTTTGGTAACATGTGGTAAGATCCCCGCAGCAAAACCTTTGACACTGTACTGGGACAGCCGAACCACGTTTGTGGTGTCTCTGGAAAGTTCAGAACACTCCACCATTTCAGAGGGCCACCTCGAACTGTTACGGAAAACTACCCGCTTCTTTCTCTATTCAGCGAGAACGACCAGTCCTCATAACGAAGACATTGCCGACTATGCCCTTCTCGTGTCTCCTAATGTTTCGTTTGATGATCTGGCAGAATGGTTGGATATGAATCAAGGGTCGCGCAATTGCTTGGACCAGTATGGTGATGACGCATCTGTCATTCCACATGGTTTTATCAGATGCGAATCCCTCCATGGCCAGCCCAACCTTTTCGTGTGTTGGGTGCAACCAACGGAAGGTTCAGAGTTGCAATTGCTATGCCGCCCTTTCCCCAGAAGGAAAAACCTGTTGCATAGAGGTGGATTGCCATCCAAGGAGGCTCAGGTGCGTCTGGACGAGAATGAAATGGCTGATGGAAAGGTTGTTCCTGCCAGACTCTGCAGATCCGATTCTCTCCCTTGGGAGATAAGTCGAACTAGTCTCTTTTAACCGCATTTAACGCACCATATCCAGCGCCTTCTGATGGCTGAGAGCCTGCGTGAGACACTCCTTCGGCCTTCCTATCCTATGGACCTTGAAACCATTGCGGATGCTATCACCTGCCCGTCTTCACGGTGGCCAAGCAATTACCAGCGGCTGGAGTATCTTGGTGACAGCATCCTGAAGTTTGCTGTATGTATCCAACTTTACCACGAGTATCCTCTCTGGCATGAAGGATATCAGTCACAAGTGAAGAATAGCATTGTTTCAAACGGCTCGCTCACCCAGGCCGCTCTGAGTGCGAGACTGGACAGCTTCCTTCTTTACGCACCTCTCGCCACCCGGCGGTGAGTAGTGCCAAAGTCACGAGTGGGCGATTTTTCTACCATAAATATCGAACTATCTAGCAAAATCATGGCTGACGTGCTGGAGGCACTGATCGGAGCTTCATTTTTGGATGGTGGATATCCATCCGCATGGTCAACCATACACCGATTTCTGGAACAGATTCCAAATTCGATGCCGTCTTTGTCAGGACGCCAGACTCCCAGAAGTAGTTTGGTCATTCCACCTGAATTAGACGAGAAAATTGACATTTTGATAGGTCATAACTTTAGTGACCGTTATATCATATGGGAAGCCCTCACGCATCCTTCATGGCGGAGAGACACGAGCACGGGCTCCTACCAAAGACTAGAGTTTCTCGGAGACGCAATTCTCGACATGATTATAGCAAGACAGCTATACCAAAGCAAACCTGAGCTGACTGAAAGTCAGATGACGCAGATCAAGGCTGCCATGGTCAATGGCAATTTTCTCGCGTTCCTCTGTCTCGATCTTGGATTAGAGGAAGATATTGTGCAGATCTGTGAATTACGCAGAGGGGTCTTTGACCACGTCCTGCAGAAAGGTCGCTTGGAGCTTTGGAGATTTATGCGACATGACAGTCCGGACATCCCCGCGGTCCAACAATCCTGCGTGAGTAGATATACTCAACTACGCGAGCTAATTGGACATCATCTCTCCTCGAAGAACACATACCCATGGGCAACCCTGGCTCAACTTGGTGCGGACAAATTTTTCTCTGACCTTATAGAGAGCATAATTGGCGCTATTTTCATTGATTCTGCGGGCCAAATCGAGGCATGCGAGGTATTCCTAGAAAAAATTCAACTGACATGTTACCTAGAACGAGTGCTGAAGGAGCAGGTCCTGGTAGAGCACCCGCGGGCCATCCTGAGCAAGATGATAGGATCAAGCTCGGTCGATTATTATATCACGCGGAATGTTGAAGATACGTTGTTATACGACGTTACTGTCACGGTCAATGGTGAGGTGTTAGCGTACGTCTATGGCTGCCTCTCAAAGGATGAGTGCATTGTGCGAGGTGAAAATCTTGCGGTTGTAAAGTTAGAAAGCACACCCGCATAGGGGTCTGGATATGCTGTACGGCAACCTGCCTTTAGCAAATGAATGCTTATTACTAATGTAACTCTTATCGTTAAATGATAACAGAGCCAGACTGGCTGATCTAGAGCTGTCTCACAATGGTACCACCTCCAAATATTTTCTGAGTGTTTGGCATATATGTCTGAATTAATATACAGTGAAGAAACGTGAGGCTTTGAGCTACAGGCTTTCCGGACAGGTGACCTGACGGCTATAGCCGGTTCTTAACAGCAAAAGGTATGGTTTCTTAGCAGGAGAGAGGGGTAGGGAAGGAGGTAGGTGGTAAATCCGCGAGTTCAAAACATCTGTATCCCAGAGTTGGGATTCCAGGGTTAAAGCCTGGCTGTCAAATTTCCTTGTGGCCATTCACCACTGTGTATCTGTTATAAGATGCTGTCGAAAGTTGCTGATAAGTATCTTCTGATTTGTAGTAATTAGAGAAGGAAAGAACTATCTTTCATCTGATAATGAAGAGAGCTCAGAGCGAAGTAGACGAGTGGCAACAAATCACGAGGAAATATTTGGACCAAGGCAGACTACAGGATAGGGTATTCACCCCGCTCAATCTGGTTTAAGACGGCCTAACCACCCCTAAACTCCTCGACTGAGACCCTAACTTTAATCTGATTTGAGAACTGCATACTCAGCCGATTTTCTCCCTGCCGAACCAAATACTATTTCAGATGCGGAGAAGAGCGCTACCTGTGAGTTAACAAAAGATAACAGCTGCGTGTGGGTCTTGCTCATCCAAAGCACCGGCAGAGCAGCACGACAAAGAGGTGAAGGAAAGGAATAAGGAAGTTTTAAGACAGTTACAGGATAGGTTGGTAAACCCCCAAAGAACGCTACTACTTGTACTAAAGTTTGGTAGAAAGCTGGACGACAAAGTTATTCTTGTCCTTGGTCCTACAGGGATGAGAGAAAGCTTCAGCTTTGTAAATGAAATCTGTCCAGAGAAGTTTGGGCCTAACATGAGTCTTATTACCGCAAAGTGGGATACGGTGGCCGACAAGGAGAAATTGAAATGTAAGGCTGAGAGATTCATTTGTCTACTGAATCTTGGAAACCTTTTAACGTCGGCAAACCTAAAGGCGCATGATTGTGGCGCATCAGGCTCAGTTGCGAGGGCGATGATATAAAGGCCAGCGAAATGAGGAAGTTAGACTTGGTATTCTAAAATACTACGGTCAATGGAAACCGGACAAGCTGGTTATGCCATTTTCGCAATAAAATGTCGCAGATAAGTTAGGAGAAATGTTAATTGCAAGCTCAGTGTCCGTGATTGCTTATGGAGCTGCGGTTAGAGGAACAGTCACCCTCACTATTTCTTTCATACTAGCATAATAAGTCAAATTCGTGGACCGTATTGTTTAAGACGCAAGGTGCCACTTTCTTACTCCCTTCCAACATTTTCCGGGCATTGACGTGGCGCTAAATAGCTGGGATGATAGATAGCTGTCAAGTGCTCATTGGCTAAGTTGATTCAAATGATGTCTGTGAATCTGTAGATTCTTTTATCTATTGTGGATTCTATGACAGTCTAGGAAATACTGTACTCTCTATTGTCTGTAAATATAAAGATCTACTGAGAGGGTCATCTTTGACCTGGTGTAAGTATCCCCACTGATTTAGAGAGTGGGTTAGAGGTCTTGAATTCTGCTGTGGTACAGCGCAGGAAACTCAGTATCCTCTCTAGACTGTGCATAAGAAAAACCCCACTTTGCGTAATATAGCAGAGTTTATCTGATATCCACAGCTTGGTCGTTTCGCCAGTATAAGTATATAAACATCAACAGTACTTCAAGTAGACTATATTAATTTCTAGATTTGAAATAATAAATATTTCCTGGATATTTGTTTATCTTATAATACTACAGTAGATTTGAGCTGAAAGATAACAATAAGTGCCTTATTTAGCTATAAACATTTCCATAAGCAGATAAGTAAGATATTAAACTTAAAAGGTGCGGTACTTCTTCTCATATATCTACAGAGAAGACTATAGGCAGTATAATATTTCGCACACATATAATCCTGCGATTGGCTTGGGCCAGCAAACATGGCAATAAATTGAAGACACGCTTTGTTGGACTATTGCTTCTAATAAATCTAAAGCCACGGTAGTTAACTAACCATATAACAGATTAAATCAGCAAGGTTCATGGAGGCTTATAATTTCAAATCTGCTTTCAAGTATACACTAGGAATAAATAAAGTACTAAATAAACAGATAAATAAAAAGTATCCTTATAAAAATTGCCTCTATAGAGCCTTGGATGATACCTGCTTATCGGAGTCGGAGAGAGATGTCAGTAATCTTATCTGGAATCTTATCAATTTCTTCAATACTAACGCGGCTCCGGGCTAATCTTAAGGATTCAATTTCCAGAATCAACCGATAAACAAAACGAACACACAGGAGGATAAGTAAGAAGATAATGAATATCTTCCGAGATACACTTCTATATTAAATAAGAGAGATTAGAAAGAAGATATACAGCCATAAAAGAAAGTTAAGTAACTTAGATTTGATCCTCCACAGTTCAAGGCTACTATTTAACTTAGACAGTATCATGGAACCGGAATTGCACGTAATAAGAAGCAGGCTGGCTATTTGGCGGTAAAAGACCTTTGTTACCAGCTAGGATTATACCTCTGACATACCCGTTTTCTTTGATATAGTATCCATTTAATGTGGTTTTTCCTTTGGAACGAGAGCAACAAAAGAAGCAAATAAAGAATGTCTATTATTAGTTTATGTTTGTAGCCCGCAGTTACTATTTCTGATAGATCAGAAGAGGACATCCTTTCTCTCAAGGCCAAGCAGCTGGGGAGGTACTGTACAATGTGGAAAATTTAGTATACCGAGTATAAGTTAAGTATAAGCCTGTGAATGGCACTTAAATATCCTGCGGACATGTAAGTAAATACTTACCATAACAACTGTATACATAAAAAATCCAATCCTCGTTCTCCCCAACTGATAATGATATACTATCTATGGAAATATCTAGTACTTATCAGAGTATTTTCCTAACAGGCTTTTCTTCTTTCGTGGTCTCTTGCTACTTGAAACTGGAGGGATTGCTGAATATTCTTATAAGGATTATGAATATTATCTGCTTTATCTGTCAGCTCTAGTGTAATATATTCTTCTCTTTCCAAGTTATTAGAGTGAGTTTCAATGACTTTTAACAGTTTCAGAAAGTGAAATCATTTTGTCCAACATTTCCAGCTTAGCCAGATCCTCAGCACTCTCATGATGGGACACTATAAGCTGTTAGTCAGACGAAAGTCTCCTAGTGAGGTCTATAATTACGGTATGGCAAATTCCAGAAGAGACATACCTCGGCATTAGATATTTACAAATCTTCTATAGATCTCTAATTCTTGATTATGGATAGACAGCTTCTTACTCAGCTGATCACATATAAAGTGACTCTCCTCAGATTCTCCGGCAATGCGTGTTATATCTCTCCGGGCATTGGTAAACTGCCATCGGCGAAAGAATAACGTGTAAATGAAAATATTGACTTGATCTTGATTACTTCGGCCGCTGCATCGTCGATAAACCTCTTCAAAGCAATCTAACTCCGGCTAGCTAGGACAGCGAAGCGGCTTACCACAGATTAGACAGTCTTTATAGTACGCAAGCATACAGTCCAGACCTTCATCCGAAGCAAAACGAGTCATATCTGTCTCCATGTACGATGTTTGCCCTCAATTTAGACATGAGATGCCTATAGAAGAGCCATGACCGTCAGGGTATTACGGCTAGATGCAAATACAGCGCAAATGTTTCTACTCTAGAACTTTGAAGCCTGGGAGCTGGCTAAATTAAATCCATTACGTTCTCGTAACAACTATATTACGCTCTTTTTCGCCAATACATATTGATACGGTAAAGTTAGATGATGGCGTCATATGTATCTGTGAGATATCTGTCTCTTAGGTCAGCAGCCCCACCCGCCCTTCGGCGTGTTGGTCTGTCTCACCTCAACGCAAATTCCCATCTCAACGCAAAAAACGAAGCTATTCAGAGCTCCTATATACCACCACCATGCCTGATTCCTATTCTGATATTGAGACACGTATCTTAAAGGCCTGTGAAGCCGCTCAAGGCCAAAAAAACCGAATATCTCTACATTAGCACGTCAATTTAACGTTCCTTATTACCGACTCCGAGCACGTATTCATGGCTGAGCTACACAAAGCACACGCCCTGTCCCTAAAAAGACCCTTGATAATTCGCAAGAGAAGATGCTGATTTGTTGGATTCATTAGCTTAATAATCTATATAGTTTACCTACAGCCGGAATGATTGAGCAGAGTGCTAACCAAATACTGCAGCGGAATTGTTGCGTTCGTGGACAATTGAACCGTACTTGTGGCTGGTTCCATCGCTGACGTCCTCGAGTATTCCAAGCGGCTGGATGTGGATTACCGTAGTTGGCGGGTTTATCGGTTAGCAGCAATTGAGGCTTTGGGGTTTACGTTTGGTTATTCTAGTTGCCGTTGTTGATCGGCGCTTGCCTTTGCGGATCGACTTGGCGTTGATTCGGCCATGCGGGTTGGCGCTGGTAGTACGGTTGTTGTTGACCATGCCGATACTGATTGGGGTATTGGTTGGGATACCAGTCATTGGTAGGGAACGGTCGATAATACTGGTTGGGTCTGTACTGGTCAGCATAGGGTCCATTGGGGTAGTGACCGGGAATTTGGGCCCTTTGGGGATCAGGTTGATATGATTTACCGTAATGCCGATTGTTTTGCTTTTGATTGGCACGGGACCGATAGGATGGTGCCAGGTTCTGCCACACGTACTCCTGACGTTCAAGTTGTTGAAGAAACTGCGTCATGGTAGTGTCAGGTTGTGGTTGGGGAATATGCTGCTGTAATTGGGGGTCTAATCGATTCCAAATCATGCTCATTTGATTGAACGGGTCATGCATTTCTGCACCACGGGCATGACGAATGACTTCTTCAGCAAATATCTGAGGCGTACGACCAGCTAAGATGTCATTATATCCGAATGACATAGCATTCAGCTTGCTAAGGGCCACTGCAGGATTGGGTTTAAACCTTTTGACAAGCTGGTCCAACCAGCCTTCAGCCATTGGTGCTTGACGAAGGTATCCCTTTTCCATTTCATTGAGCTGGGATGTGAACCAGTTGAGAGCAGCACCACGTAGACAACCTTGAATGCTTGATCGAACAGCTTCCTCACCTCGGTATTGGATAACATCACGCACACGGTCAGTAAAGACATTGACATCCTTGTAGTATACTTGGTTATTTGATTGCTTAACGGCAACGTCGTCTTTTAAGTCAGGCCAGAAGTAGCCGATTTCCTCAATTTTTAAGGAACCATTTGCAGTACCATTGCCAGGAGGCCCTGGAGGTCCTGGTTGGGGAGTAGCTTGGCTTTGTTGACCATCTTCAAGCCGTCCTAATCGTTGCTCAAGTCTTCCTACTGCATTTGCCAGTAGATTAAGGGTCTCTTGTAGATTTCGATCGATTGACACGTTCGATGGATTCCGAGCATGATGACTTGATGACCCAGGGTCAGCCATGGTGTCAGTAGTAGTAGGATCGTCGATACAAGGTAGATCGTTGTCAAACAGCTTCTTTGCAGTGGAGCCAAATGACTTGATCCTCTTACGGCTCCTTGAGGTCCTTCGCGCTGTAGGGGGATCCTCAGTAGATAATAGGTCCACTGATGACGGTGTGCTTGTAACTGATTGTGATCGTGCTCGAGACTGTGATCAAGTTCTGGCCAACTGCTCGATAGGTCGTGCTGTATCGTTACAGGTCATCAACCACTCGTGATATTCAGGTAGGTCTATCGTAGCGAGGGTCTTGGTAAGGTTGACAAATTCAGCAATCGCTCGATTTAACAAATTGTGATCAAGTGACCAATCGGGAGGATAGGTGTAGTGAGTAGCGGAACGAGGAGGTGACCGGTTCTCTCGGTAGAACTCTGCAAGTAGAGAGGTCTGTTTATCAAGTAGATTAATAGGCGTTTGATGAGCCTCTCTAAACCTTGATATCTGATGACCTAGCTCAACGATACGTTGGCTCAGCCTAGACATCGAGGTAGAAGCAGAACAGGGACATTGGCCAATAGAATGATAAGATTAATGATGACTTTGATAATCAGGTACGATGACGATGGGTGTGGGACTAAGAGAATAGAGAGAATGATGGTTGGTTGGTAAAGACAGAGATATGTGGGTAAGTGCTGGACTTAGACGAATCCGGAGGTTTGTGGGTCCCGTGATTCGTAACGTGATTGGCTAGTAGGCGATCCGACCGTAACACTGGCGTGCGGAAGCCCCACACAGGTCAGCGCAGTACAGCTTCAAAACAGCTGTTTTTATCAAGCTTTTATCAGGAACATAGTAAACGACCCTTGAGGCAACCCTCAGGAAAGAAAAAAGACATGCTACCAATTGTTGGGTGCTTCTGATTATGGTGTGGAATGATTGATTTTCTTAAGCTGCAGGAGCAGGATGCTGCTAAGTTCTACATACAAAGCGGTGAAAGGGGCGGTACAGCAAGGTAGGCAGAAAGGAACGGGAGCGACATGGAGACGCATAATGGTGGAATAGAACGTAGAACGCAACAGGAATATAACTGACAGGCTATCCCGTACAGTTGATAAGAACTGGGTATATTACTTTATTAAATGCCTCCTGGAGGAGTTTAAGCTTATTTAGTAAAAGCCAAAAGACAAGAAGTACCTTAATACAGAAGATATAGATATTTTTTAACATTGGTATAATTACTTAGAGCTATTTATCAAGCAGATTCCCCCCAAAATTTATATAACTTTGATAAAACCAGTTTCTAACTAGGACAAGGAAAGACTTAAAAGGTTATGACTACTATATATCTGTAAGCTGCAAGGGAGAATCTAACTAAAGAAATAGATAAATTAATCTCTATAATTAAGTATATTGCAGCAGACAGTTTTATTCTTTCTCTATACTTTATCTTTAAAGAAAAATATTATCTTGAGTGGTGGTATAATACAGATATTCCAGAGGAATATTAAATAGCTCTATCTTCTAAAGGCTATACTATAGATAAGATTGGCCTTGACTGGATTCAATACTTCTACTGTCATATAAAATGCCGTATCTCTACTAAAAAGATATTTAACTATTACTTTTTAATAGCCACGAGTCCTATCTTACCTATAAATTTCTTTAGTTCTGTGGTTAACACTATATTATACCTTACTGTTTTCCTTCTCATATAACACATCTTGTACAATCTCTTAATAGATAATCTTTTCAGATCTATAAGTACTTTTATTATAAGAGAAATAATGAACTTGCTTAAAGAGATACTGAGATAGATGATAAGAGTAATTTCTTAAAAGAGATTCTATTTATATAATGACTTTTAAACAATATATAATCCGGGATGCCTTTAAGAAGCAAGGCCTATATCCCTTGAATTCAGAGAAGATAATAAAGTCTCTGCGTGAGGCTTTAGAGACTGCTCCAGGGCTTAAGATAATTACAACACTATTACCACCACTATCAAGCTTATTGCTGCCACCTACAATACAAGATCTTCATTAAAGTATTAGGAAAGCATAGAGCTTTATTGATAATAGCCCTGAGCTTAATTAAAGCTTTATACAATACCTTGACTGTATATTCTAGAGTTCACTAGAAGCCACTGAACTAGCCGCTCAGCTTAAAGATAATCTACAACAACAACTTCAACACTGAAAGCCTTAAGATAGACAGAAATTATAGAAAAGGGTCTGATATAATGGGCCACTAACTGTATATGATATAAAATGCCGAATTGCGGATTGTACTGAGGTAGAAAGAATAAAGGGTCTTAGGCAGATTGGAAAAATGGGAACTTTAGAACACAATAAACCACCACAACAGGCAGATATAGGGGATCTGCCTAGTACAGAAGCCAGTCAGGTAGATAAGGAAGGCCCTAGACTACCATTTTGGATAGATACTCAAGGCGATGTTGTGTAGGAGCTTGAATAGCTTCATTTTTTGTGTTGAGATGGGAATTTGCGTTGAGGTGAGGCAGACCAACACGCCGAAGGGCGGGTGGGGCTGCTGACCTAAGAGACGGTTTAGCGCTGCTGATTGAGGAAATAGGTCCTCTGGGTTTTTAGTGACAGAGGCCCACCCAGTCCGGGAACTAACTCCGGTGCCCATCTGTGAAGCATACTGCTCTCTGGCACCAAAACACTGCAAGTACATCTGAGCTTGTCATCTAACAGAGAGCACTTCTTAAGAACTAGTCGGATTATCTTCAAGGGATGCTGGAAGACAAATTCCGACTTCCCGCAGGGATATCGCCTAGGTCCATCCAAGGTAGTTCTTGATCTTGTGTCAAAGCCCTAAGAAAGACTCATTTGCCACTATAAAGACACCGCATAATGCGAATGAGTTGCACGGCCACCACTCGCTGAATATGTGGTCAACCAATCTAATGCCTCGGGTATACAGGTCTCCTAACAGGCCTAGAAGAAGAGTCAAGACTCCTCCAGCAGGCAAATGATCTGTTGGTCGTCCAAAAGAGCGATGGAGTTGGCAAGAGAGACGGCGGAGATGTTGATGCTCCATCCCCACTGTCTGAGCCAGACATCAGATTGCAGAAGCTTGACCATAGCTACAAGACCGGTGAACGCGTTGTATCGTATCCCGATTCTGGTCAGACTGGCCCTCTAGAAATGGTCAATTACCTCTCCGGGAAGGTCGGCAATGCGAATGATCAAGTAAGCATGCTCTCCGGCCTGGAACAATCACAATTGCGGGTATCTCCAAAGCGTGGCTAGATGCGCTTCGTTCGTACTATTCTACTCCATTTACACAAGGACCCATCTAGGCAAATATCGGCTCTGAACTTGCTCTTGTTCCGCAAGTTTCAATGCGGGTTCATCAAGACCTATTACCTGATATGTACAGATATCACCTGCATATCAAGTAATTTTCGACATTGGCCGGCATTCAGGTCAATGTCGTTCTTCCTAAATAATACTGGTGTTGGCTGAGTTAAGCCAGTGGCTTAGTTGAGCATGCTTAGTTCAGCCAACATAAGACGAGCCAATCACAGTGCGAATACTAGGAGTCTCATTGTGTGGCTCAACTCAGCTTATATATAGCTTATTCGAGGGTAAAGACATGCCACGAGAAGAGAAAAAACATATTTAAAGCTGCTATATACTCACTGTTTTGTGGAGGAAATCACAACAGACCTGGTCATATTCTCTAACAAATAAACTGAAAAGAAATCATGGACCTTCTCACTCTGAGACTTCCTCGCAAGCCCGACTCTATGGAATACACCCGGTAGGAATTCCTCGACCCTGAAAGTCCCCTAGACTTTGTTTAATGAATCACTGTTCTCAAGGTTGGGAAAATCTGGTCTGAAGATCTCCAAAGTCATCCTGGGTGGAATGTCCTTCGGTACCTCCGACGGTTGGACGATTCCAGAGGAACAGGCGCTGCCTATACTTAAGCATGCTTTCGACAAAGGCATAAACACCTGGGACACGGTAAGAAACACCCTATCTCAAACCTGGAAGCCACTCTTCTAACTAATCGTTTGTACCCTAGGCTGACGTGTATTCGTTCGGCGAATCGGAGCGCATTATCGGCAAAGCTCTGAAAGAATACAATATTCCCCGTGAGCGGGTTGTCATCTTGTCCAAATGCTTCAGCGGGGTTCCTAACCCGGATGAGCTTAATGGTCTATCAGACCAAGAAAAACTGATTCGGATGGCCATCAATGATGGCATCATGGTGAACCGTATCGGGCTATCACGCAAGCACATATTCGACGCAGTGAATGCCAGTATCGAGAGGCTCGGTACATATCTGGATGTCCTGCAGATCCACCGGCTCGACCAAGAGACTCCTCGTGAGGAGATCATGAAAGCGCTGAACGATGTGGTAGAAAGTGGGAAGGTTCGATATATTGGCGCAAGCTCGGTCCGTTATCCTCCATCTAGCATGGATATCCAAACTGATTGTTTTGTCTTTCTTCCAGATGCACGCCTGGGAGTTCCAGGCTCTGAATGCTATCGCCGACAAAAACGGCTGGCACAAATTCATCAGCATACAAGACTATTATTCACTTTTGAATCGCGAAGAGGAGCGGGAGATGTTCCCTTACTGCCGTGACGCCGGGGTTGGTATTATCCCTTATTCTCCATTGGCGCGTGGCCTTCTTACGCGTCCCTACGGGGTGACAAAGGAGCAGCCGACCCTGCGCCAGAAGACCGATTTTACTTCACAGATGATGATCGGTCCAATCACACAAGCCGATATTGCGATTATTCACCGTGTCGAAGAGCTGGCTAAAGCGAAGGGCTGTAGCATGGCGCAAATCGGCATCGTGTGGTGCTTGAAGAAGGGCGTTAACCCCATCGTTGGATTTTCGAGCGCTGGACGAGTGGACGAGGCTGTAAATGCCGTGTCTCTGTTCACCGATGGCTTGTTGACTGATGAAGATATGGAACGGCTTGATGAGCCGTATATTCCAAAAGCCCGTGCGGGGTATTAAACGCAATTTCTAGTTCTTTGGATTCCTGTGTTCACATCAATGTTGATACTGGAGCAGCTCACAAACGTCTAGTAGGATTATTTTCTAGTGCTGTACCGACCGCCATCTGAAAAGATTCGTAAAAGTCTTTGGACACGTATGGATGCCAGTCATGATAAGCACGCTCATAGTAAAGCGCATACTTGCTCTCAGCATCAACCCGCTAGAGAAATACCCTCTACGGACCCGCATGTGCCTCCTTAAGGGGCTATCTGACAGGGGTTTGACAGTAGTTTCGATTGATGGAGAGCATCATACGGCTGCAGCCCCTGATGACAAGAGAGCTCTGGCCTTTTAAGACTAGTTCATGATGACAAGACGTGCCTATAGGATAAAACGTTGTGTTTAATAGGGTAAGATGGTCTTTCCTCCAGAATTACAAGACCTCCTACCATTGGTAATCGATGACTTGATTCCCATGTGCGCCGCATTTAAACTGTTCGGTATAATCTGCGTGATAATACTTAATAGATCTATTGAGTGATCTAGGAATGAGCGAATAAGACCAGCGTAGTACTGCTTCTTGCGCGACAATGATGCTCTTGAGCAAAATATCGAGCGTTCTAGTACTCAGCTCTACTTAGTATTTAGTAACTATGAGAGGACTCTTCGCGGATCTCTTGACCAAAGTGATCAGAGACTTAGTTTCGTTAGCCTATATAGTCTCGACACCGGCTTGGACACGCTCGGCTTATGCGCTATCAAGCGTCGATAAGTTAATCCCATCACTTTAATTGAAATTCATGCTGCTGCCTTTATGGACCTGCAAGGCAGCCACTTCTAAGGGTCGTTGCTCCTAAGCCGCTTCACTCTCCCATCGGATGACCTCTTCAGCCCAAGCTTTAGCATTTCGTTCAAGCCTGACGTTATACTGTTGCAGAATTTGCGGTTGGTATCAGCTTGGTAGTCCATATTGTGGGAAAAAGCAGTTGGCCATCTCTTCTCTCAAGCGCTCCACCCGCTGCTCATACAATTGCTGGTACCAACCAGTCATAACCTTTCGCCAAGCTATGTACCCGGAGGTGGAAGGAAATCCTTTTTCTTATGTCTCTTTCTGTCATCCGGTATTCCTCAAAAATGACATGTAGGTACTTCAATCATGGTCCGCACCATGCATCGCATCTCGCATGTAGTCCCGGAGCTTAGCTTTTCGATATATCGCCGTTCTAGCTTATATTTTCTATTCTTATCGGGTAGTACATTACATGATGGTTATCGAGGCCTCCCATATCTCTCTGGGTTACCTCACTGCCGCATCATTTTCTCCTTTTTTGTGGTGCATCCTGGTGACAGACTTCAACAGCACGGAATTGAGGGGACCATGCGGCGAAACTGCGTACTTGATTGTACTTGGCAGATCAAATTCCTTGATGTAATTTCATAAAAAAGGAGACATCAAAACGGTATGAAGGCAGATTGTTGTCCAGTACTATCAAACATAACTTTCTAGAATTTTTAGTGAAGCGTATTGTTATGTTTTCTTCTCTGCATTGGTTAGAACAGAAAGCAATTGTTCCATCCAAGGGCGAGCTGTCTTAACCTATGAAGTCATGCCTGTCTGCCGATATATCTATCCGAAACCATCACTTGCCTCGGGGGCAGAACTTGGCGAGAAAGACTAGAAAGCTGATATCCGGCTAGCCATCTACGGGGTACTGCGGGAAAACTTATTGGGGTTAAGCTTGGCGATGGTAGGAGTCTGTCTCTCATAGTTCATGAAGAACAACCATACTAAATATTTGCGGGGTGGTGATCGTTTCATGGATGGGCACTTTGGAAATCTATCAGGCAGCGTATTTATGTAGGTAGGTATGTGGCCAAGACAAGGTTCACTGATGCACTGTAGAGTATACAATGATCATATTCAGACCTTATCTAGATACACGATTGAACTAAGCCCAGTGGGAAGGCACAAGATATTTTTGCCATAGAACGCTAGTAACCGCAGTCTATGGTACTAATAGGTATACTTGTATCTAGGATGCCTATCCCCCAGCTTGGCAAACTGCTCTTCGTACGGCAAGTCCTCTACCCCCACTAACAAACGCACCGACTCGCTTTTCTTCCTGTGATTTAACACCCGCAACAAACAAACCTGCACCACCGCCAGCACCATCGCGATAACGGTTAGGGAGAGATTGAACCGGGCCCCTAGCTCATAGTAGGGCGCGGACTTCTCAGGGTAGATCCACGTGCTCATGATCCCCCCGACATTCGTCGCTATAAACGCCATAGCAACGGCGGTTGCCCGCCGAACATGGCCGGCCGTGTTATTGGGCATCCAACTAATCAAGCAGGGGGCGCACGCATATACTCCCGTCACGAGGAGCACGAGGGCGGCGTAGCGAACGCCAATGCTGCGGCCATTGATAGCCAATGCGGCACCGATCAACGCAATCCCGCTAGTAGCGAAGGCACCGACTCCGCGCTGCTGGTGACGGTCGGAGAAGTAGGCGGTCAGCATGGTTACGACGAATCCGCAGGCGTACGGTGGCACCGTCATGAGCTGTGTCTTGGTGGGGCTGTACCCGAGCGCCTTGACAATGGAGGGCGAGAAGTACGCGAGGCCGAAGAGACATGCACCATTGCAGAAGAGGATGAGACACAAGATCCACACATGCAGGTTCTTCAGGACCGATATGACTTCTTTGAACGTGACCTTAGTGTCTGTCTCGAACTTGTTCCCGTCTTGCTGCAGCCGCGCAATGCACCGCTGTGCATGCTCGGGTCGGAAGGTGATCATTTTGTCCGGGCCGTTGGGCAGTACAAGGAAGGAGAAGAGGCCGAAGCAGACGGTGAAGAGGCCTTCCAGCAGGAAAATCCACTGCCATCCTTTCATCCCTCGAAGGCCGCTCATCTGTTGGATAGCGGCGGCGAGCAGGCCCGAAAAGGCTCCACTGAGGGAAGCGGCAGAGAAGAAGAGTGCGATGCGGACCTGAAGTTCATGTCGGCGGTAGAAGTTGGACAGAAAGAGCACAATACCAGGAAAGAGTCCTCCTTCGAGCAGTCCAAGAAAGAATCGGCAGGCAAGGAAGCCGGAATAATTGTGGACCTGAGATTGAAGTGTTGTAACTAAGCCCCAGAGGGTGCACAGCGTAGGCAGAAGGATTCGCGGACCGACGACTTTCAGCAGCAAATTGGAGGGGAGCTCGGAAACCACGTAGGGGACATATGTCACGGTAATAGCTGAGGGATTAGTATGGCACCGGCGATACTCTCCGAAAGGATGTACCTGTTTTATATTGTAGATCCGTCAAGTTCAAGTCTTTTTCCAGGCCAGCCTTTATTACTCTGGTTAGTAGAGTGCCGTATGGGAGCTTGACGGACAAAACTCACCACTCGCGCATTTCCAACATTTGCACGGTCCAACCACGCCAGAAGATACAACATAAGTGTCATCGGCATCAACAGCAGATCCAGTCTCAGAACTGTCTGTCGATCAAGTTTTAGTGTTCCCTCATCCAGTGGAATCTCCTCAATAGCATTTTTCTTGGCCTCTGAATCCCCAGCAGGGTCGGCGAACGATTTTGCGTCAGCCATTGAAACAAGGAAGCGGCGTGTGCAGCCCGATAACCATGGGGAAACTTCAATGTGCGTCTTAGACACCACCTTTTATACCGACGATTCCGCAGGATTGTTCCCGATGCAAGGGATGCAGGATATGTAGAACTGCCGGACAGCTGGCCACGGATACGAGATGTGGCTCTTGGACTGTGGGGGGACTGGTCTAGCTTCACGTGGTACGTGGAGACGACGGCCAATTGGCATTCTTATTGAATCCAAGACCCCTGACTACTTTAGGGAAGAAATGGTTCGTTGGGATAATTCCCTATCTTGCTTCTGAAGATGCGGGGACACTAAGCGAGGTCCGGATTGCGGGGGGGTGTTCTCGTAATTATAAGCGGAGCTATAATGCCTCGAGCTGGAGGGTACATAGACGATGGAAAGATAGTGTTTAGATCCCTTGAGGTATAAATACTGTCAACGGATAATTATCTCGCTGGAAAGATGATCGTGGTTCCTAAATCAAAGCTGTACAAGGTATTATTAGCAATACAGCGACAACAGATCACGTGGTATGTGTGATTTTACCAACGTTTTTTTTGTACATAACCTATCCCGTAAAACTAGCCCACTGCACTTTTGGCTCTCACCCGTGAAATACGGTATTGGATGTCCAAATAGCGTGCTCCCCCGAATAGTAACATTACATCTACTGCATAAAACACCCTTGATATGACGTGGCTATAATTGACAGTATTTAACTCGCGTCGTACTTTATTGGAATGCCATCTCGTACTGTCGTTGTGCAACTTTTTAAGTGGATTGATAATCGAATAGTGGAGGCGGAATTAATTCCGGACGCTCTTGTTAAGCAAGACCAAATATCGGACCCGCAGCAACCCTACTCTGCATATATATAAAGGGACACCTCCGGCATTGGTACACTGTACAAGATCGCAACTTATCATTTGCAGTTAAGGTTCTTTGTCTTCCCTTGTAGCATCATCATACGCAATGGTCCTCAAACTCTACGGCTTTCCCCTCTCGACCTGTACTCGGCGAGTGCGCGTTGTACTCGCGGAAAAGGGTCTCGAGGACGAGTTTCATAGTGTGGATTTGACCAAGGGCGAACAAAAGGCAGAGACCTATCTAAACAATCTGCAACCCTTTGGCAAAGTTCCCGTTCTACACGATACCGAAACGGGTATTCAGATCTTCGGTTCGCATTTCCCCCTAGCAGTATGAATGAAAACAGCGTGCTAATATTGACCTAATAGAGAGTAGAGCGATTACTCAGTACATTGCCAACAAGTACTCTGGTCAAGGAGCCCAAATTGCTCCTCCGGAGTCTGATCTGAAGGCCTGGGCTCTATACCAGCAGGTATGTAGTTATATACCCATATGATTCGTACAGTGCTGACTGATGCAGGCTCTCTCCATTGAACAATCTTACTTTGACCCAGTGGTTTCTGAAATTGCATACGAGAAGGTCTTGAAGGCCCGCAAGGGTCATGGCGAGACCGACGAGGCCCGCGTCAAATTCCTGCTTTCGCAGCTCGATCTCACCCTTAAGGGCTACGAGCGGGTCCTTTCCAAGCAGAAGTACCTTGCAGGTGAGCAAGTCACAGTTGCCGATCTCGCGCATTTGCCGTATGGCGTATTTGTGGAGCCGTTCGGGTTTGCCGAGTTGCTTCCTAAGTATCCGCATGTCCAGAAGTGGTGGGAGGAACTGAAGGCCAGAGAGAGCTGGAAGAAGGTTACGGCTTAAAGTTCCATTCCTTTGTAGCTAAAACGTTAAGCTGGCCTCCATAGTCTAGTCGATGCTGTCATTTAGAAGTGATAGTCAATATGATAACTCACGAGTCATGTCAAGACGTTTAATTCATGTATTACTTACAAGAGATAGATTATATTTTGCTTCTACTGTGACAACACCTACTCCTATTAACTAAAGCCGCAACGTTTTAAAAAGAAATAATGTATTACCACGATATGAACGAACTATTCTGGCATACTATTCACGACACGGCACGTTTGCTTATTTTCGAAAGCCTCAGACTGTCCTTCGGAACTAACTCTAGTCGCATCTTCACACGTTTGAAACTATATCTATAAAAAGTCCATCAAAAACCCCAGTCAAAAGCCCCACTGTTTAACCCATATCTCCCACGATGGCTTCATCAATAGGACCGGGATCCCGCATGGCTTTACTGGCCACCTGGGTCGTTGTGGTTTCTGTCACAGATACGGGGCCTCCAGGGCCGTGGAACATGCCACGATAAAAGTCTAGGATCTCTAGGGCTGGCTTGTTCAGCAGATCAGCATCAGTTGGATTAGTAATTGACTTCAATGCAGCGATCCAGACATGCGCATGAACGGCCACAACATTATAGTACTCATGAATGGCGGGGATCAGTGATTCCCAGCTTGCAGTTTAAGGGTTGACTAGGTCAAAAGTGTTTGCCCGTATGGAACTCTCGGTACCGCGTCGGGACTCCGTGATGTCAACCACAATCTTGGCTGTAATATCTTAAAGACGCCCTTAATGAAAAATCCCGATGTGAGGAGCGATGTAGAGGAAATGGGAGCACTTACCACTGGAATCTAGTCGACCGGCATCTGACCAAGCGTCCGAGTGATTTTTTAGAGCGTTTTTGAAGTTGCGACGAGTGAAGGTAACCACTCCTGTCGGTACCAGGGCCCTTTCTCCGTTGCTGGTCCACCCACTTGTCCAACTCGATAAATACTTGTCGGTATTCCACAGTGAGAGGAGGAGATGGAACAGATACGCTCGGCTACAAACTTGGATTCTCCATAACCCTGACGCAGCACCACATCAGGTTTCTCTAAAGGTATCTCAGAAGTGGATGGGCCATGCTGGGAGATCCATGCACCCACCGTAGAAATAGAGGAGGTAAAAAGGATATGTGCAAAATGGGCGGATTGGAGGCTGAAATCGACGAGACAACGAACATCTCGGATATGAGTGTCCTCAAATGCTAACCTTGTGGATGACCAGGTCCACTGATTTTTGTGAGTTCTTTATATCTATCAAGGGATAAGCCAAAGTTTACTGCACCAAACTGCGCTTGTAGAACTCGACACGCTTGTCAAAGTCGGGTGAGATTAGGAGTCCTTTTCTGCAAAGCCCCGAAGCTATCTCTCTTTGGAATCCCTCACCCTATTGAGGCAATAGATTTTAGGAGTCTCCGGGCCATCGAGCAATTCCTTAAGAGTAGATGAGCTATGGCCCCATAGAGCATCATGTTCCTACATTGACCCAACTGAATACCCGCGCTACTGATATCTACCAGCTGATAAACGGGAGTTCCATAGATGTGCGTCCAAGAGCATTCCCAGTCTTTGCGGATGTTCGTGACGTTACCCAAGTCCACTTCTCCGCATTCATGTCTGAGAAGGGGGTAGGTGAACGTTTCCTTATTAGTTCCCCGGCAACTACAGCTATCAGGAAGTGTACTACATTCTTCGATCCGACGTCCCCGTGATTAGGAAAAGGGTCCCTATTGGTCGGCCCAGTCAATATGAACTTCCAACTATCAGAGTCTCCGATGAAAAGTCCAAGTCACTTCTCAACGCTTCCTTCCACTCATTACAGGAAACTATGAGAGACACAGCACATAGTCTCTTAGAGCTGGAGAAGAGATTGAACGATAGAATGAACTGTCAGGGATAGGGAAGTGGGATTCATTTCATATCCATGTACATTTCCCTTTGTAGCTAGCAGAGTCAGTATAAAGGCACACAATGAATATTAGCAGTTTCATATAGTAAACCAGTGCATGCCACCTGTAACAGCGGTGGTGTCGAACACGTGTATACGATTGGCGACCTTGCCACAGGAGTCTACAGGCAAAGGCATGCAGCGTTTACCTTTAGTGGAAGCATATATTTCCCGCAATTTGATGGTCAATTATGTGCAACAGTATGCTAGGTCTTTGGCATCGTCTCCGGAATATGATTTTTGAATTAGGGTTTTATGCAGAGGATGCAATATTACGGTATGATCGTCCCAGTTATTGGGGCTTATGCGTCTATGCAATCCGCACCAGCTTTAACGCTTAGCATAACATTTGTTGTGTTGATTGGACGTTGCATAACATCAGGGATTATGAACGTGTAGGGGGCCTAAAACTCCCCTTCGTCCACCCTGCCTTGATAGATGTATTACTTTACGTCGCGGCCACGCTGTCAACTACCGAGGAGGAACTAATCCTTTCGTGCAGAGGAGTAGATCACGGACAACAAGAATGGATCTCTCATACGAGATTCACCGAAGTCTAGACTCCGTAAATACGATGGGCTAAGAAAGATCGGGCTAATGAACTGTAATTTAGTACCCTTTCTCACGTTACTTCCATCCTGGTAGGAATTTTTAGGCTTATGAGCTTTGCCACAGTAGGAAATGAGGTGTGAGCAAAAAGCTGGCTACGTTTCATGTACTTTGTGTCATGGGCGCGGCGCGGCTTGCGTCCGTCCGGATGCAGAGGTGCACCCAGACATGTTGGTATTGTGTAAGAGAACCGGAGCTTTTCTTTTCTCGTAAGCGGCATATTAAATGAAGTCGTTGACTCTCCTATATAGAGACAATAATAATTATACACCGCAGTGTCTGATAACAGGATCACAGGATGTCTCCTATCCAGGACGGGAAAGAAGCATCCAGAGCCAAGCTGAGAAGGCTGATGAGTTCATATTGTATAAGCAGTGGTCAAGACCGTTCCTTCACGATTGGCTGAGTCTATCTGGCAAGATACGGCTGTTTTCTCGCCCCGGTTCTGTATCTTAAATATGCCGCTAACAGTCTACAGCATCCAAAACGCCACTACACTGTTTTCCTGCTCAATGGGAAGAATTGGCACAAGCCAAAACCGGTCACTTTCTGGGGGCACTGCGTGACGGTATAAACTATTACCAGGTATCTGGAAAGAACGGATTTAATACCAACCTAACCCACGGCCGGCTAGCCAGTATTTACGGCACTTCCTCTTCAACAGGAAACGATTGAAGTCTTAGAAACATTCTTCACTCGTACAGCGAATGTGTTCCCACTATTTCCCTCGAAAATATTTACTAGCGTCTTTCTCAACAGATATAGTAGAAGACCTCCCCGTGACCCATCCCGGTGGGCTTGCCTGGATATCGCATTAACAATTGGCTACCGTTATCGGTCACTCTACAACCCTGGATCCAGTGAATAAAGAGTAAAGTCTCAGGTCTATTATAAGAAAGCAATAGCTGTGGTTCCTGATACCCTGCTGCGCAAATATGACTTAATGAGCATTTAAGCCCTCATCGGTATTGCGCGTTGGGTGGATAACCTTCAGCCAACTAGGCAGATACTAACAATGTCTAGCAAGTATACCTTTCATGTAAAGGCATCGTGAAACCCATTTACAAGAGTCTATTATCCATAGCATTCCGGTCGTGTCACTCCTTCGGACTTCACGGCAACCGCGTAACTCCAGGCCCCACGCCAGAGAATAACAGCAGCAAATCCTTGTTCTGTGGCTTGGTTACATGATGGATGAGATGTAGGTCGTTTCCTTACGAAAATATGGTACAAGGCTAACTTGTATGGTCAGATACCGCCCTTCCCAGGGTTTGCCGCCGTGTGGAGTATCAGGCGACCTCGGTGTGGATATCCCACTTCTAGAACTAGTGGACGAATCCCCTATACAGATGTCCAACATCGGTGATGTGGATATCTTCCTGCGCTGTGACCGGCTTTCCGCCATTCGCCGCAAAATAAACCAACCCATCCTGCAATTGATCACAGATCAGAATATCAAAGTAGGCAATATATTATTCAACAAATCAGTGAATACTAAAAGGCAAAGTCCGGCTAACAATAGTATAGAGAATGGACGATAACATATATATATATAAACCGAGAACTTCAGCTAGCCAAGACACCAAGTCGGTATACAACCCGAGAGGGCTCTCAGCCAAACCCATTATTTCATCGCGCAAGATCCGCGGCTTTGGAAAGTGCAAAAAAAAAAAAAAAAAAATTCAAACAGGCTAGAAAAGAGTAGACTTCACCATACGCTTCGGGTATATACTAAAGATAATTGACATAACTCTCCCAGGGAGACATATCAATATCTTGTGTGACTATTTAAATAGAATACAAGCATCTATCCAAGCACAGCTCCGGAGAGGCTATATCTGGTTATATTAATGTCTACCGGAGATTGAGTAAATAGCGGGACAAAAACTATTATTGAATACACCCATGGAATTACCTAGTATCGTAGGCACCTGACATGTGCATAGTGATTTGACCACCTACGGAAGTAGATGGATACACAGTCTTGTTCGGTCGTCGAATCAATGTTGCGAGTATAATTGCGGCCCGCTGTTCCAGGCCGGCCCGTAGAGACTGCTGCTAAGAGTCGCTCTTCCCCCCGAGGGGTTCATCGGCCCATTCGAAAGTTAATATTGATAAGGCAGGCACTTGGATTGGCGGCCAATAGCGATTGCCCCGCCTCAGGCACCTTTGTATTACCGCTATCCTATCGCGTGCGTGATCTTAGCGACCCCCTGCAGCCTGTTTCCGTTGGAGGCAGTTGACCTCCACGCCACAGCACAACGAGTATTTTGCACGATGGTCATAAGGCCGCCAAAGGCTAGCAATTTCCGTACGAGAGTATGAGGAGGAGCATGCAATAAGGCTGGTTAGTGGTAGAATCTTAGAAGAGCAGAGAAGTAGAAATATCTGTCAGGCAAGAGAAGTTCTAAAGAGACGAAGATAGAGGCCCTATTTATTTGTATTTTATGTGATGGAAACACCGCCAATAGAAGAGAAAACTGTAATTTTGTTCAAGTAGAAACAGGAACATGAATTAGAAATTTAGACTGGTCTACAAGGCTTGAGACGGAATCATCATAAATAATTATAACTCAGCTTCTCGGACATGCCGGTCCAATTATAGGAGATTATCTAGACCATCGTTGATTTTATCAGCATAATATGTGTGGTAAGACTTTTTCTTAGCTGAAGATATATCCTAGTAAGTAGAGCCGGTATAGCTTACTGAGTTAACTTCACCGCTACTAGAGCTTACTAGTCTTTATTCTAATTTAATATACGGTACTGGACCCCTGTTACTGTTCGGTCTCAACAAACTACTGTCAATATGATATAACTGTAGGTCTTCAGGTTAGGTTAGGTAACATCAGAGAGGTCAAGTTTTTGTTTATTTAGCAGGAGTGTCAAAGAGCCTATAGCCTAGTTTCTAACAGCCCTGGGATATAGACTACCGATTTTAGCCAAATACTCCTCCAGTTATATTAGCCTACAATAGAATTAAAATACTGCTACTCAGTTATTATTAAGTTAGTGGCATCAAGGTCGGACTTGCTTTGGCGGGTCGGGGAGGGTGGCTATAGTATAGATTTTAATAGGTTGCCATCCGGATGATTCGGCCGAAGGCTATCTGCAGATACTGACAGGACTAAATTAAGCGGTTGGCTAGAATAGTTGACGACGTCTTGAGGTCGGCTGACTTGCAACTTCAGCTAGCCATCCTCTTTCCCTGCACTTTTTCGGCCTCTACTGCATTAGCAAATTTAGCTAGCATACCAAGGCTGGCTGAAATCAACTTTACTGTAACAATATAGTCACACCTGGCATATTCTTATACAACATAACTCACACAAGCACTAGACGCACGGATAAAGGAGAATATCAGTATTGCCATCAACCACCCCTGAGTGGATTAACCGTTGGCTAAAATCCGGCAAAACTTCTCCGCGGGGGCCGCAAGGGTTGAGCGGCTGGCTGAAAGTTGGACGGTGCCAATTTCGTCATTTGCTATTATGTAGGGTCTCATTGAAATGACAGCCAAGTCTACCCGCAGGGCGAATTCGGCCTCTAAATGTAACCCCTCCGTTGTATAGAAGCGCGACGGTTGATGATCCTTGTCTACACTGTGGCTAGCTGCTGGTAATATTCTATCACGATCATAGCACGAATCATTCTAGAGCCCCGCTGTAGCTTAACGCTAAGTTTACTAGGGCTGTGCACCTGTAGAATGCCTTACTGGTTTATTGTACGTCATGCTCAGACCTGTTGCGCACAAGCTCTGTACTGAGGCTTCTGAGCCTTAAATAAATACAGAACAAAGAATCTAAATCAATGTTTACGCAGCTATAGAGGATCTAAAACAAAGTGTACGTAAATGTCTGCAGCACACACTTCTTGGGTTGCACTTAGTGCTATCAAGTAGTCTTAGTATACAAGCAGCGCACGCCCAATCTCATAAGGGGATCAAGTTTGCTGAAGTGGATGAGATGCGTGATACGTGCCCTAGGCTCCAACTTTAATAAACGAATAACAAGATGACTGTGAAGGCTTGAACAAGTGGTTCTAATCTACCTGGATGTCCATATCTTGGATTGGGGGAATTTGTTACTGTCACTGTAGGTTTGATTCGCTAGCAGCAGGGCCTCTATCATCAGGTGGGGGAATACGGCAACAGATACGGCCCATTGAGTCTAAGGTTCATTCAGAAATGCATATGCAGACTACGAGCTCTCATTTCCATACCCTTATTATTATTGAATAGGGAGAAAAACAACCCCTACGTAAAAACGGAGGTAATAAGGGTCATCATCGCCATGGTGTATTGGAATTAACAGTCGATCAGTTGAGAAAATACCAAGGTTAAAGTTTGATGATCAAGACAAGCCACGGTCATGATTGAGACCTGGATATAACGATGGGTCAATTCAAAGTTGTTTATAGTAACCCTACCGGACGCGCCAGGCATCAAAATATTTTTAAGACGAAACCCCCGAATATGGGTGCAATCAAAGCGCGAAGCCCCTTATAACTTACAAGTGCTAGAGCGGATTAATGACTCGGACCATTACTCTGAGGCCAATTATCTGCCACTGCACCTCACAGAACTACAGCATATATCGATATGACGCAGCCAAGTCGCCTTCACTCGCCTCCTTTGATTCACACGAACTGTCCAGATCCGCCATGAGCCGATCCCGACTGCGATTCTGCGCCCAGCACGCAAGGAAGTAGCAAGTAGACCAGAAAGCAGCGAGGGTAAAAAATGAGATTACCACACTATATCCGACATGATAGTATGGCGCGTCCTTTGAGGGGAACAGGAACGTGGAGACGATTCCCGCAATTTCGCCAAATCCGGCTGCAGCGCGGTACCGATTGCGCGCCGCCGGTGGCCGCCTAGATTCATGGTAAACCAGCAGATAGCAACCGGCATGCCACAATATGGGCCAAATACGACAAGAAACAGCGCGGCGTACTGGACTCGAGGGTTGTCGTGGATGGTTAGTAGGATCGCGACCCCAGCAATGGCAACTAGTAGATTGAAAAGGACAAATAATAGCGATGTTGTAATCGATCTGACGCAAATGCGATCCCTAGGGATAGGAAAAAGACCATAGCTGAGGGAGGGACAGAATGCAATTGCGTCTGAAGAGTGCTGTGGCCATAGGACTTGATAATAGTGGGCGAAAAATATGCATAGCACTAATGAAATGGTCATTAGTGTCTCTCAGGTAGAGCCAGAAGGACGAATCACTTACATATGACGGCACCAAGAAAGAGAAGTAAATCAGCGCACCCAAAAAGATCTTGTAGTCCTTGAGGACATTGAGCACGTCAGTGAAGCGGATGGAATACTCCGCCGACTTGTCCCCATGGCCATCCTCGAGTCTCTTCTTCACCCATCGCCGCTCGTTCTCAGTAAGCCATCTTGCCTGCTTAGGAAAGTCCGAGATGGGAAACTAGGCGAGGATTGCAACAAAGCACGTTACGGCTCCCTCAATTATGAAAAGCCAGCGCCAGGCTCCATATCCTCTCATACCTTGCATAGTACCAGTCCCGTACGCAATCAGTCCCCCAAATGCCCCATCGAGCGTTGTTGAGTTGAGAAAAAAGTATATCGGCGAAGTGCATCGGACCGCTTGTACCACATTCCGATTAGGTAGTAGCCTGGACACGCAGGTTAGTTTTTTTTTTTCTTGGGTTCTATCCATTCCCAATATATTGGCTCTAGGGCTGCGAGATCTGCTTACACCCAGGAAACATTCCCGGTTCCGTCACACCGAGAAAGAAACGTGTCGCCAGAAGGCCGCCATAACATTTCACTTTTCAATACGATATATTAGAGCTCTCTGCTTTCATGCGAGAACTTCGTGGACAACATACCAAAGCCTTGACCGAGGGTCAATATACCGAAGGAAAACATGCATCTAGACACTGGCGAGGAACATCAGCTACATCCGTATAACAAATAGCGACATAATATTTGCATCTCGCTAGGGGCATACACCAGACATGGGGCCGTAATCTTTTGAGGACGATGTTCGATGGGATTTCTAACAGAAACATATGGCACAAAAAAGATCGTCAACGCAACGTTAAACTGATTCGATTGAGGATCCATCCCTAAATCCTCTTGGAGCCCAAAATCGACTGCATGGCCCATGTTAATGCTATTTGACATGACGCAGGTAAGTATAAAGTTTGATAAGGGGGAAAGACCAAGAAGAAAAAAGACACACCAGCCCGGGAATGCCAAAAAATACAGAACACACAAGATTAGCAAAACGTGGGCATCGATCTTGAGCTTCAACCTCTTCTCGTTGATATGTGGTAGGGTGTTGGCGAATTCCTCGCTGTCTCTGCCAGAATCAACTGTGACATCGCCTCGTTCGGCCTCTATGGGAATGTCGGTGTATCGACCATGCCATGCCGCTAATAGTGTGGGAAAGAGTTCAAAATCGAGTTGAATAAATCAAAATTGAAATGGGAATCACTGACTCGCATTATAGACCACCATTGTACTGAAGCTTGTCTAGTATATTAGACAGGTCCTCCGTTGCTGACACCAGACGAAGAATGCAGCACAGCTAGAAAAGTCTCAGAGTCCAGAAAGGGAGGAGAGAGGAGACTTCTGCCGTAAAAAAAGCCAATTCAAGTTGGCAAATAGACCTACTAATGCAAAATGGTTCACAAGTGCAGTCCTTGGACCTAGGCGCAAGACCGCGATCCAAGGCAGAGCAACGAAGAAAACAGCACAATCGTGGTCGCGGTTGCAAGTATCTAGATTCAATCAATGTAGCTTGAGGCAAAATTCTGTTATTTCTCAAGACTTAAACGCTACTACTCGGAGTTCACTGTTTCCTCCTGACATAGGCATTCCGGCCGAAAATCACCTCCCTCTCATTTGGCGAGTCCATGAAACACGGGCTGTGTGATTAGATTGATGTTACAACAGTAGTACCCCCGTATGTGGGTCAACAGGCATTTCCATTTAGTTCACAGTAGGTGCATCAGAGTTAACCAGGGTTCGAGATAACGGCGGGCCGACACTCTAGTAATAGTATTAAAGGTAGCAGAAAAGTAACTGGTATAAGAATCAAGGGTCAATTCCTTTTTTTTTGGACTAATTCCATAGGTTCTATCGCATTAGGTGAAGACCAATCCATAGCACAATGTGCTTCAGTCAGCTCGGAACAGTACATCTGCAGTAAAGCTGGATATCGCAATCGTGGGGGCTGGCATCGGCGCTCTAGCTCGGGATGGACATTGTGTTACGGTGTATGAATCTACCCCAGAGCTTTCTGAGGTAAGCCTATAATTGAAGTAGGCTCTAGTTCTCGAAAAATGGTTGACCGTACACAGATCGGTGCCGGTGTCCAAATGTCACCGAATGGTGTTCGCTACTGACTTAACTAGGGAATTAGCCAGGATCTATAGCAAAAGTCGTTCCTACCCTCCGAGCTGAATATGCGACGCTGGAAGGATGGAGGGTATATTGCTCGACGCAACTACACCCGGGTTTTGTTCTCATCGAACATAGCACGGTTGGACCTTAGGCTGGTTTATCAGCTGAAGAACTATTACATACACAAAGCAGTTCTAGCTCTTTCGAATCCCGGGTCCTTAATTCTGCGGCGAGTCTAAGTCGTGGAGCAGGATGCCATTCTTAACTGGCAAGGTTAACTGTAAAACCAGGACTTCCTCCGCTTTTTAGCCTTCATTATTGCTGGACTGCAAATTTTTGCAAATTTTATCACTAAGACATAAACAACCATGCCTTCCGCCCATTATCACTCCACTCCTTCATCAGCTTCTTCTTCGTCTTCTCATCTGCTGCATCATACTCCTTCCTATTATACCCAGTCACATGCGTAAATCTATCAATCGTCACCTGGTACTGCTCAGATCCGCCCGGAATTCCTTTTGTCTCTATCGCGTATTTGTGCGTCGTCTTTGGGTTCTTCTGTGTAAACGTCGCATTGACATGCTCCCCCTTCTTCGGGTCCCAGTCCCAACGAACAGTCCAGGCGAAATTACCCGTGATTTTCACTCTCGAAGTGGGGTTCCCATCCTTATCGCTCCCCGCAGGGACGTCGATTGGCCTGGTGCCCTCGCCCATGATTCCGGTAGCGAAGTAGCGGTCCATCCCCCCGAGTTTGGTCGTGGTGAGGGAGAGATTGGTTGCGTCTTGCAGGGCCTCTTTGGTCAGGAGGGAGATCACGGCGTAGTTGAGGGGGTAGTTGTTCTTGATGATGATTTCAGCCATAGTGGTGCTTAAAGGATACAGGGCGAGGTGTGACAACTAGTAATCTGGATGAATAGAGGACGTTGATATCTGACAATGGGAGTGTGATATGTAATGGACATTCGTGGTCTGTCCGTGGTTCTCGTATTGGGGTTTATATACCTTTCTTGTTGTCATTGCACTCTCCGCTATTGGCCGTATTCTTTCTCGTACGAGTAGAGCTGCTAAACACATATAATACAGGTCAACACAAACCCCTCAGTTGGCGGTCTTCTCATATGCCCCGGGATTCGTCTACGATTGGGTGATATCTCAACTACTCGTGATCCCATTACGCAACGGAAACGACCTGAGCTGCTTGACATGCAGTCTCGATAACTTGCAGACTTGATGCATTAGTGTATGCAGAGAAGAACAGCGGTGTGTTTGATTCGCCTACCGGATGTCCCCTCGCTCGGACCGAGCCTTCATCATACAGCTTTGGTATTTTAGGCATGAGGCGGGGAACTTAATACTATTTGTCTAGACGACCAGAGATAATATTACTATCACATCATAGCTGTGAAAACGAGAACCATCCAGCGCCGACGATCGGATAGGGCCAAGTCAAAATACCAACAATGGAACCGACAGAAGATGGTAACGTTCGGGTTCGGCCCCTTCCATTGTCGTTCGCTGAGTCCCCACTTCACTGCTCTCACGGCATTCGTTGCGCCCCGAATTACAAATCTTAAAATATAGACTGAGGTCCATATATCGCCTATAGTGGCATGGACTAGGAATGCACTATCTGCAAAAGGCCTCTTGGTTCCGAATCTGCCCTCCGTGGCCATTTGCAGGAAGAACCCCGGCATGAGTGATGTGAAAGGCACGGCTGGGTGTTCACTTTGACTCCTGACAAAAATCCCGCAGACATAGCATCTATTTTATTTTTAAAGCTTAGTATTGAAAGCAATAGAAAATCTACGTATGAGTTTTTAAAACGTAGAGTACTCTTTACTAGTCAATATTTATATCTACGGACAGCGTTACATCTCTACTGTCTTTAATTGTTGAGATATTAGTATTATAAAAAGTGCCATTATCTATGGGATACAGCTTCCGAGGAAAGACGGGAAATACGCTAGGTTAACTAACTGGGGATGGATCGTGAGGGATTGTTAAGCGAAGGAGCCAACGCCAAGGATTGTAGGTTCTAGACGCACCGCCGACCCTCACTTCAAGCAGTAGGGCCATATTCTTGACAATGGTAGGTTTTACCTCACCCCTAGGATGAACGATAATAATTACACTCCAACTATAGGCGTGGCTAGTTATGCAGAAAGCTTAACGGCTGCATGGGTTGTAGACTCGTGACCTCGACACTGTTCTGGACCGTTGGATTTCTGCGTTAGCTGAATATAAGTTATACCTAACCTTGGGTCTGCCTATCGGCGTTGCCGAAGACTAGTGTACTGCAAAGTGACTGATGAAGAGGCTGCATCAAGTTATTGGTTGTCATTGCTTCTCTTCTCCCTTATTGATATAAGCCGTGCTCGCGTCTCTCTGAATGGCTGATTCAACGGGCCGACAGCCCTAGGGAGCAAACAGTGGCTACCTGAGAAAGCCTCGAAATAGCGACCGACCTAAGCCAGGGCCAAATAGTACACGTCCCAGGCCTGTACGAGGGCTGATGGTTGCCTCCGTTGTACTACTTCTGGCGTGCTTGAAAGGTTGACAAGTTTTGAATTACGAATGGTCGGCCGCATCTGAGTCCGAGCTACCCGGCGTTGTATCCCACAGATAATGGGGAAATGAATACAATCTTGATTTCATACCTCCGTCCTATAGCGAGGCTCATTGGCATCGGCTGTGGAAGCCGGATTTATTGCACTGCCACCAGGCATTACATAGCGGGCACTAGTGTCGGGGTTTACCGCCTGGCTTTGTCAATGAGGTCGAAGTACCTCAAGCTAAATATGAAAATACACCTCCAGCTAGATCACAACTCGGACACACACTCGTGCCACTTCCGTATGTAACTTCAATGTGGCACTTACCCCTGGCGTTCTGCTTCACTACTCGGATAACGATGAGTCAAGTTGGAGAGAACAACAAATGTACTTCACAGACCTAAATCGTGAAAGCAACAACCCCCACGCAGTCTAAAGTGTCGTGCGCTTTCTTTTTTTTTTCCCCAGGACCATGCATTAGACATATGCGGGCATTCTGGAAAGCACCTTTCAGTAATGCCTAGGCTCATTTCTCTACTATTATTGGATGCTTCTGTCTTCGCATCTTTTCTTGCATTGACCGGTGAACGTGCTGTAGAACTATAAAAACCGGTGTTTCTCCTGCTTCCAACAGCAGAAACCCCTATCTTACCTCCACAATTCCTCATCCTTCAAATGCCTTAGTCTATTCACTGTCTTCATATCTTTCAAATTTAGACACACTTCTTGGTCATTAACAATGGTTAATACTTACTATACCTCGACTAGCGGTGTCGCCGCCCAAGGTTATGGGAACAGCACCCATTACGTGCCAACATGATGGTGTTACAAGGTGGGTCAAAAGGCTGATTACACTAGCGTGTTCCCGCGACGCGTCGAAAGAACTCACCTTTTTCAACCACCCGCTATTACATCTAAACGAGGGCTTTTGGGATGGAGATAAGTGGAAATCGAAGGCCTAATGCAGAGCTTTCTTCTGAGACTCGAGCAGCCATTCTATCTGCTCTAGAAAACAAGGTATCTCTAACTCAATTGGCTAAGCAATTTGGTGTCAGTCGCAATATAATCTATTCAACAAAAAAGCGTTTTCTACGCAATCACACCTTGCAATCACTTTCTAGAAAGGGAAGGCCTGCAAAGCTTGATTATTCTACTGAGCGCTATATCTATCTGTTGGCTTGCCGGAGACCAAAACTTAGCTACAGAGCCCTATGTGCAAATAGTGATTCTGGGGTCTCTGCCTTAACAATCAAGCGGGTTCTTAAGCGATTTTATTTAAAAAAATAGAAAAGCAAGAAGTGTATAGCTCTAAGGCCTGAGATAGCTAAAAAGCATCTTCAATTTGCGCGTGTGTGGCTAAGATATACTAACTGGAATGAAATTATGTTTTCTGATAAATACTTGGTATAGAGAAAGTCTAATTTCTCTACTCAATATGTCTTTCATTTCTTAAATGAAGCCTACAGGTGTAATCTAGTGAACCTAATAAGCTATGGAAAGATATTTCCTAAATAGTATGGGATTCTATATGGCTAGGTGGCCGATCTGATTTGATCATTATGGAGCGGGATGAATTAGCTCGCCGGGGCGGTTATTCAACAAAATTATATATTGCTTGCTTAGAAAAGGGCCTCTTACCAATCTATGAGCCTGGCACTATATTTCAGCAGGATAATACAAAAATTCATGTTTCAGCTGAAGCACAGGACTGGTTTAAATTCTATGGAATTTAGGTTCTGGATTGGCCATCTTATTCACCTGATTTAAACCCTATAGAGCATATCTGGGGCCCTGCTTAAGCGCAAGCTTTTGGAGCTCTACTCTATGCTCTTTCTAGGGGGAAGATCAAAAATTGACTGGACGCGCTTTAGAAAGCATATTCAGGAAGCTTGGTGGGCTATATTCCAGGAGGTGATAGATCGCTTAATTCGATCTATGCCTCGTAGACTTCAAGCTGTACATCGAGCATGTGGCTGGTATACAAAGTATTGAATGAGGAACCTATAGAACTCATTTGTAGATTAAATCCATTTGAATTTGCTGAGAAAATCGATTTTGAAGTTGTTCCGTTTTTTTTTATTTTTTTGAGTGTAATCAGACTTTTGACCCACTATTGTACCATCACTCCGAAGAGCGTTAATCCCTGTACTTGTTATGTTTTTCTACCTATCCCCGCTCCAGCGGACCAGAACGCGAAGCTAAAGTCGTTATCTGTCCAATGGAATGGGGACAACGGTGCAGAAATCACTGAGGTTACCGTCAACTTCGGCAAGCAAACCGCGCAACCTACTTTTGACAACACGGGAACATTCAGCTCAGATTACCGTAAATGCCAGCGTTACTTCGCGATTGATCGACCCAAAACCATATAGAATTACTGTCACTCTGTTCCTGTCTCTGCCGGTCTCGGGTTCCGCTGTGTCAATTTACTCAGTCTCTCTGGAGTTCGAGGTCAAATAGTTTAACATATCAGTATATCAGACGTGAAAGACTGGAGTTTGTTAGATCAAGTCCTAACTGGATTTTTCTTGTAGTCAGACTTGGGGTCGAAGCCCTGTTGGAATTTACTTTCTATTTGAATTTGCCTTGGAGGAACTGATGATTGCAGGAACACATTCACTTCTTAGAATTTCTTTTTTTTTCTTTGAAAATTATGTTTGGATTTCTCATAAAGGAGTTGATGATTGCAGGAACACATTCACTTCTTGAAATTTCTTTTTTTTTTCTTTGAAAATTATGTTTGGATTTCTCATAAAGGAGCTGATGATTGCTGAAACCACATTCTCTTGATACGTCGCCACAGAAGGGACAAACCCCCTGGTGCTAGGGCATGCTACGCGACCCCACAGGGCCAATTTGGCACATCCCCGATAGTTTAGTTAGCTTGAAATAAAGGTCTAACTTGACCAGTGTCGATTCTTCCCTGCAAATATAGCCACGCATTACTCCTACCTCAGTCGTGCCTCGTAACCTGTAAAGGCCAACTAGAGCGCTGGGATAGTATTAAAATTAGCTAAATAGAAACAGGACCAAAGACAAAGTAAGATCTTCAGTTCCCTCCTCCCCTTTTTACATCTACTTCTACCACTAAAGTATGAAAACAGTAAGCCAACACTCGTATACCGCGCGTACAGTCCTGTGTGCAACAGTCCCTAACCATAATTGATCGCAGGCCAGAGAAGCAAATGTTAAGGCAACTGGGCAGCATTTTTTTCACCAGGATGAAGATTCACTTATAGTAGCACCTCTGTGCACTACAGGATATCAGCCTCTCTTTTGGACTCATTTTGGTTGTCCTAAGGGACACCTATTCAAGTTATTGACCATGGTGAGCGCTTTTACTGGCGGAAAACCTTGAGCAGCTTTAACTTCAACTATATAAAAGACGAGACCTCAAAATATACGAAACAGCTACAGCGTTGCGGGGGGGTCCTACACCCGTATAGAATGGTTTTTTATGGATGGTGCCGGTGGAGAACGCAGTGGAAGTAATGAAGTCGACGGTACACAATATGCCGTACAATCCCTTGGACTTCATCCAAAGTGCTTCTCTAAGGTCAGAATCATTATGTCCCATTATCCTTTCCTTTCCAAATACTGGCCCGTCGGGACTTGAACTGAAACAGTTTACCACAAATTTTCAACGGGTTGAATATTTCAATTGGCTTGTCAAATTCAACCACACTGATGGGAAATTAAGAATATTCCCCCATTGAGGCGGGGGGCACCATTACCAGTCTTTATGGAAGCCAGGTAAGTAGGGCTTTCTTGGAACCAAATGCTTCACAAAGCTGATGATTGAAGCGTCCCGACCATGACCTGACTAGCCGAGGTGTGATATCTGAAATAGCGGAATAGCTACTGAATGTGAATGTGGGAAAGCAGTAAATTAAATAAATAACTATGTCTCGCCCCAAAAGCTATCCTAACTATTTGTAACGTTAAGACACAAGATACCCTCAACCTACACGGTGTTCTCTGGCTCAAACTCGCTATACACCTGGAGCGCACGGTTGAAATTCTGGTCAATCTCCTGGATGCAGCCCTCAAGTTCCTTTCCATCATCGACAGTGACCTTCTGCTGCAACTCCTTCACAAGTGTATGATACCTATCTCGGAACTCCTTGATATGTTTATATATGCGATCAGCATGGCCTTCCTCCTGAAATTCAGGCCGCTAGCATCATGTTAGCCCCACCAATTATAGATAATCAAGTCAACTCACTTTATCACCTATATCTTGGAGGTAAGTCTTGAAGAGAGGTTGCATCTGCGTAGTCGCACTTGTCACTGCTTCACTATCCTTTTCGCCAAAAGTCTTTGCGGCATGAACATCCTTCGTAGCTTGAATCATGTCCAATTCCACGTTAACATGGAGACGCTCAATCTGCAGCTTATCTTGGAGTTCGGGCTCGTATTCCTTGACAGCGCTGTTGAGAGAGGCTATGTGTACATCGAGCTGTTGGAAGTCTTCGAGGATGGCGGAAGCGTCACGATATTTGGTAGGACTAGAACTGATGAAAGGAAGTGCGAGGGTAACAAGAATGATGAAGTGATTATTGAATATCATTGTGGGTTTCAAAATAATAGGCTAAGGTTATTGTTTATGCAATGGAATTTGTGCTGGAAGTTAAGGTGAAGGAGAGCCTCGTGAATACCAGGGATAGATTTCACCATCTTTATATATACCATTAATGAGGCATATGGGAAAGTGAATATCTGAAAAACTAGCTTACGTCAAAACATAGGCGCTTGACCTATTATATAGGTTTGTCGCATCCAATGAATTATATAGGTGCAGTGCTTGAGGCCTAATTGGTAGATAGGTCATTAGTTTAAATAACTCCCTATATGAATTCATTCACTCTAGCATACTAATCCATAAAATATTTTCTACCTTGGAGTAAATTCCCAGAAAGCTGTTACCTGATTAGGTTTTGTAGAGGGAGACAGTTTTAGCTAGACTACTTGGACATCCTGTGATATCTACCATTCATGCCTTGGCATTACAGGTACTCACATGGACAGGTCATTATTCACTTTGTTCAAAACTAACGTTATTCACTCTTTCAAAGTCTATGAAAGCCTGACTTTTGTCTCAGGCAGCGGAATCTTACTGTGCAGCGAAGAGTTTAAGATTCCGGATTTGAGAAGGGCATGTCATCTCACTGACAGTCAGCGTTTAGCCACCAGTCCAGCCTATCATGGCGTGAGGGATATACTCCGGTGTAGTCCTGCTCTCCAGGGTTCCTAGCATACCCAGCCCCAGTGATGCTTATTACACAGGATAACACCGTCTTCATAAGGATGGCATTAAGCTCTTCTAACATAACTGAAATTGTCCACTTCTCCCGCTCTGCTGAAGTAAGAGGAATCCTCCCTCAGGTACTCTTTATCTACACCCTTCACTCTGTCAGATGTATTAGGAAGGGGAAATGCCATTACACAATAGTCAGTGTCAAACAGTAGAAGATAAGGAGGTTAAAGAAGCTCAAAGAATTGGCACAGACTATGTACCATTCTAAATCCCACAAGAGTGCTTGCGATACTTTGATATAGGTGCATACTCAGATACTTTTAGTCTGGGAGCCTTGGCGGCTCTATTGACAAAAGCTCGAAGGAAACCGGTCCGTACCGGTGGTTCTCCTCTTCGGCCAGCAGAAGTCGGTCTTCATCACAGGTGCGGATTTTGGTACAGCGATTCATTCTAGTACGTAGAGGTCTAAGCAATAATTGACTTCATTTTCCCGAACAATGTGACACTCAAACTGAGGGTTTAACGAACAGCGTCAGCAATACTTTATAAGATACTCACAAAGGTGCTATTTGGCCTCAGTGCATTCGATCCAGTGGGGTCATATCCTTCAAGAGGAAAACATAGGGGCCAACAGGAAATATAGATTCATTTTCTTCTAAATGCTTCGGCGCATGAAGCCTCACCGACCATCACTTGTATATGTGTACCACCATGATTAGGAAACTTAATAATAGTTAGGCGCCGAATCGGAGGGATTATTTGCCGAAGGGACGGTATGTAACTCGTGCGTCTCTCCACTCGATAAGATTAGTCTTCCCCAAGTGCCTCATTTGCGTTGTTATTCAGGGATTCATACACTATTCGTCCACGTAAGTACCCATTGGTTCAATAGCTGTATTGAGGGATTCTTCAGTAAACTTTGATCTCAAAAGGGTCAGAGGAAATGCCAGGAATTGGCTAGAACCAGTAAGGTTGAATAGTCACTTTTCTTCAGCGGTTTCTCGGGAGATGTGATGTCATCCATCTTCGCTGCCCCACTATGCTGTATATAAGTTCGACCTGGACCCTCACTTGGAGCGTTTACGAGTCAACGCAGAAATACCACAATTCACACTTTCCGGTAAAATGGCTCCCAAGGTGCTTGTTGTCCTTACCTCCCAGAGCCAGATCCCTGGCCATAACCACCACACCGGGTGGTACCTTGTACGTATCGATGTATACTGGACATCCGTCCATTGAACAGCTCTAATGAGGAATTTAGCCTGAGTTTGCCCACCCATGGGAGGTCCTCCATGAGAAGGTTGAGCTCACCGTCGCCTCCCCCAAGGGTGGTGAGGCTCCTCTCGACCCCGACTCCGTCAAGATGTTCGAGAGCGATCCCGTGTCGACGAAGTTCTTGAATGAGCAGCAGTCGCTTTGGAAAAACACACACAAGCTGGCCGATTTCCTGCCTCGGGTTTCCGAGTTTGATGCCATCTTCTATGTCGGTGGTCATGGACGTAAGGAATTCCTAGTTCTATAGTGATAGCGGCTCCGGACTAACCTTGATAGCTATGTTCGACCTTCACGACAACGAGACCTCCCTCGCCCTTATCCAGGCTTTTGCTGCTGCCGGGAAGCCCGTTTCCGCTGTCTGCCACGGTCCGACCGTATTCATTAAGGCGACTACCAAGTCCGGACAGCCTCTGCTAGCAAACTCCACCGTGACCGGCTTCACCAACGTCGAGGAAGAACAGGCACAGCTAACCAAGCTCATGCCCTACCTAGTAGAGACTGAGATGAACAAGATTCCGGGATGTAAATTTGTCAAGGCCGATCAGCCGTGGGGCGAGAAGGTCGTTGTTTCGAAGACGTCCGACGGCGCCACTTTGATCACCGGTCAAAACCCGGCCAGTGCGACCGGCGTCGGAAAGGAGATTTTGAAGGCTCTGGGGCTTTAATCGTATTATGTCTGCATAATTCATGACATGTATAATTGTTATGAGAATATATGATCTTCTTCATTATTTAACTTTGTTGTTTACCCCTCGTCGGACTCCGACGGCCCAATGTATATCTAACACTGACAGCGATAATCCCTTCTCCCATGCGTGAGTGGGCGAATCAGCCTTGCTCAATGCCAAGTGTGATCTTCAAATACCGGAGATATGAAGGATGCGTTGACTGATAAGCACCCCACTCGAATTTCTTGAAGACCTGCCATTTGGGGAATTGACAGGGCCGTTCAAGTACTAAATTGGCCAAGACTCTAGCAGCGGCCAAAGGCGATGCGACATTGCAGAGTGTGTACATCTTGATTGTATCCGCTCATGTACGCCAAGGATCCGTCCGGGCACATGCGTTTTTGACTGGCTTAGGCACGTTACACTGACAGATGAAGAGATATGCAAGGGATAGAGCTGGAGGCCCGTCGGCCACATATTTAAAGGTCACCGGCACGATGTGTTGTACACCGGTGTATCGGCCCATATTCCTAGCCCATCATGGTTCAGCTCGCTGTGCTGGCCCTTTTAGCCCTTCCCCTTGTGAATGCTATCCCTGCCCCTGCCCCGGTTCCAACACCACCGGGAGTCCCTTCGACAGCTACTGCTGAGAACGAGTTGGCTGGGTTAACAGTCGCAGCTCAAGGTTCGCAGGACGGCTACGACCGCGATAAATTCCCTCACTGGATCGGCCAGGGCCAGTATGTATTGTCACCCACGCGTTATATTATCTAGATGACTGACACACTTTTGAAAAGTCAATGCGATACTCGGGAAGTTGTCCTAGCTCGCGATGGAAAAGACATCGTTAAGAACAGTGCCTGCTCTCCGACCAGTGGAACATGGTACTCGCCGTATGACGGAAAGACCTGGAAGGACAAGAGCGATCTAGATATCGACCATGTTGTGCCACTTTCAAATGCATGGAAGGTAAGTTTACTATGATCCTGATATTATCCTATTGTGCTCTAATGCCTATTACAAAACAGAGCGGGGCCTCGGATTGGACCACCGATCAACGTAAAGCTTTGGCCAATGACTTGGATAACCCTCAGCTCGTCGCAGTGACGAACTCTGTCAATCGAGAGAAGAGCGATGATGGACCAGAGGATTGGAAGCCTCCTTTGGGTAAGCTTTTGTACAATTTTATTCAGTTACATACTAACTGAGTAGCTTCGTATCACTGCACCTATGCGAAGATGTGGGTTCGAGTCAAAACGGTGTATAATATGACTATTACACAGAACGAGAAGAGTGCTCTTGTCGGTATGCTTGATACGTGTAAGTGATAACACTGTGCATAGATCGCAGGGGCCACCGATCATCAGTCGAGCGTGGTATAGCTATAATAAAGCATGACATTACAAGTCCAGGAGATTTCAGGATATATTGGTTGTACATGCCATTCCGTCCATATGTTTACCGAGAGGAGAGTATTCGACCTATTGTGTATTTACATTCGTACGAGAATCCAACCGCAGGGTAGTAAAGATTCTGTCGAAACACAAAAGTGGGCTCATACTGGTAGTAAGTTGACGTTTGCTAATTAGGGCAACAAACGGCCACAGCTATTCTTCCGGTTCTTACCTTATCATGAGCAGCAGTTTAAATATAATAATTGACGGTAAGAAATTAAAAAAAAGAACCCAACTGCTAGATTTCCATACGCAGACTATATTCCATCGATACAAAGCACCAGATGCTAGTAATACTATCGCTATCAAGGATGTGGAGTAGGCCCAGCTGGCCCAGTGTTATACTGTGACCCACCGTTTGGTGTGGTATTGACCTGAGCCATCTGAGCGTTAGCAAGCTCTGTATATCTGAGGTCACTTGGACTTGGTCCTGTCGCCACGTTAACTCCAACAGGGCTTTGCTCAAATTGTGCATCCCCTTGTGCCGCGTGAATCGTGTGCGTAAGCATTTTCACTGAGGGATTATCCGTCCAGGCGTGACCATCTAGAATCTCCTTGACCGGCAGCTTCCTACCGTAGAAGCGTTCATTCTCATCCATACGCTCGATCACGATAGTTCCATCAATCTGCACACCCGCATAGAACCCTCGACTCTTAACGTAACTCCAGACCGGAGCTTGTCGTTTATGCACCTCTGACTCCAGCACACCACCCATTCCAACCGGTCCAGCAGCAACACTAATCTCGCTCCCAAGAGTGACACGGACCTTTGTAAAGGCCTCCAGAGCTTTGTATGTGTTGATGACCATCACGCAATCATAAATATCAGCGCCGACCAGAAATCCCAAGCCAGCTGTGTGCAACAGGATACCAGACGGCGCACTCCACTCCCCGGTTTCGGGCACTCTGCTGAGGAGAACTCCACTACCGCCTGCACCACTAAACCATAATCCAGTCCTCATAGCCGTAAAGATGGCTAATCCCTTCGCCTGTCGGATGACCTCAGATGGGATCTTCTTCAACACTTTTGGTTTGCCTCTCGGCTTATCGATCTGGGTCTTTGTTCCTTTCGTGTCGTCAATGGGTGTATTTTCTGTCGACTCCTCGACGTAGACGCCATCTTTACAGAAACTCCGCAGTATCCGAGCCACTTTCTCGCTTTCCTTGTCCAGCGTCATGGGCCAAAAGGCCTCCGAGCCGAGTTTATTGCTCAGTCGGTTGACGGGGTCCCCCAATTTGTCTAGGGCACCCCAGGCTTTGTCGAAGTTTTTCTTGCCGAAAACTTTCGTTTTGTTCCATATCGAGCCTTGATTGCTAGGTGGTTGGGACATGGTGGAGATGTGGCAGTGAACTTGTCTACTCTGTCCAAGATTTTCACAGGATTGGATGTTAGAGGATTTTATTAGTTAGTCAGAGAAGCAAACATTGAACAGAGAAATAAGTTCTCTGGGTGGGATCGGCAGGTTTTTATTGCGGCTTATTCCTCTCGATAATAATAGATATTAAGATCTAGGTGGCGCAAAAACACCAAAGAAAACCACGACATCATAGCGGGGTATCCTTCTTGACACCCCCCTGCTAAGCATTCCACATAGCCTGGTGATTGGATGGTTAGGGTTGATAGTGGGCCATTCATGTATCCACTTCCGGTGGGATCCGCGGATGTTCTAAATTCTCCATCAGGGGATTTTATTCGTTTTCCAGCCTTAGCATATGTCGAAGGCAGTTCCGGGGTACAATCATAATAAGGTGGGCTGTATGTGTGTGAAACGTGTAGCATGTGTATACCCTACATAGCGAACCCCCAAGTACTACATAGTTAATCTACACATGACTTGAGTGAAAGATTCTGGAGTTCTAGCACCGAATGTCAATCAAATTTTCACACACGCGAACTAGTCGGTAAAGGAAGTTTCCGATGAAGCCGAGACACAATCTCCGTATAATCTTCCTCATCCTCCGCCGTGATAATACCATGTCTAACAAAGAAATCCACAACAACACTCGCGCTGGCCGGTTTGAATTTTCTGTTCAACATAGCCTTCTTCACCTGATCCGTGTCCATCAAATGAAACGCATACACATCATCATCTACCGGTTTGAAGACCATATCTGAGTCCACTTCAAGGTCATAGACAAAGAGCACCCCGGGATTAATAAGTCCGGTCTGACCACCAGTTCGCTCATCACTGATAGTGACCCAGTTCACGGTACCCGCAGCACGAACATTCTTCCTAATCAATTCCTCGGACATCCCGGCCTCTTCCGACGCCTCGCGAATCAAACATTCCAACGGCTGCTCTCCCAAAGCCATACCGCCAGCCACGGTATTGTCCAGCATCCCTCCGTAGGTAACCTTGTTAGGATGTCGCTGTGGAATCCAGAACTTCAGTCCGGATTCCGTCCGCGTGTAAACCGTCAAATGTACCCCCCGACCTACCGTACCAAGGTACGAGAAGAAACTCCGATCAATCCCCACGGGGAAATTCGCGCCGACAATTGGGAACTGTTCGTGCCTCTTTTTCCCTAATTTAGGAAATACCCCCTTCTCGCGCGCTAGTTCAACCTGTCGCTCGATGATTTCTGTGCATTTCTCCTGCCAGTCGGGCCCTTCAGGTCGAATAAGGTGCACCTCTTTCTTAGGGGAGGGAAGCACTCGGAAGTCCGCTGTCCATGGCATCCTCTCTACTACGTAGTCAACCATCAGACCATGTGGTCTGGGATCTTCTGGGATGTAAAATTTCCATAATGACCCCTGTAGTTGCTCGTATGCTGAATATGTGTCTTCGGCGTATGGAAAGCTGTTGGGAGGGGTGTTAGTCGTCAGGGTTATCCAAGCTATCGGATATCTCTTACTTGTCGCAGTCCTTTACGACATCTAATAAATTATTCATAGCTCCGAGCTGGTCAATTGCTGAGTTTTTGTGTTTCTAGATGGGTGATGTTACTTCCAGCAGCCATGAAGGAGGGGAATGTGAAATCAACGGGAACAATTGTTTTTCCACGCCGACCATTTCTTCGTGTACGCTTTCGTCGACATTCTACAAGACAGTGGCTAATTTTTTTGTGAATCGTAAAAGACAGATTGTGATCGTGGACTTGATGGGATATGGCACATATATGCTAGCACGTAGATAAGATACAAGCTGTCATAGTTCTTCTGTGGAGGCGCTAGGCTAAACCGCCCATGGATTACAACCAAGTCGTTCCGGTATTTTCCTTTCCAGGCAACTTGAATAATTTTTCGTATGGTATACCATTTCAGGCATTATGGGGGTATGGAGGGCATGATCAGTTTAAGGAGTGTTTTGGTTTAATTCATGTTGTTCATCAGCTGGATGTGTAGCACCCGATCATTATCATAGTATATATATCGATAGAGCAAAAGCTCCAAAGACATGAATGAACCCAAACCAGGAAATCGGGCTCGCATGCTCTGAGTCGAAGGCTCTTGAAATTACCATTAAAATTAAGGCATAGGCTTTGTCCGATATATTGATCTGTACATTGTTCTGTTAATCCATCTTGATGAGGTGTGTACGACTTTTTGCTTTGTGATTATTGACTTATGTAGACAGAAGGAAACCTGCACTCAATCATTAGCCGGGCTAGCTCAATCGGTAGAGCGTGAGACTCTTAGTCATCACGGTATCTCAAGGTTGCGGGTTCGACCCCCGCGTTCGGCTTGTTCTTTTTAGCTTTTTCTGGGTTTCCTTTTTGTGGGCATTCAGTGCCTACATCATCGTAGTGATCAATTCGCCGAGAAAATGTGCGTGGATTGACAAACATCACGACAATAGGCCGAAGCATCCGAAGGTGAATGGATCTCGAATCCAAATGTATGGCTTAGAATTATGGCGCAGAAAAAAAAAAAAAAAAAAAAATTTCAACTCCGCGGTTATCTATCCATTCAGACGGAATACCTTCTGTAGTCCGGCTCAGCCCTGCCTTTTGACTCTTGGGTGACAATTCGTTAACGAAATGCTTGTTCAATACGGAGTAATGCTTGGCTCAACTGAATGAGAGAAGAAATGCAGACTAAATCCTGATCTTGCAAGTGGAACTAGGAGCCCCTATGTGGTAGATTCTACCTTTGACAATTATTGTCTGGGGTCATTCTACTGGGTAGAAGTTAAGGATACTAGGCCCAACAACAGCACAGAGCGTTTATCAGCACTCTATTGGTCCTCGGAAGACACGAAATTATCTTCAGTCAGTGCTTTCTACTTTAGGTTCTTGGTGAGTACTCCGTAAGTAGAGCTAAATATGCAGAAAATGGGTCAATCGGCGAGTCAAACGTAGAGACTAGAGAACTTGAAAATCTATAGAAACTAGTATCTCTTGATGCTCTTGAGGCTAGAGTGATATTTCGCCAAGACAATTACGTTATTTAGAGGTGCGTTATGCTGCATAAACTAGATACATTCGAGGCTATAACTATATAAGCTTTGCACCTTAGCTTAAAATAAGATCTGCTGCCTTCTCTGCAATCGCATAAACAATTGCCTGGTAGTGTGCTGTTAATGGTAAAGGTATAACACTGGCATCGACAACCCTGAGACCTTCAACACTTTTCACACGGAGTGTAGTATCCACAACCTTTCCCATGCTTGCTGACCCGGCTGGATGATAAAATGTATTTCCTCCTTGCTTAACCTGAGCATCGATCTCTTCATCTGTGGAGTCAGGCCGAAGCGGGTTAAACCCAGGACGCGAAGCCTCACGTTCAACAATCTCTTTGCCTTCAGGCGTATCGGAGAGGAGCTTTGTCACCTGTCGAATACCGGCCCGAAGGACGGCACGATCAACTTCAGTAGCATAATAGTTCGGGTCAATCAGAGGTGGAGCCATTGGGTCCGTAGACGCCAGTGTAATACGTCCTCTTGAAGTAGGGACCATCCCTAGTACTGCCGATGCAATATGCGTTCCGTCCATAGGTATCTCGACACCAGCAATCATCGCACCAGCAGGAGCATAGATAACAAGCGTCTCGGCATGGCAGAAATTAGGAGCAAGATAAGGATGCGCTTTGAGAGCTGACTCATTCTCACCGTCAACCTTCAAAGCCTGAACTAGCACCTCACGAGGGGCTTGCACGGTCGCATTCCAATCGCAAGGAAGTCCCAGAGTATAAGCAGGGCTATTCCATAGTGGAGTGCCGATAGATTGCCCTTTCTCTGGATGTCGAAGTTTCCACCACTGTATGAAGGAGAAGTGGTCATGGAAATTGTAACCGACTTCCGGGGCATCAACTAGTTGCGTGATACCATGCTTCGCAAGTTCATCCGCTGGCCCAATTCCGGAGAGCATTAGAACCTGTGGTGTGCGATACGCACCAGCCGAGACAATAACCTCTCGCGATGCGAAGTATTTTTCTCCCCCTACCACCTCAACCCCTGCTGCCACTTTCTTACCATCACGCTCCTCGAGGAGAATCCGCTTCACCATGGTCTCAGTCATGACCGTGATACCGTGGCAATGAGATATGCCATAAGCTTCACTGGAGATTTGGCGCTGTCCTCCACGCCAGTTCTCAACTAACTCGCCTAGTCCCTTCGGCGATCCAGCATTTGCATCCTGGACATACTCCACACCGAGTCTGGCCCAAGCAGCCCGCAGGGGTTCTCGCAGGGAGTACCGGCGGTCAGGACTGCTCGATGAGACGGAAGCATTATGTATAGGTCCACCCGTACCATGCGAAACAGGATCGGCGTTAGCACCGTAGTACGTCTCTGTCTTCTTGAAGTATGGTAGCAGGCCGTAATAGCCCCAGCTCTCGTCGCCGACCAGCTTGCCCCAGAGATCATAATCGGCGGCATTTCCGCGAGTCCATGTACCGTAGTTCGTGACAGAGCCGCCTCCAAGGGCTTTGCCTGCGCTGTTGTAACATTGGCGGCCGTCCAGACCGGCCTGCGGCACCGTTGTATAGGCCCAGTCCAGTGGGGAATAATGGGCCCCAAAAGATGCAAGAGGGGAATTGGCGAGAGGATGGTGGGCAGCGTTGACTCCGGCTTCGATAATCAAGATATTGAGGGAGTTATCCTTGTCGTAAAGCCGACGGGCGAGTGCGCACCCAGCTAGCCCCCCGCCGATTATAACGTAGTCTTTTGGAGCGTTAGCCATTAGGGCTGTCGATATTCAGACTTCCTCTGCTGTTTTTGAGTATAACTCAACCAAATGAGGGGTTGGCAGGTTAAATAGAAATGTGTCCTATTACGCGAGAATTCAGAGACGTATCATATGCATGGCAAGTATAGTTTTTAGTTTTCCTGATTAGGCAATGTTGATGGATCGCGCAGAATTGCAACTTGGCCCCACATCGTCTCTACCAATTTTGCCGACCCCGCCAACCATCGTGCTGCTTTGCTGTTGGGAGAAGGGCTTAGAATCAACGTTCTGGTTTTTCAGATGCTCGTACTTCCACGGGTAGGTAGTTTAACGGAGTTTTGCCATCCGTCGCCGGTGTACCGCGCGTATTCCAATCCTCACCTGGCCGATATGTTACATCAACAGCGGAGATTGTGGCCTAAGGGATCAACGAGCAAGAATAACCTATCGGATTTATATTGCTTGTTATTTGATCCGAGGCAAGCTTGTTGGTCATCTGCATCAATGAAGGTTTTCTTTCAACCGCCAAGTATGTCAGTTCATAGGCTTTTTAAAGAGGTAGATATTGAATAAATCTGTAATAATTTACTAAAGGTATTTTTCGCCAAGTTTTGTGATATGAACGCAATTTCATAGTCTTAACTATACGATCAAGTAAGAACGAGCCACAGTTTTACATTCAACAAGGTGCTCTAATTAGTAGGTGAAAGCGAGTCCGGCCCTCGCCCAGAAGCAAGAAGACAAGCATATTCAGTGCTTCGCCTGTAGCAGCGTCCATTCTTCACGAACAATGTTTGGCAGTTCTTCTTCAAGGCTTGGCCCAGTTGGTTTCCACCCCAGTAAGTGTCGAGCTCGAAGCGCGCGGCATCTCACATTCAATCCCCAGCTAGCGGCCTCGTATCCGGCATATTCCTGAGCGACTTTGGCGTCCAGTGGCTCTGTCTCAGGCGCCGGGATATACCCAAGCTCGAAGGCAATTTTAGCGACCCTTTTTGCTACATCGCCCCAAATGTGTTCACCACTCTCCGCGAGATAATATGCCTCAGGGCCCCAAAAGCCATCGTGACCTTGGAATGCAGCGTCAAAAAGAGCCAAAAATAGAGTGGTCACATCAGCTATATGAATTGTACAACCGAACGAAAGTCCTTCTCCGATAACAGGGGCCTTTTTCCTTAGTATAGTCCACTTTGAGAGTTCGTAGAGTTGTCTACTGCGCCTTGAGCAGGGTCCGCGACCGTGACCTAATAACTTAAGCATTAGCTGTAGACTAGAAAGTAGATAGAAGTGATATTCCTACCAAAAACGGTATTCGGAGATATGATGGCTGCTTTAAGGGTCTCAGGATGCTTGGCCGTAGCTTCCAGCACAAATTTGTCGACATTGCGATGAAAGGCATGGTCCGGCATGGTAATGATTTCTTTTATCCCTTCGAGATCGTCGAAAGTTTTCTCTCGCCTGATACCGTACGTTTCATTGTCAGTATCGATATAGCTGAAGATACCGGCGCCACTTGTATGAAGCCAGTACACTGGCCGATCAGGAGAATGCCCCTTGAGTATGCCTGAGTAAATGGCCTGGGCCGCTTTCAGGTTGTCCGCTGCATCTGCTGTGTCTGGTTTGTGTCAGTTGCATGTTTCTACATGCGGTAAGTGGATATCCGTTCTTACGAATAATGATATCCGCATTAGCGCTTTCGGTTTCCAAGATAGTCTCATCGTCAAGGCCACCATATACAATTTCGACGGTAGGGTACGCTGCTTTGATCTGACCGCCTTTCTCAAGACCACGGACTAGAGCTCTGTAGTTCAGATTGGGGTAAATTTGGCTGAGCTGTGAGAGCAAGTCGCCGCCAATATAGCCACTAGCTCCGGTGCTGTTGATCTGTTAGTTTAGTATTGAGTGTCTACTAGAGAGACTCACATGAAAACTGTTCTAGCCATTTGGAGACCCAAATCTGTGTACATTTGGGTGTTGTTTGGGGCGAGTGTTTCTCAGATTTGTAGTTCATATTTTGATTTATAAGCATCTGCGGGGGCCAGAAGATGGATTTACACTACACGGCAATGTTCTATAATTAGGGAATACTATATGTCAGCAGCTCTTTACCAATCGTGCAAGTAGCAAGAGAAATCCCAATGCAATTCTCTCGTTCCATGCGATTGGTGACATAGAGCACACGTCCTAACTCACAGCGTATTCGCCCAATTGATCTGCCTGGACCAACCTTGGAGAATGGATTATCCAACGGTAGAAGTCTCTGGTTGCTGATGCCAAGGGTTAGCGATACAGTAGTATGAATATGAGGAAGTAGTTGTGGAGCTTGGCAATAGTTGGATAGAATAGAGAATCTGAACCGATATTGGGTTCGACGTTAGCGGGTCACGGAAGAGAGAACTTTGGCTTCAGAGATTGGCAGAAAGTCTACTGCTTACGGGATGATGGGCGACGATGTGAAGGCAATTAGCAACTATATCCAAGAGCTATGTTTTTAGTAACTATATATCTAGTGCTCTCTTCGTGAAATGGGGAATGGGTTAGCTGTATCGGTGCAAGAGTATCATTACCCTGAACTAGTTGTGGGAAACCAAACTATGTTACAAACTTGAAAACGATACGTATGTATTTGTGGGTAATGCTGATGATTTTTGCCTCATCCGATTCTATCGTAAGTACGAGAGCAAGGAGAATATATGTACAGTGAGATGTGGAAAAAGAATTGGAGGACTAAGACGTCGAGGAATGTGTTCGGAGAAGACTACCTATGCAGGTAATTGGATTTTCAAGGCGCAACATCCGTTGCTAAAAGCTCACTCGAATCCTTTAGTCACTTGAATCATTTAGTCGCTATGCTGCCATGATAGTCTTGGCATCGAGCTATGTAGAGACCTGAACAGATCGTAGGTGATGTATTGGATCATCTTTGCTACAGCGGAGCTGCCGATTTAACATTCTAACCTTTTCGGACAGGCTCAAATCATCGTTAAAGCTCATGTATTTTGTGCATTAGTAGTATGCAAGCTGTGTTAGTTTGAACGAAAGCATACAGGGCGCTTTTTGTCATGTAGCCTGTTAATGAAAGCATACCCTATCTAGAATGCCGCGGGCGGCATTCTGGAACCCTAATTGCAGAACATACTTAACAAATCATGCCGTCAAGAATGACCACTCGTCTGCCTCCAAAGGGACTGTGTGCCGGGTGAAGAGCGATTAACAGCAAACTAGACCATTCAGAATGAAAAGCTGGAAGGAGGCGGAGAGACAAAACGATCTTAATCACAGGTGCGCCTCTGGCTTAGGGCTGGAAACAGCACGTGCGCTATGTGGAACGCAGGCAACCTTGTATCTTATTGGTCGCGATGTCGAAGAGCTAAGGACTCTGGGTGATATCCTCCAGCTTGGTCTTGTCCATATTCTCGAACTCGATCTTTCATCTCTGGAGAGCGCCCACGCTTGTCTTGCAGAGTTGCTCATCAAATCCGCGTTCGTCCCTCAACATTCTTATTGGGAACGCAGGAGTCATGATCCCTTGAAGGCCGCACAGCAAATTAGTTTGAAGAGCAGTTTGGCACCAATAACCTTGGTCGTGTACTTCTATTCCATATCTTCAGGCCGACCCTATTAGCATAATCTATACAGGATTTCCATTCCCGCGCTGTGACCTTGGCTTCTAGTGACCATGGATATTCTGGGGCTAATTTCGATAACATCACTTTTCGAGTAGTATGGTCTCTCAAAGGCATATAGTCAGAGAAAAAAAGGGTTAATGCCTGAAATCTTACTGAGACTGGACGCCTTATACGTCCAGTGGGCTAAATGTATTCTCTATCAAACCGAGCACTATTACGACGAACTTGGCTCTAGTATATGTCAAGCGAATTCCTTGAAAGCCAGGGCCAGGATCATAAGCCCACTGCTTTAATTAAGCACCCTAAACAGGGAGCTGTAAAAACGGTGTGGCCTGCTGTACGAAAAGTGCTTCATAGTATAGGAGATCGATACTGGGTAGAGTCAGGTTTCGAAGGCCGATGACCCAGCTCCGGGAAGCACAGGCCCAGGACATACGTCGTAGGTTGTGATAGAAAGAAGCCGGCAAAACTGTGGTCGGTTTCCTTGAAATTGCTGGATAGGGATGGTGAATCTTAAAATAACAGGGTAATTGATCTGTCCGGTGGGCTTACGATAGTATAGCTACAAGCGCAATGGAAAGGATACAAAACGAGATCTACTACCCAATTTTAGAATGCAGGAGGGTTAACCCGTTCACATCATACTTCAGCGTCAGATGTTTATGACAGTAATCTCAAAATTTTATTTTTTAATTTCTTTCTATGAACTTTTTTTCTCCGATATAAAATTAGCATATGGTGATTGACTTTCAGTGGCGACACAGCTACTAGTAAAGTACCAATAAGAGCGACGGGATCAGGAACGGGCCATGCACGTTCTCTTCCACGGTATGGCCTTATGCGCCGATGCTTGTATGACTACTGGGCCGGAAGGGTCTTTCCGTCATTCCATTCTCCAAGTCGGCACTTTTATTGAACTATGAAAAATCTTCGGGCCTGAAACCGAGCGCATTGATAGCGGCTATTCTCGGTTGGCTTCGGCGGTGACCTAAGGTCCACTGCTGTGTTCCTGACACTCGCCACGTTGCCGCCAATAACCGAGAACGCTGTCCGAGTCCCGAGGATTTGATTGGTCGTAGTTCCGACTGTCACATGGCGGTGTGGCTCGTGCACGTTTCTATAACATCATTTTTGCCATGAAAATCTTTATCGCGGAAAAGAATGGGTCCTACCGATATCCAGGTCAGGCTCTGTTTGGCAGCAAAATGACGGTGGACTCTTCATTTGGATGGAGTACGCGAGTCCAGAAGAAAATGATGTGAAAAAAAGGGCCCAGTTGGGCCTGTGGCTCTGCCCATGCCCGTGTATATTAGTAGCAGTTCGGGACCGTCCTCTGAGAATTCTGTTGAATTCTCAAACGCATCTATCTTTGTGTACATACATCTAATATAATTGTATCTGGGTTGCAATGGACCACCATCGGGGCAACTTCCCGACTTTCCAAGAAGCCCAATGCAAACGCCCGTCCATCGATGAGACCGATACTGATAGCGAGGATTTGTCTGACGAGACGGCAAACCATGTCAACTCTTTGGAGCTCGAGCGTATAAATACCTATCGCCTTCAGCAAAAGACAACAGTGGGCTCAACTCGAGGCCCTCTGCCGCGGGAGCAATGGCTACCTATGGGTGCTGGGAAAGAATATCCCCCATTACTCCCCGATCCCGAGCAATATGTGGTCGAGTTTGATGGACCGGACGATCCATTACATCCCTATAACTGGTCCATGCTGAGAAGGTTTGTTTGTCCCACAGTACATCGTATGACGTAAATATCCGTTGACTAATTTGATGTTTGCTTAGAGCTTTGCTTGTATGCATCCTATGTTACTCCACCTTTGCTGGATCGTTCGCTAGTGCCGTCTTCTCCGCCGCTATTGGATCAGTTAGCGAACAATTTCACATTAGTACCGAGGTGGCATCGCTAGGTGTCGCATTGTATGTTTTAGGATTCGCTGCAGGTCCGACGATATGGGCTCCAGCATCTGAACTTATCGGACGACGCTGGCCGTTGTCCATCGGCCTCTTCGGATGTGGTATCTTTAGCATTGCCTGTGCCACCGCAAAGGATACACAGACTATTATGCTGAGCCGATTCTTCGCCGGATTGTTCGCTGCTAGCCCTGTATCTATTGTTCCTGCCGTTTTTGCCGATCTATTCAACAATGCACAAAGAGGTATCATCATGTCCATCTTCTGCATGGCTGTATTTATTGGACCGTTTGCTGCTCCTTTTGTCGGCGGGTTCATCGCCATGAGCTCCCTTGGATGGCGCTGGACCATGTACATATCCGCCATCATGGTATTCCTGGGCTTTATCCTCGTTCTCCTCTTCCTAGACGAGTCCTATCCTCCCGTGATCCTAGTCCGCAAGGCCGCAAACCTTCGCCGGCAAACACATAACTGGGGGATTCACGCCAAACAAGACGAAGTCGAAGTTGACTTTATGGAGCTTATACGGAATAATTTCACGCGCCCGATTACTATGCTATTCACCGAGCCTATCCTCCTGCTTATCTCACTTTATATCTCCTTTATATATGGCCTCATGTATGCTTTGCTCGGGGCATACCCGGTTGTCTTCCAAGGCGTCTATGGCATGAACATGGGTGTTGGAGGCCTTGCATTCGTTGGTCTTATTTTAGGCGAGCTGCTCGGCGGCGTGTTTGTGCTCTTTCTGCAAGGCTCCTACAAACGCAAACTCGCAGCCAATGGAGACAAACCAATTCCTGAATGGCGTCTTTCACCTGCCATTATTGGCGCCATTGCGTTCACAGCGGGCATGTTCTGGTAAGCTACGCGGATCCTTGCTACCTGTCTGATTATCTCGTGATGGCATATACTGACAGTGTATATAGGTTTGGCTGGACTGGCTACACATCCTCCATCCACTGGATGGCCCCCATGGCCTCTGGCATCCTTACCGGCGCAGGCATCTTCCTCATTTTCTTACAATGCTTCAACTATATTGTTGACTGCTATCCCACACTGTAAGCTCTCGCTGGCTAATCACAACCGCACTATCCTTAGACAAGATAACTAACACAGCCTAGTGCGGCATCCACAATTGCAGCAAACACTATTCTTCGCTCCGGAGTCGGCTGTGCATTCCCTCTCTTTTCAAGACAGATGATGCAGAATCTTGGCGTTCAATGGGCCGGGACTATGCTGGGCTGTATTGCGGCCATTATGATTCCCATCCCTGTTGTATTCAAGGTATACGGTCCTTGGTTGAGGGCTAAGAGTAGACTGGCTTGCTCACCGGTTTACGATGTCGAAAAGAAACCTTATGATGCATGATCTTTGATGTCTTGTATAAAAGTTTGTTAGTTTGTTTTTCAGCGAAGATACCATTTGCATAGCGTGTGATATGGTGTTGTTACAAATGAAGTTATTATTGGATGTATATTTTGGGTTACGAGGGACTGGAATTCTGTAAATTATATACCCGGCACTTATCCTAGTGGATCGAATCTATTACGAGAAACGTTTTGAGAGAACCTTATGTAGCCTAAAAAAAAGGCTGGTAGTATTAGACTAGACTGAGATGCCGCTAACTATATGTGACGGTAATTTTGTATAGAGTGATGCCACAAAAGACTGATTCGCATTCTACCTGCACGAGAGTCATGTTAGATGAAGGCACTTAGTTATATATCACCATGGAATTTAACCTACTGCTTTGAGGGCCTTAACAATGAACGACAGGCATCACTCCCGCAGACAATATATATACCACTCAGCACAGTGACCATCTTTCCTTTCTAGGATCTTGGAGAACACATGATTGCAGTCTCATAGATCATAGTTCAGGGAAGCTGTTACATGGTATGCAAAGGGAAGATACGAAATGTACTGCATCTAATAACCATCCGCAACAATGTTGCTGCAGAAGTCATAGTTACGCTCTGTCATGACATTGTGGTTTCGTGCAACTCTCAGCCGCTAGATTTACCGAGAGTCTGGGAGATGCAATGAAAAAATGGGAAACCACAAAAACATACAACAGCTGGGATTCACTGGTAGTCACCCACCCAACTACTAACCGGCCGGCGTGTGGCTTTAATGTGGCCAGAAGTCGGGTGGCTGCCGCCCGGGTGAGCTAGCGGGTGAGCCGCTTTACAGTCGCGCGACCTTGGGTGAGCTTGGGTGAGTGCACAATAGATAGGGTGAGCCGCCAGCCATCACTCACCCGATCGCGCGACCTCACCAAAACTTACCCAAAAGTGAACCTTACTACCTACCCACTTTGCTTATATGCTTACTCTTCTATTGAAACACTTTTGTTCTTGGCTGCTAGGCTTCGCCACAATTTTGGACTTCGCCAAATAAATAGGTGTTGAAATAGATGCTTCTATTTCTCTTATAAAGCAGAACTTGATATATTATTGTCTTTAAAATGAAAACATACCGTTGATATCAAAAAAACAGCGTTTCAGGGAAAATAAGGCATATCTATGTAAATTATGCCAGATATGGATAAATCGCTAGTCAATTTGGAGACATACTGGTAGGCTTGATTCCTTACAGTAAATTTATGCTAATCTAGCCTCAGGCAATGTAACCCACGATGGAGCTGATTCTGGAAATCTGCGGCGTACCTTGAGTATCTGAAGGTTAAACCCAAGTGTCTTTGCTCTTTTTTGATCCCAACTAGGAGTACCATTTCAGAACCTCTTCCCATGAGTCAACTGATTGGGATCTGAAAAACCACTGCAACCAATACCCAAACCGCCCAACCCCATTCGTGTTGCGACTGACGTCCGCTCTTTCGTAATAGCACACGGGGCGACTTTCTAGTGTGAGATTTCTATGCCCTGAAACGAACGAGGAACGAAGTGAGAGGAAGGGAAAAAGTCAACAAGGCCGCGAGGCCGTACGCAAAATGAAGTGCGATTTCTATGTAGAGAGACTGCTGCCACGTGCGCTTCTCATTTGTCCCCAAATCCCCCTCTTCACATTGGTTTTGTCTTGGCTTTAGGGTTCTAGGACTTTATCCACATGTTTTGCTTTCATAATTGCACTATTTTCTGTTTTACTGAACTTTAGTGCGCTCATATTAATATAATATACTTTAATATACTACCATACGTGGTGCTACTGTAATACCCTGTCTGCATTATATTATATACTCTTTGAGTTATACTATAAATGCTACTTCTCTGAAGAAGTTGACCTATCTTCCTGAGTTTCTCTCATTACATTATTTATTTAGACTATTACAAGCAGACAGCTTCATGTCATGGCGCTTGAATATTATTTTACTGAAGTTATAGACAAGTTTCCAGTAAATATTTTCTCCGATAGGGCTGATATATACACTAGAGAACATTAAAAATAGAATATATAACTATACAGATAGCCTTAATATTATAAATTATGATTAGCTTGGCCCACTTTACTTTCTTCTCTATTGATAAAATATAGATTATTAACTTTTAATATATTATTGTATTATCTATACACAGTCGGGCTCTATTAAAAATACTATAGAAAGCGGACTTTAAGTGAAAATAATGATCTGGTTAATATTTAGCTATATCCAGAGTTTTCTCTCTAAGTATCCTCATTTCTATACTAAGCTCCTCTATTTTCTCCAGCGTCACTCACAATCTTATTCTCCATGTCTACACCAATATCCTTCATAATTATATTCTCTATGTCCATACTAATATCCTTTATAATCACATCCCCATCCCTAACCATATATTTCTCAGAATTACCGATTCTATCATTATCTTCCTGCCCTTCATGACTAAATATATCCCAATCTCGAGCTAGTATCCTGTCTATATTACCGTTGTCAAGATACCCATCTATCAATACTGAAGAGAAAATAAAAAAGATAACTATAGATAAATCATACTTAAATATATCTCTTTACCCTGTACTACCTTCATATCAATTCTCACACTGCCTGCAATACTAGTCTATAAATTACCGGCCTTTATCCCTCTATTAGGCCGTTCTGCCCCCGCAGTCTTTTCGCGGGGTATACTAGTACCTGATTATCCATAGTTTTTTCTATAGTATTAAATGTTTCGGCCTTTATGCGGGATATACTAGTACCCTATCACCTATAGTTTTATATATAGCATTGGATATTTTAGCCTTCAGCCACTGTTTCATTAAGATATCATGGCGTTTCTCGCACGGGCTGTTATAAAACAGTGGTATAACTCTGTTATAATAATCCCCTCCAGTTAATCAACCTCAGACTAAAAATACTTGACATAGTAAACTTAGGTTGGGCCGAACCTCATGAGAGCCTGTCCTGATAAAACAACTCTATGCACAGTATACCCATAAAATCCACAATTCAGATCAAAATAATCGTTTCAGGGCATCAGCATGCGAAGCGCGCGTCTTCCAGTCTTAATCACATAGAAGATTAGCCCCGTTATGGCTAGACCAGTATTCGAGATCTGTTCCGTGGCTGAATGGTATATGACCAAACGCGTAAAAAATAGGTCAACTGTATGTTCACATGTCTTTACAGCCCTAAAAATAAGTCAACCCCGCCATTTCCTCTACGCTCTACATGAAATTGACCCGTAGAAGATCCAATAACTCGTGGCAGACCGTATTCACTGGCAAGACGTAATATCGCCCGCCTTCACTTTCACTCTCCTGAGATGCCAGTGGTATAAATCAAAAACTCTTGAGGGGCATTTTTCAGTTATCACTCCTCGCCTTTCACGGTTCATTCCTCTGATTGTTCCCTTGCAAGAATGAGCAACGAGCCCTTGAAGAGGTACTTTTATCGCTGCTTTTCAAAGCGCAGTGCAGGAGCCTTGAAATGTGGTCAGAATCGTGTCGGCCCTCCTCTCTTAAAGCCAGAACTACTTCTGCAGTTCGAGCGCCACAGCATATTGGAAAACCAGAAACCTACTGCTCTGGTTTCTGTCGGTGACCGCCTGATTGAAGCCCTTCATCACGCTTTCGTGAAATACTACAATCGACATGAGCGAGCTGGTGACATTTGGATTGCCATCATCTCGAATTCAGCGGGTGGAAATGAAACATCACCCTACCATCATGCTGAAAAGCTTGCCCATGAGCTAGGTAAGAGCCCTAAGGACAGTCGAAAATTCAAGCACGAATACGTATTTGAATGGGAAATTCCAGACCAATATGTTGAGCACATGGTCTCCGTTGAGACACTTCTTGATCGCGGATTGAATCTGGATTCATATCTCGAAGGTGATCATTTGCCAGACCTTCGAGGGTTCCGGAGCTCAATGATCGACATGTTCCTAGGCGATGACGGACTTTGCGTTGGGAGAGAGCTAGGTCGCATGGCCCGATGTTTTGGCGCTAGAGCTCCGGTGAAGGAAATTGCCAACAGCATTCTTACTGATTGTCCTATATGCATCTCATTTGACGGGGAGACACAATACGTGGAATGGACAACCACATACGAGTCTGATACCGATGCGTATACTTTCGCGTATATCGACTTCGAATACTTTTACTGGATATCACAGGGAATCACCGAAGCCCTCTTTGATTTATGGCTTGCGGACGCCTTTTTCCTAGGTAAATATATTGTACATGTTGAGTGGGCCAATGACCTGACAGCAGAGATGGAGATTCTATGGGAACTTTACTCCGATAATCGTCACTATGAAGGATGGGCTGCGGTCGACTCGGACTGTATCGCAGACGACGCACGAGAACTGGAAATGCGGGAGTGTGAAATTCACGACCTAATTGAGAGGGACGCACTATCTATAGGGCTTTGATTGACTCTAAAATCGCTGTGATGGTTTGATAAGACCTCAGAATAACTTTCATTTCATGCGTTAAAGCTTTCCCTCAACACCAAATAATTTGCCAGAAATCATACACGAAAGGACCACCTTCTTCTAAAAGTTCCTGGAAATATTTATTCTCACCAATTTGACCAAGAACAGAAACAACATAACGTGTTACAAAATTCCTCATGGCATCAATCTTATTGCCGTAAGTTGGGGTGTTTGAGTAGACAAATCGAACAAATTCAATAATACCACACACTCCTGTGTCATACAGCTTAAAGTTTTTCAGTGTTTGATGCAATTTAGAAAGTACCAGCTGGCACAACGATTCTATGCCGTATTTGTCGGCCAGCACGTATAGTCGGGCTTGGTCGAGAAACACAGGGGTGAAATCTTCCCAGGACCCGGTATTTTCAGGTGGTGTGAAAGTATAGTCTAAGTCGCCACTTTGCGGGCTCGGAACGACGAGGCTCTCTTCAAATGCATCGCGCAAATGTCCAGTCCAGACGCTTCTCTCCCTATATGGAATTTCCGGGTCATCACAGAAAGCGTCTTCGGGTGGAGAGTCTGACTTGGGAGCTCCGTCTGGAGGGGCCTCTAATTCAGGCTCAGGCTCCGTTACAGGCTCAGGCTGAGGTGCAGGCCCCTGTACAAGCTCGCCCCAGTTCACATTCGAGCGGCGTGTTTTGCGTTTCTTCTTTTCCTTTACGGTTTCTGTGACCTTTATGGAAGGAGACTTGTCATCGATCAGGCGAAATGACGGGGGCGTGTAGTTTCGGAGATAGGCAAATTCACATAACCGAGCGAATGTGTCTAGATCGACCTCGGACCAGTCAACGTGCCTAGTTTTTGCCTCGATCATTTCACCAGTCATAAGAGTGTTCAGGCTTTGAGAAAGCCCTGCCAAAGGAGAAGAATGCACGATTACTTCCTTCTTATTGGCACCAACTGTGAAGGTGAACAAGGGGGAAGAAAGATATCTAAGAGTGTTAGACCCGGACCATGTCAAGATTGCTATAGATCACCCACTTCCCGAAGGCGCCCTCCATCTGGAATGATGATTACTCAGAGACACAGAGACAAAAACACCGTTTCGTGTAAGAGGAGCGACGGATATGAGAAGCATTTGCAAGATAGTGTTTATGTTTAGGACACTTCATCCCACGCTACGTGCGTTACAGTCATGGTGGCTTACTGATGTGTCTTGACTTAATTGGTTGAACTGTCGGGTCGCTCATCTGCACCTATCAGACGAAAAAATGACCCAGTACTCTCGACATAATACTATTATTAGCACGAATACTTTCACTGAATAGTACAGTGTACCAAACTCGGTGCTCAGCCGTGACTCGTGAATAAAGACATCTCGGCTGATGCTCACAAACAGACACAGGAAGGAATGACATAGAGACCGAGCAACGAGGGAGTAGCATGGAGCCTAGTCTGCCAACCCAGGAGTGACCTAGACTACCTTCCTAGAAAGATATAACTGGTGGAGTTATACAATACGCATTTATAGCATCGCATTTTGCATGCCACCCCACCCATACCGCTTCTTCAGATATTCGGTCAGTCCCGAATAAGAGATAGGATACGATTCATAAAATGTCTTAAAATGATCAAGTCTAGAGCCTTTTTGGGCTCTACTCGGTGATATTGCTTATTCTGATGATATCTACGATTCTTGTATCATTCTTGACTTGCTTATGTTGATCCATGCCCTGAAACGAAGGAACTGAGTGAATGCCCTGAAATGAAGGAACTGAGTGAAAGGGTTAACTACCGCCCGTGAGCTGCCCGCAAAATGTCACTGTGATTGCACTGCGCCAGCCTTTGCTCTGATTGGCTGTGCTCTCATGCCAAGACATTCTTTATTGGTTACCATATTTCACAGTAATGGGATCTTCTTTTCTATGAGTTGCTGTTTTGCCTAGGGTTTTATTTAGTATCTAGATGTCTATTGCACTTTAATATACAAGGAGAATCTGCTGCTTCTATATCCATGTCTTGGCTTAGTATCTTTGATGTAACTGATTTTAAAATCTAAACTCTTTCATGTTATTTATTTGTCAATTATCCTTGTATATGTAAACTGTCCGCTTCCCTCTCCTTACCCTTTACAACCATGAGAAAGAATACAAGGATCATGTAGATGAAAAATCTCTCTGTAGTCTCTATATATAAAATAGCAACTGTATCTATGCTTGCTTTTTTCAATATTTTAAATGCCCTACACTTATAGCCCGTCCTACAGTCTGACCTTTCCTAAATAATAAGTGCTTATTGATATAGCTTCAGTCTGTTCTGGATACCTGAGACCGTGGGATCAAAATTAATATAAGACTGGTGATACTTGCCGCCGTTGCTCAATACTGTGGCCCTCAAATTACTGCCTGAATCTAAGGTCTTAATCTTCTACTCAAAATTCCATAACAATACCCTTACGCACATTGGAACTATTATCTTCTATTAAATAACAAGAGTTAAGCATTGTGCTAGCCTTTTAGGGAAAATAGCTAACAATATAACTTCCTGCTCTTAGAATCTCTATAACTGCTTACTTCCTAAGTAAACATGGAAGCATATTTGTCTTTATAAAATACTGGTCTCCGGAAGCTCATCTATTTCTTGTTTTTAGTTATCTAATACAAATGCTCATTCTTCTCCCTTCTTTCTACTTTACAGAACCAATCTATTGTACCTTGTATGACTGGGCCACCTTTTCTTATGCAACCTCATCTGTCAATAAATTCAAACTGCAAACTCGGATGCGACTCTTTGCTTCTATACTAATGTCTTATCGTTTCAGGGCTTACGGCGTGCGGCAGCGCGTGTCACCAGTGTAGAGACGCAACTGCCACGCGCACTTCCTGTTCGTTCGCGGGTTGCTGTCTTCGGGTTGGCCTTGTCTTGGCTTTAGAGATTCTATTTGGGTTATCTATTTGTGTTGTACTCTTTTAGGTTGTGATGTATATCCTGCATCAACCACGCTCCCGTCACTGCTTCTTTCCTTCTGAGAAAATAACTTGCTCTCTTTATAGAATTCCGGTTTTCTAGACCAGTGCTTTTACGCCTTCCCTTTCCGCTTTTCTGGTAAGGTGCGCTAGACAAGGGTCTAATAAAATGCAACCCCAGAGCAGAAGAGAGTGTAGAATAGATTACGATTCGGCCAGAGACATAAAATATATAGTGAAATAAGTCGGATATTAAGATAAAGCTTGCTCAGTTCAATAGTTGGTTTTACCTAATCCAATATGACTTTAGTTAGATTCTCTCTCCCGGATTATTCGTCAATATACTGCAAGCGGCTGTTGAGCACCTAAAAGTAGACATCGTAGAAGAGTCACGACTGATAAAGAAAGAACCCATTTTGCTGTAACTGCATGTTAGGCTCTTCAATTCATCCGTAGTCTGTGCCTTCTACAGGTGATGATGTCTGGATTACCTTTCTTACCTTGGTTTGAGCCTCCTAGCAGACTTGATATACTGTTGAACGCGTCTCCGATGTCTCTCCTTAATTGTATCCGCAGCCCTTGTAGTCTCGGGCAGTCTATCACTACATGGGCGACCGTCTTCTGTGCGCCGCACGCGCACTGATCATTGTTGCGGAAGTTGTGTTTCTTGGCAAAGATAGATAACCAGTTATGGCCCGTACATAGCTGCGTAAGCAGGTATGCTCGGTTCCTGGACAAGGATCCATATAACTTCCGGGTGTATTTCGCGGGCAGAGTACTGTCAATCTTCTGTAGATAGTCCTCTTTAGTGCTGGAGCTCCACTTGTGCTTCCACTGGGCATAGATTTTGTCACGGATCAATGCTATCTCCCTTGTCAGGAGCGGACAGAAGAAGTGGGTTTGACCTGGGTATACAGCGGCTTTGGCTAGTTAGTCTGCCGTGTCATTGCCGGGGTTGTCACAATGGCCTGGTATCCATTGGAGGCAGAGTGTGATATTCTTTGCCTAGATCTCAGTGGCTGCTTAAATGATAGTATGGATGATTTGTTGTTCTAATAGGTTCTTTACGTGTTGAATTGCTTGCAAGGCTAATCCACTATTATACAGGATAGTTGCAGTAGTTAGTCCGCCCTCACTATCACTTGAGCTCTGATAGAATATCTTGAATACCATGCTAATAGTGTAGAAAATGCCTATGAGTTCCGTGACATGGACTGATCAGCGGTCTATTAGCTCTATCTGTACCTATCAGGATTTAATAATCTTCTGGTCATTACCAAGTGCGGTGACAGCGGCCCCTAGATAGCTGTCTTGCCTGGAGATATCTAAATAGACAGTAATATTAGATATAGTTTATACAGTCTTTACTTTCTTTCTTGCTACTTCTTGGTCTATTTTAATCTTAATCTCTGCAAAGGTCTTGACTTGCCATGGTGGTAGTAGCTGTAGATTAATTATTTCTAATTTATTCAGTTAATCTATATTTATAGTTTTCAGTACTTTAGCTAACAGGAATCGTGTGTATATTCTAATTTATTTCTATATTTCTGGGCTCAGAGCAACATGTCCCAGATAGGGTGATTGTGAGATAGTGAGTGTAGTCTGGCAATACTCTGCTAGGCGCAGTGGCGGAGATAAAGGTATATAAGAAGAATATAGGCTTCCACTTCCAGTATTACAGTTGCCACTATTCTGAATACTGAGAGAATACAGATCAACAGGGTTCTCTATACTGTATTTAAGTGTTATAGATATGTCTTGTCCTGCAGCAGGTTGTGCCAGACTGTTGATATACAGTCCACGATAGGTGTGATATATGCTTAGTAGAGTTGGCGTATCTGTTCAGGGTGTAGATATGGTAGTCCAGTCAGGGCAATGGTTGTTTTTGTTGCGCGTTTGATAGCCTGTTATATATACTTCTTCTATTGCAGTTCCCGGTCAAATATCACCCCCAGAAGCTTTGCCGTGGATGATGATTGAATTACCATGCTATTCAGGACTATCTATTCTTCCAGATGTTTGCCCTTCTTCCTGGTAAAGTGGATGAGCTCAGTTTCCTCAGCTGCAAAGCAGGACCCGGTCCGCTGTGCCCAGGTCTCAATTCAGGGGATATCTTCAGATTATATCCGGGCTACATTTTCCTCGGCGGAGCGGCCTACTCGCTATCGAAAGTAATCATTAATGAAGGCTGATGCCCCTCCATGGATATTGACGGGTTGTTCAACCATGTCCGTGTTGAAGAATGTAAATAGAATTGGGGAGAGTGGTGATCCTTGTGCTAGTCCTGCATTTACCAGTGGTTCCATAGCAGTGCGAAAGACATCAAACCCAATGCTTGCGAGTCGGTCGCTTATAAAACTTGCAATCCACTTCCTCGCTACTGTGGGGATCCTTCTCGCCCGTAGGCAAGCGTCCAGGCTTCTTTGGTTAACTCCGTTAAGCCTTCTACAGGTGATTTCAAAATTAGTTTCGATACATTTTCTTGCAATTTACTACTAAGCCCTAATGCTAAGGCACGGTAACATATATAAAGCTTATATATAGGATGAAAACAGCTTGAAACCTCGATAGGCACAGTATAGAGATAGAATATCATCGTCATAGACAGTAGTTAGATCTAGGATTCCAGAACTGTTTTCAGATTATTTTTTCCGCGTGACTAATTCTTTAAATTAAATCCAATATAAAATACTGTAAAAACATTAGCCTATCATAAATATGATGTATCTACTACCATCCTGAGTGATGAGATTAATAATAGCTCTATGACCACGCCCCTACTACTATCCCTGCGTCAAGGTTTACTACGCGTCATACTCAGCTGGCTACTATCGTTTGCGGCAAAAGCTCGATTGGAGGGGTAACCTGCTTCAAAGTCTGAGAGGAGTGCTTTTACCCTGCTTCTACTCAAGGACTTCTTTCTATAAGAAGTCCTCAGAAGTCCTCAGGACACCCTTAAACCAGGCATTCTTATATTTAAATCAACTTTATTAGACTACTGAAGCATAACCTGTTTTTAGTATACCTTGCTCGATATGTCTGACAAGAAAGATCCGGTACGATTTTCAATATTATGGTTATACTTAACTAATATTCCTAGGGCCCATGCTTACCCTGGGTTGTTATTGAGTCCTTTACCCGGCTATTTGAAAAATTGTAAGTTTTGAAGCCCTTTTAAGCTACTGATAACCTTTGCTAAGATATAAACTGAATTAAGGACAAAAATGGAGATAGTATTAATTTAAACCCATATGTAATTCATATAAATCACTAAATGTTGCTATGTAGGTATCATAATAGATGAGATTACAAACGCAGCCCAAAAGAAGGGCGAGGTGAAGAAATTTGTTGAGTTTATCAATCAGTTCGACGTGAACAAAGATCAGAGGATTACATATATTGGTATGATAATCCCTTGAAGTCTAATAATCAATTCACTATAGCTATTCCCTTGTCTCTTCTTCAGATTATGTCTTTTTTGTTTCTTTCCGTTGCTATCAGCTCTGTACTAACAATATATAATAGAATTCTGGAGACACTTCTATAATATGGAGGAAAAGGAAAATTTTCCTAGTTCATATTCGGCCAAGATATAAACAGAATCATATGAAATACTCATGTGCTTGGTCTTATGGTTGGATGGTTATTTATAAGACGACAATCGTCCAATGTATAAACAACCAAACCTTCGTAACCACAACAATTAAGTCGAATACAGTCTATCATTCTTATCTTCATTTTATTGTAGATGCAGTCTTAGATTCAGACATACTAATAGTAGACACTTGCGAATTTGCATTGTTGTAATCAGCAGCTGGATCGCCCGCCGCCTGCTCTGACTACCCAGTCTATAAGGGATTGGTGTTACAGACCCTTCTCTAGCGTACCTTATTAAAGGGAGGACGCGCAAGGCAGAAAACGATAGGAATGCATGACGGAACCAATGAACGACTACCGGAAGGAAGCACACATAAATGTGCCCTATACAGCAGTCTTAGATCGAAGCCTACCAAATCTTGTCAAACGATACGCGTTATCTATGAAGGATGTATCGCAACTCACGTTTATGCTTGATGGGTTTATCCTGAGCGGCATCATCTTCAATGGGACTTTAGTGGGTTATACAGGTCAGACATCAGTTCCTGTTCGCGTGGACAGTTTGAAAGGCCTCTATATAGCGGCTCTTGGTGGGTGTTTTGCCTCTATTCAGATTAAAGATGTGAATGGCTGGCAGTGACAGTGGTATGATCAGTGTCCAGGAAAAGGCACCTTCAGTTACCTAGAGTGGAAGTCGTCTAGAAGTAAGCTTCTGGTATCCTATAATATAAGTTTCTCTTTTGATGTACCAGGCTTTCAATAAACTGATTATCCAGAAGAACTTGAAGGTCATAGAACTAGCTTATCAAAATAATATAGACCAGCATATCTTGTTCCTGACTCAAAATCCCGTGGACTTATCACTTAGCCTGACCTGTCTATACAACCAGCACGAGTGCAGTTATGGCCTGTATACACTTTAGACTTTTACGATAGACTTTTGACAGGTTATCGCTATCAATGTGTATGTTGACCTGATTTGGGGCTAATTTGCCCTCTGTGCGTTGGAGTTTGTCTACAAAGATAGAGTGTACCTACTCGGACCATTGACTATTGATAACTTTAAACTCTCATTTCCTTTGCTCCCCGAGGAGTTTCTTATCACCCTGTCTGTTGATAGTGGCTTGGACGATGGCCATTCAATGCTAACGGTGAGTTCACTATGGTTTACAGCATCATATGCATCATATGTTATCTGACAGTGTTAGTTTACCACAAGCAGAAATTGTTCCGTGACTTTCGGCAACCCGTGTGCAGAAGGATCATATTTAGTGGCTAATATAGCTGGAATTGCGATAGGAAAGATAGGATATTCAATAACATTATTTAGCAAAACTTGCTTATAGAGGAAGTCTTTTCTGGATGAACACATGTCTGTGTTGGGAATATTTCAAAGCCCTCAACGCCCAGTTGTCCATCTGCTCCGAGGCAGAGTAGCTATAAAAGAACATCAATACCGGACTTCAACTGTGAATTTTAACAGCTCCCTATCCATAGCCTTGCAGTCAACTGCGCCTCTTAATGCGGTCTCTATGATACAAGCCTTCCAAGCTAGGAATCAAGGGCCTGCTACTGGCCTTCTACTGTACCACCGAGACCGCTGCCCGGCTGTTCTCGGCGAACTTACTATTGAATCTGCCACAGAAACTGTGGAATTTGGCGAAGACGTCTGAGGACTTACTATTTCCTATCTTCGGACGGAAGTAGTTGCCATATTTATGTATAAAGATTTTTGTAGATAGTCATTCGATCTATTTTGGGCGTCAACACCCTTCCACAGACTACAACACGGTACATTCTGAAAGAATGTGTGCGAGGTGAAATGCCTATGACAAGTACTGATTAGGGTCTCAATTTATGTATGAAAGCTTCATAAACCTATTCCCAATAGCAGCTGCCTCACAGAGAGTATATGGATAGTTTACAAACTTGGATCAAATCATTTGTTCTCTCCGTCATAGCTCGAACGCTGCATAGACATAACCGTGCATTAAAAAATACCTACCTTCTCACCCTGAGCCCTGAAAAAAAAATTTAAAAAGCCACTATGATAATGAACCCCAACCACGGCTATAACCAGGACAGAAGAAAGACACAAACATCTGAAGAAATTGTTAGGATTTCTGATTCCAATTTCCTTTCTTCGAAAAGTGCTTTTGGCAAGATCTGGTTCCCAACCATCCAAGGTCTGTCATTGGACACTATACAAATTAACATGGTCTTTCGTTAGTTATCAGTCGTGTCTAATGTGCTATTCCTAGTTATGAACTTAATGGAAAAAGATGTCCTTCACTGTCCACTGCGGCCTCGGTCCGTAAAATGCGAGTCGAATTGATTGCGAGGTTCTCAAGCTATCGTCTGCGGAATACTTAAATCTACACAGAAAAGACCTGCCCACGAAAGTTAAGGATCTGTTCACGAGCCGTCATCGCTTACAACACGTTCTGCGCCCATCAATCACCCGAAACCAGGTTTGGACCACCACGAAAGTACACCCTAGCACCCATCCGGACTCGACCATTCTGAATGACCGGGTTTCTATCAGTGCCTTTAAAGATACTGATGATGCCAAAGCCATCTGCTCTTGTCCAGAGAGGGAAAATAGCCAGAGATTTGTCCGGGTCCCGCGCTTGAGGGCGAGTTTTTTCTCAGTACCTTCGATCTTTGAGGACTATTTTGTAGTCAGTTTGATCATTATCTGTAATACTAGTACTTTTGGAAAAATTGGCAGGAAGGCTATATGACGGGGATAGGGGCATACCTCAAAGTCCAAGCTTATCCCACCACCTATCAGAGAAACATTGACTTGGGTTCCAACAACTCGGCGAGTAGGAGCATACTTTTTTACAACGACGGTTATTTCCTCGTCAGTCTGGTTAATAACCCAGATGTAGGGAGGAATGCGCCGGACAAAGCGGATGAACTGTCCCAAACTAGACTTCGAATTTGATCGGGTAGCTTCTACATCATACCATTCCCGATATCTCTCCCACTACCAAGCTCACTCTGAAGGCAAGCACAGTCCCTCGAAGTATCCAAGCCCTCATCTTTAGCCCTTTGCGAGACTAACAAGGAGGACCACAACCGGCCTATTACTCTTCTCACCACTCTTATTGTTTTCCTCCTCCCAAGTATTGCCCTCACCTCTGCCGTTCCTGCATCTCCGGCGACTAACGTCCTTCGCCGTGCCGACGAGGACTGGGAACTCGTCATCTACCCGGACGTCGAACCAAGCGGGCAATGCGGCGGGACATCGTCGACAGTCAGTGGACCCGGAAACGGAGCCTGCCACAATTTCAAGACGACTAGATGTGTCGATGTGAAGCTTCACACAGAAATTTTCGACTGCTATTTTCAGTTTAAAACCAATTCTTGCGACTAGGAACCTGCGCACATTATCCATATTCAGCAGGTTCCTGTTTCGAAGGATCATCCGGAGCCGGATGTTAAGTTTGTTACAGTTGTAACGATAAGCCGCCGAGGGTTAAATGAGTGGGAACAGAAAAACGATCTGCTGTTCTAGGAGAGCTGAAGTTCTGTGAGTTGAGCTGGGAGTATCCTGTTTATAATGTTTTCTGGAAGAAAGGATGGGGATATAGGTGCATGCTGTAACATGAGAGCTGTAATCAAGCAGAAGGGAATATGACAGAGATAGAGGGTATGATAGAGATCTCCGAGAATTGGGTTGGTATTGCTCATTATTGCTTAGTCGCAAGATATTGTAGGTTATGTTTGTCTGTAGTAGACAGGTAGGCATTCATAAGGACATCTAAGCATGTTCCCGTTCGTGCCCGAGGCACATGTTCTAGGTGCGGATTAATGTATATTATTAGAAGCCACATAATACCCTACCCTCCATGATCTAACTGACAAATCTTACAAGGGTCTGGCGAGCTGAATGCATCATACCTCATGTCCCAAAACAATCACTCTCTTTTCATGGCTAGCCGTGCTCACTCTCCCCCTCCCCCTCATCTCCTTCTTACCTCTAGGTAAGTTCATTTCTGGCCTGCCATTATAGCCTGCCCACCTTAACGCTCTGAAGCAGCATCTCAACTCCGAAGACAGTTTGCCTCGCTTGGGCCCTCCCTAGTATCGAACATGTCTATCGTTCAGAATCAGAATAGCAAGTCTCACGAAGTCAAGATAGATAGTGGTCAGACAGGACCGACAAAGCAGGAAGCCTCAAACGGTACTTTTACTATAAATCAAGCCTCTTCTCTATGTCCCTCCAAGCTGCACAGCTAACCCGTGATATTAATAGGTGACAAATCCATTAGTATACAGTGTGGGTCCGATGATTCTACCATAAATGATAGTCACACCAATCCCAATGCCACCGAGCAAGCAAATGTCCATGATAACAGCGATGTGGATTGGGAGATAGTCAGCAGCGTGCAGGACGGCAGAAAAGATAAAAACCAACCGTTCCATGGGCATACAGGACATTTTAGCATTGATGCGGGTTGGGGTAAACGGAAACATCGGTTGTATTCGAGTGATTGGAGCTTTGGTCATCATCATCATCATCGTCACCAACATCTTGATGATAAACATGGCGAGGAGGATAGTAAATGTCAGGTGAAATAATGCATGATATTTAACTTTTTTTTATGGTAGTCCTGAAGTTTATTGAAACTGGACCACCTGTTCATGTTCGCGCGGACGGGTGATTACCAACGGGCATATTTCTTTTAGCAGGTCGGGATAGACTAAGCTATTCGAGTGCCTACAGGCTGCCTAGGAACAAATTAATTGTCTAATTGAGATTAAGGTGGCATAAATGGCTCAATCATGAAACATTTTCTACGAAAGGAGCTACTTTATCTTCATTATGAAAGGACTTGTATGCAGTCAGCTTTTGTTTCTGAGAAGACATTATGTACTTATAATGCAAGCTTCATGTGTTCCATCATGCCTTTTGCTGCGTCTCTCCACCTAAAAAAGCTCCATTGCCAGCGTTACCAGTGATTGACTTCCTTCGGGGGCGAGTGGAGACCATTCGCCTCGGCATGTGTCCTAATGTCCGTTAAACCAATTCTTTCCCCGTAGAGACGCAGAACTGCGATGACCTCCTAACTTGGATATTAAAAGTGCAAGGGCCACAACCGTCCCCATATACAGTCGGAATCCTTGGAAATATGGTGAGTAGGTTATCATCTTGAACCTCCTCCACCCACTGATTCTCGCCTCTATCAGTCTCTGGGAATGGAAATGCCTCCCACTCAGTGTCTCTCCATTGGAGGGGTTCGAAGTCTAGTTCGTATATTTGCTTGGACAATTGAAAGGCTTCCCAGACTTTAGCGGACTGCTAAACAACTTTCTCCAGGCCAAGATGGAATTAATTGTGTGTCAGTCAGCAACCTGTAATGGTATAACACAGCATTTCTCACAACTGTCTGTATTCTCGCCTCACATTCTCCTTTCTGTGCAGATGGATTGATGGAAAATAGTAACAACCAGCAGAATGGTTCTTTGTCGCTCTTATTATTGACCAGGCTGGCTAACATCTCTCGGGTTCGACTATCTTCTGGCAAGATATAAGTTGGCTGGAAGATGAATTTTATCTATCTCTACAGCTTGAAAACATAATTCGAATATGCGCTAAGCAGCTAGAGAGATTAGAACCGATTTGAGCAGTGGATAATGCGAGCCTGGGGAGAGGCAGCAGCTGTTCTGGTTACAAGTCCCCCGTTAAGGCTCTGCCACGGGCTGCTTTGATCAGATATGCTGGCCGTCTTTTCCCCCAGGGGCGTGCAATCTAGCGACGAGCCTCGACGAACTCGTTAAGGCACAGTCACTGGTGCTCGGGAGGTCTGTGAAACTGGGGACACAAGCTTGGCTAGTGGAGGACGGTCGGGGTATCCCGAGATGCAACGAAAAAATAGAAAACCACAAAAACATACAACAGCCGGGATTCGCTGGTGGTCCCCCACCCAACTACTAACCGGCCGGCGTGTGGCTTCTGCGCGGCCAGAAGTCGGGTGGCTGCCGCCCGGGTGAGCTAGCGGGTGAGCCGCTTTACAGTCGCGCGACCTTCGGTGAGCTTGGGTGAATGCACAATAGATAGGGTGAGCCGCCAGCTGACGCTCACCCGAGCGCGGGCGACCTCGCGAAAACTTATCCAAAACTGAACCTTAAAACCCACTTCGCTTACCTGCTATACTATCTATTGAATGCCACCCCATTTTTGTTCTTGGCTGCTGGACTTCGCCATAATTGCATTTATTAAATCTAGGTCTTAATCCAGGGGATATTCTCTTTCTATATCTTTCTAAGATTTTCTTTTACTAAAGGATCTACTTACTATTAGAAGTAAGTAATTATTAATAAAGGCAGATACTTCTCTATAGAAGTCTACTGGTTAGTTTACCAGGTTAGAGTTGGAAAATCCAAGCAGAATTAGAGACAGTGAAGATTCTTATATAAGACCAGTATTCTCTAGAGAATAGGTTCTATCTAGAAGTTATTAAAAGTAATACTGGCATATCAGTTCCCTATAAAGCTATGAATCCAGTGCCTGGCTATTAGTAAAATCATAAAATACCTTTAGCTTGTAGCTTGACATTAAGACTTACTTTATTGATCTTGTTAAATACTCCTTTAGGATCAAACGCGATAAGGGTGACTACTTTAGATTATAGCTATACTTGGTCAATCGTGTAGTAAATAATATTCCCAAGAGTACTATTCCCAATGACATATTCCTAATTGTTGTAATTCAAAGAAAGATTGATTGTTATATTGTCTCATCATAAACTTGAGGGTTTATAAACAACATGGTCAACAGATTGATTTCCAATCAATCTATTTCCATACGGAATTTATTCCGTAGATGAAGCTCTATAGTTTGCTTGATCGAGCCTTGGTTCACAACACTAATATGTACTACCAACCACGCCACGCGTTTTCTTTTGTATGGCCCCATACGCGGTTCTGCATGGCTTGAACGCCATGAAGCTTCAAGGCAAACTGGGCTGCCGAATGGCTTCCCTGGAACAGCAACCTGTCAGCTTCTTGCCTGTTCCAATCCTACTACTGGCGTTCAGGCACTTACTATAATTGTTATCAGCATTACTGTAGCTCTAATAACTCTGCTTATCATCATATAGTGCTTCTGGATACCGGTGTTACCACTTATTCTCCTTGATTATTTCAGTAACCCTAACACAAAAAGTCTTATATTAAATTGTCAGAGACCCCTAATTCACGGCCGTATTCTATATGACATATTTTCCTGATCTGCGAGCGGTCGATTGTGGGTTCCAGGACAAAAATTCTCCGAAGCGACCACTGCGTAACTTGAGCAATCTCAAAATTATCTAAGAGTTGCATAACATTGCCTATATTCATCATACAGTATATAATAATCTCGGAAAATAAATTTTCTATTTGCGCGAGCCCTTTAACCAGCCAGATTATAAAAAGCTAGCTAAGAACCAGTAGCTTCTCTGCTTGGTCTGGTCCTGACAGACAAGGCACACTCCCAAAATACCTCCAAATATGACATTCCTTAGAGTCCATTCCTCTCATGGAAACATGAGTAACACTCATCATACCTGTCCCAGCCTTCATCTGCACATCCACACTCGCAGAATTCAAGGAACCTGACATCCCCATCAACGCTACTCATGCAACGGAATAGGGACTGCTTCATGTGTAGCGTGTCAGTTGGCTGTCCGGCTGCTCGAAGTGCTTCCCTGATTTGTTTATCATAATTGTTGTCGCTTGCTATTCCGCATGTTATGCTCATTCTTTGTCTTGCTGAAGCCCTAGCTACTTACCGATGTCCTGCAGGGTATGACCGCAATACCATAAATCACCCCTGCAGTTTTTTGCAGACACATTGGGGACTGCAATAGCTAGAAGTGTTATGATACTGAGGACCTTCATTATGTAGAGCGAGGATTTGGTCTGGTTCGGTGATGTGTAAAGAAACTTCAGGTGGAAAGGAATATGAGGAATATATACCTGGCAGATGACCATTCTATGACAATGAGCATATGCCATAATGATAGAATTATTTTTATTTGCGCAGTATCACATGAGTATGAGTACACTGCCAAGTCAGTGTACATTAACTTTCCCACCTAAGCTAGTCTACTTGCGAATCAAGGGTAGCCCATGCTGCATGAAATGTCGCATTGCAGTGTCTCCAGGATCAACTGATGTTTTTTGACATCACTACTTGGTCAGATGAATTCATATGTCTCTACTGACGTTATTATTTAGTCAGACAAGCTCATATCTGTAACTCCTCACATTACTACTTTGGTCAGATAAACCATGTTGTGTGTACATACCAACATTGTAAACTAGATTCAAGCCAAGAGATTCCGCTCCTGGAATTCCCGCTCGGAGTCTTGGAGTAATAGATTAAAATTTTACAACACTTCATGATGCAATTGCTCACTAGTAAGTATAGTCTTATCTTGCTATAAAATATATTATAACATATGTATTTGTTCCTTCTGTTTAACTATTTACCATCTATTACTCTGGAGTGGAAAATGCAACGCGATCTTTATGATCGACAAGATCTTCCGGGAGGATGATCCTTAGTGGGTTAGGAAGCTTGGTGATGTGGCATCAAGATATCCGTTAAAACCTGTTATGGCAGTTGTCTCAGCTCACCAAGATGCACTCTCAGCTAATTAGTCACAGACCAATCAAGGACGCGATATTACGGTGCCCAGGAATCCCAAGGCAGAAACTGTGTTGGAACATACGGACGTCCTTACGCCGAGGTTACAGGTGAGCTGACCACTAAAAATGCCAAGGGTGACCCCCTAGGTTTTATCGTATTTGGTCTGTACAGAATTTTATAAACCCGACCGTGACGCGTCTATAGCCCTAGCTCACTTCCCCAAAACTACAATCAACCAGAAGTCCTGAGGTTAAATGCGGCCGTCTTTTAAGTATAATCCATCTATATTTTTATTTATAGACATGTCTCTTTCGAGAGAAAGACGGAGATGGATGTTTGTAACAGAAAATGTTGATACTATACGGACCAGACTGTAATTCCTACATCCAATCAGAGAATATATATATATATATATATATCAAGCATGCCGAACATAAACTATACTAAGAGTATACATTATTCTAAACAGACAAAAGCTTTATTGAGAGATTGAGGAATAAAAAGTGTCATGGACAAAGCAATAATTGAATAGATTAATTAGTATATTAATTTGTGTATAACACAAATGATAGAGGGGGCTGATAGCACCCCTAGGGACCAGTTAGAGGCAGTGGCATAGGCCACTGCCTAGGCACATGTGTCTGTCATAGCCAACGGCTCTATATAGACATTAAACTTAATCAATAATAATAATAATAATTTGTATATAGCAGACATTTTCTTTCTTTGATGACCAGCTGCTTCTTTGTAAGTTCAAGTTCTTTTGCCTTATTTTCAAGTTACCTCTGCCGGAGTTTCTCTTTCTGTATTTAGAGCTCTATCTGCTCTTGCTTATCGAAAATCTTCTGTCTTTTCTGTGAATTCAGTTCTTCTGGCTCAATGCTAAAAAGAACCCGTTGGTTGACTTGTAGATGGCTATGTAACAGTTAGAAATTATGAAGTAAGGTATTATTTCTGATATAAAAGATAGGATAACTGACTTAATCTAAGACTGACTAGTTGGAGGAAGGTTTGTTATTGGAATTAACCTAGTCGTTGACTAACTTCTAGGGCACCGAACTTACCCAGTAGTAGATCTGACCTCCAGTGCCTCCAGAATATCCATGTCCGGCTCCACTATATCTGACCTGCGCCTGCGTTTTCGGCTTTCTATTCACTATAATATAAGCTTTAAATATCTAGACAGAGTATGCCACTTGGGTAGATCAGTCATCTACCGGTCTATATGATATGATGGCGATAGTTTGCTTCCATATTATCTGTGCGGTAGGAATGATGTATGCCATACTGGCGTCTGGTTTCGAACTGAGAGACATCTGACAGATCTAATTATTAAGATCTGCGAAGCAGTGGTCAGCCAAGGAGCTAAAAGTAGCTCTATAGAGAAGTGTAGACTGTACATTTTGATAGCCTATAAAAGGGATAATTATTTCTCTCTTATGTAGGACTTATTATGACTTTGCTCTGCTGAATTAGTATAGTTTGTTGCACCGTCAAAGAAAGTAGCTGGAATCAAGGAGCAATGCCTGTTCAGCCCTGCTGCAATGATTGGGTTTCTCTTATACTGGGCCCAGCGTTGCACTGCGGGACTTTCATGGCCCTTAAAAAAATCAGCCTCCAGTATCCTCGCACGGGTATAGGAAAAAAAGCACTTACGCATTAATAACTCGCATAGTTGAAAATATTCTTCCTGGCTTTCACAGTGCACTAAACTGGCCTTTCTCTCCGCAACTCCCGGCCGCTCATTACCGAACCTATAATCTTGCACAAGCAAGAATCTTACTTCACAGGGCATTATGACAGGGGAATAAGATAATATAAAAGAGACACATACACTAACTTGCAAGAACAGCGCGCGGGTGCCGTACTCTCTTCTTTTATTTTTGTGGGCCCGCCTGTCGCAGATCGAATAGCGATTCGGCCTGGTGACCGTACAGGATACCCTGACCCAGGCACAACGAGCAATCGACCGTACCCGGGCGGCCACAAGCCAACCAAATCCACTACCTTAAAATTGTTCTTAAATATAGTTAACTACGGCTTGCACTGACAAAAGCTTAGGCAGACACTCGAGAAGTGAAAGGAAAAGAAAAAGTTCCAGTTGCAATAACCGCGCAGGAAATGGTGCTGGAGATTTTTAGAGAAACCGGCTTAAGCTATTCTAATCTGTAGTGGGAATTACCAATGAGCAATCTTTGTTATTGCACCTATGATCATATATTAAATCTATAGATACTTTATAAAACTACAATACCAGGAAAGGTCCTCAAGAGCTGAAGATTCGCTTAGGGCGGTTACTACTGCCATGCTACTAGAGACATGGCAATTCGACGTTAATAAGTATAGCTATAGTCTAAAAAATAAAGGTGCGTGTACCAAAATTCTTCGAATTAGGAGGGAGAGATAACATGAGCGCGGCCCCGATTTGTATGAAGTGCTTAAATCAGGAATTTCATATCCTCTGGATTTCTGTATAGCCTTGCCTTAACCCCTGCGGAATAATATGCGGTGACCAGTCTGGTTATAGTCGAGGACTACGCATTCATTCCCTGAATAGCGAAGATTAACACATAGTTATAGCATGCATAGCCGGCGCTGGACCCGAAATTCTTCGGGAACACCCGACTGGGGACCCAGGGTGCCCGACACGTACTGCCCCTCTCTCCTCACAATGTTAGGAAACAACCTCCGAATCCTACAATTGAACACCATGAAATCGAGGGCGGGCATGGAGGGAGGCCCTCATCAATGACCATCAAAGCCAAAACCTGGATCTTCTTGTCCAAGAACCGCCAATTACCGCATACCGAACGCATGTGAACCACAGCTCATGGCGACTGTACAAGTCAACGGTGGACGACTCGGTTCGATTCCGAAGCCTCATCTATGTTAACTGTAGGCTTTCAACAGCCGACAAGTGCATTGCGACCACCCAGCCCTAACGGCAATCAAGACCTGGACAGCCGACTCCCAGACCCTGGTCTTTTTCTGTCTATATCCCACCCATACCGATGCACACACCCGACGAGGCATCAGCGGATCCTATCAGCAATCCATGGTACAACCCAGAACACCACCCAAGAGGACAGAAGACCCACTAGCCTAATCTTATCCGGGGACTTCAACCACCACCACCACCACCCAGCATGTGGGAACAACTATATCTAACCTCGATTCATCGAAGACGCTAGCGAATTGATTAACTTCTTTCATGGCCATGGCCTTTGGGGATGCCCACCCCGGGGTGTTGCAACCTTTTGGCCGCTGAGCCGCCCGGGGAGGAACTCCACAATCGACCAGACGGTAACAGACAGACTCGACCTGCTGCTCCAGTGCCATCTTTACCACGACAACTACGGCTCGGATCGCCGGGCTACCTTCTCAGAATGGAATCTCGAAACTAAGCGCAACACCAATGCTGAGCCAAGGAAAGCCTTCGACCGAGCGGACTGGGAGAAGATTGGAACGGACGCGCTGAGCCTTATGGGAGGCCAAGGGGAGCTATACTCAGCCGAGGCGTTGGATGCAACGGTGGAAAAGCTCACCATTACGATAGCAAGCGCGGTCGACAAGCATACACCCGAACTACGACCTTCCCCGTACATCAAACGATGGTTCACCGCCGACCTCAAGAACCAGCAAAACGAAGTGAATCGCCTACGGCGGAAACTACTCTACGCGGGGGAGAAAGGGAAGCCGGGAGGGCCAGGTCTGAGGACTTTGCGAGACGGAGCAGATAACTTTTGACTCTATTCGTAACATTTTTTCCTCGGTGAAAGCGCTCCTTACCGAAGCTCGGGGCAACCTGAAATGGAGTAGACACCCGCGACTGTACTTGGGTGATAGCAGGCGGTTAATAGTTTTATGTAATCCACATGGATCGATGCTTCGGCCATCCGGAGAAATACACTGCAAAATGCCATTGGGCACACTCCGTAGTCAACCCAGGAATCGTTGATATTGTAGGCCCCAGAAAACAACGCTCTTGACCAGGGAACCAGCCGTCCTCGAGAGAGTTAAACATGTGGCTGAAGCCCCCGCAAGAGTGGCAGGTCTGAGGACAGCCACCAGGGGCTCCGTAACCACCGGCAGCATCGCCTTAGGGGCACTTGTGAGAAGGACGGGATGATTTTTTCCAATGCAGGAATGTCACGTTCCAATACAATACTCCAATTAATCATGGTGTCTTATATACATGATGTTTTTTTTTACTTGCATAAGCGTAAGAAGTGGCTTTGAAAAAAGGTGTAGGTCCTATTGGAAGCAAGATAAAAGGGGACACAGGCAACGCTCTATTACGGAATATAGTCCGCAGATGACAGGCGAGAGAATATGATAAACATGATGCTGTCCCGCCAAGGTGTTATCGGTAACCTTCCAATACGACGTTGACAAACACTTTGATCACACTGGTGAAAGTTCCGAGACCGTCGATGGGAGAAACGGATTCCGGACCATACATTTTCATAAAAAAGAGATCTATAGTTCCCTTGATTGCGACGGTCTTCGAAGAGTTCCATTGTGGGGACCGTTCGGCTGATCAGGCCTTTTCAACATCCTCCAGAGCCAATTCTGAATGCTTCGTATCTTCATTGACCAATCTCTTGTCGTGTACTTCGGAAACAGAGAGCGTTCGGAGTTCGGAACGGTAACCAGGGCTCTTCCAAGCCCTCGGTTCATTTTCGTAGAGCTCATTAACCTGCTCAAGTGCCAGTCCCTTGGTCTCATAAACCATGGTGTATACGAAAACGAATGCGATCCAGCAGAAGCTGCCCCAGATCCAGAATACATTGGACTGGGTTGGGCTGAGTGCACCTGTGAGGTATGGAGTAATAAAAGAAAGAAGCCAATTGAAGAACCAGTTCGCAGCAGTGGTCATAGAAAGACCTTTGGCACGCGTCTGAAGCGAGAAAATTTCCCCCGTTACAACCCAAGCGCAAGGGCCAAATGTGGATGCTTTGCGGATGTTAGCAAGGATATCGTAGATCATTATCGTGTTTACTTTACCGAAAAACGAGACGTATATGCAAATAAAAGCGAACTGGGCGCATTGTGAAGTGAAATTCGAGATCGGAGTCGCGGCGCCGCAAGCCGAAACGATGTATTGGGAGATTCCCATCCCAAGGGCCCCGATCAGAAGAGCTGGGCGGCGTCCGAAATGGTCAATTGCCCAAAGGCCTGGAAGCGTCATGACTACATTGACACAGTTCACGATCACCTGCAAGATGAAAGAGTCGGGCAGGCCTTCAACGTTCTTGGCGAAGTAACTCGTACCATAATAGATGATGAAATTGATACCGACCAGTTGCTGGAGTGACTGGAGTATAATTCCAGTAATGGTGCGTTTACCGGTAGTACCCTTGAAGCATTCAATGTACGAAGCAGAGCCAAGGGACTGTTCATACTCCCAGTTGCTCTTCAACTCTGCAAGCTCTGAGATAATATCTGGATCATGGGGATTCAAGCGACGAAGGAAAACCAACGATTTCAGGGCTCCGGCTTCATCGCCTTTTTTGATCAGAAAACGAGGGGTCTCTGGGAGAAAGAGCAGGCCACCAGCCTTTCCCAAGTCAGTTATGGATTCATTCGGATTGCAGTTTGCCAAGAGGGAAAGCTCACCAGAATCATTGCCCATGCGAATTGAATGGCAAGCGGGATGCGATAGCTTCCTGCGATCGAGTTAGTTTTCTTTGACCATTTACCAGCCCGAACATGCATGGGCAGATACCGCTGTCGTTCCGGTGCTGGGTTGCCCAGTTCACAATAGCGGCCAAGAAAAGGCCAATTGTGATGCAGAGCTGGTAGCATCCCACAATTGCGCCTCTGATCCATTTGGGTAGGGTTTCGGATTGGTACATGGGAACTATAAGCAATCAACATTGGATACCTAAGCTGTTTTCGCTGACTTAACACACCTTGGGCGGAAACTAAACCGACTCCGAGACCGGCGAAAAAGCGACCAGCAATGAACAGAGGTTGCGCTGTAGCAGCAGTTTGAAAAGCCACACCGAGATTAAAAGGCAGCATGACCGAGATGATGATTCCCCATCTTCTGCCGGTAATGTCTGCGATGATCCCCGCCGCGAGTGCGCCAACGAACGTTCCAACCGACAAAATAGAAACAATTAGGGAGATGCGGCCTTCGTTAGGATGATTGAATTCATCGAGCCAGTAGGGCATAGTCTGGATACCCGCAATGGTCCCGGTATCGTATCCATAGAGAATGCCGCCAAAGGACGCGAACAAACCTACCAAGATGGCTGGCCACGCGGCTCCCTTTTCATTGGGGGGGCGTTTGAATAACATAGCCGTCGCTTAATGAGTTATCAGATTCGAAATTCTCCAACAAAGAAAGGAGAGAGATTCCCCATGTGCGATAAGATATTGACGAATGCGACAGTGGGCGCAGAGGGATAACAGTCCTAAGTACTTAGGGGCTGGCTGTGCTAACCTGCCAATAATCAAAATATAGACTTGGCGGGAGTTATTTCCAGAGACGCAATCCAAGCCCTGATTCGGGAATTGCGAAGAGTCGGCCTGGTCACCAAGACGGTCCGTGTGGGGTGGATGACGCACTCCAAACCTTCCAAAGAGAAAAAGCAAAGGGGCAAAATGGTGTAGTCTTCGCGAGCATGGCGATCGTGCAAGGGTCCCTCCAATGGCCCATGCCCCTGCCATCCAGGCTTTTCAGAGAGACCAGGGAAATTGTGTGGAGCCTGCTCCGGGCACAGAATCAATTTGGGGCCAAGGAAGTAGATGGCAGGTGTTGAACACTAAACCTACTTAATGATATCTCAGGACCTAAACGCGCCACTTAACGCATTTATTCCGATGCCCCATGATGCGGTACATTTCGCGAATAAACAAAATGCAACCAATTTCTTGCATCATTCAGTTGCGATACGTTCGGAGCCAATGGACGTCTCCATTGTAAGGGCCGCGACGCTTCCCCATGGAGAGATCTCCACACACACACACACGCACACACGGGGAGAGTGTCCATGCCCCACGTAGCTTCTTGGCCAGTCTGCTTTAGTCTTGGCGAGGGTCTGGCTTGGTTTATATGTACCAACCAAACTTGAGAAACGCCAGAACCGGGACATCGCGGTCTTGGCAACCCGCTGACCCAGGACTCCCAGGGAAGTTGGCAATGGAAGCCCCGGTATACGGCACTCCGATAGCAATGATAACAACATGTACAAGGGAAGCAGTACCTGCGGTTGGATGGTGGGGTTTCTATGAGACTAAGTTGATCGCCATGCTCCTCGGTGAATTATCGGGGTATTCTGCGCCCATCAGGGACGGGGAGTGCGGAGACAGCCACCTTAAGTTCCGTGTGGAGCAGGAGAACCTGGCCCCGGTACTTTTCGAAATTGTCTCAAGACTCGAGGGGACTTGTTGGTTGGTATTAATTATCTGTTTTTAGCCGCTTAGTAGGGTTTGTTTACGCCCTCGGGCATCTTGCTATCTGTATAAAGCTATAAAAGACATTGTTGAAAGCCAAAAAGTACCTTGTTCACTGCGCACATTGTCCTCGATACTTAGATGTTGTGGAATACCAGGTAAGATCGTATGAAATGATATCAAAACGATCAGATTAGGATCCTTTATTCAACTTTTCCAAGGCCTATCTAGGTGGGAATCATGAGGCCTTTTTATATGGGGCCTGATTACCTTAGTATTTATCACGGATCGAGGTTTAGACTACAATCAGGGAAGTGAATCTAGTCAGTCATCCGACCCTTTGCCCAGAAGGGCAACACATAGGATCGCGTACGCGATAGCTTCATGTTTTCCTTTCTTCTCTTCTCTTCAGCTTAGTCTCTTTATGATAGACCACCTAATCAACTATTTGGTTCAGCTAGAGTCCCTTACGGTATTCAACAATCCACATACCTCCGCAAGTGGTGAATTCACCAGGCATATGTCAGGTGCCTGCGATACTAGGTAATTTCATGGGCGTATTCCACAATTGGCTCTCAGAAGACTTTGAATACCAAGAGAAAGAACTAGAGCTCAAGGAGCTTCACCGACCAGGTCGAGCATCCATCTCAAGTTAAGAAATTAATGTACTGGAGACTAGCCAATCACCGCGTGTGGGCCTCTCTGTTTTTAGTCGGCAGCACTCTGAGCCCTAGATCCTGAGTCGGGCGGACATAATTCTGCGTGATATCAGTCCCATTGGATATGGACAGGAAGATATATATAGGGAATCAACACATATCATATCCAAGTATTGAAATAGGACATATATAGTTAAGAATAAACAGTAGGTAGTATAGTCACTCGTTAAGAATACCTGGCCAAACACAATACCAAGATGTGATATTCAGACTCTCTCGTGAAAACTGTATTTTCCTGAATGCTGGGCAGATCTAGCCAATGAGGGATGACGGTGAGCCCCGGCGGTAGATTTATGCTTCAAGTGGACTGTGTTGTGGGGCTATGAGTTCCTGCTTAGCACCTTAACCTTATTTGGATGCCTTTCAGTCTGACCCTAAGGATTGCGGATTTTATAGCAGTTAAACTGAAAGTACAGTGGGACAATGAAGGTCTCAATCAACCCTTCATGTACGGTCCATAAAATATCCAGCGTCTCTGTATTCCAGTATTGAATTCTGCTGTTTGATTAGTTCAGAAGCACATATTAATATATGATTAATGTTGGTATTGTAAGAGCGCCTAGAACGTCGGAGAAACACCGGAGTGCCGTGCTTCAGTCAGCTGTCTCAGAACTGTAGATCCTTTGTAAGGTCCAATGCAATTTTACCCCCGAAGGGTTTTTTTCTTTCTGTAGTACTTGTCCCTCTAGCTTGTCTGTAGTTATCTTATTTCAGTATAGATGTTTGATATATATGCTCGAATGCTGGCTCTCTATCTCTGAGCAGGCAGACCGTATACACCGTATATCTATTGCTGGCGATGAATTCCCTGGGGTGTATGAGCATGGAATTAATTAATTGACATCTATGGAAAAGAATGAATCCTTGAAAAATATTCTAATTGACTAGCTTTTCCAGGACAATGATTGTGTATTATAATTTCACGCTATAGTATATCAAAAGAGAATTGCCCAGCACGGGGCGTTAATGGTCTTGGCGGACATGTTGGTCACGAAGCCACGTTTTCATGGATGCGTGATCTGTGTACATCGAGGGCTGCAAAGATGGTCGGGTGGCTTTGCTGACAAATCCACGAGAGAATTGTCAGTTCTCCGGAGGAATTGAATAAAGAGACTACTAGAAGGGCTCCTGGTAAGCTCACAGTCCAATTTTTAATTCCGGTGACACACTTTAGTGTCCGACTCATAAGACGCTCACTTTTCCCCTTTAATTCCAATTAACATAAGAATATATTCATATCTAAATATTTGCTGTAACTTCCAAAATGAAAGATTCTAGCATTGTAATGACAATTGATGTGGGATGTCCTTGGGTAAGTTCTTTTAACACCAATCAATATCAATCTGAAATCACAATTTCATGTGCTTACTATAGATGTGTTACTTAGGTTGGAAACGTCTGCAGAACTGCCTCTCTCTTGTTGAAAGCCTGGCTACAGACCGAACTTCTACAAGGTTTCAAGTGACTTATCAAACAATCTCAATCAACCCTGCGTTGCCAACACTCGGTGTTTCTCGCGAAGAATATCTCCTCAACAAAATGAGTCATGACGCCTTGAACAACGCCCATTCGCGACTAAGAATGTTAGGCGAGGCTGAAGGCATTAAGTACGGCCTCGAAGTGAAAATTGGAAATACAAGAGACGCCCACAGGCTCCTGTATCTCGGGAAGACAAAATCAGCAGAGATTGAGGAACTTCTCTTATCCATTATATTCAGAACCCATTTCGAGGAAGACGGTGACATCACTTCGCATGAGGCTCTCATTGCTTGTGGGAAAGAAGCTGGTTTGGACAAGGTTGAGGTCAGAAACTGGCTGAAAAATAATGGTGGAGGACGTGAAGTCGATCGGGACAACGAAGAAGCAGGCAAGCAAGGTATCACCGCTGTTCCACACCTTCGTATCAATGGCCAATATGAATTGCGTGGTACTCCTGATAGTCAGTTCCTTTTACAGATCCTAACAGATAAATGATGCTTGCCCCTGTCCAAATGTGGTTCCTGCTCAAGGCGGACTGATGACCTAATTGCATTTACAGGTGCCAGTGAATAAGGGGTGGAAAACTATAGCCCTGATTTAATACAGTTAGACTGCGGGTCAAACAAACATTCTACCCCTCTCATACACTTCCTCTCCTCACGCACCAGATTCACATTCCCTTTTTTTGTCACATCACGCTTGCCTAAGTTTCCACAACCCAAGAGATCCACATCATCATCTCTTTTAGCATAAAACTTGATATAGATGGTAATAAAGTAGGCTGTTGGCTATTTTGCAACTACATCTAAAGACATGGATTGTCTTGAAGAACTGTGGAAGGGAAAGCAAGTGGTTGGAAAATGAACAGACATTCAAGTTGCCATTGTGACTATAAGATACAGCATTCTTATCGCCTAGGCCTCTATCAAAGACTATGTAATGGCTGTCAGTGCAAGCACTGCCATTGCTATGGATCAAAATATCCTCGTGTCCATTAAGCATGGTAAAAGGATTGCTGAACAAGATTATCAATATACAATTGATCTAAATAGTGATGCATCCTTACTTCCAACTTGGGATAGACTATCTTCAGGGCGTGATGAGTCAAACAGTAAAGTTTTCATAGTGGTTCATATCAAAACAGCCAATAAGGAAAGCCTCTTACAAGTATAAACATTTGGAATAGAATGTCGCGCCTCGGATAGTGCGAAATTCTACTTCTTTCACTAGCTTTTGTGGTCACCGCTATTGTACCTAAGTTAACCATTAAGTAACGAGAGTTATTGATTGTGAAGAACTAAACTAAGTATATAAATAAGCTACCAGGACTGCACCAAACAGCTGTTTCTTAGAGCAACCAGCAACGAGGAATTATATCCACCTCATTGCTGTGATCAGGTTAAGCCATCAGGAATCGCCCTGAGGGTCCTGGACCATAATGAGCCCTGCAATTTCAGTGTGAGGGCCGTCGAATACACGCAATAGACCGAACATACTGCGCTGAGCCAACTTTGCAAATGTATGTCTTCAATGGGGGCTTGCCAGTACGAAGGATAAAACAATAGTTACGCTTGTCATAGTGAGTTTCAGTCAGGACTATTAAGAACATCTTGCCATTCGAGAATATCATGCGCGAAGCTACCCAAAAGGAACAATATCTTTTATATCGTGTACTGGCTTATGCTTAGAAAGGTTTTGTAAGAAGCTTACTGACTTAGGAATCGCACCGTATTCCGAGGTTCAAGACACCCAATTTCCCATTCCATACAATAACTATCAGTATTAAAAGAAGCAACGTACAGCTGCGCTCAGTAGAGTATTTATTATCACTGATTCTGTGGCATAAATCCATGTCAAATACATTTCAAAAACAGAGTGACAGCTCCTCTAAAGACATGATGAGCAATGTGAACACAGGGTCTTCACAGTGATACATGTCTACTTATATATCAATCCCTGCAACCTGTGACTAACCTTCCAGTCACAAGTACAGGGCTTTCCTTTTTGGGGTGGGTTGCTGTAAACAGGGTCAGACCAGATGAATGAGTGAATCTTCCAGGTATGTAGAACCAATCATTTAAGTTATTTGCCAAAGTTATATTTCAATATCCTATCTTGACTTGATCATATACCTGTATTTTTGATTCAATCATCACCGCTCAACTTGTCAATTTTTCAGATCTTCCTGAGCACTTCTTCATCGACAGTGTTATTCTCCACTCCCAGTCAAACACACTGTTCTTTATCAGTCTGATCCAATTTTCCTAGTTTGATTAAATAACTCACTGGCCTATAGCATTCCAAGCACGTTCTCTAAATAACTCCTACAGTGTCTGAACTCCGTACCTCTAGAGACCCTGATTCCCAGAATTATAAGACCCGCCTTCATGGTGGGGAAATCTCTGCTGATTAAACAAGTAGACCCTAACAAAGATAGCATATTTTTAGTCAGAAGTTTTTGTCATGGAAACTCCTTTAGCATATTTGTTCCTATCAAGGATCTGGATAATGGGATATAGACAAAAGCCCTTACGGAACAGTATAATTTCGACAAGGATACACAATTACTCCAGTATACGGCATGGTGAAGAAACATTCACCCGCAACATGTATAGTGACATACAACATACAATGGCGGACTGCATTGAATTTATTGAGCCAGAAACAGACCGTGTTTGAAATTATCCAGGAACCGAGTAAGTATCTTAGTGATCAGGCTTCATACTAATGATAGGCAGCTGATATATATAGATGTCAATACTTCTGGACTTGATTCAACAGACACATTTCCTGAGGATGGCATTCAGTCAGGCATAGATCGCCCCCCTATAAGTCTGTTCCTATCGCAAAGAGAACCACGACCACGATCACCAAATATAGATTTGGGCTCAGGGAGATGCAATAAACAAAGAAGGGTGATCAATGATATAGGCTTGTCAGACAACCTCTCACATCTCCCCTGCGAAAATAATAGGCCTACAACGCTAGTTCCTTTGGACAGTACTATTGCGATAAGTTACTTCAATATAAGCTCTGAAGCTGATCTGGATACTGCTATAGCCCCACCGTTCACCCGCCCCTGGCTGTATTTTTGAAAGGGTGTTTATTTCCTGGCTCATTCCTGTATGCTTTAAAACCAGAGTGAACCAGATGCAATGCAATGGCCAGCCCTACAACCTTCACATAAGTCGCTATTGTGTGGTGGGCCTTTGTTGTCAGAGTAATCAGGCGGACTCATTTGGATTCCACTCCATTTTTTGAGACGATATACGACTCTTTCCGCATACGAATCATCCAGGGACGGTCGACTGAGACTGTTGCAGCTTTTGCATCGTTGATGATATACTCTTGCGTTGTATTTGGCTCCAGGGTACATCCGTATAGTAATAGCGATTTTTTTGCTTGACCATCCACTAGAGTCACAGGCATGGTTGCGACACATGAATCGACCCATAATATTTGTATCGTATTCTTTGGTGCAGTTCGTGGTATTGTCAGTGCCATGGAACTCAAAGTAGAGGTTGTCTTTTTCCAGCAAGCGAGAGACACTATCGTGGAGTGATGAATACATGGACCATCTATGATCTCGCTTTGGTCTTTTGTTTGGCATCACGGGTTGGACTGGAAAGAACCGAGAATAAAATGTCAGGAAAAGTACGATAGGAGAGAAGGTGAAAATCCGACAATATTGTAAGGGACTCCGACTGAACCAAGGAGTTGACTAGGTAGACTATCACGAAGAGACAAAGCTGAAGAGTAGAAAAGAAAAGGAAAACATGAAGCTATCGCGTACGCGACCTATATTGTCCTTCTAGACAAAGAGTCACATGACTGACTATGCCTCACTTCACTGATTGCCTAAAATATTGTTGAGTGGACTATTAAGGCCTTTGTTTGAAACATATTTATGCTCAGCAGAGAGGGAGGCGGGATGTTGGGCTCATGTAGGTAACATAAAGAAGAAAGAGGCACACTTGTCCCATTGGATGTATTTTGATGTCTGCCCAAGTGGATATACAGCTCTTCCAATCAACCCTTACCTTCCAACTGGAACAAAACCAATATTTTAGCTCTAATATAACAGGATTACTCCAATCAATGGTCGACACTGCCACAAAAGGTAGTGCGTTAGCGCTTGCGAGTCATAACGTCGCACTCTCATGCATATCGGTCAGTCCTCTTCTTATGACCTCCGCCAATTACCAAGACCATTGCCCAATACATTCTAAAACAGGGATGTATAGCGCGTGAAGGTTTGGCTAAGTTATATCTAGGATTTTGATTATATAAGTAATCCGGGGTGGAAAGATCGCCGTGAGAGCAGGGAAGTGGGCACCCCGCGAACAATGGAAAGGGCCTAAAATTGAACCCGCCGACTAGGAGGGATAGGCGATTTGATCCCTGCTGCCTCGCGTGAAACATAAATTCTGCAAACTGTGATGGCCTCAATGAAGAAGAATAGATCTCATTCGTAGGTTCGTACTAGCAGACTAAACTGAGAAAGGGAAAAAAGGTAAAAACTACAGGGAAGTTTAGATCTCACCGGCTATTTACTTGATATAGTGGGTGTGAGCGCTAAACCTGCATAACCAGGGCTTCGTGCATAACCAACGTGGCGGATCTTTATTTATCTGTATAAGGGAAGAAAGATACAAGGCTAAGTTGCCAGGAACTATGCTGGGTCTTGTCTTTGATCTTTCACCCTATTGTCTTTATGCTCGCAGCATATATTTTCACGAGTGAACTTTAATATAAGCGACCTTAAACTCATCTGATTCCCTGGCTTTAACAATACTCCACTTAACTTGATGACTCCTCGGGAAGAATATATAGTAGGCTGGATCTGTGGTGTTTGCAAGGAATACATCGCTACTTACTAATCTTTTCTAGACAAAATACACGAAGAAATATAAAAGCTTTCAATATGCGGCAACAATACTATACTTACACTTTCGGCAGGCTTAAAGCCTACCTTGTAGTTATAGCTGTCTCACCTAATAGCACTTATGGTATATACTCTGCTGCGAGCGTCGCGAGAGACGTGTTGCATAGCTTCCAGAATCTTAAGATTGGCCTATTAATTAGTATTGACAGAGGTGCGCCTAGTTAAAACCACGATATCCGCTTAGGCGATGTTGTTGTCAGTACACCTGGCAATAAGGCGGGTGGTGTGATCTATTATGACCTCGGTAAAAAAAAAACGAAGCCTTTCAAGATACGAGCTTTTTGAATCAGCCACCGTAGTGTCTGCTCACGGCTGTAAATGGGCTGCGGGCTAAATATGACAGCAAGGGCCATCGGCTCGAGGAATCTATAACTAGCGTCCTGAAGAAGCACGAAAGATTACAAGAGGAGTATTAAAGGCCGTATCCATGCACTGACAAGCTTTACAAATCTGATGGTGCCTGCGTCCAAGGTGACCAAATAGGCGGTCCTACTGGACCAAATCTACGTTGTTGTCAGTGGAGGTATGGTTAAAAGCATCGTCATTGCTTTTGAAGTTTCGGGCTGAGTCTTAGGTCTAGATTCTCTGGGATATCCTTCTAAGCATATTAGGTATTTTGCTCCGCTTAGGGACAGACTATGACGACAGCAGATCCAGTTTAGATATGCGCCATTAGAGAGCTGGAACGGATGACAATCCCATGATCCACTATGGCTTAATTGCATCGGGCAACCAACTCATGAAGGATGCTTCAATACATGATAAGTTTGCAGTGGAAAAGGCGGTTCTATATTCGAGATGGAAGCTGCGCGCTTAAAGAACCACTTCTCTTGTTTGGTTATTCGGGGAATAGGTGACTATTTGGACGCTCATGAAAATAACCAGTGGCAAGGTTATGCAGCAATGGTGGCAGCTCTTATGCAAAAGACCTTTTATGTCATCTATCGCGGCGGTGGATAGCAGCGAAGACTACGAGCAGTCGGGAAGATGAAGCCATTCGCACATGGTTTGGAGGAATTGAGCATTCCAAACAAAAATTTATGCTTAGACGGATAGCAAGAAGGAACAGGTGAATGGCTCATTAAGTCTAAAGAATTCCGGAAATGGTTGGATCAGGACGAGTAGACTCTTTTCTGCCCTGGCATTCTTGGTGCAGGCAAGACTTTTGCTGCCTCTTTTGTCATCGATTACCTTTGCCAGAACTACCAGAGGAACCTGAACATGAACTTTGGTTTCGCGTATGTATACTATGACTGGCAAAAGCCCCAGACATCGCGTAATGATCTGCTTTCAAGCGTTCTTTCGCAGTTAATTCGGCCCTCTATTCCGGAGTTCATAAGAAGGTTTTACAAACAGCACAGAATCCGAGCTACTCGCCCTTTATCGGAGGATATTGTCGATATCTTGGTGGATTTATCCGCGGATATACGAGGACCTTTATAATCATTGACGCTCTATATGAATGCAATGGTTCTGTCAGGTTAAGGTTAGAAGTCCTACAACATTGTTTAGTCTGCAGGATAGAATCTGTGCAAATCTCTTAGTAACTTCCCGACACGTTCACGCCATAGAGACAGAACTTGAACAAAGAGGGAGTATCGTGCTCGGGATTCATGTTCGCGATGAAGACATCCGGAGATATCTTGATGGCCATATAGCTCAACTATCAAAACTTGTTCTGGATAACCCTTGGTTGGAAGAAAAGGTTAAATCGGCAATCATCCAAGCAGCTGGTGGGATGTAAGAGTACGCACGTATACCATTACTTAGTAGTCTGCTGAACCTTGGGTCAGGTTTCTCCTCGCATATCTTCATTTGCAGTCATTAGAGACTACAATAACTGTCTCCGAAATTAAAAGGACTTTGGAAATGCTACCTAAAGTATCCGGCGCATACGAGAAGGCATACGACAGAATTATACATAGAATTGAACAGCAGCTAATGAGCCGCAGAGTACTAGCTGCTCGGATTCTTTCTCGGATATTTCGCGCACGGCGACCATTGGGAATCATAGAGCTACAACACGCCTTAGCTATTACGGAACACTCATCCACAATCAATTTAGATAATATCCCGACTATTGAAGTGATAGTCGATGTCTGTGCTGGCTTTCACAGCTGACAAAGGCTCTGGAATAGTACGCCTGGCCCACTTCACAGCGCAGGAGTACATTGACCAATCTTGGACAGCACGGTTTCTCGATGCTGATTTGGATATTGTAAAGAGTTGCGTGACCTACTTGCCATACGAAAGTTTTGAGAGGGGGCCGACTACGACTTGGGGAGAATACCGACAGCGACTAAAAGATAATCCCCTTTACAAATACGTTGTGTAGTATTGGGATTACTATGGTAGAGAAGCCTATCTTGAAGCCAAACAGTTAACATCGAATTTCCTGCTTCACAACCCGCCGCTTACCAGCGCAGCGCAGGTCCTACTAGAAGAAGGATTTACTTTCCGTCTGTTAAGGAAACTGGGAGGGATTATACGGTTATATATCATCGCATATTTTAGAATACGTCAGGAAGTTAAAGACTTCCCGAAGGATACACCAAGTATCACTACAGTAGATAGTTTTGGTTATACCGCTGTACATCGGGCAGTGATGGAAGGGTAGATACGGACAGTTGAGATGCTTCTGCATGAGAGGGGCTCGATATGAATGTGGCAGATACCGATATGAGATCTGCGCTATATTACGCAGCAAGTAAAAACAACCCTGTATTAACATACCTCTTGAAAGGTGCACTTACCGAGATTCGGGATATAGAGGGGCAGATACCCTTACTGGCTGCAGCAAAAAAGCTCAGTGTTGCAGCGGCAGAAGAGCTATTGGATGCTGGGGCCTTTATCAATACCCTAGATAGAATGAGTCGGACTATGTTACATTCAACAGTGCTTGCCGGAAAGGATCAGAGTGCTCATGTAGCCCACTTGCTCTTATCGCGGGATATTGATGCTAGCTTGTGCGATACTGATAACATGACCCCTCTGCATTATGCAGATTATGCAGTTGCGACAGGAAATCGCCAAGTTGCAGACGTACTTCTCCAGGCGGGTGTGACATCAATACTGGCGTTGAGAGAAACTTATGGACTATTAGTACGGAAACTGGGGATAGAACTTATTAAAAACATCAGCTATCTAAAACTACAGAAGAGAACACTACTAACGCCGCTGGTCTCACGCCGCTGCATTTTGCAGCTTGTAGCGGCCACTATATAATGATTGAATATCTCCTGGGCAAGGGTGCCAATCCAAACTCACAGTCTCACAACGGGGACACACCATTGTATACTGCCCTAAATAGAGGGAGGCATCCTAGAAAGCAGTTGAAAGAAATTAGCAAACAATAATGCATGGACGGACAACAGATGGCAAGTTGAGCTTGGTGCTGACTATATATCCGACTATGAAGAAGAGGAAGCATGCGAGATCTGTCGATGGTGCTCCACCTTGTCTTAGGGCGCGGCCAAGGCGTATAGATTTATCTATTCGTTCTTATATTTTGTAGCACTGAGGCTGGAAGCTATGGGTTATCCCTGTCTAGCATTTATTATAGATCCAATATATGTAGACTAATCAACAGGTCAAGGATACCTGATAAGGTCAAAATACATGGGACCTTTGTCTTACCGTTGGTAGACACTTCGATGCATCCTAGTCAATATAACATTGAGCCTGCCAATCTTTAAGCAAAATGGTGCCCGGGTCATATACTCTTTGACATGTTTTCAAGCCCTAAGGCGTATTCAGCTAAACTGTATTAAGAAAGGACCCGGAATAGCCTCTTCCCTGAGATGTTACCAAATTAAATTGTAACTGAAATAATATCATTCGTCCGGCTTTGTTCGAGATAGCTGGAAATGAGTCACATCGCCTGGCAGATCTGGCAAACTCTTAATAGCCTTCCTGTTCTTATCCAGCCATGTGGCAATTTGGTGCTTATTGCAGCTATTCAGGAACTCAATGGCGTAATGCGGATGACCCTGCTTGTTATCCTTCTCAGCTTGTCTGACTGGTTCCCCCATGATACAAAGATAGATTCACAACGTGAAATCTAACCTACGATGGTTCTAATATTAGGCTCTTCGGTGGCGTCTTTTGCCTCGAGGAGAGGACGCCGAACTCTTTCAACAGCCATATTGCCTCCCGAGCTGGTACTTGGGAGCAAAGCCCTTTGTATGCCCCTATTACTGGTGACTTCGGTCGTGAACGACGCCATCTGAATATGGATTTTCGCCCGACTATGTTGGTGGCGGGTATTCCACTCTACTACCTCAATCCCATTTCGGTCGGCCAAACTTCCTTAATAACGTTGAATCGGACAATGAATCAACAGATGATGAGTATCTATCTTATGTAATTGAGTGGAAAGTGACTCTTAATAACCGGGTCCTGGCAAAGGATACTAAACAAGACCTGGTTTTAACGCCTAGTTTATATTGGCAGGGGATTAAACAAAGGCCGAGCGTATCGTGCGCCAGAAAGAAGCCCGTAACTGGCGTGTGAGGCCTGATAATACGGCAGTTGTGGTATCTATAAATGATCGCTCACAGCGTGATCTTACGAAACGCTTCTAGAAGAAAGATATTGACTGGACAGCTATAAATAAGCAGCTCCAAATGTGGCAAAATCTGCTTCGCAAGCGCCACAAAAAACTGAGGATTTCTGTTTCTATTAATTATATGGAGGACACCCACCCCCTGCCAAGGAGCACTGACAAAAGAGGAACCTCCTTAGTAACAAACAGAATGCTCCGTGATCGAGATGACTAAATCGATGCCGAAGTCTCCTCGGGACAGCCTTCGGTTTGGCGAGATATGTATCAGAAAATGCGATGCCCTGGGCCACCTTGTCAGCATGAGGGTCAGTACTGCTGGCAGGACCCGGAAGGGAAAGAGTATTACCGACCCAAGACATATTACTTGAGAGCCCTTGTTAAATATGCCGAGCAAGGAGGCGTTCTAGACTCCAATAATGATATTCCTGACAACGTGCGCAAATAACTATATATAGAAGAGGACAGCGAGGGTTAAGACAAAATAAATCCCCAAACACTGCAACTGCATCAATACTCCCATAAATAAATATCCATGTTCTCCCGACAGTCATCTTACCTTTGATAAGTTCCTCCTGTGGCGCCGAGTCAACTCCAAGAATGATCCCAGCCTCCCATCGATATTCCCGGGCTACATGAAGTCGCGCTCGAGGAATATACTGATTGGCATATATCACGCGTGGGTACCGAGAGCCCTAAGGGAAATATTAAGAAAGCTCGTGATATGGCGTTAGACAACTGTCTTGATCTGAAGCAAATCTGTGGCGAAAACCCAGATTTCTTTGTTAAATAGAGCGTGAAAATTGGGGCGGCGCGCAGGTTTGTTGCCGATATTAGCCTCTAGATCAAGCACTGTAAATAAAGCAAGGCGAGCGAGAATGGACCTAATTATTGTACATAAAGACATTACCTGTTGCCTTTGTTAGCATTACGTTGCTGTTTTCTCTCTCCCGGGCGGATTATTAGCTCTCCCAGTTCATAATAAAGGTTTATTCCGAGCTGTTGGAAAGAGGTAAGGATATGTAAGTGTGAGAAGTATGTTCAAATTGCTCTTTTAGGTGGCGGTTCACTTATTATATACTAGGAAAACGATATCGATATCATCGCGGGAGCAGGGAGGATCACCCTGCTATTATGATCCTGTACAGCTTCGATCCAAGGCCCGGCAGCAAAGACAGGAGGAATAGCTGCAACGCACCATGAAATGGAAATATCTAGCTCTCTTACTTCCTTATGGATAAACGGTTTAATGTCTGTTCCCTGGAACAGCAGACCAACCCTTCTATATACGCTACGCGGGCGAGTGAATACTAGGCGGTTATAGAAATAGTTAATTTACTACTTAATGGAATTAATGGAATTAACTAAAATGTTACTATCGTTGAATTTTATATGCTGTCATATCGGAATATTATCCTCCAGCTAGACTGTATTAATCAAGCTTGTTCCAAAAATCAACATCAAACGACACTATATTTCCATGAGCTCCATTCCCAAACGGCTGCTCCCACCGCACAGCGCAGGCAACCAGACCGGGTATGAAAGACTAGCCCGCGCGTGAGCAGAAGAAGCCTGCGTGCCGGACTACCTATAGGGCCTCGGCCCAGCTCCCGGGCTGTCCTCTCAAAATAACCAACTCGGCAAGAACCGACGGAACCTGGCGAAAGCCCCAGGACCCGGATCCGGGTACGCCCCGGAGCCGAGGGGATGGTCGGCGCACATGCGGGCGTTGGACATCTTAACGCCCTCGGGCAGCTCTGCTGGGTCGATCCTCATCACGCCTAGGGACCCGCATTCGGCTTTCGCCGCGGCGACCTCGTCGGGGGTTGCGTCTGGGCGGAGAGCGGCGAGGGCGGTGGTGGCGGAGATGCCGAGGAGGAGGGAGAGGTAGGTAAGGGGTCTCATGTTGGAGTTAGATCAGGCGATAATCTAAGAGTGGTGTAGTTAGCCCTAGAGAGAGAGACAAAAGAGATAAAGAGCAGAAGAGGGCTGATCAAGAAAGAAAGATGGGAGAAAGGGGATATCATACCTTTGCAACTCACGCAGGAATACTGGGAGGGTATTTGGTGAATATAAAGGGGAAGGTGGCAGGCGCAGGCTAATCCTCGGGGGAATGATGATATTAATATGTTGGGAAGCAGCGGGCTTGGGAGGTTCGGTACTGGATCTCAGCGCTTAGCCTAGTGTAGAGCCTGCTTCTTTATATAGCTAAAACCGCCGGCGTCGGGCGAATAGGCGACGTGGTCGAAAGTCGCCCCGGGGCTGGTCATACGGCAACCTTGATAGACAAATGATCTATCCAACTTCTGGGCCTTCGAGTTGAGTCATGGAGCGTAGTTAATGAGGTCTGACCCTGTCGCCGCTCTTATCCACGAAAGTAGGCACACAGGAGCCATGGGATTTACTCAGGCCAGTACATCAGCGACTGCTTATGTACTGCTTTAGGAGATACCTCAGCTAAAAGATTCAGAACTAGCAGGGAATAGCAATGATTTCTTGCGATATCTTCGAGAAAAATGGAACTTAGATGCATATAATGGTCTTACTATAAGGGCAAATGTCTTGAGAAAATGCGCCTCTGCAGTGAAACCGGATTTCTAGAGCACGTTCTGTACAAATTACTCGAGGAAATTTTCTTGGAAAGGAAGAGCCTGCCTTATCTACGACCAAGGTGAAGCATACAAGTATATCCGCTTCACGGACTGCGACGGAAATAACGACTACCTGGTTATCGGAGGCTGCAACCACAAAGTGGGCCAGGATCAAGTAGAGGGTCGCTTCCAAGAGCTGGAAACATGGGTGCGTAAGCGATTCACCAAGGCCGGCTCCGTTGACTACAAATGGAGCGGGCAGGTCTTTGAGCCAGTAGACTACATGGCCTTTATTGGAAAGAACCAAGGAATGAACCATATATATGTCGTTACTGGCGATAGCGGAAACGGACTAACTCACGGTATATTGGCGGGGAAACTGATCGCAGACGAGATTGACGGGGTGGAGAAGCCGTGGGCGGCCCTTTACAATCCCAAGAGACTAAGAAGTATCACCAAATCGCTTAGAAGCATGCTTCAGCATGACATGCAAATCAACACTCAATACAAGCGCTATTTCCAAACCGACATTAAAGGTATCGAAGATCTCGCGGAGGGAAGTGGTGGTGTGCTTAACAAGGCCGACGCAGCAGCACCGATAGCCGTGTACAAGGATGAGGTCAAACGCATAGCCTCAGCGCGATCTGCCCTCATATGAAAGGGTTGCTCAGTTGGAACGCCGCAGAGAAGAGCTGGGATTGTCCGGTTCATGGAAGTCGGTTTAGCTGCGACGGTGTTTGTGTTGAGGGTCCGAACCTAAAGCCCTTGGATGACTTCTCAAGAACCAAACAGAAGGAGCAACAAGCATTGTAAAGTCTTTATCATATAGTTCCAAGTCCTATTTACATAGGCCACGGTTAATTAGACTGTTGTAATATAGCAATGCCGAACTGCAGACCATAAAACTTCTATATAATTCTACATGGCGTGTTTAAGGCTACTACCCACCTGAACCGCGGTTTCGTGTGATCTACAAATCTAATTCGATTTAATGCCGCAGGCTAGATACAATTGCAGAGCCCACCAAAATGCATAATACAACCTAGCAAAATCGCAGAACAAGGTAATGTCAAAGGAAAACGGAAAAGAGAAGCAAGACCTCATACAACCCAACTATTTCATCACCAAGGCAACAGTTCCTTCTGAGGTCCACAGGCGATACCCGCACAGATCTCCTCGTCCTTCTCACTCACTGCTGCGCTGCCAGGCAGTTTCTGTTTTGCTGGCCATAATAAACATTGGCTGCTTCCTAGGGGAGGCAGCTAGGGAGATAAATAAAGCCTCTAGGAATAATCTTTAGGACCTAGAGCTGGTAGAAGAAGCAGAAAATAGAGAGAAAAGATAGTAGAAAGAGTAGTCTAGGCGCGCCTAGATAACGCCCAACAAGTAGTAAATACCGAGAAGGGGCGTAGCCTCAAGTCTCTGGCACAGATAGGCAGCTCGGGCGAGGAGAAGGATTAGAATGAGCATAAATATAATAGAGGGGCGCTGATAGAGCCCCTAGGGGCCATTTAGAGGCAGTGGCCCAAGCCATTGCCTAAGCATATGTGTCTGTCATAGCCAACGGCTCGATACGGACGTTAAACTTGATTAATAGATAAAAATAATTGACATCACACATCGTCCGTAACATACAAATAATGCCACATGCTATGTGTAGTTGTACATATAATCTACGTCCACGACAATGCGCCCCACGTATAATCGGAGGTGAATCGACATAACCTGAAGCCAAAAAGTGAGAGCGAAATTCGAAACTCACGATGTTTTCGCGGCTTCCCCCACAAGCGGTTCCCTTCCATATACAACAACCCTGTAGCAGTCAGATTACTTCTAGAATCACATTTCCCTTCCCGAACATGGACATACATCTCTTGATATGCATGGATCGAAGAATCCCTTAAGGTGTTCCTCATCCGAGCGAGATACACCTCGACTTCCTCGCGTGTCCACTGCACAAGGTTAGTGTAAAAGTCCAACCGCGCATATGGAAGGGCTCGACATACATCAAGAACGTTGGTAAACAGCATCATCGCATAGCCTTCAATACCCTCCTCAGCATAGACCCGATTTAGCTTTCCCAAAAGCTTGAAATGAGGATCTTTCGGCCATGGGCCCAAGGGACATTTATATCGGCGCTCTACAACATCGACAAACCCCGCTTTTTGCATTCGGCTCTTTGCTTCGTCGACAACACGGAAGGTCTTCCCAAACTTATCTCCAGCGTTGAAAAAGTGCTGCGCCCATTCGTTGTACATCGTTCCTGTAGTCGTTCCGTCGTCAGACTTCCCATGAACTGATTGCTCGAGTTGCTCGATGTATCCGCCTGGTTTGATGTGCCTAAACCTGTTAGTAGAACCGTCTAGCGCTGATGTGATGAATCGCACTTATAGGCCTCCTTGTAAAACTTATCCCAGTCGGCCACGCAGCCGTAGAGACTGCGCACGTGGACAAAATCAAATTTATCTTTCTCATATAGCCAAGGGTCACAGCAGTCATCTACCTCAAATTGCACGTTCGGCGGGGCAAATGACGGTTGGATTGGCGATAAATCCGTCCCGATAACCCTGGCAGAAGGATGCATGTCGCCGAATTCTACAGCCCATGATCCTGTTCCTGTTCCGATATCCAGAACATCCTATCTGATCAGCACTGTTCTGTCGGCTCCATCATATTAATTGTGACAGCTCACTTTGGGGTCCTGGGCGATAGGAGCAAGATATAATTTGCCGTTTAGGAGGAGGCGATAAACTTCGTGTCTTTGGAAATTAGCCAAGCCATGTGTAAGTGGCTGCCAATAGGACACATACCCGACTTTCATGCTTTCCTGGGCTTGATCATCGTTTGGACCCCTACCTCGGTCAGTAGCCGATTATTTAGTCTGTCACTTTTCCTACCAGTAAGCGCCCGCATGATAAGCGTGGTAGCGACGGCCATTCTCGTAGTAGTAGTTGGTGATGCTGCTGCGGAGGGAGGTAAGTTCACTGCTAGGGTTAGTTTAAGGTGCTTTTCATGTTCCCTTTGTGGACGCACGATTGTGAGTCCCCAAACTCTGAATCATTGAGGTCTGTGTCCTAAGTGAAGAAACTTGGTGAGCTATTGCGGGCATGACTTATACTCTCGCTTTGAGGGGACTCACGACTGTAATAAAAGCCTCCTCTTCGGAACCTGCTTCAAGCGAGGTGCGTTGGTTGGTCATGGTGACTTGTAGTGCAGATTATGCCTGGCAAAAATGGAATTGAATGGGAAATGAAAGGAGATGAAGAGAAAAAAGATAGCGCGGAAATTCCACGTAGTTAAAGACGCTGATCTGCCTCGGAAAAAACGGCGGGAGTGGGTACAGCGACCGTTTGATGCATTGGCAGGAATAGCATCCAATAACATATGCTAGTGTGGCAGCCTGGGTCAGGCCATGTACTAGGGACGTAGGTCAATGCTACCCTAGCGGGGGCTAAGGGGAGTTGATATTAATTCTGGGGCTTTTGCTTTTCCTCATGCGGCGAGATAAGTTGGATTATAGGCAGGGATCAGAGGAACTTCAAAACGTGGTCACCTTTAGTAATTTGGCCTAGGGGTGTAAAACCAGTAATGGACCTATTATATATATTCCATTATATTATACTACCAATTTTAGGGTGAATGCCAGCAGCACGGGGTTGTTTGGAGCCATCTTTGGTTAATTGATATCAATCACTTGATATTGCCAACAGGTGCTCGAGAAATCTGACAACCCAACGTTGAAAGACTTGCCAAATTGGTGTTAGGTCGATCTATCATTAGTATTTCTCTTGAAGAAATGTTCAAGTATACATCTCCCGGGGTTTCCAATCCAGAGTCTATTCACTGCTTATCCTGGAGCGGTTGGTCTCGTCGTGCCTCTTTGTGGCAATGCCCACGCTTGAATTGAAAACTGTAGAATATAATCAGCAGGTTAACTTAACGACCCTTACTCAGGTAGTACTAACCTTCTTCCATCTCCTCCAAGGACTTGCCCGTGGTTTCCTTGATAAAAAACCAGGCATACAACACCAGAATCCAATTGAAGACGCAAAACATAAGAAACATACCCCATCCCATACTATCAAGAGCATGTGGAGTGGCTTGCGAGAATACAAAGTTGAATAGCCATTGCGTTGCTGTGCCGACTGCAATTCCGGGCTCACGTATCCGAGTGGGGAAGATCTCACTCATATATAGCCATGGAACTGGACCCCAGGACATGTTATAGCACATGGCCTCCAAGTACACCATCAGGATAGATGCAATACCAGCAGGGCTGATGCTGGCGGCGTCTGGTTCGGGGGGGAATAATTTCGACAGGATCCCGACAATCAGCATCAGTGAGCCCATGAGAAAGGCACCAATAATAAGCGACCATCGCCGGCCAATGCGCTCCACGAGGAACAGAAGGAAGAACCAGCAGGATATGACTTTTGCGACTCCGAAGAAGCCACTCACAAACAAGCTATTGTCGCCAGCACCAACTGCCTGGAATATCTGAGGTGCATCTATAGACGGTCAGGTAATTTCTCAGACTTGTACAGGTGTGGGAGCAGTTACAATACGCCAGGGATGTGTTTCCTGTTATCTGAACTCCTGTTCACTGTTAGCTTCTCTCGAACAATGAGAAGTGAGCGTAATAGTTGGGGCACGCACCTATTTGGATTGTGATTGCGATACACATACGATGTAAATTGGCGGGCACTCTCAGGATTTCCTGCCATGTTACACCCTCTGTCGCTAGGTTTTCGGCCTCTATACCTTCTAGGATTTCCATCATTCTATACTGAGTTAGGTGTCCGCTTCCTTTGCCTTCTTGGAGTGCCAACTCACTCTGCTCGAACTTCGTCAGTCTCCCCTCCTCTAATCCACACCAACGACTGCATAGCCTCCTCGTGCCGTCCCTTCTTAGCCAGCCACCGCACACTTTCTTTCAAGAACAGAATGCCAAACCCCAGGACACCACCTGGTATTAACTGCAACCCAATGGGGATCTGCCACTGGTTATCACTAGTCGAAGGGATGTGTTTCTCCACCGCATAGTCAATCCAGTACGAGAAAAAAACTCCCAGGACGAAGAAGCCTTGGAAGAAACTTCCCAACCTTCCACGGATGGACCTGGGGGCCATCTCAGAGGTGTACATGGGAACAATAACTGTCGCCATTCCGACGCCAATCCCACTAACCACGCGTGCGACGTAGAACGCGGCTACAGAATGGGTGGGGGTAACTTGAATGATGGCCCCGACGCAGAAAATTGCAGAAGCAAGCACGATAGACCATCGTCGACCAAACCTGGCAGTAAATGGCCAGACGAAAAAACAAGCAAAAAAGGCTTTGTGACCATCAGTTGGTGTGAATGCGAATAAAGCTTGGAGTAGTAACCTACCACCGGCCTGTAAGAGACTATTGGAATTGGAATTTATCGTCGACTTTTGCTTCGCGGTGTATCGAAACGAGTTTTGAAATGATTTAAGGGTGAGGACACCCCCGATAATCCCGGTATCGTAGGCAAAGAGAAACGAGCCAGTACAGGCCAGGGCAACTGTATAGTAGGCTCTTACGAGGCCTAGAGTCTTGCCCATGTTGATTGTAAGCTGTAGACGGAGCTTCGTACCGACGACTAGGCAAGTGCAACAGCCGGTCAGGATGAGAAAGTCTTTTATCTTCTGCGGGAAATATAAGATAGCGCCATAAGCCTTCGTCTGTTCACTAGATTGCCGATTGCCGATAGGCTTAGAGCTCGTGTGCAAACCCGACGATTACGGTATATCAACTAAAATAACACCATTGAGAGCGGGACGAGAGTAGACCTTGATAGGGCCAAGCGTAGCTCCAGTCCGGGGTTACTGGTCATGGGGGCCTCATCCCTGATCTTCTGGATCAATCAAGGCGAGCGGTGAATCTGCCAAGCGGCCTTCGATGCGGAGTTGGAGTTTGATTCCAACTGTGATTGGGGATGTTGGATGCCACTGCGCAAGGACCGCCAGCTTATTTGCTCGCCCTTCGGCACCTACATATTAATCCCCTAACTCTAACGGACAGACTATTCTTCCCAATCAGATAGTGTTCTTGCCCAACATACGAGGTGAGGAAGCAATGTATTCCGATCGCATCAGGCCTTGGTTATCTTGCAAGAATCTACTTTATCGATACACCTGCCTGCATAGTCTACTCTGTATATTAAGTACTAGAACCAGAAGCAAGGTGCTCATCCGGCGCGAGACCAAGTCCCAGGATAGCTCTCAAGCAAAGTATTTCCCCGTCTAGGGTGACTTCCGAAAACGGAACCCAGAGCTGTCGATCATAATGCAACGCGTCGCAATAGGGATGCAAGTCGAGAAGTCATTGCTCAGTTTCGGCACTATCCCCATGACTGGTATCATCATGATCGATACATTTGTACTACTATCTACACAGACTTACGACCGACATGTCGACAACCTTAGGGCATGTCTAGCGTTCTGACTAGTGGGAAGTGTCTCGCCGCTTCCCGGGAGAAGACATTGATCGATGAGCATGTACATCCCAAACGCCTTCGAAAAGGATCTGTTACAACCTCGCCACATACCTCAAACCTGGGTTTAGTTCAATGGGAGTTCTATGCCACCAGAGCAACGCCGCGTTGTGAATGCCCTCGTCGAGCCACACTGCAGTGATCGATAACTAGAGCCCCATCAAGTCTATTGTACAGAAATTTGTAAGGCCTAAGAGGAGGCAGATAAAGCGAGAAACGCTAAACACGGACATATACCTGAAATACATCCACACCTAAAGCCATTGATACACGCCTACTCTGCATCAGACCGAACTTTAGCCTATAACAGCTTAGTTTGGAGCGGTTGCGCGACTAACATTACCATACCATAGCTAATTGAGTGCCCACTCCCCTAGAAATGTAGTTCCAACCGGGACATAAGTTCCCGAGCTATCTCTTCGTACTGAGGATCGTCTTTTATGCTAACGGCCTGCCAATACCTCTGCTGCCTTTTTGCACCGTTCAGACCGGTCTTGTTCGAGGAATTCAAAATGTGCGTGGACGACGGAACGATAAGTTTCCAAAGCTATGATCAGCCAATATATTACTAGCCGAGTGGAGAAGACTCCCTTGGTGGTTCAGAAAAGGTGCTGGGGCTATCCCTCTCAGAAGCTTGAGAACTTCACTATCGGGTGCCCCTTGGAGAAGGACAACCTGAGCTTGTCGAGAAGAGGTATCGACGACCCGGACTAACTCCCCCACTGGTTTCTCCAGGCTACTAGCTGAATCAAGCTTCCAGGCTGATAGCACCGCATCGAAACTACCGGTAGAGAAAGGCAGGTCCTCCACTGGTCCGTCGAATTCCTCGGTTTTAGAACCAAGACCTTGTACCCCTATTGATACTCGTTAGTCTTTCCAATTAGGGATGAAACATACATATCAATTACACTGACCATTATTTGGAACCCCGAGTGTAAGGATGCTAGAGTTTGGTTCCATGAGCTCGGCAATGGTTTCCATGTCTTTCACTTTAAGGTAATTCATAAAGCTCTCGGCAGTCGATACCTCTTGAAAAGCTTTGTGAGCCGCAGTTGGTAATGGGTATGGCCCGAGAAGAGGTTACTTTCAACCTTTCGAGTGCGAAAAAGATGTTGCACCTCGCAGGCTTCGGAATCCTTGCCAGAGAATAACCACGAAGAATCTTCCTCGACCGCGAACCCCGCATCCGCTAGCAGTCGACGCCATCCTTCCTCTGAAAAGAATGTCTCCTTTGTATAATGACTCATCCACGGTTTTTTAATCTGCCGTGCGCAACTCCACGTTGGATCATAGATACACTGCTCGGTGGGCGCACTCCAATCACTAAAGTTCCACCGGCTTGTAGCCACTTCGAAAACTTGAAACACATTGAGTATAGTTCTCCTGGGGGGAGTTGAAACAGTGACAGTACGGCAAAGACGGCATCGAACGGGGCGCACGGTTTAAACTCCCTCATGTCTGCTATTTGGAAAGTTCCCTGAACTTGGGAACTGGCAATCCTTACCATTTCTTTCGACACACCGATCCCATGCACACTGTGGCCAGCTGAGCTAAGGATGTGAGCCACTGGTTTCCCAGTTCCACTTCCAGCATCTAGCACTTTTCTATGAGGCGGCAGCTTTGTGGCTGCCTGTTGGATAAAGGCTTGCATGTTGGGACTTTCCGCAAAGACATCTTCATAACGTTTGCCAAGATGAACAAAGAGTGTCTCTGCGTCGATATCCATGAGACTCGATCAATCTGACCCCCTTGCTAACTTAGCTAATTAATGAAATAAGGACAGGTTCAAAAAGTTCAAGTGAACGAATCGCATAGACTGTCGGAACAGTTGACCTTAAGTACTAGACATGATCGAGCCCTCTCGTATTGCCGTAGGAAGAAAGTGGAAAGAGACAGTTGACCGGTTACAGCATTTAATCCATTGGCGTTTGATGTACATTGCATGAGTGGTATCATTTCGGCAATTGAGGTGGATATGCTCTCCACGATGAACAAGGATTGAACCCTCACCTAGAGGGATGCTGCAAGGCATTTACACAGCTAGATAATTTCCTTCATTCCTTTCACGGCAGCCTAATCAGTCACGAGAATATAATCATCCATAGTAAGGTCGACTACCCCGCTCTATTGTCGATACGGTGAAAGAGATAGTGAACGTTTAGGGACCTCTGTGGAAGCCGTACGAAGGCGTGGCTCGCGACAGTCTTGGTATTAAGCTTTGCATAAGGATAGTATGCATTGTAGACGTTTTTCCTCCACTGTGATTTATTCCTGACAATCCCGATATAGCGTCCGAAAAAAGCGGCTTAAGTTGGGAGCTGTCAATAATAATTGGTAAATATACGCCTAGGGAAGGTCACCCTGTAACTGTCCATCAGCCTCACAATAACTTGTTGGGTGCCTATATGTCTGGGGGCGAGAATCGTCCCAGTTAGTTTCTATTACATGCGGTCAACACAACAGAGCATGTCTTCACAATATGCTACAGCGAAATCAAGCAGCGGCATATTAGTACTTCCTCGGAGCTTTGCCCTGTTCGCTCTTGGTAATCATAGGCCTCCGGAGGTTGACATGCAGGGTTGCTTGCGCTCTTCTTCTGGGGTCGACGCGCGGCTCTCTAATGGCCTTAACTCCATATGGTCGGTTTGGCGTTCAATATGATCTGTCCAGCATGGTGTAATGTAGGGTAGGACTCGGCTGTACAACTAGTGTATCTTGGGAATTTTGGAGGTTCTGATACCAGCCGGCACTCTAGCCGCAACAGCTAGTTATTCTCTCGGAATTGGACGGGAAGCCGCAGCCTTCCTGGCAGTATATGTCGCTGAGCTCACTCATCTCATGGCTAAGTACTGTCTCAAAAGTCTGTATCTTGTTCGCAATCAGTGATGGTCTTAGTCAATTAAAATGGATATGGTTCCATGCCCAGCCTGTGGACGTTTGATTCGGCCATTCAGGGAGTTTACGGTAGTGCAGAGCTCATTTGGATTTTGAAGGCCAAGTATGTCTCTGGCCCCAGTGAAAAATACCAATGCAGTCCAACCAGATATGGAGACACTTTGCAGCCTGCGGTGCAGTAGTTTTTATTCTTGCCATCGCCTTTGGTCCTTCATGCAGAACTCAATATATTATTTCCCTAATCCAACGACGGATGTTTTCCACACTGCACTCCTGGCAAATAACTCCTATTACGATACTGTTTTTCACTGCTAGACTCTAGAACTAGTGAGTAAGACTTATAGATGGGATCTCACTCGAAGGCTTGGCTAAGAAGCGCGTAGTTCCTTTGGTCTACACTACGCTAAAAGAGAATGTCTACAACGCACTGTTTAATACGGATGGAGGACGCCCATAGCCAACGCTACAACACAGCTACAGTACAGGAAACTACACTAGGTCCCGGTTGCTACATTAGAAATGCGCCGACTGCTCCAATGTTACCGAACAATTTCAGCTCAACTGTACCACCATACCTTCATATGGAAACTTTATTAACTGCAGCTACGCTCTTCCAAAAAATGGTCTGGTTGTCTATTTCCGTCCTAATGAAACCAAATGTAAAGTGCAACTTATGGCAGTTGACCCAGTCTCCTCCTATGACGCGGCGATAGTATACAAAAATGCTTCATACTGTCTCACTATCAGCATATCGGGCCACTGTTCACAACAGTGTGTACCGTGGTGAAACATTGGCCGTATGGACTGAGAAGCACGGTTCGAACAGAAGTGCGATGTTTGATTTCTCGCCACCCCGTGGTGCATCCAAACTAGACGTTCAACACCACCCAGTTGGCTGGTCAATCTATGAAAAGATTCTTGAAAGGTTTCTTCAATGGTGCATTCCAAAAGATAAACAGGAAAGTCAGACTCGTTTCGCACAGTGAGTATGATAATACAGTGGTCACCATGGATGTATTACCGGCACGCATGGTTGGCAGCATGACTGGCTGCGGCTTTGATGCTGCAGATAAGCTCATGTGTACTATGGAGAACGTAGCGGCGGCTATAACAAAATCCTTCCGCGATTTGGCGTATAGCCTAGTAGACACGGATCCTAAAAGAGGGAATATGTTGACACAGCCTTCCTAAGTGTGCTCTTTGTTAGATGGTCTCCTAGGTAGAAACTCAGTTGTGGAATCAACAATCAACATCAATTTTCCCCTGTTAGAACCTTCGAGGTAATATGACCGTTGGGCGGGCCATATTGAGCATTACCTATATCTCGGTACACTAGCAATGGATTATACTGCCTTCCCTGGTCTGTTTTCTCGGGACTGTAACTTTGGTCGGAGCGCTATGGAAAACTAGACGGACAAATGTGCCACACTGGAAGAACGAGCCAGTGCCCTTATTGTTCCTTACCCAAAGGGGGAGACGGAAGATGAACAGGGGAGGAGTGGCGAGCCCTCTAGTAAAACTGGATTTTCCGGCGTGGAAGAGATTAGAGTTAGATCGCCGGAAAGCAAGGGTCGGATGAGGTTATGTGAATAATTATAGTCTATAGATGAGGGACAGCTACGATCAATGATCTGTGTTAGTTCTTTATGCATGCAGTTAGTATATAGGACAACATTATGGCAGGCCAAGAGCTTGCAGACTTCATCTCCGCGTCATAAGAGGCTTTTGAAGAATGAAAAATTGCCGCGTTCTACCAATGGGCGTAACATACTTGCCCAAGTACTTGTATCGGCTTTCACTGATGATTTCGGGGGCATTTCTTTACCATTCTCACATCTTCTGTTCTACCCGTGTGATTACTTTGACCAACCAAAAGCCATGGTTGTAATATGCGCATATATAACTGTGAGAGCTCTTTCTTGAATCCTGATTCTGCATTGGCACTTCTACCAATACTGTTCCCAGCTGTTAGGGCTACACGTTTCACGCGCACAACCTCATAGATGATTAAAATACACTAAATCTGATGGTTGACATCGAAAGTCTCGCTAAAATGGCCATAACATATGTGAGGAATTAAATACGAATCATTGTGAAAGCCATTATTTAAGTTGGCAGGCTCGTATCCTGTACCCAAGAGACGCTCAAATGATCTCCCGTATTCTTCCAGTATCAAGCCACGTACATCACTTTACAATTTTGGAATAAGCATTGAAGGCCTCCCACGTTTTGCGTATCGCAACAAATAAGACTCATCAATCATAGGCTCAGAGCCGAGAGATGGCATTCCACTCTGCTACTCGGAGGCAGCCCTAGAATCTTCAGTACATCGACAGTACTAGTTGTTCCCGGGTGTTAGTATATGTATGAGAAGTGGTTGGGATATCACAAACCCCTGTATCGGACACATAAGGCTCTAGGACGCATTTCAACCCTGGACAGCAAGTCCCTATAGGGCCCGCAATAGATACACAAAGAGCTCCTTGTTTGAGGCAAGCATCGGAGTCCTCCGGAGACTGTGAAAGGGCCACTGCGCCGGTAACAAAGGCCAACACAGAATACACAAGGAAATTTACTCTCATCTTGAGGCAATTTTGGAGATCGTTGTAGATGAACTTTGGAAGATGGGACACGGGCGGGTATACAATGTGTTAGGTGCTGCAGTAGTAATATTTAAGTACAGACAATCCTAATCCTCTGGGGGAAACCCGAAAGCTTTTTATATTCTGCAAGGACTGCCTCCGTCACACCGTCTTATGCGACTACCCCCTTGCATTGGTCCGAATTTTTCTTGGGCGAATACGAGCGTAAACCAGAGTCAAGAATGCGGTTCCAATGAGAGGCTTGAGCATTGCACTCTAATTGGCAACTTAAAAGATGGTGAACGACATATGAAGACTCCTAAATGTCCACTAGGTTCTAGATGATCACTTGGTGGTCAGACATTGTAACGCTGGGGAAGGTCCACACAACAAGCCACCCAAAACCACTAGCCAACAGAAACGAGTCCTTAACTGTCAGGCCCAGTCTCTGAATGTCATGATTGAGTCTTTCCTCCATCTCTACCTCAAAACGTTGGTTGCGTAAGACTCCAATCCAGTAGCTTCTTAGCCCTAATAGCAATGCCACGAGAATTGCAGCCAAGCATGATTCTAGAATACGGGAAAAGCTTTCGCTTTGATCGGCGGTCAGACGCTCAATCTGGGGACTAGACCAACCCCTTCTAAAATGTCAACTTTCCAAGTACGGCCATCGTACCCTTCATGACATATAATCTGCTCTCAGCAAGTTAGTAGCACCTGGTTGTTCCAGTGACCTCCCATCCCATTGTTCGTAGCAACGTCTGTCAGAAGCAGGTAAAGGTTCGACAGGTTCTTAGTTTGAACTGTATGCCAGATTTTCTCGGCTTTGCGGGTGGCGAAAGCCCCTTTTGTGTTTGATAAACGCTCAAATAATGAAACTGAGCATTGCTTAACTGGGCCCCTCCCACGCCCGTATACTACAGAGGGCTCAATGATAGCGGTCTTCACTCTTTCCGAGGCAGCACCGACAATCTTGTCGGCTTTACAATGAGGCATACGATCAGGACGCATGATCAACTCCTCGTCGTAGACTTTATCGAACCGCGTGCCGAAATCCTTTGTGTCCCAATTATCGGTGGTTAAGTTCAGATACCCGGACGTAGTATGCAAGGGCAGTAGCATTATGATGGGCGGGGCAGCGATAACTGGCGAGGGCAGAGGGTTCGTTATCTTCGCCGCAGAGGTGTGGATGATAATATCGGCTTTGGATGCTTCCTCTTCGATATGCTCCCTCGAATCATTATCACCGTAGACTACCTTAGCGTTAGGGCAAACAGCGGCTATCTTAGAGCCACCGCTTATGCCACCCACAATGCATGTCCATTCCCATTCTGGATGGGCTTTGGAGATACAGTACCAGATGTCTCCTCCGATGAACCCAGTTGCACCGGCGCTATATACGCAGTAAATCAGTATCAAGTCTTTTCGGTCTGCTCCAATTAAGTGGTTTACTCATAGAAAGACGTTCACGTCATGGTCAAGACAAGACAGTGAAGCCAAGAGCACTTGATACGTAGATTGTACCGGACCCTACATTCTATAAAAAAATAAGCCTGAGTGTGCTGTGCGGGTCACATTAGGCAGAGACACGACGCAGTAGTCAAATTTGGTAGGATATTAAGAAACATGATGAGTTTATATGCAATCATTGGTCAAGTACTCTGAGAATTTAGAAGACTGACCCAGTGATGGTCACTTTGTCCGAAGTGATTCGGACGGAATTCGGTTCCCCATATGCTTCCTTCCCCAAACCTCATTAGCCACCACCAGTCGGAGCTTTTGTATTTCTAGTCCCTTGGAGCGATAGATTTAGCATAGCGAGGTTGGAAGACCAGACTGGTATCAGCCTAGGACTAGAGACAATCTGTGATAAGACAACATCCCGGAGGACTTTAAGTGGAACTTATGGTAGGCGCTGGTAGATTTTACAGCCTCCTGTCTTGTGAGGCTCATCGCATATATGCTTTAAATCTAGTCGAACAAATGGAAATCCAGGGCTTCAACACAGTCTTCTACATCGGAGCCAGATGATTGCTATGGAAAACGCCGCTATATTTCTATTCCTGATATGCGGTAGTGCAATTTACCGTTCACGTTGGCTAGTTAAAAAGTGCCCCTAATCAAAGGTTCAGTTATGGTAGAACGGCTTACAAACACAAGAGCATCTTCTAGACGTTTACTAAGCTGAGGCATTCCGTTAAGGTATAAAATCGATTCCGCCAAATTATAACTTGCACCCCTTCTCCGCTATGATAGAAGATTATTCTGAACTGTCAGTAACTGTTGGGGACATTCCAGCACCCACTCCGCTATTGACAAATATTCTTGACCTTAGTTACTACTCCATCGACCTACTATGTAGCTCTTTTTCCCAGCTTCTGACAACCAACGTAATCGATATTTTCGATTCGGTACTTCCAGCATCGACCCAACTGTAAAACCAACATGACTATCTGCCTCTAGGGATATCCCAACGTAAAAACATCCGGCATCAACGAACACACAATATTGTCCTCCCCCCGTCCCAAGTGATACGCTTCCTAATCGCCATTCTGAAAGCCTTATGCGCAGCGTTGATCATGGATTTTTGTGCATCCAGAAGGTACGCTGAGGGCGCGAAAACCAAAGCCTCTCCTGTTCGCAGACCAGCAATTTGTTGGAGCCCATCGAAGTTATCTTCTGCGTTACCGTTGTATCCCGCATTGCTAATATTGACATGGTTCTTGATCGTTCGGAACCACTCGGGGCTTGTGAACCGATGGATGATTGTCATTGAGCAAAGGTCAATCAAACGGGGTGAGATAGTAGGTTCCTGTGTAGAGATAACGGTTCGGACCCCTAAGTGACGTTGCTGACGTATGATGTTCAGGAATGTCTCTGTCAATTCCTTGGCCGCTGGTGTATCGCTCATGTACTAACATCATAAATCACGTTAGCGAAGATAATTGTGCGGTAAGAGTACAGTACTGATTGTACCAAGTCAGCGATCCTTACCTTGTGAGCTTCGTCTGCCACGATCATCTTACCTCTCGAAGGATGTGCATGCAGGAAGAGGTCAATAGCAATTCGAAAAAGAATACAAGCCGTAGATTGATCCATAAATGGACAAGACAGATCCAGAATAGTGACACCACCATCAATAAAATAATCATCATTGTGCTCCCCTTTGAGGTCCAAATAAGAATCAAGCAAATCTAGCCTCTGATATAAAAAGGGCGTCTGCGTACGATCTAGACGGAGAGTGTCCAGACGCCTTCTAAAACCAAGGTAATCGAAAGCACCTCCATTGCTCTCAATCGCCATGTCACGAAGCAGTTTTGTCACGTGGCTCATGTATAAGGGCATCTTGTCGTTCTTCACCATGGACATGAGAGATAGCATAGTGCTAATATTCAAGTGACGCGGTTTGAGTCTAAATGGTCGGACCTCCACTTTTGGTATCTGAGAGTACATCGTCTTGAGGTTGTAGAAATTGGATGGAGGCACCAAAACTCTAACAGGGATAGTGAGTCCATGCTTGGACCATTCCGGCAAAACTGAAGACAGGAATGCAGCTTCGCAAGGCTGGGTGCTAACGTTCGAGCTGTACTCATTGAAATTAAGCACCATTGTGGAGAGTGGCTGCTTCAGGGCCCCTAGAATAGGCAATGGTAAGGAACAATTCTCTAGCATACGGGTCAGCTTCGTTGCAAAATTCGCTCCAGAAATTGGTACTACCTATTATGCAGCTCGTAGTATGAGACTTCCCGCTCCCCTGGACTCCACATATAAAGGCAGAGAAAGGAACGTTTGTATTCAGCATCACCCTAGGGTCTAGGTGTACTGCTGATTGTTGGGCCTTCATTCCACCCATAAGAGCAAATTGAGAGGGCATAGATCCTGCGATAGAAGAGACCAAGACTGCATGCTCGACGTCATTGTGTCTCTGGTATTTGGCAGCGCGATCATCTTGATCATTAACATCCAAGAAACCAATCTGCTTCGCTAAAGAAGGCACGGCCGACGTGGTGAAACAGGGCGCTTTGCCTTTCTGACCATCGAGAGAGAGGTAATCCTTGAAGTCTATACTCCTCGTTACAAAATATGCTTGTTGACATACCAAGAGTAATGCCTGTCAAACCTTGTAAGATTGCATGACCATTCTCCTGGTTCTCTCCCGTAATGCCATCACCCATGTCTTTCTCGGGATGCTTTCTCGTTTCGCACCTCGAAGCCTACTATTAATGTTAGAGGTATTTCTCCGTCCGACTTGGCTTGGTCAGTAAGACTAATGGAATCCCCCTTCCTTACATAAATCGGTCCCTCATTCTGATTCACTTTTGGCTTGGGCACCCCAGGTTGCTTCTTAGTATCCTTTCCTTTGCGCTGTTGCACTGACAAGGCATAGCTAGCTCTGGCATCAACCTAAGCACGAGGTACTCAGGCCGAGGGACTTACTCGTTCACCAACATATTGATGTAACCCTCTTGGCCTCGGTGCGTAGTGAGGAACTTAGATTTGATCGCTTCGTTATCGACGTGACCTTTCTGAGAATACATGTCTCTAATAGCTTTGCGGATACTGGCTGTCAGGCCCTTGGGGGGCTTATTCTGCCTTAGATTTTTCTTCGACATCTTGAATCAATACGATTCACGAGTATCTGCCTCGTAGAGAAATTTCCAAGCAAAAGATGGAAGAAAAGAAAAGAAAGAAAGGCCCCAGAAGCTGCTCATCGTGTGGAAAGTGAATATAGGTCACGTGGTGCTACCATATACAGAGACCAGGCGACTTAGACGCCAGACAAGGCTGACACGTTTTATGGATCGCTGATAATCATGTCAGGGATAATGAGCATGCCTCGCGAGACACGAACAATACGCAAGGTGTAGACTTATCACTCTGGAGAAAACTGGTCCTCGCTCCAGATCTCAATGAACAAATCCATTGTTGTGCCTCATAGAGCACGTTTTGCCTCGCTCATGGCAACATTTCGAATATGGACGCGGTCAGAATGGAAAGGCACTATCTATATATTGTCTAGCGTTCATTGTGGTCGTAACTTTCTATTCTACGGATATAAAAGTATATTCAACTCGTGAAACCGTCGCCCCGCCACTTTCGAATAGAGAATTATTTTAACACAGTTTGACAGATCCTATGTTCGTAAGAGTATATGCAAATCCCCAGGCAAAAGGAACTACACACAACATGTTATCAAAATATGAAAGGAGGGAGCCAAAAAAGATCTCTCCCTCGGGGAGTCGAACCCCGGTCTCCCGCGCTTGTTCCTTATGGGGATGACAAGCGGAAATCATAACCGTTAGACCAAGGAAGATGAAATGATCGAGTTACCGCTCGACCACTTGGTTTTTTGGCTGTTTCGCCCTGCCGTTATTGACTATATTAGGAAGGATATTTATATCACGGAAACGATCCGACCTGACCAACAAACAACTGAGACCCCCCTTCTTTATCGTACGACAGTATCAATGATATTATGGTGGACCTTACAGAATTGAGGTCCGGGCAATGATGCTGGTGTGATTACCTACGTAGTACCCCCTGCAGATGCTACTTATGGCTCTCCTGTAACCTATCCAACACACCGATCGATTCTCCGCCCGTGATACGTAGTCTGGATTCAGCTGCAAAGTATCTCCGCCTAAGCAAGGAGTTGTCGGGTGTTCTTCAAAGCAGAATTTCACCTTCCAGGGTTGATTCTCATTATAGTATCCCCATAGGCGGATGACCCCAGGTTACTTTTATTCGGCCATCTTGTTGAGAAATAATTGTGAGCGTCGTATGGCGATAGAATATTCACTCGCCCATGCGTGTAGTCAATAACAAACAGTAAGAGTCTAGGGCGGAGATGTGACAGTACAGGTCCTATGATATTGAGTTCACTTCCACCACCCAATACGCCATGAGTAACATCGTCGCGATGCCAAAGGTAAACGAGCGGCACATCAACTGATCTATCTGCACGTACTGCAGATATCGTCATATGTTGCACACATTGCAGAATCGCTTGATTAAAGAGGAGCAGTTAAGGTCGGACCCCCGACGGTTCGACTGGAGATCTACAGGGGACTCCGGGACAAGGCAATTAAAGGGGACGCAGGCCGTCCATTCGGATGAGGGTTATCGGGCACTCCACCTGAATCGGCATCAGAATTACCCTTTCGGGAAATGCCTTTCGGCGCACTGCAGGAACAAGCCGCTAGAAGAATTGCTTATATGTACTGATTCAAAACCGGCGATGTAACCTAATCATGCATTTTATCACATCCCTCTGCATTGAAGCTTTCTGCCAAGAACTGATTTTCGCCCATTAGGCAACATTCTACCGGGTCTTGGTCAGTTAATACCGATGCTGCGTTCCCCTCTTCAGTCGCAAGTGGGCCATGTAGCGTCTGACCCCTGCCCCTCCGGTATATAAACCGGCCTTTTCCAGTGTAAAAGTTTCCTTTCTGCTGTGACAAGAGTAACTGACAACCAATTTCCCCATTGCTTGTTAGTGTGCCCTACGCCGTTATACTGCGCTTGCCCAAAATGTGGTTCCCGAGCACAACTTGGTTGCTGCCTTTGGCCCTTGCAGGATGTGTCCAGGCACTTCCCAAAGGTGCTAAAATAGGCACTACTGCGTCACACGTCAGGAAAGATGGGATCACTTATAACGTCTTCGAACATGCTGCGACAGGTGTCAGAGTGGAATATGTGAATAACTCCGGCATTTGCGAGACCACTAAAGGTGTCAACCAGTATAGTGGCTACTTAAGTGTAGGAGAGAACATGAACATGTTCTTTTGGTACGAATGCTCATCCTCCGCGTCGCGCCCGAGCTATGAGAGCAAGCATTTAATATATGAACAGGTTCTTCGAGAGCCGCAACAACCCAGAGAAAGCCCCTCTTTCTACCTGGTTCAACGGTGGCCCTGGTTGTTCCTCCTTGATCGGACTGTTCCAGGAGAATGGACCCTGCCACTTTGCCAATGGCGAGCAGACCCCGTCCTTGAATGAACATAGCTGGAACAACTTCGCCAACATGCTGTACATTGACCAACCTATCGGAGTAGGCTTTTCGTATGGAGACAACGACGTTGATAGCACAGGTACTGCCGCGCCCTATGTGTGGAAGCTCATCCAGGCCTTCTATGATCATTTCCCACAATACGAGAGCCGCGACTTTGGCCTTTTCACCGAGGTGAGGATTTCATTCGACCAGCAACAGATACGCGCTGAACATGCTAACTGGGTTAGTCATACGGTGGCCACTATGGCCCCGGTTTCGCATCCTACATCCTGGAGCAGAACAAGGCTATTGAAGATGGCAGTGTGAAAGGTGAAAAAATCAACTTGGTAGCCCTAGGAATAAATAATGGCATGTACGACCTCGAGTTGCAGGAGAAGGCTTACATCACATTTGCATACAACAATACCTACAAGCAGCTTATCGACGAATCGCAAAACGACAAGCTCCTGAACTTTTACGAGTCAAAGTGCCTTCCAGCTGTTCAACAGTGCCAGAAATCCAAAACGGACCAAGACTGCCAAAACGCTAGTTCAGTATGCGGAGACGGGATCGAAAACGAGATCATTAACTCAGGTGTTGATTTTGACGTCTACGATGTGCGAGCACCGTCGAATGATCCCAACCCACCTTCGACATTTTTGGACTACCTCACAAAATCAGACGTGAAGAAGGCAATTGGTGCGAGGTCAGATTTCCAACAGTGCGCGAATCTGCCTGGTGCGAAGTTTGGTAGAACTGGAGACAGTACGTGTGTCTGATCGTTGCTTTCAGTTTCAGTCTCTTACTCGAGTAGTTGCCCGCTCGACCCTGCCACAGCTGTCCGAGGTCGTTAAGGCTGGAGTCAACGTCCTTGTTTGGGCCGGAACAGCCGATTGGATCTGCAACGTTGATGGAAGTATCGCTGTGGCAAATGCAGTCGACTTCTCTGGCCACGATGAATTCAAGGGCAAGGCCCTAGGTGCCTACAAGGTCAACGGGAAGGAGACTGGGCAGTACAAGTCCGTAGACAACTTCCATCTCCTGACTGTATACGATGCTGGACACGAGGTTCCCTACTACCGTAAGCGAATTTAATTGGGAGTTCTTAGTCATTGGGGTTCGCTTGCTAATTGACGCAGAGCCGGAAACCGCCCTTCAAGCCTTTACACAAATCCTGCAGAAGAAGCCCCTTTCTTCGACATAAGTTCCACGAAAGCATTCGGTCTTATATCACTTTCTGGAAAGCTGATAATAGCAGGAATTGGAATGAATGTAAAATTGGGTCGAAGAAGGACATCATACCAGATCGCACAATTATAACGTTATCAAGAATATTACCTCCCCAACTACTACGCATGGATCTGGACCTGCCGCTGCAGAGAGTGAGTGGGCTGTAAAGACCCCTTATACTTCTGCTGAAGTGCAAAACTAGATGCAGTATATAGAGTAACTTGTCCATCGCAATTTTGAAAGCTCCCCAAACGAAGCACCCCCGTCAGCTAGTAAAAGCAACTGAAACTACTATATATAAAGTCATTCTACTACGACACCAAATGACTGAGATTCATGCTATAAATAAAAAGCAACAGCGAAAGCGCGCAGCCCCTAGATCTTATATTGTTACTAGAGGGATGCTAACAGGGGCTGGAGGCCAGTAACTTGCTCAAGAAGCTATACAGATAATGGGTTCGGGGGAACTAGTTCCTAAAAAGCGCGCGCCATCATGATGTAGTAATTGCTATTAAATTGGTCATATTAGAACTAGCTGCCCTACTAGCTCTAGGTAATCCAATTCCTTTTCCCTTCAGTTTTACTCGTGCAGAGTAGTAGTAAACTATCTCGTGGTTTCCGACCTCGGTCAAAAATATGTTAGGGTGTCTCACTCGGTGTTCGATTACGTTAGTAAATGTTATTACCTACGCTAGTTAAGAATATATTGTCCCTTCAAAGTGACTTGCAGCGCCCAAAGCGATACTGAGCGCGCTTAGCATATTTCCAATGTATATTTGCACATGGTGATTCCGCTCTCCGCAACTGAAGCCAGCTCATTTATTGGCCATCAATGACTGTAATCCGAGTTATCCAATAAAGGCATGAGATGTATATCTATACGACTCCATACAGTCGGTGTATCGTGTCCCAGTAGTAGTACCGATCCGTCCCTATCCGCTTCATACCTCCAGAATTTGCCGTTGACATGCCTCGGCCTTATGAAATAGAAATTTCACTATGCAATGAGCAAATCAACTCGATAGGATACATAGACAACACCTGGAAAGCTGTAGCTAGGATGTTAAATGGTATATAGTTGAATCCGAGGCTTCCTAACTCGTTGAACTGTATTTCAGGTTCCACGATGCGATATCATGAAAAGGAGTATTCTAAGATGGGAGCTACTTAAGCCACTTCTCTATTGGTTTGCTGAGGTGCAGTTTGTGGCACAATATCAGCTTGTTTTAGGTTGCCGCTCAGCCCCTAATATATAATGTGGAGTCGAACTACGGAATCCGGAATGAGACTGCATATGCCGTCATATCAGAGTAAGATATTATAGAAATTAATTCTCTTGAGTGACTTGGAATCTCTTTTAATACTTTCGCAGGATTATTACTTGCTCATGGAAGTCCCCCGTGCAGTATCAGGAGTCCACAGGTTGTCTCAAACAAAAAAGGCCAAGGCTGCAACACGAAGTGGCGACGTGGTGGCTATGTGCGTATATTCTAATCCGAGCGAGTCCTGAAGACTGACTTGTATAGGTCTCAAAGGCTACTGGTGTATATTTTAAGTATGCTGACTATTTGTACAGATTCGGTCACGATGATTGGGCTTCGGATACCTCTCAATTGACTCAACTCGTTAATTTTAAAACCAGACAAATGATCTCTCAAGAAAACCGGCGATTCTTGCATGAATACGATGGACCCCACTGCATTTACCGCATGATTCAAGGATCTTATGACTACTTGTTATTCGCATTTGAGAAAACGATATTTGGGCTTCTAAAAAAAGTCGATTGGTGTCTTTTCCAGCACGATTGATGAGGGCTCGGCTCCTGGGGCAGACCAGAGAGAGTGAGACATTCTGATCCGAGATCCCCGCGGCTGACTTACGGGGTAATGATCCCCTTCTAGTCGATGTGCCAAGTCCATAGAAACCCACATCATCCCCTCGTCAATATATTCCCTGAGACATAGCCAATTAATCCCTTTTCCTCGGGGTCTGATGTCATGAGATGAGTCTCAAGCTCTCTGCAACTGTTGTTCCGGGTAGATCCCCCTTTAATCTGGGTATGTGGCTCTGGAAGTATAAATATACATGAATATCCCTTCCAGAACTGATTAACTCATTCATACTCCAAGACAACGCAAAGATTCGTTGACATCCAATCTCCCCATCGAAAATGAAGATCTCCGCAGCCCTTTCCACAGCCCTTCTGGCCGTCAGTGCTGCTGCTGCCTTCGACAAGAACCAACGTCAGTGATTATCATCTCATCAAACCCCTGATTCAGATAACTAAACATGAAATATAGCATGGGGCAAACGCGATTACCCCTGTGTCAATGTCTTTCAGGGCATCCCCGACAACTCGACTGTCGCTCCAGGTGCCGAAATCAACATCAAGTTCAACCGAAACTCGCCTAACTGCGATAAATCCCTGCGTCAGTACAAGGGAGCGGATTATTCCGTGTACCTCTACAACAACCCCGTCAGAGGCATGAACACTATTAACTTCGACCGTGAACTCCCGATCAAAAGGGGCATCCCCGAGCAGGATGGCGCTGTCACCATTACCATTCCGTCGCAAAAGGAACTTGGAACTGTTAAGGACGACAGCGTGTGGTATCTTCGCCTCTCTACTAGCTTGAACGATGCTCCACAGATGCCTACTCTCTTCAATGCTGCTGGTCCCTTCGCTATTCGTGCTTAATTGGCGGATATAGACACTACTGAGATGTATATGTTTTAAGTAGGTGGTTATGTTAGCGTTCGCTCTGAGATTGGCATATTCGTTACCATACACGCTTAGCATTATGCAGTGAGATCCTCTATTTCCGGGAGATATTTTCATATTTTACTTCTTGAGAATAGACTGTTGAGCCTTGATTCCAGTCCTTAATCCAAATTTAACAAAAGTCTATATGTGCACCTTGGATGGCAGGGCTTCTCCGACACGTGGTACAGAACATATTCATAAAGAACATTGTAGAGAGACCTTTTTTTTGTAGATCCATAAACCGACCTATAATGGTTATTGATGGCCCTTGCCACTAATATTCTAGGTAGTTTAATACTAGGTCATGTAATATATCAAAACACTATTTGTTCCTTCCATTTGATTATGACTTTTGTTTTGGTGTCCATCTATTATCCTGGAGGCAAGGTTGAATTGTGCTTTCATGTCCATAAGCACTTATTGAACTATGAACGCTAGAAAATTTTGACTAAAGCTCCAAACAGTCCAGTGTAACTAGCTAGGCGCTTTCGCTTAATGACTCTTTAGACAACCCCTTGCAGCTAATATCAAGGTCGTCAGGTTGCAGAGTTTCTACAGGCTAATATGTATACTATGTTTGTGAAATTTTGGAATAGTTAGACCAATCATGAATTTGGCATTAGAGTGTCATTATGCATCGTAAATTCCAATATACCATGGCATGTCATGCTCCGTTTCGCCTCGACGATCCATTCACCACCTGTTCATTCTGAACTACTCAGAACTTCCTTTGAAGGGGCTCTCAGCTACTCCTCCGTCCGCATCTGGGCCTTCTGGCTCCTTCCCAGTATAACTGTACTCAAATCGCCCACCGGTATTGCGATCGGAAAGTCCACCGCTTCCAACATCTGTGCAATGAATATATGCCAGATAGGTATCACAAGCGCAAGAGTAAATCCACCAGCCGTCTGCACAAGATAGGGCTGTTAGTGAAGATAATAGGCAATGGGAGGATAGAAAAGAGAGCAACATACATATTGGAGTCGAGCGGCAAGCGTAGCTTCTCCCAACGCAAGCTGGAAGTAGGTTGCGGCGAATAGAGAGAACCCAATGACGAGGAGGAATAGAGCAGTAAAAAGACAGATGTTGGTCCGAATTGAACATATAGTATATACAAAGCTGATCATCGCCAAGGCAACGTAGTAGAACCCTAAAGTTATGGCTAGTTAGCGAATATGGCTTTCAGAAAAACTAACTGGGCCAGCACACCAAGAGTAGCGTGGTAAGATGGAGTTTGCATTCCTTCCAGTGCATCACCAGTGGACGAGTAGTGTAGCCCTGTTGCGAATATGGGCATGAGGCCAGTTCCATGGACGATCCAAAAGGTGCCTGGAGGGTGTCAGCTGTGAGACTCCATATAAATTGATATATCGGCGATGCATGCCATAGGTAAAGAACAAAGCGCAAGAAAACGTGTTCCCTATAATCCATTCCCCGATACCACCTAAGATTTGTATGAGTCCGCCGAAGAAAATGAATGCAGGCCTAATGTTTGTTAATATTAACAATTTAGAGGTTCAAGAGATTAGGATATACTCACAACATTGCGGCCCCACTTTCACCACTTCCCCTGATGCCCATAGTGATAAAAGCGTGGGGAGTGGCAGAGACCAGGAATCCGATTAGTGAAATTGGAGTAGGATTGCCTACTTGTTTACGCAAGTCACCTTTGACAGAGGGATGTTTAGGACTCAAGTAAAGCTTTTCGAAAGCATCCCGGGAGATGGGAAGAAATACACTCTCAGCTGTTCGAACTGGCCGAAGAGTGTCAATGTCATGTTTCTCACTGATATCACCACTCGACATGATGAAGGATGGAAAGTGGATGATGGTTTGAACTCTGGGATTGCTGCATTCGAAGCAAAGATAGGCCCACCTTGGACATATATATACCTAGTTCAATTGTGAGATTACCCGATATTCTCGCTATAAGCTACAGTATTATTGAACCTCCTTGGGTGAACAATACCGACATGTATGCCGGTCTAGCCATTATGGATCCGCTTTTTGCGGATACCGCGGGGAAAATGCGGGGGAAGCTGAATTTTGAGCTGCATTCAAGGCATTTGAATGGCTGAAAGCTGCATTAGACTAGTCGAATGTCGATAGTTGGCTCTTCCCCTTATTTAGAAGACGCTCCACAGCAGGGGTCATGAATCCCGCCATGTGTTCTTGATACAGTGGCCTTATAGGTTGCAAAAAAGTCGGTTGAAGAAGCCCATTATTTCTATGAATATACACAAGAGCAATTGCTTTCCTTTTCTGCATGAGAATACCATGCCTTTCCCTAATAAGACTGTCGAGACTCGAGCCGAGTGGTGGCAAGATATGGAGCGGAAATGAACCGCGGTATTCCAGTGGATCAGCAATTGTTGAAGAGTGCAACCTCCCCGAGCCCCAGGTACTGCCCATTACACCAGATACAGCGCCGACAGTGATACACTAGCCCTTGATGTCCCAGACTGTTTATGCCATACGGGCCTTTTGGTGTGGAGCTTCCATGTCGGTAGTTGAGGGCGGGTTCATCCCTATTTGCGCTCTTATATAAGCTTTAATATTAAACCCGGCTCTTTTCATCTATTGAAACCCAAAATCTCATGGGCCTTCTCCTAATACGGTCGTGTCCGGTTAGTGCGGGATCATGGAAGTCAACCTATCTACGAACATCCCGCTCAACCATAGGCGTTCCCTTCAGCCGAAACCATCTCTTTCAACCTTCAACGTTTCTATTATTACAGATGCATTTAAGCATACTGTATTAAACGTTTGCTGGGGTCAAAAATTCCTGCAATGACCACAAAATCCCGTAGTCATCACGTTGAGCATAGTGTGTCGGATTCCCTATTGGTGATCAGATTTGCCCTGTACAGCCATTAATAATGCACAGATCCAACGTAGCGAAAGGGTCGTACTCGAGGCTCGTCGATATATATGATTTTTTAGCCCCGAACTGCGAGCTTGACGATAATCAAGCGAGTTTAAGTACGGATTGAACTTCCGCTGTAGCTTTCCGCCACAGTAGGTTCCCAGCGGAATGGGAGCGGAATGGGAGCGGAAAAGGGCGGATCAGCGGGTCGGGAACGCGAGATATATCCCATTCTTTCCTATCGTTCATGCTAAGATACTACTTCTATAGTTTCTTTCCCCGCTCTATCATTGCCCGTGAAATACCGTTGTTCCATAATCGTGAATAAGCGCCGTGCTCTAATGGAGAGCAAGTCCTCATTGATTGTCGTTCTCCCCCAAAGAAATCTTGGCAAGTACCGTTGCTTATTCATGTATTTGGGGTTCTAAACTGGAAGACCCTAGGCTGTTCTTGTTGCCATTGGCAAGGTCTATGGTTGAAGTGATATACGATGCGTTGCAACTGTCGCTTAACCATTAGTGCCTAATGAGTTGCCCTGCGCTAATAGTATGCATTCTATGGTAAGACTTGAGTTCGATTGAGCCATCGCCCCTGCAGTTGCTCTAAAAGCTGCGCAAGACACCCAGTCTTATTTGGTGGTGTAATCCCCGAAGCTTGGTAAGATAAATTCACTTCCTAGCTTTCTTGCGTTGGATATTAGAGAAGCTCATCGAGGGGAGTCTTCACGGGTAACCTGATAGTTTTAAGTCGAATTTCTTCGTGCCTAGAGCGTATTTATGAGGTGTAAAGGCATATTCCAGAGAGTCATAATGTTCTAGCTTCTGCTATGTCTTGATTCAACCTGAATCGCGGCTACAACAACCATGGCGCCCGTCTCAACCAGAAATCCCACTGGATTATTCTATATTGAACTCATGTGTCGTCCGGAGGCGTTTTGGGACCGAGCCATAATAATCTTGTCGGTAGCTTGTCATCTCCAGACGTTTATGAGTGGGGTTTCTATGAGGATCTAATTGTCCATAACCTGGTCATAACCTGGCAAGGTAAAACAGAAAGCCTTAACGGGTGGGGAGCGGCGAATTTATGGACAGTATCTGGGGAAACACTAGTAAGCATATGGTGGGGCGTCACGCAGACAGCCAGACTAATAACATAACGACATGAGGCTAGACATGATTAACGATACTTGAATTAGGGCAGCGCAAGGCAGCACAGCACCCCTAGTAAAAGTGGCTGTGCTGTTAAATAAATTCATGCAAAGGTTCTTGGCAACACGAAACTAAATCCCCCGCCATTCCCTTCATGATCACATTTCCACCAGCAGTTAACTCACAGGACCAGCATGGATAATCTACCATCACTTGTCCTGCATAATATATGTAGCCTTGTTAGTAATTTCAGATATCCTGCTGAGTGTCTGATCCAATATGATCTAACAATGTATACTTATAGATCTGGGAAGACAGTCCTCGAACAATACACATATTGTCTCAAGTGAACAGCACTTGCTACCATGCAGCTGTGCCCTTCATATATTCCCGATTGTCCTTGCAACTCACAACTAGCCAGCGACTGCGAAGTACTGTTGACGAATTGGTGAGCCATCCACTCCGGCAACAATACCTCACGTTCGCGCGACGGCTAGACCTAGAAGGGCAGATATTCCGCCAACCAATCGACTCTGACGAGGAAAAGAAGCTACTGGAGCTCGAAGCTAACTACTGGGATGAATTCGCAACTCGAAAAACCGATATATGTTCAGCATCAGAGCTTGAGCCGGCGTATAATGAACTTTTCAGAAACGACGGCAGCGAGGAGCTACGGTACTACGAAAGTAAGACTAGTCCATCATGGTCACCGCTCGAGACACTGGTGACCAAGTTCCAGCACTTAGTCGAGTTGAATTATTCTTGTATCAACCCTTTCCCTCCAGCATTACTGCAAGCGCTGCATCAATATCACCCGTTGTGTAAACTGAATCTGAACTCTTTCAGGTTCCGCAGCTTGAACGATCCGGAGCTTGATCCCTATGAACGAGATATAATCTGCTCCCCATGCTTACACGGTATCACTATCCGGCATGTCTCAACGAAGGGCGGCAGCCTAGGAGATTATAATGAAGAAGCTGCAAGAGAGATAGTTAGGCTCGCACCTAACCTACGCCGGATTAGGTTGGAGCGATGCACGCACTTCATAACTGAACATAGGGATGTCCGTGAGCCGGGCGAAGGGCATTGGAACGGCTTTGTCCCTCCGATACAGCCGGCGAAAGGCATGCAAAAGGGCAATCTGACTTGTCTCACGATAGCAGGAGTAAAGGTCGGCATGAATGAAGACATGCTGGAGAAATGGAGTAAGGCGACGGATTTCTCCAACCTGCAATCCTTAACGATGAACTATGTTTTCAGTCCTGGTACCTTCTTCAAGGCGATGGAAATAGGAGCATTCAAATCGCTCCAGAAGCTAGCCATCCGCCTTGGAGTGCCATGCACGACCGAGGACGAGAGACTCCCAACGGGAATATTCTTCGAGAGCCTTCCGCCACTGAAGACCCTGCGTCTGTGGGGTGTTATGAACATGCCCTTACTCCAGACCGTCCTGAAGCGTCATGGGCCTTCCCTTCAAGAGCTCAAGGTGCACCCGCGGAAGGTTATGTTAAATCTCTTCAACGTTATCGACTCTATGTCCCTCACGTCTTCTGAGATCTCGCAGATTGGCGAGAGCTGTCCTCTCGTTGAACAACTTGACTTGATCATCACTCGTTCAAGAGGGAATCGCAGTGAAACAGCCTGTTATGAAGCTTTAGGCAGGTTCCGGTCCTTGAAGCAGGTGTCTATTTCTCTATACTACTCCATGGAGCCTTTAAAAAGACTCGAGGACTTTGACGAACCTTTGGATGACTACGATAAAATGGCATACAATCGAGCCTGCGGAAACAGAAGTGACGTCCACGTGCAAGGATCTGAAGTCGAGCAAGGACCTCAGATAGACATTTGCACCGTCCATGTACGTGACGCTTTTATCAACGCTGCAGTAGATGTAAAACTGAGTCGCGACATTTGGAATACGATTATATCCTGCCAACCACCCGCCGCCACTCTTCAGAGATTGATAGTGCACCCACACATACTCTGCGTAGACGGAACCTCATACGCAGTGGCGCATAAAGTTACACACATGGCTCAGCGGATAAGAGTTGACTGGAAGGGCATTGGCAATGAACTGGATATGACTGAGATCGGACGAGAGATACGAGAGCGGAGTGATGCACAACAGAGAAAGTACGAGGCTGAAATGTTGGGGAGGTGGGGTCAACTAAAGGGCGCGCGCCTTGTCGACAAGACAATCATGAGTAGAATATGGCCTGAGCTGTGCGATAATCAGGATTGGCGCGATAGTTGGTGTAGTCTTCCTCTGGATAGGTCTGCTTAAAGTCTTGTGTGCAATAAATCCTCGCAATTTAACGCTGACCCTGAATTAAATCAGCTCTATGGAGGTTCTATGGTCCTGTATTGTTAATGGTGTTTATGAATAGAACCGGTAAAAGGAATTGCATATATATTGGTCTCCGTTTTGATAAAATACTAGATTAGGAATGTCGCGCTACCAGTGCCTTCAAAAAACTCGAAATAAAATAAGTGAACCTATCCATTATATCTATAGTTTAGGTCTCTTTCAGCTATATATACTGTGTTTAAGACGTGACTATCAACTAGAGCAAGGCTCGATAACCACATTAAACACCGTCGGCAGGCCACTCAACTGTCCGACAGAAGCGGAACAGCTCTCGTGATTACTCAAATCTCGAAATCTCAGTCAGTCGCTATAGCATTGAATGTTGTAAGGCTAGATTCTGCCTGGGAATTATGTAGCTTCATTCCACCAACTCTAGGTCAAAACTGGCTGGGCTCTCATGATACAGCCAATGAAGACGGCATACTCACTGGTACTCATATGAGGAGTCTTTGCTAGTACCTTCCGTCAGAGAGGAGCCAAATATCCCGACTGGTTGGAAACTAGCAACTAGAAATGGGTGGCCGGGACTACATTCGTAGCCTATTAACCAGAGTTTTATCGATACTTGGTCGCGAGCCAGGGGGTCATGCTAATCCCTACATACTAATACCAACAATCACCATTTTCGGTAACAGGGGATTGAAAAGACATTTCCTTTTAGTCGGCGGCAGGGTTGATCCCCCGATGATCTGGCGCTTGCGGATGCCCATACGGGATCATCACGGCGATATAAACCATGCATGTATGGGATCAAATTCGAGGCTCTATATAACCATCCCACTATCTTTTGTTACGGAATTAGATAACCTAGAGAGCTGCCTCTCTCCGTTGATGATAAGTCTACTATCTTGAGGTTAAGGTTACAATGGATACCACAACTGCTACCGATCCATCCACTTTAGTGGATCCTGGTACGCTGAGGACAAAATTCGCCCTGGCAATGAGACTTGACCGAAATCTCTTTTGCGTGTCCACTACACTTCTCCGGCCTGAAAAACTAGATTCAAACGAAGCTCGTGAATTGTCCCTCAACTTGTTGGCGAAGCGGAAGATCTTCACGGACAAGTTGCTTGAAATGTTGAAAATCGCCGAGGCCCAGTAGGGCAGACTTAGCGAAGAGCAGGCGGAGGTTTTCATTCCAGAAGCCCTGAAAACATTCAGCTGGCAACAAGTTGCGGCAGCCACCTTTTGCTCTATACGACTTTCTAAAAGCCGAGCATCCATTTTTGGCCGACAATGCTTGTTTTCAGAGTGCTCATTTCAACCACCTAACGCCCCGCACTCTGGACATCACGGCTGCTCAGACACGAATGCAAGGTGCAGGTATGGCTGTCAAATCACGATTCGAGGGCCCGCTATTGCGTAAATGTTCTATCTTACTGCGGCAGGCAAGTTTTCTTGCGCTCGAGGAGCCTGTCAGTTTTCCGAGAGGCCAGGCAGAGAAGGACACAACAGAATGCTCAACTCTAGTGGAGGGGAGTCATAAAGCGCCCTTTGGCGAAATTGAGGAACGCGGGGCCGTGGTCACGGCGAAGGAACGAGGGTCGTATGACCAACTTTTAAACGAGGCCATGACAAAAGTCATTACTGGGGTGGGATCAGACCAGAGACCGTTGATGCCCTGATGACAGACGGCTTTCAGAAATTTCCAGATGGCTGGGATGACCTGATGGATCAAGGATCGATCTACTTCCAGTTCCAAATTGCAAAGGAGCCCAAAGAAAGACCCATTTTACGAAAAGGTAACCAGACATTACCCGAGCAACTGATTACCGAAGGCGTGGTCGAAGTCTTTCCGATCACTTATGAAGACTTTTGCCCTTCTCGGCTGCCGGCATCTTTCAATCAAATTTGAAGTCAAATATAGATGATACTCTCCCGGCGCTGAGAAAGACATTGCCAGACAAGTAGAGGGCTAAAACGGCTATTGGAGGAGGTCTGCTTGGTGCAGATGGCTTACGCGCAATTGCCCAAAAGCAGAGTAAGGAGGCCATTGTTCTACATTTAGGCTTGAAGATTGAGGACCGAGTTAGACAGATTCAGAGGGCACTTCACCCCGTCCGGGTGGATCCGATAGTTCAAATTCGCAACTGTATTGTGTGATTGCATGGTCTTGCGAGCCAGCGCTAAACGCTGCTCTGGTTATCGCGTTTTGGAGAACCCCATGTCCGGCGCATCAGAACTCTAGGCTTTCTCTAAGTATATTTGCAAATCTTTGCTGCTTTTTGAATAGGTTCAAGAGATTCAATCTTTAGAACACCAAGTGTAGTGACAGGGAGCCCACCATCGATGGCGGTTGAGGCCGGTTATCATCAGTAATGGATGGTAGATCTTCCGCAATAATAAAACATTTCGGCTAAGAGAGTTTGTCTGAGCGAGCTTTCACATCACACGCTTGTCCTGTAAAATGCACATTCGTGTTCCCTCATCAATCGGGCCCTCCCATAAAGCTGGAGATAATCCTTGAGTTTTACAGGATGAATTGAGAAATTCTATCGCTACTATCAGCTAGATACCCAAGTCCATAGAATAGAAACCCAATCCGAGTAGCAAAGTAATAGATGAGAGAGCTAGACACTATGCCTACGAGTAAAGTGACTTTGGGCTTCAAATACTGCCTGGGAAGAGACACCGACAAGCTGTTCATAGATATCGGGGTCTGTTGCGCCTTCCAGGCCAAAGAGCACGACTTGACTATTCATATTTAAGCTTAATTTTTAAGCTTAATTTCTCACGGAGGCGAGAGCCTCTGCTGGCTAGTAGCATGACACCCATGGTCGCGGCGGACGACTCTCCGCAAACGACAGGAATATCACGCTTGAAAATTGCTTCATTCCTTCTACTGCCACCGAGTCTGACACGGCAAGAAAAATCTCTCGTAAGCCAAGACAGGATCTTCCAAGCAGCCGGCGATGGGGTGCGGCAAGCAGTCCGAAGATTTTGCTTTGTGACTGGCATATTTTGCTCTTCTTAGAGCTCTGCAAGAGACAGCCCGCCTCCGAAGGCTCAACTACAATAAATCAGGGTAACTTCATTGATATGCATTTCCGGTTCTTCTGTAGCTCTTGAATCCGCATGAAGAACCCAAGGAAAATTGCTGCAGCAATGCTTCCAACACGGCCGCAGACGAGACATGGGTGATCTCATTTACAGCTGGGAGCCTGTTGAGTGCCTCTTCGACCACCGCCACGTAGGCATTCATAACGTCTTGTGGAATACCACTATCAAAATCACTCCAAGAGGTACTACTGACAAAATGCCAGCCATTCATGCGAGCATCTGCCTTGGCTCTCTCCACAGACGCTTCGTATTTGCCGTTGGCATGAATCACAGCAAGCCCTAACCCCTTCATCCAACTAGCACGTCCAACGCTCACATGGTTGTGAATATAGTCGATAAATCGACAACCGAAGATCTTTGCACCGTAGGAAAAGCCCTTTGTCCTAATTTCCATCTATAGCGACACATACTGTGACACTTTGGGTGATGTAACGGTATTTGTCGGTGCGCAGTTCACAGGATGTAGGTAGTACACCAATCTGCGAGAAGATTTCGTCAACTAAGAGTTTGTAGATCGCGTATGGTGCTCCGAGCGCCTTGAATGAGGCCAGGGATGTGCCGAACCGTTCGCTCTCATCTTTGAGGAAGAGCTGTTGATGTCCATCTGCCTCGTAAAGTTTGGCAGCAATCGGAGTAGCTAGGGTTCGTATTCGGGCCAACTGCAGATTTCTTCCATCGCATCGGTCCAATTCTTGGGTTTGCAACGCAGACCGCGACATTTAACTCGGGATCTTTATCAAGGCGCCTATCATTGATGGTAAGGGTATTTAATAGTCCATGGCGCCCAGATGGATAGTATGAAAAGTTAGAGGTCCGGAAATTGGATTCCTCGAACTGCGTAACGAAAGAATGGGTTGTGTCAAAACACCTGCAAATCTAGCCCGCATTCTAAAGAAATGGAAGAGCATTTCCAGTGAGGGAGCGAGACGGTCACCTCGGCCCTGTTTAATGACATGTTGGAGAAGAACAACGACCCACGTTTGGGATAGGTACATTCGTCCTCGCAGCTCAGTTGCGAACAAGCTTGGCAGGGCCGTCCACCAGGGCATTTCATCTTTCTTACGTGGCATTTTCGATATCTTAAAACCTATGTTTAATTATCCCGATGAAGAGAACGGATGTGAAGGTGTGTACGCTATGGATTTCGCCCTCAATCGGCGCAGATACATTTTCACGGCCAGATCTAAGAATTTGTTTCGGTGGTATTTCTTAATCTTGCTGGATGATCGCATAATTGGGGGCTTTGCGACTACCAGGAGAACATTGAGGATGATGTTTGAGAAGGAAGAGGAGGAAAGCTGGCCAGCAAATCAGTAATTTAGATTCTTTCCGAAGCTTTGCACGGTCAGAAACCGTCATTAGTACTTTAAATTCATCTTCAGCAAAGCCTATATTTTCGATGCCCCATATTTGACAGATGCACGACTGTCATAGCTAGTTTCACCTACTCGAAGATAGACTTATGGTATAGATTTTCATAGCATTGTTGTTGGGCAACGGTTCTTCATGACCTATCATGTAAATCAAATTTAGTTAGGCTATTTAACGAAAATGAAGGGAGGTTTGTATATATCTTTCTTCTTTTAGGTACTCATTTATAAGATTGGAAACCTGAAATTATACTATACATCTCAGATCTCTGGTAGTCCTGCGACCTAAAGACATTAGCTGTCAGAATTGGAGACAAGGTACGAGCACAATATAACACCGGAAGTGTTCCTCAATCATGATTCGCACTTTTACTCCCCCTTCCCTTTCAAGCTTCTTGACCGTGGGTATAATATTTGCTGTGTGGCTACAGCGCATACTTAAACAGGTCGAAGGATGATAGACATTTCCAAACTCAGTAATTCCGACATCGGGATGCCGAGAAGGGAAACCCTACTGATGCTCGGGATTCAACGTGGCGTGTCAGAATCTTCCCTTAGCCTTTATTGTCGGGCTTAAAAAGTCAACCCATATGCTAAATTTCGGGTAAAGGCAGGAAGCAACCCTCTGCCCTACTTTTGAGAGTACATCATGGCCCGCCGGTGATCGGCAATATGTTTTGCTTTGGAAACATAGTTCATCAATCAATAGAGATGGCTGGATGGAAATATGTACTAGTAAATTAAGAGAAACCTATCATGCCCGTCATGAAAGAGAATATCTATAACAGGGGAAACTCTACAAACTGAAGGAAAATAGACAAAAACAGTTGCAAGAAAGAATAGTCCGTAAACCCTCAAGTAACATGCTCCTTCTCCTCCTCCTTTGGAATTCTCACCCAGACAACTGTCACCAGCGCAGCTAGCAACTGACATGCCAATGCAAACCACCAAATAGCCCGAAGCCCAGTCAGGCCAATATCACCACCTGGGCCCTGATCAACCTTTGTCCCGATTGCATCCGCGATACTGGTAATAATTGCGGAGGAGAGATTCTGGTTCGTCACCAACAGACTCGCTGCGCTTCCTTGATATGATCGAGGCACATTGCTCGTAATGAAGATAGAGGCAGCTGCGAAAGCCATATCCGGTCCAAATGTCACGAGGGCTACTCCGGGAAAAGACAGGGCCCAATACGTTGTGTTTGCAGTTTGCGGAAGGAAGAAGGCTGGCCCGAGGGTAAAGGCAAACATGGAAACGATATAGATATAATGACCGGGAACCAAATGCAGGATGCGACTGACGATGAAAGTGGCGACGATACCGACAACCGCATTAGGGATATTGTACAATGCCACTGCAATCGGCGTAGCATGCTGAATTCTCAGCCAAAACTGGATGGCGTAGAACTGCCACGCGCCAAAAAATGAGCCGAAGCCTAGAAAGTAGGCAATCATAAGTGGAGTAAACCCCTTCGTCCGCCATAAGCGACTGGGAATTAACGGCCGTGCCACATATCGTTCCGCGATGAATAGGCAAATCAGAAAGACAATACCTAGCGCAACAAGAACACAAGTGTATACCGACCACTCCGTGACTGACCCTTGGGTTAAGCCGAAAAGGAGACAGACACAGCCCGCAACGGCAAACAAAGCCCCGATATAGTCAAACTGGCGCAGAGATGGCGCTTCTGCACCTTCTGTATCGGCGACTGGGCGAAGAGCAGGAATCGAGAAGAACGAAGCGACGGCACACAGCCCAGTGATAATGGCATTCACACCGAAGATCCAAGGAAGGTTTCCGTGGAGAAGGCCGCCTTCAATAGCCCCTAAGCTGAAGCCCAGCGGAGCGGTAGCGCTGATGGCAGCAAAGACGCGATTCTTGCGAATACCAGGGCTATAGAGGCGTCCAAGAACACTCATTGACCCTGAGACCAAGACACCAATGGCGAGTCCTTGCATTGCTCTCACAATAAAAAACAAGACCTCCCGCGAGGGATCAAGAGAAAAGGCTCCCACAATATTCCAGAGGGTAAGCCATGCAAATGCGCCGACAATGGCGATCCGAGGGGGCGTCAAATCCAGCAGGGAGCCCGAAACGACGACTGAGACTCCGTTGGAGCAAGCATAAGCGCCGACGAGCCATGGGAGCGAGGTATTCCCGATACCTAGAGCCTTTTTAAGCTCGAGTTGCACTACTAACATATTCCCTAGCAAGAATGAGAAGAGCATTAGACCTGCAGAACAAACAAGGACGAGAAGAATCTCTGCTGTAAGACTCGCTATCTCAGGAGGACGCCCTTGCGACGGCTTGGGAGGCGGCGATGCCGACTCATCTGCCAGATCACGGCCGCGGATGGCAGATGGCTTCCGATTATGCAATCCACCGTTGTCTGCGAGTCGGCCTCTCCTCTCCTCTAGCTCATACTCATCTCCGCTGCCAGCTGCCTGGGCGACCGTGGTCGGTAGCTTCTTCAGAAGATCCTCACTGTTAACAGGTTTAGGTCCCAATAGCGGGTCTGGGGTTTGTGCGCCCGTGGCTGGAGTGGAGGCTGCTCTATAGTTAAATGAGAACGATGACCTAGTCGACAGCGGAGCAGAATCAAAGCCATCCTGGCTGATAGTTGCGCCAGTTGAATCATTCACATTAACGACAGGTGTCGAGTTTGATGGCTCTTGTTGCTCTGGTTGCATCTTGACGGCTACACCTCCATGAAGTGGAGGTCGATAATGATCCGGTTTCTTTAATATTTTAACTCTTCTCGGCGACTCGTACACAAATAACCAAAGACGATGCGGACATTCTTTTCTTGTGCTGTATGGAAAATTTCTAGACAGTATGACAGAAGCAACGCCGCCGTAGCTACTCTACAAAGGGGCTTATATGTCTTTATCGGAAACCAGAATCCAGGGCATATGATAAAGCACCACTAGGTGCCGTGGCAAAGGTGTAGAAGATCCACCAGCTGATAAGATTTTGAAGATTTTTGCATGGCGCGGTGGATCATCCGCGCCCTTACTGAGGGCTTGCGCGTATAGCATTTGCCAGTCTTTGAGAGGTAGGTGGGTCGGGCGATCCATTCAAAATCATGGTGTGGATCACGTCAATTGTGAATTCCGATCACTTGTCCAAGCGAATCCCTGGGTTCCAAATTATGGAGTCAACTACACAGTGAGCGGTCAGGTTTGTGTGTATATTAATGTAGACCTAGACCTGATCATTGGGTGAAGATCGCCTTAAAAAGGCAGTAACCCTATGTCAATATCATCCGACGGGGCCTTGGGCACGATCAGCAATAGTTAAATTGAATTTTACCATTCCAATTATCCGTTTATCCTGTTCCTGAGGGAAATTTGGACCTTTTGCCCTAATTTCTAGGCTTCAATTATGAAAAATAATGAAAGAGGGTTTGAGAATTTGCGTGGTTGGGTTTTCCACACAACTGAAGATTATCGACATCCTACATATAACGATCATCTGGCCCTTTCATTCACAATGCACATGAACGCAAATTATATGACCTGGTTTCATTCTTGCTTCATGGACGCGTACGCTACTCATTCAGAACAATCGTCCCAACGAAGTCCGAACGTATTACAAGCCTTCCCAGTCCTGTTTCTCCGAATTAATCAATTTCCTTGATATTTTGCTTCTTCCACTGTCTCGCCGGCGAACCTCCCCGTTTTTTTTCGCTACACTATTGCGCTGAAATTTCCATCTTATGCTTTCTTAGGATATTTCCAATTCCGGATGTATTCTGCATCAAGGCCGTTGTCGAATGCCTCTTGCTTAGCGGCTAGTTGTTGATTGATCAACTTTTCCCGCACATGGGACGCGGTGTTACCAAGAGATCCCACACGGTCGATGGCATCGATAGCAAGACTATAACGGTCCGTCTGATTCCGGACAGCTAGCTCAAATGGTGTATCGATATTGCCCTTTTCTTTGTACCCTCGTACATGCAAGTTGTGTTGTCCGGGTCGCTTGTAGGTAAGACGATGGATAAGCCAGGGGTATGAATGAAAATTGAAGATGATCGGCTTGTCATCGGTAAATACGGCTTTCCATTTCCTATCGGACATACCGTGCGGATGGTCTTTCTCATTTATGAGGCGGAACAAATCGACGACGTTGACGAATCGGACCTTCAGTTGAGGAAGATGTTCGTTCAGTAAAGCCGTTGCAGCGAGAGCCTCATGTGTGGGCACGTCACCGCATGCAGCCATCACAACATCGGGTTCATGGCCTTGATCGTTACTAGCCCAATCCCAGATTCCGAGTCCTTTAGTGCAATGTTCAATAGCTTCGTCCATGCTTAGGAATTGGATATGTTCTTGCTTATCGGCGACGATAACATTGACGTAGTTGACACTACGGAAACAGTGGTCCATGACTGAGAGAAGAGTGTTTCCATCAGGTGGCAGGTAGATCCGAACCACCTCAGGGCTCTTGTTTGCCACTACATCCAGGAATCCAGGGTCCTGGTGGGTGAAACCATTATGGTCCTGTCTCCAGACAGTAGCAGTCAGGAGAATATTGAGAGACGCGACCTTCGCGCGCCATTCTACTTCCAAACACTTCTCAATCCATTTGCAATGCTGATTGACCATGGAATCGATGACATGGATGAAAGGTTCGTAACTGTTCAACATACCATGTCGGCCGGACAGCACGTAGCCTTCCAGCCAACCCTCGCAGGTATGTTCACTGAGCATCTCCATTACCCTCCCTTCATAGGCCAAGTTCCCGCCATCCTTATCTTCCTCGAAGTAGTCGCCTAGCCAAACCTTTTTACCGGCTTTATAAATTTCCGCGAGCTTGTTCGACTCCGTTTCGTCAGGACCAAAGACGCGGAAGGTGGTCATGTTCTCTTTGACAACGTCCCTCAAATACTTCGACATGTTTGTCATACTACCGCGGACAGACACGCCGGGATCAATATCCTTGAGGGCGTAGTCCCTGAAATCTGGCAATTGGAGGGGTCTGCGAAGCATGCCGCCATTGCCGACGGGGTTGGCACTCATACGAGAATTTCCTTTGGGTGCGAGCCCTTTCAACTCGTCTATCAGCTTGCCATCTTGGTCAAAAAGCTCTTCTGGTTTGTAACTCTTCATCCACGATTCGAGAAGCTTCAAGTGGGCGGGGTTCGTCAAGACATCGGTGATCGGAATTTGATGTGAGCGCCAGTATCCTTCGAGCAACTTTCCGTCAACCTCTCTCGGAGCAGACCATCCTTTGGGACTCCGGAGGACGATCATCGGCCAACGGGGTCGGAATTCCTTCTTCGACTCCCTTGCTTGCTTCTGGATCTTTTTGATTTCCACAACACACTGCTCTAATGTGGCTGCCATGGCTTGATGCATGCTTTCCCTATCATGGCCTTCCACAAAATACGGCGTCCACCCGTAGCCAACGAACAAGGATCTTAGTTCGTCGTGGCTAATGCGAGCGAGCACAGTCGGGTTATTGATCTTGTATCCATTCAGATGCAGGACAGGGAGGACCGCACCATCGGTGCGTGGATTGAGGAACTTCGTGCTATGCCAACTAGTCGCAAGCGGCCCGGTTTCCGACTCTCCGTCTCCAACCATTGTTAACGTGATAAGATTGGGATGGTCGAAGACACTTCCGAAGGCGTGAGAGATCGAATATCCCAATTCTCCGCCTTCGTGAATCGAGCCCGGAGTCTCCGGAGTTGCGTGTGAGCCGATGCCTCCCGGAAATGAGAATTGCTTGAAGAACCTCTGCATGCCTTTTTCATCTTCGGATTTGTCCGGATACACCTCGGAATAGACTCCCTCTAGATATGACTGCGATAGAACAGCTGGGGCGCCATGACCAGGACCGGAAACGAAAAGAACATCCAAATCGTACTTCTTGATCAGCCGATTCATGTGAAGCCAGGTAAAGGACTGGCCAGCATCCGACCCCCAATGGCCTAGCAGGCGGGCTTTGAGATGCTCGACCTTGAGGGGCTCTTTGAGAAGGACATTGTCTCGCATATAGAGCATTCCCAAGCATAGGTACATGCTTGCGCGGAAGTATGCATCCATTTTGCGGACTTCCTCCGCATCCAGGGGTTGTCCCTTGACGGTGGAACGAGTACCTCCATATGCGCTGATATTATCGCTATCGGACTCTCCGGTGGGCGCCATTTTCAAGAGACTATGAAAGTCAGAACTTAAATTTTTCCTAAACCAAAGACAAAGTAGAAAAGTAAGTGGAGTGGTTTTACCCTAGTGGCATCGACTTCCAGTGCTGGTGAAGTCAATCTCCCCGTGTGAATTCATTTGAGGTTAATGGATGGATTTCCCCTTGAATACATGATCTTAAATACATAATGAGGGTGGCCTGACGTAGTCTACTCTTGTTGCTTGTTTTTTCGGAAGCTCAAGGATATCAAGTGAGAGTCAATGACGTGCCGCGTGTCATCCGGAAAGCTTCTGGACCCAGCCCTAACCCATGGAAAACATTCATAATATGTTATGCTTCTCGCATATTCTCACAAACTCTTTGCCTGTTGCATTAGGAGTCCCTTGCTGCACACTTTAGTTTAACTTCGATAAGTAACATCCTTACCTGACCAGTTGGGCCAGCCATTACCATAGAAAGGTGCACGTTCTCAGCGGTGGATGAGACTCCGCCCAGGTACAGGGTTTAAAATCGTAAAGTTGATATATTACCAGTATAATTGCCTGAAGAGATGCACAAATGGTTCTTTCCATATCAGATTACTACCAAAGGCAAATTAATCTCGACTCTTAAGCGTAAGATGTCGACTGTCTTGCCTACTAACAAATATTAGCCTCTAGCGACTCGGGTACGATTACCCGAGATCCTCATATCCACAAGATACAGACCAACCAAACGTTCCATCTAGGTGAGCGGAAGCGAAAATCCAACCCCCCGAGGACGTCCGCTACTCGCAGTTCCAACTGTTCCTAACAAACGGTGCCCAGTGCAAAGAGGTAGGTAGTGTACGACAACTTCCACTTTAAGGAGTCTTTGGGTGCTATGCTTCGTTTCCTGCCCCAATTAGGGTTCCCGAACGATTTGATAATCGTTCGGTATATAGTCCTGAGATAAAAGGTACAAGGGATCCGTTCTAGCTGGTTGATGGAGGAGACCTAGGGGCTCTCTTTCTCTTTCCTCGTTCTCTTTCCTCGCTTTTGCTTGGTATGTCAGCTCATGTACATCCTCCCTTCCTGTTTCCATCATTGCCCATACATGTCAGTGTTGACAGCGCCGCAAGGCTTCTTCAACAACCCAGGAACAACCTGACAAATTGCATCCGATTAGGATTATCATTCGAGTTCTTTCAGATCGGAGCGATCGCTAGGGAAACGATTTGACATCTCCTACATTACATCGCTAGCATGTATGTCGAATACATACCATGGTTCTACTATCACTCAGACGAATCTCTTAAGGTTATACCCTCCAAATAGTTCGGTGATTTGCATACTCCATACAATCTCGGGTACATGTACCCGAGTGTGAAAAAAATCATCTCGCAGCTTAAATAAAGAGGTATATGGAGATCCACAGCCGGAATTGGGGCGTAAATCAGTTGATCTCTACTCGCATTTCAAAGGGCCTCTAAGAATCAGTCACTATCTCAATTGATGCGTCACCTGTGGCCGTCGCGCACTATCTATCATAGTCCCCCCCGAACAGCAGTCTTGGCACTTCTCCAGCCGACAGTATTCAATTGCCAGACACGTTTTCACTTTTTTGGAAAACATAGAGCAAATTCCGGGATCTTAGTCAAAGATAATATGACTGAATCGACAAAGGCAGCTTCTCTGCGCTTTGTGGATGTAAGTATCCCACCAATGTCAGAAATTGGACTTAAAAAAAATCACCTCCCAAAAATTCGAGTCCGGGCTCATGGCGCAAACAGGTGGCCGTTACATACACCGCAGACCAATTTCAAGGAATCTATCGAGGCAAACAGTATCATGAATCAGATTTCGCAGAAGTTCTCAAACGTGCCAAAGAATATAGCTGCGAAAAGATCATGCTCACTACCATGACCCTTCCAGGAGCTCACGAGAACCTGAAAATTGCGAGAGAATTTCCAGAGATGTGCACAATGACCTTGGGTGTGCATCCGTATCATGCAGGCGAGATATACGCCGAAAATGACGGAAGCGAATACCTTCAAGACCTTCGCAAGCTTGGAGAAACTCTCCGAGCTGAGAATCCGTCGCCGCTGGTCGCCTTCGGAGAAGTCGGTCTCGACTACGAATATTTAGACCGCGCCGACAAAGAAACACAGCAGCGTGCTTTTCGTGATCAGTTGGATCTAGCTGTCGAAATGCAATTGCCTTTGTTCTTGCACGTGCGCGAGTCGTGCGCTGATTTTATCTCGATCATTCGGCCATATCTTTCCAAGTTGCCGCGCGGTGGGTTGGTGCATTCTTTCGCTGGGTCGAAGGAGGAGATGTTGCAATTGGTCGATCTAGGCTTTGATATCAGTGTTAATGGGGTTTGCTTTCGTACTGGGGATCAATTGGAGATGGTCCGCCATATTCCCTTAGACAAGCTGCAGCTCGAAACCGATGCACCGTGGTGCGAAATTCAGAGCAATGACGTGAAAATTGCCCCGTATCTCGCCGATGCAAGACCGCTGCCCCCGTCTCGCAAGCATAACAAGTTTGTCATGGGGCAGATGGTCAAGGCACGGAATGAGAGTTGTACGATCGAACGCGTGGCTCTGGTTGTGGCAGGCTTGAAGGGCATTTCACTTGAAGAGGTTTCATGGGCAGCATGGAATAATAGTGTACGAATGTTCGGGTTAGGTGTGCAGGCTCAGTGATCTAGAGATTGATTCCCCTTAGACATTGCTATAGAGTGTTCGATATAAAGTTTTATATACATATACCGGGTTCTTGTTCGGGCAGATCCCACGTTGGAATAGAAGGGTTACTTTCAGTCGTCAAAGATTTCTGTATCTTCATCTGTGCCTACGCAAGATAAACTCTAGATTTCTGTTCCTTTCATCATGACACCACTAGCGTGAGCCACCCAGGCTCCCACAACATCTTTGGGCGTATAAACCCCCTTCTTTCCCTCTTTCCGCCACCTCCATACCTCTTCACCATCTCCATCTCTAAGGGTTCGTCAATCATCAACAGCTTCATTGGCACTTATCGTCATTTCATCAACATATCTCCAAGCCTTGGATCATACTCCATACCCGCCTTAGGAATCTTGGCCGCAACAACGGTATAATTCCCCAACAATCTCAATCGAAAGCCCGCCTCGCAGTAAATGAAATAATACAGCCATTTCCGGCGAAACGCTTCAACCTCTCTATCAGAGGCATCAAGCTGTGCATCCCGAAACGCTGCTTCAACCTGGCCCCAATTCCGGAGAAAGTTATCTCGCCATGCAAATAGACTCTTTCCATAATGCGGTCCGATATTCATAACGGAGGTGGCTTCTAACTCCGCCTTCGATCCCTTGTGAATAGCGTCCAGCAGGGCGTGTATAGAGGAAGGCAACCTCCTGGGAAATTATACCTGTCGATAAGAGTTGGTACGCTAGATCTAGACTGATGCATCTGTGACACGGCCTAAGGCTCAGAGAGATATACTACCCACGGAGAAATCAAAATACGAACCTTATTCGTCCTCGTAATTCCATCAATGACCATAACACCATGACTGGGATGCAGCAGGGAAGAGATAACGCGGAAATACTCATCCAGGTATTCTGCACCGACATGCTCAAACATCCCAATCGAAATAATACGATCGTAGTATCCCCCATTGCCCTCAGGCCCAGTTGCGATTGATCCTCCAGGCCAGGCTCTTGGATCCCTTTCTCGGCGATCCTCTTCTGGTCGTCGGATAGGGTCAAGGATGTGGTGATTCAACGATATCTGTGCTTTCTGTATTAGAAGCTGGACTTTTTTCTTTTGCGCTGTTTCCAGAGTCTCGGTGGGGTCGCCACTCCAGTGAGCGCAGGAGTAATTCATATCTGAAGAAAAGAAAATTGGCGAATAGTTCGTCGGAATCGTCGTAATGGGAGGAGATATATCGACGGGCATTTTGAGGGTCATTTGAGGGTCGTAGAAGCATGGTCAGTCGGGGGAGACTTTGCACGAGGAAATTTCCACTGCCGAGTTGTGTTTTGTTCTTGATGTATGTCTATCCTTATTACATGGAGTTCCAATCGATGAGATGTTATAGCCTTATGGTAAACGTGATATACATCGAACAGGCTGCTGAGGCTGTCGCAGTCGACCTCCTGGAACATATATGCTTCTGCGAATCCCTACATACTAGTATCAGAGATGCGTCGCTACACCTTCTTGCGGATCACTCACGAGATCAAAACAAACATGCGCAGATCCTTCTCCATGCATCGACATCTCTCACGACAATGGTGACAGCCGGCTTATTCTCATCGCCGAATTCAACTACTTAGGGCGGGTCTTTGTACTTGGAGATGATCTTCAGCTGTCTGATGGAAATGTTTCCCAGCGCGAAAAGGGTTAATTTCTGAGCACAGGTACACAACAAGTTAGACAATGGCGATCATACTGAAAGAAATCTCGAAATAATAAGGGCAAAGGTCAGATAACTGATTAATTCTTAATACCGGGGCTTTAATATATTTCTATGTTCTGCATTCTTCAACGCTATATTCTCTCCTCACCCCATGATGACTGATCACGACTGACTGCAAGCGCAAGTTTCCGATAGCGTATGCATGCATACTAAAGTCTTTATTGGATTTTTTTATTCCACTAGCCTCAATGTCACTCTGAGTGGTGCAATGGGGTAACATCCTTGAAAATATGTTTCAATAATTTTCCAGATATCTGGACGGTTGTATATTTGTAGTGATGAATCCAGTATATTTAACTTCTAGGATCAAAAAATACGTCAATAGGAAACACCAGAGATATCCCTCAGTGTGTTTTGAGCAATTTTCTCATGAATTACTGTATAGGGAATCCAATTATATCCATGCCTACAAGTTTTCCCTCTCAAATTTTGATAGCTCACCTGCAAGCCAAAAAGTTCTACTGTACACGGTAAGCCGACTCAAATTACCTTTCCCAGCATAGCGGTCTCTTGGGGTGACGCTAGTCTCCAAAAGGCAGGCTTCGATTGGAATCCGCGGAATTATTAATCCCAGCACTGATGACTCATCCCATGTATAACTCGGCACTATATTAACTATATCATATCCAATGCGATAAGCTCCAACTCCCATCACAACACCCTCCACACATACTATACCACTAGTGCATCTCGAGACGCAGAACATCCAGCATGACAGACCCAGACCTAACCCTAACAATCCACCACCAAAGCACCCAGCACACCCTCACCCTCCCGTCAACCGCAACACTCCAAGACCTCACCAACCACCTCGCAACAACCCTCCACATCCCACCGGAAACCCAGAAGCTCCTCATCGCCCCAAAACCCGGCATGCAAAAGCACCCCTTCCCCGCAACCCCCCTCACAACCCTCCCACTCACCTCCCCGAAATTCAAAATCACCCTCCTCGGCACCCCGACCGAAGAAATCCGATCCCTCCACGCCCAATCCGAAGAAACCGCCCGCCGCGCCTCATCCCGCGCCGCCGCCCTCGCAGCAGCCTCGAAACACAAACCCGCCCGAACACCCTCAGGAATCCACACTCTCTCCTCCTCCTCAAACAACTACACCTTCCACCGCCTCCTCCCGCTCTCATACCTCCCGCGCCCAGAGCGCTCCCTAGACTTCCTCAAGCGCCTCCGCGACGATCCAGGGATCAAGGCCGCGATGGCGAAGCACAAGTTCTCCGTCCCGCTGTTGACGGAGATGAACCCCGCTGAGCATACGACGATGGAGTCGCGGACGCTGGGCCTCAATCGGAACAAGGGGGAGGTGATTGAGTTGCGGTTGCGGACGGATGCATACGACGGCTATCGGGATTATCGGACGATACGGAAGACGCTGTGTCATGAGCTGGCGCATTGCGTGCATAGTGAGCACGATCGGGACTTTTGGGATTTGACCGCGCAGATTGAACGGGAGGTTGAGAGGGCGGATTGGAAACATGGTGGGCAGAGGTTGACGGGGCAGGACTTTTATGTTCCGGATGACTGGGAGGCGGAGAGGGGGAGGGAGGTTGTTGATGAGTGTGGGTGGACTGGCGGGGAGTTTGTGCTGGGAGGGTTGAAGGAGGATGAGGTTGGGAGGAGGGCTGGGGCGCAGGGCGTTGAGGGGAGGAGGGAGGTTTTGGCGAGAGCTGCCGAGGAGAGGATGAGGAAGAAGAGGGAGGAGGAAGGGAATGAGAGTGGTAATTGATGGGGGATTTTGGGTTTAGGGTGGGTCGTATTGTATATATGTTTAATCATACAAGATATGAGTTGATGATAATGAAGACATGACTGCATTAGAGCTATTTCCTACATGGTTTTTGATATGTATAGCTTGCGCCAGGTACAGGATGGCCAGGAAGGTCTTATATAAACAATCTATACCTGCTCGTTGACGAACAGGCCCGCCATGCCCTGTCCGGTACCAATGCACATACTCGTCACCAGTACCTTCTTCTTGGTGCGTCTCGCCTCGCTCAGAACGGTGCAGATCTGTCGAGCACCGGTGGCGCCCAGGGGGTGGCCGAGTGCAATGGCACCACCCCGGGGGTTAACCTTGGCATGGTCCAAACCGAGGTTTTGCAGACAGTAAACAGCCATGGAGGCGAAGGCCTCGTTGATCTCGTAGATGTCGATGTCATCCTTGCTCAAGTTGTACTTGGAGAGCAGCTTGGGGATAGCAGCGGTAGGGCCGATACCCATGATGCGGGGAGGAACACCCGCCACGGTGGCGCCGCAGAATTTGGCCAGGATAGGCTGGTTGAGCTCAATGGCCTTGGAGCGGCGCATGAGGAGGATAGCAGCAGCTTCATCATATCAGCATCGAACTGTAAGGTCAAGAGTAAGTGAACTCACCGCCGTCCGTGACCTGGCTGGAGTTACCACCCGTGCTCCGGTTTCCAAACTTAGGGAAAGCAGGCCGGATCTTGCCCAGGGACTCAGCCGTCGTGCCATACCGGACACCCTCATCCTTGGTCAAAGTAACCTGCTTGACCTCGCCCGTCTTAGGATCCTTCACCTTGGTGGTGATGGGAACGATCTCGTCATCAAACCAGCCCGCCTTCTGGGCCGCTTCCGCGCGGCGGTACGACTCGGCGGCATACTTGTCCTGGGTCTCACGGCTGATGTTGAAGTCCGATCCGACGTTCTCGGATGTCTGACCCATGGGCTGCAGGCAATCGGCCGACTCCTGGTTCTTGAGGATCTCTTCGTGGAAAGGCTTCACTGCGTCACCACCCGCGGACATCAGTTCAGCACCGACGGCGACACCGATGTCGATTTGACCCAATGTGATCTGGTTGGCAATGTCCTGAACGGCCTTGAGGCCGGAGGAGCAGAACCGGTTGACGGAAGAGGCACCAGATGTGTTAGGGATTCCGGCCGCAAGGGAGGCGGCACGGAGGATATAGGGGGCCTTGCCATCGTTCACCTTGACACTGTTAGTACGACTTCCGTGGTCTCAAGTCTGGAAAGGGTAAGTAAGAAGCGTACATTACCCAGGCAGACGTCCTCAATCAGAGCAGGGTCGACCTTGGACTTCTCCACCAACTCCTTCAACAAAGCGTAGATCAGGTAGTCCAGTTCTGTGTCCTTGAATCCACCCTTGACGGCTTTAGTCAACGGCGTGCGCAGTGCGAGTGTGATAACGACATCGTCTGGGTTCTTCTGGGTGCTATTCGAGTCAGCATACGTCTCCCATGTGATATAGATGAGAACCTACATGGCGGAGAGACCATTGCTTCCCCCCTTGAGGTGACTGAGAATGGAATTCAAACGATCTGTGGCCATTGTGGGTGTTATGAGTCTATCCAGACGACGTTAGTAACTTCAAACTTCCACGGTTTGGCCCGGTAACAGCCAATGATAAGAGCAACGCGGGAAAGCCCGATCATTAAGTAGCAGGGAGGTATATGCGGGGAAGGACAGTGTGTCCAGACCGCTGATTTTGTGAGGGGAGATAGAAATTACATAGCGTCACTTACCAATATTCTGATTAACTCCGGTGAGGGAAAGTAGAGGAGGCGAGTCTTGGAGGGACAGAGAGTACTGATATAGGAGGGAGGAGAGTGAGTTTCCAGCGGCAACCGAGGAACAGCCGAGGCTCATTTTGCTTTCCCCATATTACCAAAACTAAACTTAGATCCGGCAATATTTCATTAATAATCGCCAAGCTCTTTTGCTTCAAAAATCAAAGCTTGTACTAATTTCTACAAAACCATGTGAAATCGCAGCGAAATGAGCATAAATCGACAAAACTCCGAGACACCACTCCCGTCCTATCACGCCTCCAAGCAAAACCCGTCCGAGTATCTGAATTATTATATACAAATTCGCTCCCTACAAGCGATGTTGTAATTCTTCATTGCTGACTACGCTGCCCACCTCCGACCAGCTGGCTGGAGTGGCGACTCCGTGTGTCGACCGTCCATGATCACTCAACGTGCCGTCCGACCACTCATCAGCAGCAGATTCATAGATCTGACTGAAGCTGCCGGCTGTAGATGGTGTTGATGGGCGATCACCGCGTTCAGCCCCCGTAGAATCCAAGTCCGACAGATCGGAAAAAGGGGATCTCAAGTCGCGACCACTATCGTTCGTCGACAAGCCCGGATGAGCAAAGAGCACTTCAGAATAGCCCTCAGTATGACTCGAGGACCTCGAGGCGGGTCGCTCTACCTCGGCATGGTTCGGCGTAGCAGTTGAGAAATCCATACCAGATGTCTCAGTTGTAGGCGTATAGTCAATGAGCATAGCGGAAGCTGCACCTGCACCTGCACCTACAGCTACAGCTGCTGGTATCGCCACCTGCAAGTTCTCTCTAGTAAGAAGAGCGCCGGACGATCCCGTCCCGGCCATAGGGGTCGAGGAATCCGTCTGTTTCCCACGTTGAGTGACCTGTGAAGTCGTCACTTCCACGGCCGTAGAGCTAGCCGGTGCCGCAGAAGTGTCTGGACTATCAGTCCGGAGCAGACGGCCATCATCATCAACCAGCTTATCAAACGATCCCGACGGTGCGCTTTCTCTTCTTTTCCGGTGTTCCTCGAGCACAGATCGTCGTCGTTGGAGCTCTTCCTTTGCAAGCCGCCTTCGCTCTTCAGCTTCTGGACCCAGCTCTTCAGTCATAGATATGTCTTGTCTGGTAGGAGACGCGGGATTTCGAGGCTGAATCTCATCGCCGAGATTGTGCAATGCGACGGCAATCTTCCGCCGCGAGTTGTTGACCCATTGTCGAAACTGAGGTGATTCATAAACCGCTATTCCCGCTGCTACGAGCGCTGAGACGGTTATGATAATCCCTACTTCCGTGAGGCCCTGTTAGTTACCATACTTATGCAAAGTAGACCCAACCCTATCAACCATCTACCGATAAGCACACCGCCTGCTGAGCCGGAGACGACCTCATATGATCTAGATAAAGCTAATGAAAGCATCAAGAGACATAAGACTCACCTTTTGCAACCGGTGTCGGCATCTTGACCTCCTGTAGTCAAAATATGTCGTTTCCCTCCTCTAACCGACCGTATCAGGCAGCCAAGTAAAAGGATGGCGATGTCAGCGTCATCAGATGCGCCGGCACCCCGCGGGCCGACACGTGACGTCAACACAGCCCTTATCCGGAAACCCTATCGTCCGCTTTGGGCAGTCCGTTGTTTTTTCCCCCCGCGTCGGACATCAACATTGATCGATCTTTTGTTTTGCCTCTGTGCACAATACAATCTCAATTTAGATCTAGAGAAAGCATGTCTCGCCCTTCCTCCGTCTCTCAGCGTCCCCTGACGCTCACTGAAGAATTGGAGAAGCTTGAACAGTCCATCACCCTAACACTACAAGGTAAGCAACCGATAAGACCCAACGGCATCAAAGATCTTGTCTCCAAGTAACACAACAAATCCAGAAATCGACCACAACTTCAGCCAAGCCCACCGAATTGTTACAACCAGCATCCTCCCAGTCGTTGAGCAATACGCCGAACACTCACGCGATGTCTGGGAAGGCGCCAAATTCTGGAAACAATTCTTCGAAGCGAGCGCCAACGTCTCCCTTTCAGGCTACGAGGAACGACCCAACGAAGGCACAGACACACTGCACGACCAAACCGCAACGGAAGACGACTCAACCGCCGACGTGACGCAGAGCAACTTAACCGAAATCGGCACCTACGAAACACCCTCGTCCGCACGACTTGATGCTAGCCACCGCCCGGACGATCTGGAACTAACATCGCTGAGTCTGTCCTCGCATAGCACGCCCCGGCCGCCCGTATTCGATAGACAAGACCACAACGACACAACAGTGACCTCATCGATTGCCCGGCCGTCACCGTACGAGGAGCTGAAACGGGACCTCGACGAGAACGATGCCCCCTTCGACGGCGAGGACGACGATCTCCCCACGACCCCCGGACAACCTTTCCGGCCGCAGGGCCACACGCACGACGAGCTCATGTCCTCGTCGCCGTTTATTCCGCCTGTTTCGCACGAGAACTTCTCACCAGCGGGCAAGACTCCGGCGGATCCGATCCTGCATCGTCTCCAGGACAAGACGTATCGGGTTCAGGCTACCCCGCTTGGAAAGGGGTATGGAACGGGCCGCTCTAAATTCACCATCACTCCGAAGCCATCGACATCCAAGTTCGGCTATGATGATTCGCCGGTCTCCAGTCCCGAACCTGAGGCGCCTCAGCTACATGCGGAAATTTTCTCTTCGCCGCTTAAGACCCCCGGTACCAACCGGAAGCGACGTACAAGTAGCCATCTGCGCGTGACGCCACAGCCCGGAATAAGCGTGTTGACTCCGGCGAAAAGCGGGGGTAGAAACCGACCGGTCTGGGATAGCGACGAGGACTTCGACAGTGACGAGGACGAGGATCTGGGGCCCAGTCCCCCGAAAACTATGCAATTTCATATTCCTCAGAGTAGGCTGATGAAGACACCAGGTTGGTTCACCTAACCCCTTGTATGATGGGATCGCTGACTGACGGTTTACAGCGAAAGAAGCATCTAGACGGATCGTCGAGGACTTGCTGTTCACCGCCGGGGCAAATGATACAACGGACGATGTTCCAGGCGAGCAGAGCCCTAGCATCATCCAAAGGGTCCAGCGCATAGAAGACGAAACCTTCTAAATAGGCATAGATGTTGTTGTCTATGATTCTGGTGAGATAGGAGTTATGTAATAACATACGCGTAAATATACGTCAGTGTCATTTCTTTTCAGATGTACGGGCTGTATTCCCAGAAAAGTAATGCATCTCTCATTGCTGAACACTAGACTATTACATTCACCCACACATAGCAAAATTCGCATTACACAAAAGCCCGTCATCGACACGAGCACCGGAAGACAAACGTATTCCAGACATGCACGGACAAAACATCTCCAGCGACAACTCAGCACTAACTTCGAACCTGCGGAATCAACGGGGCAAAGAGAATTACATAAGCATACTGTAAACACATGAAGGGTATCGAGCGTGAGGCGCTGATCATGAGAGGTTTGGAGAGGGACGAGATGTCAGGAGAGAAGAAAATAGAAACCCGCCTTATATGTACATAGTGTTGATGAACCGTGGGGTATTCTAATGATAGAAGAGAAAAGGAAATTGTCCAAAAATAGGAGAAAAGAAAGCAAAAAACCAAAGCCTAAAAGCCTGATGCCAGACCAGGCTTGAGACGGACTTGTAAGGGCAGATATTCTATCACTGCAGACCCATGAACACCTCTTGACAATTTTCCACCAAGAACTTCAACACCTCGTTCTTCTTTTGCACATCTGTCATCTCACGAGCCAAACTCTGCGGCCTCATGATGGTTGGGGCGAAGACCACAGCAATGTTCTGGCTGGTCATCAGGTTCTCCTTCTCGCGCTCAACTACGCGCTTCAGGTGGAACATGAGGAATTCGAGTACATCCCGGTGAACTCGGGGCAGTTCCAAAAGGCACTTCTGCAGTGTTTCAATCCGCTCGGGCTGCGAAGTGATTTCGCCGGTCTCGATGATAATTTCGTAAACGTCAAATGTGATCAGCGGATTGGGCAACTTCCGGAAATATTGCTTAAGTGCCGATGTCACCGCATGGATATCGAGATCCGGGTCCGAAATATCATAGTCCTGTGGTTGTCGCTCGAACCCATCGCGGATCGTCTGAATCGCGGAGCTGGCACCCGACTTGCGGTAAATTCCTTCCATATCCATGCCTAAAGCCACGGTTAGTTTGTCATCAGAATAGAGGTAATGATTAGAGGCGTACCTCGTAATTCAACCTCCTGAATACAACGAGTGATGATGGCAGGAATGATGCTCTTTTCATGCTCCATCCGCTGCTCCAGATCGGTACCAAAAAGCCCTAGAGATCATTAGTCCAGACTAATAACAGATGCTAAGTGGCACACACCTGTTGGGGCAGCTTCGGCTAAAGCGGGGACACTGTCAGTCGTTGGCATCCTTGTTCCAGCCTGCTTGTTCCGTTGGTTCCCAAAGAATCCAAATCCTTGTCGGCTAGGGTCCTGGGTTTGGGAGCGTGGCAAACCAGGAGAGGGTTCCGCGGCGCTCTCACTCGTACCAAAAGCGCGATTGAGGCCCTTGGTGACACCCTTGGCGACGTTTTGGCCTCCCTTCTTCCAATTGAACTTGCGAGGCTGTCCCTTGCGAATACTGACTACCTGGGGACCCGGGACAATGGTGGCTGGCTCCGCCTCTTCGGACATGTTGGCCGTCGAAACCGATGTGGCCAGGTCGTTACCGGCCTTGAGTGCGTCGATGGAAGATAGCGATTTCTCCTTTCCGTGCGAATAGATGCCGAGACCATTAGCACCCCTATTGCTCTCTAACGAGTTAGCTTTATAAAGCTCTTGGATCTGGTGCACCAGCTGGTTATTCAATTCCGCCAGTTGGGCATTCTTCGACGACAGCTGCTCGAACTCTTGGAAGCTCTTGTCCTTCATCCGGTTGAAGTTGGCAAGTTCCTCGGCGGCCTCGTTCCGTTTCTGAACCAACTCCTCGATCTGAGGCGCGAAGGAGTCCTTCAGCTTCTGGATAGATTCAACAAACTCCCGCAAAACCTGATTTGTGAGTTTGCCGACGTCAAGAGCGCCGCTTCCGCCGCGCTTCTCAACCTCCAGATGATCGGTCAGCACCGACAGTTCCCGCATAACGATCTCCTTCCGAGCATCTAGAACGACCATAGTGGAGCGCTTCTCATTGAGTTCCGTGTTAGCCAGCTTTACGTCCGCGGTAGCGTTCAACATAGCCTCCATTTCGACAATCTTCTGATCCCGCTCAAGGACCCGCTGACGCTCCTTACGCAACTCAGCTCGCAACCAGGCCACTTCCTCAGGTCCAGCACTCTCTGGGGAGATGGCAGTGGGACTTCCAGGGTCCTGGAACGGGGCGTTCCCGTTGACCGGCAATTTGGGCCACTTGGCATCCTTGGACAAGCGAGAGCCTTTATCACTGAAGCTGCGACCATGGCGCACCGAGTTTGACATACGACGCAAGAAAGATTCATTGTTCTGTGGGTCATCTGACCCCATCAGTCGTGTCATATCTTCATCCATGAATTCGCCCCCGCCACTGTACCGCAAGGCCGACGGCGACTCCGCGCGGTCCACCTGGCGCTGCAAGTCGGGTTGATGGAAGGTATTGATAGAATTCGGGCGTAATGGCTTTGACTGCTCAAAGTTGGCGTCACTGCGCGGGGACCGGGGGGATTCACCCGGTCTAGGTGAGCCCTTCCTTCGGTCAAGCGACGGCTCACCCGGGGCGATCGATTGTGGACGAGGTGACATGCCGGCCTCCTTCCGGGAAAGGTGTAGCTTGCTCTCCAATGAATCTCCGCGTTTAGGGAGATGCTGCATGCTACCAGAAGACAAGAACGACCGCGCGGAGTCCAGGGATCCACTAGTTTCGTGTAAACGGCGAAGCTCATGTGACGGCCGAATGGGCTGGGTTACAGAGCTATCCGCCGTTGATGCGTCTCGCTGAGGGGTGGTTGACGACCTTGTGCTCTCGGGGCTCGAATTAGAGAAAGTGCTCATCTCCTTGTGGCCTGGGGGCAAGCCGGAGCGTGCACATTGTGTAGAGCCCGACCTTGCACGCCTCGGCAACTCTGGCGGCGCCCTAGATTCGTCACTGGTTGTTGGACGAGAGTAACCGCTAGGCTCTTCTTGCCGCCAACGAGTCGGGTCAATATCGGCGCGCTCCCGGCCCTTCTCTTGGTATGCGATATGCGGTGATGTGCTACCAGAAGGCACCGATTCAGTTCCCTCTCTGGGAGATCGGTGCAGGGACCCGGGGGATTTAGAATGTTGAGGGGACCGCTGTTCTTCAGAAGGATCAAATGCGACCGGAATCAGGAATTCTCCGCCATCTGTCTCCGGTTCGCGGGGTATCATGGAGTGACGGTTACTGCGGTAGGTGCTCGAAGGGAGGATTAAATTGTCTATAGTCAACTCACATCAATCATATGCCCTTCAACCTGGGACCGGGAATGTTACCTTGATCGGCAGCCGCACGAGGATTCGAAGAGTCTTGCATCCTTCCCGCGTCCAGCACAGGCGCTGCACCCCGTGATGTCCCATCTGTGACTGGTTCTGCATAAGCATCAGCTACTAGGTCGTCGGCGAGTCCTGCTGCGTGGCCGGCTTCCTCTGGAGGTAACGAAGGCAGGGATTTATCGAGTTTCACGCCGGGCGCTGACTTCTTCGTAGGCGCAGCCGCGCGGTTTCGCTTCCTGCGTCGCTGCATTAACGATTCATGACAGTCCATGCAAAAAATACCTTGCGACGTCCGCGCATAGCGCAAATTCTCAATTTTCCGTTTACAATTCCTGCATCGGAAGCACTGGGCGCAAAATGCTTGCTCTCCGGTCAAGATGGCCAGGTCTTCGATTTTGTTTCCACATGAACTGCAGCTATATGTACAATTGCTGCATATTAATGATCCGTCGCCGAGGAGAAGGAGGTGAGCATCAGAGTCGAGAAGAGTGCCACAGGTACTGCAGCAAAAACATTCGATATGCCATCGATTGCCCGCTGGGGATTGTCAGCTCCGCCCAGTATTGACCGCCCCAAAAATGAACTCACCAAGCTCGAACGCCTTTCCCTCTTCTAGGATCTAACACAAGGCACCCACATTAGTACGCATCTCTAAATTCTGTCCGGTAATCGCATACCTCTCCACAACCCTTACAGGGAAATGGGTTGTCATCTTGCTCCATAGGGGATTCGGGGTACGCCGCAGGGGACTCCATCTTATTCCGCTATGGAAGAAGGGGTGGTGAAGTATCGTAAAGGCGAGAGGTTTACGGAAGTACAAAAAGGTGTCAGGGTCGACGACGCCCGGGGCGCGTCCGCGATGTTATTCTCAGACGATTTGACGACACAGGGGGGGATGTGTTGGGATCGAGTCACGCATCCGGCAGCAAAGAAGAACGAGCGAAGGGGAGGAGGGGAGGGCGGTGGTAACAGCTGGCCGGTGCGAGGAAATAAATCAGGACGGAGCGCTGGGTGGACGGCAACTTCCACTAAAGAAGGCAATAAAAAGCCCTCGAGCCTATGGTAAGCAAAGGAGCCGACGTCAGTATCAGGTCAAGATCGACAAGGCCCATCGCGGACGAGACTGAGGGGTGGGTGGTTAGAGATGGTGAGGAAGAAGTACCCCAGATCCCAGGACCCAGGGGTAGGGAGGAGGGGACAGGGCTGGAACTACCCATGCAGGAGAAAGGACGCGGTCGATCAAATCTGAGCTATCCCAATGGGACAACGGGAGACGAGACTGGAATATACACCAAACCAGTCGATAAGTAGACAACAGAGGGGGGTGAGGGAGAAGAAGGGACAAAAATAAATTGAGGTTGATTGCGAAACCCAGAGAGGTGTGAGAGGGAGGGAAATTGAAACGCACTTAACGGTGAGCGACTGTTTCAGATAAACTTCAGCGACAGAACGCGCGGAAAAGCGAACCCTTCGGGAGCCAACTCAGCTGGTTGGCGCAACACTCAGGAACAGGGCGGTAGGAAGTGCCAATTAGATCATTAGATATTAATGGTAAATAGTAAAGCAGAGAGAAAAAGAAATGAAAGGGAAGCCCATGGAGGAAAGGTGTGGAAATGAACAGGGAAGAAGAGACGGGACGGAGAGTAGGAAAGAAAGACGGTCTGGATTCTCGCGACCTGAGCCCCAAAATAAGTCACGCCCCTTCCCCATATCCTACAAGAAATACTCTCTCATACTCATAACAAAGAAAAATATCTCTCTATACCTAATATATATATTTCTCTCTCTCTCGTTCTATATATATATATATATATAGATAGATAGATAAGTATGCCGTGCTCTATAGTTCCCAAAACGCCAAGGCATATACAATGGTATTATTAAAGTCCCTTTACAAAAAGTGGCCGCCAGTTCTCCCATGAACCCAAACCCAATATGCATCGTATATAATGCGAAAAAAGATAGATACCGACATTTTGCCCACCCTTCTATGGTGCAAAGGCTTTTCGTGATTTCGGCTGAAAGAGATGTTTCAAAGAATAATCTCCACGGTTAGCGGTTTCTTTGCTTTAATTCTTTTTTTAACCTCCCCTCCAATTTAGGGGCATCCTCAAGTCTCCAACGACTGGTGGATCACACTTGTTCGGTATGTCTCACTACGCTGGATCAACTCCTGATGCGTACCCTGCTCCACACACCGACCCTCTTCAATCAAGAAGATCTGGTCGGCCCGGTGAATCGTATTGAGTCGATGGGCAATAGCGACGATCGTAGTCCGTCCAGCCAACGTAGCCAGCGCTTCCTGGATCCGTTTCTCGGATTCAACATCCAGTGCACTGGTCGACTCGTCCAACAACAGTAAGCGGGGCTTCCGCACCAATGCTCGCGCAATGGATAGACGCTGGCGCTGACCACCTGAGAACTGTTTTCCGTCATGGCTGCACATGGTTTGGTACCCTTCGGGCAGCGCCATGATCACGTCGTGGATATTAGCCATACGACAGGCCTCCTCGATCTCCGCCTGGGTCGGTTCGTGGCCGGGGCATGCCCCAAGCCCGATATTAAAGGCCACCGTGCCTTCAAAAAGTACATTTTCTTGAGGTACGAGAGCGATGTCGTCTCGAAATTCTGTGCCCAGCTGGCGTGTAACATCTACACCATCAATGACGACGGATCCAGAGATAGGCCGGTAGAATCGTTCCAGCATAGAGAATGTGGTTGACTTGCCAGATCCACTGGGGCCGACCAATGCGCAAAATTGGCCTGGTTTGATATTGATATCGAGTCCGTTCAAAATCGGCCGTTCGGGCCGATTTGGGTAGGTGAAGTGTATCCCCCGAAGTTGGGCACCGATGGCCTTGTCGGACGTGCGCTTGCGTGGAGCACGAGACAAGTCTACGGCTTCAACATCTTGTGCTGATGCCTTCTCCTCAAGGAGACTACTGGAAGGTTTGAAACTGGAAGACGATCCTGGGGATAGTTCCTCCTCTGCGGAGCAAGTGTTGAGGAGCTCGACGATGTTAGACGATGCGACTCGGGCCTTAGAGATATCAGGCGCCAAAGCGAACATCTGACCGCAGGACTGGGTACTAAACAGCAAGGCTGGCAGAACGATAAAGAACTGGGTCTGGGAGTAGAGCCCAGCGGCGATCTGCTTCGAACCCCACCAGTATGCGAGCGCATAGACCAGGTTACTAATGCTAAACGCTAAAGCCAGCCAGATATTACCGTGGGCAATTGCCTTCATGGTGTTCCGGTACGGCTGTGTTAATGCCCGACCAAACACTTCGTACGATTGTTTTTCCAAGGAGAATGCAGACACCGCCCGGATGTTATCAACGGCTTCCACGGTAATCGCGGTGGCTTTGGCAAAGGCCTTCTGGTGCCGTTCTGCGAACTTGGCCTGGACCCGTAGCTTCATCATACCGGCCGCCAAAAGCACAGGGATAGTTGGGAATAAGACAATCGTGATCTTCCAAGCAATGGCAAAGGAAATTACCAAACCGGCCACCAAATTCACGGCGGTGGCCAGGAGAAGGCCAATTGTTGAGCCGGTAATTCCGCTCAGAGCAGATGCATCACCAGTGATATAAGTGATCAAAGTCCCCGGTGTGCGATCATTCATGCCGTGCCATTGCATCGTTTGGCCAAGGAGAGATCGCAGGGAAAGAACCCGGATGCGATACAAGATCTTGTCAGCCGCCCAACCGAATACAGCACCACCCACGACATTGGCGGTCAATTCGACCAGCGCAAGGATGAAGAATAGTAGACCGTAAAGGTTTCCGCTATGGCTAATGGCGTCCGCACCTTTGCAGGGGTTCAGATTTCCCACCGTATGACCGAAAACGATTGCTTCGGCCGAGTAGGAACCGCCGATGATGCAAGACATAAGCAGTCCAACCAAGATCAATGGCAGGTTTGGTCGCATGAGAGAAAAAGTGTACTTGGTGGTAAACCAACCTGATCGCTTCCTTTTCTTGTCCTTCTGGTTGCCATCCTTGGATCCTGGCGGCGTCTCAGCTACGACTGTGTCCTCCGTGACATCCGATCCGCTGGCTCCAAGAAGACCTGCTTCCTTCTCGCCGGCCGCCTGGACACTCTCTGCAGAGGAACAATCTCCGCGGGGTGCATCGCTGATCGCATCTTCCGAAATCATCGCATCTTCGGCGCTCAGCCTCCCAAGGTTCTGAAGGCGCACCATTTCCGCGTAGACACCACCGCGCGCAACAAGTTCTGAGTGGGAGCCTTCTTCCGAAACTCGACCGCTCTGCACCACCACGATCTTGTGAGCATCCTTGGCAGTCGCCAGTCGGTGCGCAATGGATACAGTGGTGACATGCTCAGATACCCTGGCCAGTGCCGCCTGGATCAGCTGCTCACTAGCGGAATCCAGTGCAGCCGTCGCTTCGTCCAGAACAAGCAGACTCGGCTCTCGTACCAGGGCGCGAGCCAAAGCAATACGTTGCTTCTGACCTCCACTCAGTTGGTTTCCAGCATTTCCGACACTGGTTGACAGTCCATAGGGCAGCCCTTCAATAAAGTTCAGTGCGTTGGATGTAGCAGCCGCCTGTTTCACCAGATCGACGATCTCGGCCACCCGGCTGTCATAAGCAGACAAGGCATCCTTCTCGGGCACTCCACTTCTGATTTTCTCGGCAAGCTCCGGGAGACTCCCATCCAGAATGAACGACGCGAATTCTTGATGCCTAGAATGTGCCGAAGACACAAGACCGTAGGCAATGTTTTCGAGGATGGACCGATCTAGTAAAGATGGTTCTTGTTGGACAAAACCGATATTTCCGCGCAAGTACCGGACATTGATATCTCGAAAGTCCTTCCCACCGATCGTCACCTGCCCGGCGTTCGGATCATAAAATCTCTCGAGAAGAGACACAACCGTAGACTTTCCACCACCGGAGGGCCCAACGATAGCGGTATGCTTCTTCGGTGGGATGACGAAGCTCATCCCCTGCAGCACGGGAACATCTGGACGAGATGGGTACGTGAAGTGGACATCATTAAATTCGATATCCTCCTCGTCGAATGCCACCGATTTATCGCCCTCGTCAGATGTTCCGTCAATAGCTGACTTGCGGTTGATGACTGCCAAGAGTCGCTGCGAAGCGCCTGCTGCGGAGGCAAAAACATGAATGAATGGTGCAACCTGACTCAGAATAAAGGAGGCATCGATCAAGACAAAGATCACGGTATACACAGCACCCACAGATACACCTGAGTTTTCGTTGGCTACCGAATGCGCAATCATCTGGGCACCTTCCCAGAAAGCTAAGGCGTTGGCGGAGTACGCAACAAAGTAGAGGAAACCAAGCTGCGCGGCATGCGTGCAGGCTTTCTTCAGGGCGTCCATATGGGACTTCGAGAGGTATGAAGCAAATCGCGTCTCCAGGCGATCGTTAGCATTGAACGCATGAACCAACGACAGGTGCGACAGGCTAGATGAAGCAATCGACGTCGCCGAGCCGATGTTTTCAGTTATACGGCCAGCATATTTCTTGATATAGTGACCTCCAAGCAGCGACATGACCATGAAACAGGGCACCACCGAGATCAGCATGCCTGCAATCCTGGGCACCTTGATGAACGCCACGATATAGGAAGCCACGAAGTATGAGATGGTCGTAATCACCAGGCCCACCTTCTCCGAGGTCCCCGACTGGATGACTTCCACGTCACTGACCAGACGCGAAATAACATCGCCAGCGGGGAGAGATTCAATGAAGTTCGCCTCCTGTTTGATTACACTCTCGAAGTATCTCTTGCGATAACGACGCGCCAGTCGTTCGCTCACCGTGCACCAGCATGACGTGTGGATGTAGATGAAGCAAAAGTTTGCAATAGTGATATATATCACATACAGTACTTTCGTGCGAACACTGTCCGAAAGCTCACCGGTGGCATCTGTTGAGGCCGAGCAAGTGACGGTATTGAGGTCGTTGATCAAATCACCAAAGACAATGCCGAGCAATGGAAAGGGAACTCCACCGGCAATCGCAAATATAACACCACAGATTATAAGAAACACATCCGTTGCGGTGTAGTCAAGCGAAAAGAGAAGCCGGATGTATGAAAAGCATTGCCCAAGGTCCTCCTTGCTGGGAATATACCTTTTCACGGCTTGCATCTGATAGGAGATGGGGTATCAGCATGTGACCGGGACAGACTATTCAGGCAAAAGATAGGTACGACAACATACAAAGCCATGGTCGGTGCCATTGGGATCCTTCTGTCCATTCTCGGCCCATTCCGCTTGTGACATTATGACGGTATATGTCTATAGAAACCCCGCAAGTAGGATTTGGAGAAGCCGAACGACCGCGGTCTTATTGTGGGGTATTAAGTATACAATATCCGTACGCGGCGCAAGACCAAGAGACGGGCACCAGGCCGTCTAATGTTTTCTCTGAGAGATGTCGTGGGTAGTGTAATTAGATTTCGGGTGCACGAGCTCTCAAGAAGGCGAGGTATCAGCCGAAGAAAGAATTGACGCTCAAGTATGCTCGCCTAATCTCTCGGGCTACAGTAGCTCAAGCTCACCAAAATTTATCAACCAGCAACGGTGGAAGGGAGAAGTAATTCATTCAAGCAAACATCCCTAATAAGCATCGCCCCCGAGGAACGAGAGAGAGGCAGACACAGTCTGAAATTGACACCAGGCAAAGCACAGCAACAGTCAAACGAAGGAAAGGGGAAGGATAGGAAGGAGCAAAGAAAAAAAGGCAAAAGAATTTATCTGGGATACCATGACACATACCCATGCCCACAATGAACACGCTAAAGACGAGGGGACTTTAGCAGTACGACGGCTCCGGTTGCGGCGCCCAGGTTGGAGACTGGAACCAGCAATTGATTGACGCCATGGACACCAGTGGGCGAGCGAGAAGAAAGAGGGTCATGGTCTGCAAAAAGCGGAGTAGCCAAAGAGCGAAACGAATGCCAGAGCCAGAGGTTGACGAAAGACATAATCTCTCCACTTGGCAGGGGGGGGTTCCCAAGAGGGGCCTCTCACGGTGGATATCTGATACTAGATTGATAAAATTTTTTATTCTTTTGAACGGGCAAAAGATCGACTAGTGGGGTTTTCATCCAGTGGGAATTTTCTGTTGCAGAAGCACGGCACGAACCGATTATTGGCCGTCTCTTCTCTAGACCAGTGGGGCAGAGACCATAATCTCTTGCCGAGGGCATTCCCATTGTTGTGGTATTCTTCTGCTTCAGGGAAGGTGAGAAGCGGGACGGAGTACAAAGCACCAGGAGGGCTGGGAAAGAGAAAGAAAAGAAAAAGAAAAAGAATCGGGTTGCAAAGTTACCCTCGGGGTCCGAGGGTCCAGGGATGCGATGCGCATCATCATCTTAGTATCCGTGGCGATCCATGAGTATTCACCAGAATATTCATTATGCAATGGAATCGATCAGGAACTACAAAAGAAAGAAAAAGAACGCAAAAAAAAAAAAATAAGAATAAGAATAAAACCATAATATCGATGATGATAATAATAATAATAATACTGATATTAATACTAATACTAATCTGCCAAGAAACAGCCACAAAATGGGGTTCACCTTTATTCAGTGCGTGGAAGGGTTTCTGATTTAATTTTATTGGATTTGCACAATAAAATCTGATAACTCAAAATCACCCGCAGCCGCTCCTCCAATCATCCTCGGGAAAAGAGGATCCGGTGTACTATGGTACAACATTCTTTGCTTCTTCCACCATCTTCTCCCTTTTCCCCCCCAAGTTATTTCCCTATCTCCTTAATGAACTATCCAAGTGGATTTGCCTTCACAGCCTCACGGGACTTGATGTTCTAGTCCCAACAAGCCAAACGATAGCGTCATTATTTAATCGGCTAACCCACTGGAAGACCCGATTCTAGGCTCTTTGCGCCCAGTTCTCCTGTGTCGTAAGACTGTTATACTCCGGGTAATAAATTTCTTCCTAGCAAAATTTATATTTTGACTGCTATGTATAATCTTTATCTAATCTGATCGATTGATAATAATTCACCCCCGTCAGCCCCTGAGCCGTTTGAGATGAAAACCCACCCCCCTTCGCTGTTAACGTGGGAGCCCCTCACTCATTCGAAGAGAGCGACAGTGAAAGGGGGCCAATGAAGCTAAGGAAGATCTACAAGTCACTGCCCAACATGCCCAATTATCAACAACGTGGTGGCAATTGATTGCTACCACGCAAGGCAAACAAGATGTGGGAGGGGAACAAAATAAAGCAAAGAGACGCTATCCTTAATGGACTGTGGCTTTCCCATCACACTGGCTTACTTTAACCACACATCCTCAGAAATGAAGAAAGAAGTTAATAATAAAAAGGGGAGGAAGGGGCAAGCATTCCAACAGCTGAATCTAATCAGATCGACATCTAATCAGATTCGCCGGGTTTACCCCATTGGATACCGCCCTGTCCGACTCTTCCGGCGTCACCTGTTGCTACACAATATCCCTCTTTCATCATGACTGCTAACCTGGAAAGCTTCGGTTACGCCTAGATGATTGCACCGGCGTCGGTTGTTTCTCCATAAACGGGCTACGTAACCCTGCCAAGTATATGCTATAAAGCTAGGTTAAACCATGCGAGCTTCTTCAGTTCATTCATTGACGACAGACAGTAACGCAATGTTGATATTTATAGTAACAATGCTTCCATTTTAAACTATTGGTTTAAAAAATACAGACGTAATGGTATATAGCCTAGCCCACGGCCGTTTTCGAATCCCAAAACAAAACCAAAACAAAACTAGAACAACCAACAGCGAAAAAAATAAAAAATAAAAAATAAAAAAATTGGATATCCACCCTCGATAATCTACTCATTTCCTCGCACAACATAATACGCCACTAAGTTGCGCGTGACCGGGTTGGGGTTACCGATATATCCCCAAAAACTGCCATCGTCAAATCCATGCTTATCAAAAGCCATTCTGTGCAATTTAACGCACAGCTGTATTGCCTGCCGCCTGGCCGGGGTGGGTCCCTGAAGAAGGTCTGTGATGACAAAGGAGCCAATTTTTTCCAAGATCTCGCTGGGGAAACATCTCGTATCTTGAATTGCCTCATCCATAAGTTCAGTAAGTAAAGTGAGGGCCGTGAGGATCGCCCGATAACCTCGGTCGTCCCGCGTCCCCTTATGTGCATAATCCACGAGCGTGTCTAGCATGACTGTAAACGCTCGTTTCTCGCATAGGCGGACTAATTCGCCCGCAAAGTACTGGAGATCCGTGACAATCCAACAGTACGATTCGAAATATCTGATCGCATCAAGAACGGCGGTTAATGCCTGAGGGCAGTAAGGCCCGAAGAAATTGGGGCATTTAATATGCAACCGTCGGACTGTAAGAAGAACCTGGTTTTTCAGGTCCGTATAATCCCCATGACTTTTTGACCTAGAGTCAGACTCACTCCGCAGCTCCTCCAAGAGAGCCTGACATAAGTCATCAAACACCGATTGATCGAAAAGGCTCTCACCGTGAAAGACAATGATATTTTGGAGCTTTCGGTATGCGAAAAGATCCAATGCTTTCGATCGAATTCGTTGGCCCGCAACCCGGACTATCTCTTGCGCATTAGGGAGTTGCTGTGAGCGTAGGCTAAGACTCCGTTTGATCATGATCGGCGTGTTGGGCTGCCGATCTTGTCGAGGCGTAGTAAAAGGATCAATTGCTTTGTTATCGCGATGATCCGATTCATTAGATGGCAATTCACCTAAAGCGTTGTCCCTAGACAATGATCGATCATCAAGTATAGGCATAGAAGCATTCTGCTTAGGGGGGGTAGACTCCGAAACTGTGTTTTTGTTCTTCATTGCATTAGACGAGTGTAAAGCGTTATCCTTAGACGACGATTGATCATCAAAGATAGGCATATGGGCATGCTCCTTTGTGGGGGGAGATTCGGGAACTTTGTTTTCGTTATTAATCGCACTAGACGAGTGCAGCAGGTGGTCCGGTGTAGACTGAAGATCCGGTTCATTGGTTGGTAATTCACCCAAAGCGTTGTCCTTAGGCGAGAATTGATCATCAAAGATAGGCACATGGGCATGCTCCTTAGTGGGGGGAGACTCAGAAACTTTGTTTTCGTTATTAATCACATTAGACGAGTGTAAAGCATTATCCGTAGTCGAGGATCGATCATCAAAGATAGGCACAAACCTATACTCCTTGGGGGGGTAAGAGTCAGGAACTTTGCTTTCGTTATTCGCATTAGACGGGTGCAGCTGATGGTCCGGCGTAGTCTGAAGAACATCCGATGGAAACGGACTCTCATCCAGGTCTTCGGGCCAGTGGTCCAGATGTGGTTGTGGAACCGCGGCTGTAACATGGAAGCCGGCATCGCGACTGTCAGGGATCTTCTGGATGGTGAAGTTGTCCAATTTAGCCAATCTTTGAAATTGGCGTGCTTTGCGAGCTTCATCTTCAGCGGTCTTAATCTTAGCGCTAGCTGGCTGCGCGAGGTCTGCTTTAGGCCGGGTGCGGACGACGCTCAGCGGCTTCAGGGGTGTACTCTTCTTGTGTCTCAACCTTGGAGAGCCCTCAGCGGGTGCGGGTGCGGGTGCGGGTGTCTTGGGGCGCGTATCAGTCGCAGCCGATCTGCGCGAAGCATACGGGTCGGCGGTTGCGGGGCGCGCCAATTCGGGTCGGCGAGCCTTCGCGCCAGGTCGCATAGGGGCTGATGATAGTGATGAAACTGGTGCGGCTGTAGGAACAGTGCGTGCATTAGTTGCTTTTGCCGGTAAATCAGTCGGTTTTGTTGCAGAGAACGACGACTGAGCAGATTCTGGTCGGGGAGGTAACCCCTTAGCCGCCGCAACATAAGCTTTCTTGTGTGCCGCTATGGCTTCTTTTAGAGTTGACCGACTAGATGGCGTGCCCTTTCCAGGTGAGCTCTGTGATCCTGTCTGTCCGGGAATGGGATTCGCCGGATCCTTCTCTAGGAGGGAGCGGGTTTTGTGGTCGAGATCAGATAGCATACTGGGAGGTGTTAGAAGGCTATTCGTCCCAGAAACAAGATATATCACTTACCCATCGCCTTTAGTAGGCCACACCCGGTAAAATGTCCAGAAGACGCCCCGCATCGCTTCCCTGACACCAGGATTAGCATCGGAGAACCCATTCTTCATGGTCTTCTCAATCGTATTCAAGCCACCGCCATGCTCAATGGAGCTCTTGTGACGAGCCTGCTTGTTGATCAAGGTTTTCAACCACCCTGCAGCATAGAGACGTAACTGGAGATTTTTATCCTCGCATGCGCGCGTGACGTGATGCAAAAGGCGTGGAGTGTAGGACACATTAGCCAGAAGTGCATCGACGCAGAGGTTACCATTCTGGGTGCTGATTTTCTTCATGCCGCTACAGAGTTTAATCAAATTTTGCATCATAATCTCGACCATTGGATCCAACTTTGGCCCACAAACTTTAGCAAGATCCTGGATTAAAAGACAGCCATTGGCAGATGTAGTGGTGCGAAGGGAGGTGACAGTCTTGAAAATGCCATCGAGAAGGGACTTGATCCCAGCATAGAAATGCTGGGGAAAGTCCCGGGGACTGTTGCCGTAGGTAAGTTGGCGTAAGGCGGTCATGTATTTCTCTCGGAGTATCCAATTCTGTTCAGTCTCGCGACCCTCGAAAGCGGGGGCCATGGCACGGAAAAGGCTATCGATGTGCTTGCCTGAGCCAGTCTTAAGTGGCTTGATAGAGTCACCCTCTTCATACCGCGCCAGGAAAGGCAGCACTTCGTTCCCATCGAGTTCAGTCATGTTGCTCTGTTCCTGTTCGCTCTTCGATGAGCCAGGGCGGCGTTTAATGGGCTCCGATTCTATCAAGATAGGTATAGCTAGAGAACGTTTAGCACAACATGCTTATGAGAAGGTCAAGGAAACATACGCTCTACAGGTAATTCAGGGGGGGAGGGGGGATGCGAGTGAGACACGGCTGGAGGTCGCTGGCGCACGACCTCTACCCGAGAGACCGGACGTGGGGGCTGGGTTTCTACCCGGGAGGTAGGCCGTGGTTCCGTTCGTGAGAGTGGGCGAGCAATTGCAACTGAAGCATCATCCTCGAGTCCGATATTCGCGATGATGGCATTCACGATCGATTTACGAACGTTTTGAGTGGACATTTCCTTGGTTAAGTCTGATTTAGCTCGCGCAGGCGCGCTCCTAACGCTTTGTTAGTCACACCACCGATACAAAAACAGCATAAAATGCACCCTGTGTGGGGTCATACCGGAAGAGCTCCACCGTCGTTGACTTTGCTGTGTCTCTAACGACACTGTCGGCGTCTTCAAGGCACGAAACTAGGCTCGGAACATACGAGCGGAACAGCAGTCCGTGGTTCTTCGACATCTGCGAACGCTAGTTAGGCAGATGATGCAGACATCAGACAGATTAACTCACATTAGATAGCCAGAGTAAGCTCATCTCTTTCGCCTTAGGATTCTTTCCCGTCAAGGCTACCTCGAGCACATAATGCTCTACTTCGGGGCCTGCAGCTGGCCATAAGTCGGTAAATATTTGAGCAGCTTGTGAGCGGACACGCTCCTTGTGATCGCCTAGGCGCTCAAGAAGTATGGGATAGAAATGGCGGGCATGCGCCGAGATAAGATTGGGCTGGTCTTGTATGAACAGCCGCTTCAGGAAGTGGCCAAGCGTAGAGAAACCGGCTGCATAGAGGCCGGAATGATGCGACCCGATTGCTAAACGTAGGCACTCGAAGATAAGGCTTATTGCAGCATCGGGTACGTTTTTCTGCTTGATATCAGATTTGATGCCGAGAAGGTGGCTGACCTTGACGTCAATCGCAAGGTTGTTGTTTTTAAGGACTGCTAGCAGCTCGGCAGCTTTTGGCTCCATCTTCGATTCGAGGAAGTGCTCAATACGAGTCACGATGCTGGTGACATAGAGGATTAAGGAGGATGTCTTTATAAGGAGACACCTGATGGTCTTCACGGAGAGGATCAAGAGGAATTCGAGTGTCGAGAGAGTTTTGCATACAATCTGTACGGAGAGGTAGAATGGCGAAACGAAGTAGACGGCTTGGAGCCAAATGCAGGATGCGAGCTCGGTCGCAAGGGCAAAGAGACTAATAAAATCCATGGTTAGCAAGACTTGGTTCTAAAGCAGTTATGCCAAAAGCAATGTAAAAAACGGGGAACGGGAGTGGGAGTGAGGAAGGGAAATGGTTACAGAGATGAGAACCAGGGAGGAGGAAGACGAGGGATATGAAGACAAACGATCAACAAAACTGCGATGAGGAAGGAGCGCATACATACCTAGAACGCAGCGGTGGTGATAGTGCGAGTTGAGGATGATGGCGGAGAGGAAGCAACGCTTCCGAGATAGTCTGCAGCAACGGGGGGCAAGCAACAGGAGGAGCGATAAGCGAATAGACGCGCCGATAAGCGCTTCGAACTCCACACACTTAAGACCACCAGATTAATTGTATGAGCATTAAGTCAATACGAATTTCAAAATACAAAATTCTTCAAAAGAAAATCAGGTGTTGATATGCGACAGGGGATAGTAGTTGAAGGGGCTGAGTCAGGGTCGTCAGTTCCTTTAGATCTTTTTTTCCCGCTTTGTTTACCGGCAACATTAACCACGGAAACCGCGAGTCCGTTAGGTGGGGGTTCGCGCCTGACGCTTCTGCAGCCCAGCGACCGAATGAAGACTATATATGTATATATGGGAGGTATAAAATGAATCTAAAAATAAAGTAAAGCAGGTCTCGTGTTCCTAGACAATGCTTTCAGGTTGTTTGATTGCCGGGATAGAATTTGCACATCAGTAATTGTGCAATATATTTCTGTCGCTTTCTGTTTTGTTTTCCTTTTACCCCTCTGGGAGTTTTATCCCCATTTATGTATACGGCGTATACATACATATATTATATGTATATTTATATCTCAACCCGCGATATAGTCGATTGTTAAATCCTGTGACGACCACCTGATAGAGGATATGCATTTGACTATAGATTACAAAGTAATCCAAGTACACACTTTCTCTTTTGCAAGTACACAACAGATATCAATCAATCTACATTACATATGATCCAATCATCATTGGCCCACCGAAGGCTAGTCTCATTACTCCACACGATCGCCGCCTGGCGTGGACACTTGGACTAAATATGCGTCATGTCAAGAAAGAGCCACGACGGAGGTGGCATGGGACTCGCATCATGTAGTGGGTAATCAGAATGGCTCAATGACAATATGATTGGTTGATTTGGTTGCAGAAGTACGGCTAGTAGTAGATAGGTATGTACAGTATACATACATGGATGTGCATGCGCCCGGATCTGCCCATAGTTCGGCAGGCACATACTACTACGTGAACCCGAGGGACAAGGCTGAAAGTAGTTGTAGATGATTAGTACCTCAGTAAATATATTCTCATTGAAGTATCTTTGTACACTCCTTGCGTCACCTTCCTGTTACAGTCCGCTTCCTACCTTGTTCTGTAAATCGACATGTCACCTTCTGATACTTCTACTACTTATTCTCTCCCCACCGCCAACTCTCTGGCCACCACACCGGACGACAACCCCAGCTCCAATGACTCGAACGAAGCGCCCACAGAGCTGCCAAAACCCAAGCTTCGTCTCCAGATCCATGACCTACGTCACTCCGGCTCCAATGTTTTCACCTCCCTCGTCCCCGATCTCGCTTCCACCGTCGACAGCGCCCTCGCAGCTATTATCAAGCACCTCTACAATCCTCCCGGCCCGCCGAAACATGATGAAACATGCACCGCCACTATATCTAAAGCACCAATCCCAACCTTCACACCCTCTGTACCACCAACCCGTTCCATTACCGTGTTCCTCCGTGACATTGGCGGCGTAGCGTACACGACCGGTACGGAGCTGGACGATGACCACAAAGAGATTCATGTTTCTCTCCAGTATATTCTTACGGCCACGAAGCTGCAAGACCCAAGAGCCGAAATTCTCGGTGTTCTTACCCACGAGTTGGTCCACTGTTACCAACATACGACACCTATGCAGGGTGGTGACGCGGTACTACGTCCACCTGCAGGTCTGATTGAGGGTATTGCGGATTTCGTGCGTCTCAAGGCTGGCTTCGTTCCGTCGCACTGGAAACGGCCGTCATCCGCAAAGGAGAGAGCCGAAAAATGGGATCAGGGCTATCAGCATACGGCGTTCTTTCTGGAGTGGTTGGAAGATCTGCGGATTGGGAGAGGTGCAGTCGGAAAACTGAACGACCAGTTGTTGCGTGTCGGATATGTAGGTGAAGACGTGAAATTGGAAGACGAGACGCTTGAACTTGGACACACGAGCTTCTGGAAAGGTCTGTTTGGATCGGGGGTCAAGGAACTTTGGGACGAATATGGCGAGTTCATTGATAAACACGGTAAGCTGAACACAGAGAGAAGCAGTGGGAATTGGGAGGATGAAATCGTCAACCCCTCCGAGTGACTGCCGGAAGAACGCATAAATAACATATTCCATTCAGGCTGTACGTGTAAGTGTAGAGTATAGTGAACACTGATACGAGGGGTCTCGTACTGATCTTATCCTGCAAGCCGAGATCATGTAATATGCATTGATTCGGTACATACATCTATGTACTTTTGTCTAAGAACTAGACCTCACAACGACGCTGTTCTAAGGACCATTTCCGGTCTAAAGCAGATTGAGGTGAAAATGCGGAACGTTGACCAAAATACAACAAGAAACCAAGATAGAAAATGAAAAAAAATAAGGGTTCAACGAAGAAGACATCAGACGAATAATAAATTTCCCATACTGTACAAAACCTGATCTTGCAAATTCGAATAGATAATATGTAATGTGCCCTTGCTCCTGTCCCATCGATGACGGTCATATCATATAATATAACACCTTTTCCACATTGACGCATGTTTCTTTTTTGTCACCGATCCCATCTTACACGATCACCTCGCCCAAGTCCACGTGGACTGGCTTCCAAGGTGTAGCCCCCTCCTCTTCCATGGAGCTGGGAACACGCACATTCAATGGGCTGTACAGATACCAGCCCTTGAGCGCAGCCACGGCAGCCCTGGATCGAGCTTCAAGCAGACTGGCGCCAGCGCCCTCACCCAATTTATCCTGACCAGAGAAAATACCAACCACAAAGACAGGGTGCCTGCTCTTGCGGCCAGTTTCACTGATGATCTTCGCGACCGGCGGCTCAAAGTTCTCCCGAGCACAAAGACGGGAAAGGTCACGAGCCGGCTGGGAGAAGTTGAACAGGTCCGAGATGTTGAGGTGGCGGGAGAGGAAATGTTGCTCGAAGAAGCGCTTAGCGGCTGGTCTCCCAGCATGAAGGTAGATGGCGCCCATAACTGCACGCACAAATGTCGCGTTAGCCTGTTCAGCAGTAACGCCCTTAGTGTGCTCCGATCCCGGGACAGTCCAATCGGCCGTTTTGACGGGATCCCCAAACTCGTTGTCGTAGACGATCCTGGAAGTCATTGATCTTCTCCACGTCGTCCGATGTTCATTAGGTCTCTCTGTGCCAGTAACTGGCTTAACTGGCTCCTCCTCCAACTTGGTGCCAGGGAGTACTCTTTTGAACTGCAGGAGGCCGGGGTCGACCTCTCCACCAGGAACCGCCGCCATCTCAACACCCCATTCCTTTGCCATTGCTGCCAAGGTTTTAGGACCGACATACGCATACATGGCCGCGAAGATGACGGTTAGGGGAAGTCGAGGATATGTACAAAGAAGGTGTTCGGAGGTATAGTAGGTCAGGAGGTCATGGCCGAGGGTAGCCAACGACCCATTGTTGAAATCAGGATTTGAGTCTGCCGAGGCATCGACCAGAGAGCGTGCTAATGTCTCGAGGGGTAGTCGTGAGGGGAGATAGAGGCGTGCATGAAGGGCGGCAAGTTTTGCGGACTCGCGTGCGGCCTCAACCGGTGGAGAAGGGAGGAGGTATTTGAAGTGCGAGGATTGCGTGAGGTGTGTTGGCGATTTCAGTGGTTGCTCATTGAAAAATTGCCCACTCTCGGCCTGAGGAGCAGGAGAAATAGTCGATTGGCGCCGCAGACTATAATACAGATGCTGCTGCAGGCGGCCACCAGTTCGGGCCCGCGGCGAAAGGACCGAACTGCTCCATCGTTGGAGCTGCAGCCTCTTCATCTGGGCAACTGTGGGAGTTGGAAACCTGAAACGAAAGGTCAATTGAAGGGGCAAGAAAAAAGAAGACTGCCTAGAGCGTTGCGTGGAGATTCGGTGTAGGGGTTTCCACGTCAATATTATATGAACTTTTGACCGCTGGAGAAAAGTCGAGCTTCGACGGAAGTCACGGGACTTGCAAGTCGTGTGAGAAGTCTCATTGTGACGCTAAACTGGATTTAGCGCTAGCGTCACGGGTTCTGGGAACGAGGGACGTCGACGGTCATTTCGGCTTCAACCCGCCAGAACAACGTCTTCCTAGCAAGCTACTGCCCACATTCTTTCTCTACCATTGCTCAATTCTGTCCCGCGCAAAATGGGTGGAGGTGGCAAGATCCCGTATGCGACCAAGTTTCTCCGAATTACCGATGTTGTGAGAGGCTGACCGATGTTTTACGCAGGTATCCCAAGGAAGTCTGGTCTCCCGCTGGAGGCTGGTACGCTCAGCCCGCGAACTGGAGGGCCAACACTGCTATCATTGGAGCTTTCGTCATCGGTGTTGCTGCCGTGACATGGAGCATCAGTGCCGACCGGGAACGCCGTGACAGGATGCCAGAACCTGGCAGATTCTTCCCCAGTCGCTAGTCAGTCAACTCCTAGGAAGGTCCGCTGCCAAAGTTTTGTGTATACTGACATTCAACCGTTCTATCTAGCTGGAGCAAACAGATAATCGAGCATGAGAGACAGCAGGCCGCGAAGCACGAGTCGTAAAGGGGGAGCACGGGCTACAGATGACACCCTTTGGAAGATTTATATGGCACGATAGGTATTTATTTCATATTATTGTGGGCTGTACGACAAAAAGAAGGGCGTTTTTCAATCGGTCAATTGATCTGCAAGTGCTTCTGGGGAGTCTTTTCGAATGTCCGATACAATCGCTGCGTGTACAGACGGACCCGTTCCGTGAATTCAGTTCCGTTCCAAAGTTCCTTCTCATACCTAGTCGTAGACAGATGAGGCACTCCAATTTGCTCCACCACGAAGCCCGCTGCAACAGTGGCGAAAATCAAGGAAGACAGCATATAACTTCGTTCCCCCAAAACTTCCAAAGATCTTTTCCAGACGGCAGACTCTGCAAGCTCTGAGCTTACGATCTTGGCCGGGAACCTATCAGCTGTCACCATTCCTTGGGCGAGTGCCCCCAAAAAGGAATTACCTGCGCCAGTTGGATCAACCACTGCCGTAGCCCCCGAGAAATCTGGTTGATGATAGGCAGGCAGCCAGATCCTGTGCCCCCTGGAGAATGTATAGCTCCCATCTTTCCCTGCTCTGATAACCAAATGCCCAGTTCCATTTGGACCAATACCTGAATCAAGAATGCGTCTTACAATGTCCTTCCCGAAATCGCTCTCCTCATCCCAGCCCGGTTGTCCAAACATCATTCCCAATTCGAGCTCGTTGGGGCTCACCACATCTACTATCCGGTTTGCAGCAAAAAATCTTTCTTGCTCTTCTGGGGTACAGAGATCGGGTACAGGTTCCCAGACAAAGAAAGGCCTCCCCGACGCGTGGCTACTGGGAGGGGCTTTGCCTTCTCGTTGCAGTTCTTCTCGGCGCTGTAGGATATTTTGCACTATAGACACGCAACGTCCCGCAGAGCAGACCATATGAAAGGTCCTCGAGAATACCTGCGAATCAGATAGCATGCAAGGTTCCAATCGTAACTTGGGAGTTAAATATTTGAAGTCTGCAGCTAGTTATTATCCGACATGGGGCTTCATTGCCGGAGGTAGGTCACTCACCCCGCTTCTCATTTGGACCGTAACCATTCCAAGCCCTTGTAGTAAGTCGGCTTTTATCTTCTCTTATCACACAACCTGTATCCCAGGTGTTGATAACATCTAGGACGGGCGAGGGGAAGTCGGAGCCAACATCGACAATCCAGCTGACAGAGCGAGAATGGTCCTTACCAGCAACTAGACGTGCACCAATAACCGCGAAAGACGCAGCGCCCCCGATGATGTTTTTGACATCAGGTCTAGTGCCCCCGAAGTCAATGTCATCTGCATGAAATCAAGGAGCTTGGTAAGTATAGCGTACGTAGGCTTTCGATCGTCCATCCGAGTCGGGCGTGTAATAGCATACCAAGGATGAACATGCCTAGTGTGCAAAATTCCACATCATTGTCAGAAGAGGTAGAGCCGCCATGGCCCCCCGCCATTGTTGCTAGGTGATCTGTTACCATCGCCCAACTTGGTGGGGTTCAGTACTTTAGTAGTTTAGGTAAGGTAGTAGAAGTTCTTATCGCATGGAGAGAATACCAATACAAGTTACTACATGTGGTAGGATTACCAGATGATACAGTCAACGTCATAGCACACGACATCCGCACCACCTACTTCGGCGTATTGTACCGTAAGGCCCACTCGTGGAGCTCCGGGCCTCAGGCACGGGATAAGGAGCATCATCTTTTGGAAACCGACACCGTTGCAATTTGCGAACTATTCCTCACAGCTAACTAACTGGGTTGTCACGGACAAGTGTGTTATTACTTGCAATTCTCTAGCCTCCATCTAGCCCCTCGGGACGATTTCTCCCCTCTTTCCCTATATTTATCGTCTCTCCCAAGTTGTCATCGGCATACCCTCGCTTATATAGGGGCCCTTCAAGATGGCGACCAGCCATATGCATAATTTAACCACCCTTATTAAGCGGTAAGCTTCCGGATTGTCGTGCTCTAAACGCTAGGAACTATCATGCGATGCTCCGCTTCTCTGTCATGCTTTGTTATACTTATGTATCCTTACCAACAGGCTGGAAGCCGCAACCTCCCGCCTGGAGGACATGGCTATGGGACTGGATGATCCCAGTTCACCGAAGACATTGAATGCTGCCGCTGCTCCTGAGACCGCTGCTCCTGAGCCACCCAAGCCAGCTTTCCCCGCAGCCCCTGCAGCCCCTGCCGTCCCACCTCAAATCGAAGACTTCGACACATTAATCAATAAGGATGTGCGGAACTTCGTAGATCTCGGAAATAGAATTGGAGATCTTGTTGCTGAGCAGGCGAGTCCTTCCAACGGAAGCGCGTATATTGGGGCCATGGCATGTTACTGACTGATTCCGTAGTCAAAAGCTGTGTTGCAAGCTTTCGAAGCTGAGCGCACCTACCTCTATGTGTCAACGAAGGCGAAGAAACCCGAGCCCCAACCCCCAGAGCTCATGACGGAGCTTCACACTGCCTCTGATAGTATTAATATGATCCGCGAGTCCAATCGCGCATCACCTCTTTTCAATCACCTCAGCGCGGTCGCCGAAGGTATCGTGGCTCTGGGATGGTTCTTTGAGCCCAAGCCAGGCGATTTCGTCAGTGAGATCGTCGGTGGTATTGAATATTATGGCAACAAGGTCCTGAAGGAGTACAAAGAGAAGTAGGATTTTACGTATATTGCATATGTGCTGGATTAAGTATTAACGCTTTCCATTAGAGATAAAACCCACGTCCAGTACATTCAATCGTACTATCAGGTCTTCAAGTCACTTGCCGCCTATCTTAAGAAGCACTACCCGAAGGGCCTGACATGGAATGAGCAGAGCGGCATTGACGCGCTGGAAGCTCTCAGACAGGTCAAAGGCGGCTCCAGTGCTGGGGCCAGCGGTTCTGCTCCTCCCCCTCCCCCGCCACCCCCTGTGCCGACGCTGAACGTGCCCAGCGGAGTTCCTCCACCCCCGCCACCACCACCTGGTGTTCCTCCTCCACCAAGCGCGGCCCCGGCAGGAGATATGTCGGCCGTGTTTGCTCAGTTGAACCAGGGTGAGGCCATCACTTCCGGTCTCCGTAAGGTTGACAAGTCCGAGATGACACACAAGAACCCGAGCCTTCGTGGGGGCTCGACTGTCCCAGAAACCCCTGATTCACCGGGCAGCATTTCTCGCTCCAAGTCGCCAGCCCCGAGCAAGAAGCCTAAGCCGGAAAGCATGCGCGTCCGTAAACCTCCCCGCAAGGACCTCGAAAGCAACAAGTGGTACATCGAGAACTTCGAAGGCCCAGGCGAGGTAGTTGAGATTTCTGCGCAGCAGAACCATTCCATCCTTATCTCCCGTTGCAATAATACCATCGTGAAGGTGACCAACAAGGCAAATGCCATCGCGATCGATAACTGCAAGGGACTTTCGGTTATCATTGACTCCCTGGTGAGCAGCCTTGACGTCATCAAATGCACCAAATTCGCTCTCCAGATCGATGGTGTGGCCCCCACGCTCTTGCTTGACCAAGTGGATGGCGCCGTAATCTACCTAGGATCGCAGAGCTTGAGCACCGAGGTGTTCTCCAGTAAATGCACAGCGCTCAACGTCATGCTTCCCCCGAAGGAGGGAACAGACGAGGATACCAAGGAGTGCCCCGTCCCCGAGCAGATCAAGTCCTATGTCAAGGACGGCGTCCTGGTGAACGAGATCGTCGAGCACGCGGGTTAAAAGTAATAATTTTGCGACTGCCTTTTAGTATGTCTCAGGGACGTGTATTTGGCCATCTGCATATCTTGGAAAATCATCTAGTGGATAGCGGTAGTTGGCCAGGCCGATCTTTTGACATGTACAACAAATATAAGGAATCTTCTCCGTTAAGTTTAGACGCCGTGTAGATAAATCAATTCCAAATCAATCACTAGAACAATTCATCGTTCCTGCTGTTATCCAGTGTTTGTTGAAGCAACCTTCGTCTTACATGCTTCAAGTATATATCCGGAAGAGCTTAGACGGGCGGTAACTTCCAGTTCGTGTATTTGATTTCGTTGACCGCAATCGATTCAGTGTCAGGAGTACAATTTTATGTACAGTAAATTTTGTTACATAGATGTTTGCTAGAGATTCAATGTATTTATAACAATGATTCTTATTAACGTATATGTGTCTGTGCTATTCACCGTTTAACCGTATATTTAAGCTAAGTATCCAAATTCCCACAAGTCCAAAATAGAACAGGTTAACAAACCACCGGGTACCGGATAGACAGAAGAGAGAATCTTCAAAACGGTACTCGAACTGAACTCTGTACGCCTTGACAAATGAAACATATCAGTAAGAAGAGAGGAGACTTCCTAGACTCCAGGGCATTGTCGACGCCATGAAAAAAAGAGTACTTTGGGGTATTATTGTATGTATGTCCTGCGCCCTTAGTTGGTCCACTTGAGTTGGTGTCGAAAGCGGAAGGCGATTAAAATCATGTCTAGAAGATGAACCTGCACTATGAACGTCAGTTCGACAGGGTGTGTCCTGCACAATGGTAACAAGTCAACGGTAAAAAAAAAAAGCTAAGTTGAACAGTTTATACTGATGAAAATATGCAGTGGCCCAGGAAATCCTTCTGGATGGGCGGCTTCGATGCATTTTCTTGGCTCACTTTAACTGATGCCTGATGAGTTATGCTTCTGTACATCTAGCCCTCTCAGCCGTTTGGCAAGTAGGCTTTCGCTGGCTTCAGAACCGCTTATAGGATTGAATGGATAGCCACCATATCCAAGGTCTCCTTTGTTGAGTTTAGTATACGTTCCGTTATCAGTCCAATAGCTTTCGACCGCCTCTTGATCCGGTATAGGAAGCGCTTCTTCCCTTAGAGACGGGATGGGTCGGAAAGGATGGGGAGCTCGCTGCAGCGGGCGGGCATCCTTCGAATTACTAGAAAAGGCTTGTTGTCCACTGATCGGTACTTGTGCCTGATGACAATCTGGGGAGGGGAGGTCGGGATATGAAGCTAGAACAGAACCTCGGCCAGCAGCCGGTCGTAGGGATCCTCTCTCCATTGGTAGCTTCGTGCTCATATGTGTATGGCCGGCATCACGAGGAGGCTTATAAGGTGTATACCGGGGTTCCGGATGCTGGATCTCATTCCGGAGCCTCTCTTTGCCATCGGGAACTCGATTAGCAAATACAATACGGATGCTTGAGTGGAGATAGAAGCGGCCTTTGGAAGGACAGCATATATTCAAATGAATCAGATACCTCAGAATGGGCTTGTCCTTCGGGTCTTCGGATACGCACAAGGACGCCTCTGGGCGATCTGTCCCAAAGTTCCTTCGTACAGTGAGAGGCATATCAATGACAGGCCCCGCAGAATAACTTCTCTGCCGAATGAACGTCTTGGTCCCGGGTTCCATATCACTGAGATCGTATGGGATCAGAAATAACTTCACGGCTGTTTTGTTCGGGTTTTTAATCATAACCTGAAGCTGGCCCTGTTGAGGTATTCGATAGCAACCTCCAGGTGGACATTTTGGCGACTCAGTCCTCCTGTGTCTTTTCTCTCGTCTGCGGAGCGCATCTTGGTCGTTAGACCTGGGTGGTGGAGCATTATCGGCCATGTCATCGCAACCACCCGCAGGGCTCTGGTGGTATCTGCGGCGTCGACTCGTAGCTGATGCGTCCTTAGGAAGAGAGTTCTCAAGGTCGATTAAGCCAACGTAAGGACTAGGATTATCATCCGAGATTGAGCGACCTCTTCCTGAGGTTGGATAGCTGTAAAAAACGGCCGGAAACGGAATGGTAACGTGAGGCGGACACTTGAGATTGGCTTTACATTTGCCTTTCCCTAAAACACCAATCTGCGCTGTGAAATCCAGCGGCTTGGATGGATTCATCGACATTCTACCGCGCAGAATCGATTCCTCGTAGGAGCCAACCAATGGTGCATGTGGTCTAGACGACTTTTCAGAAGCTAGAGAGGGCCTCCTGGTTCTAGGGGATGGAGTCTGCACCGACGACGCTAACTGAAGGCTATACGCAGATGTGAAAGACCGGCGAGAAATAGAAGTTTGGAATGGAAGTGTCTCATTCCATCTTCCGGGACAATAGCCAGACTGAAAGTTAAACGCTCCTCGATGGGCAGTGGGAGACGATGGAAGATGCCGAAAAGATTCTGGCGGTAGCGTGCGGCGACGGCTGGCTTTCTCCAAAGAATCAAGCTGCTCAGCTCGATCGGTTCTGGTGGAAAAGTCCAAGTCGGTATTGTTCGCCTGGTATACAAGAGGACTCGTTGGAGCCTTTAGGACATAGCTGGAGGAGAAAGATCCCAGCGACGGTGTTCGGGAGCGGGACGTTGGCCTCGCGTTTTCATCCGACACGTTGGTTGCCGTAGGTTGTGTTCTCAAGGATGGTGCGAAAACAGGGGGTGTAAACCAAGGGGCCGTTGGGGAAGACCCTAGAAGGGGAAGACGTGAGCTGGCATCAAGCCCGTGTAGCGGTGCCGGCGGCAATTGTTGCTGATCTTGACTGGCTCCCTCTCGAAAGTCGCCGGAATGCAGCGCTGACCGAGGGCGTTGGATATCAGCCGGGGAGCCAGATTCCTGAGCAGTTGTGCCAGAGCCATCACTAGGAACATCTCGTTCGACGAATTCGGCTTTCATCTCGGATGCTTTGTCAGGCGCGCAGGAGACATAGTGACCAGCACCTAAGTCTTCAAACTATATCGTGACTCATGTAAGCAGATGCATATCGTAAAAAGAGGTTATATATTTTTCCCTTTCATCATGTCTCCTGCAAGATCATTCATTCCCGACAGGACAAAATGTACGTACCAGCCTATGTTCCCAAGCCGAGGTATCGGCGTTCTTGATGTAATGAATCAATTCCTCTCGGTCGCTTGAACGCAAATCCGACAGACTGCGATCTGATAAGGGCAGCTGCTCAGAAAATCCGAGGCCCCTCCCCAAAGGTTGAGTTTTCCCATGATGGTGGGCCCACGAGGGTCTCTCAATTTGGCATTCATCCTCTCTTATCGGGGGGTGGTCATCGGACCATAGATCATAGAACCGCTGGCGATCCGGATCCTGAAAGATAGGCATGGTCACAGGTTGTTAGTTAGTATTGACTGGACATATAAAAAACCATACATCCCAATTAACGAGATCTAAGCCGACCGGAGGTAAAGGCGCCCATGAGGGAAGTAACGAGGGGGTTAACGGGGGAGGATGTTTGAAGTCGAAGTGGCGGCCGGGGAATTGAATGTATGACGAGATCGGCCTTTGGACGGGGAAAAGGAGAGGAGAGGAGATGTGCGGCGGGCAAGCTAGAGTTTGGTTAATTGAGATTGAGAAAGGATCCGACGAGCTATTTGAGCGAGAGTATAATTGAGTCATGAGGCGTCTGAAACGACATGGGGTGGGCTTGGTCCACCTTTGAACAAGTCAGTCCGCATTACTATTTTTTTTTGGGCTTGAAAGACGGGAGGGGAATCGAAAACTAATGGTTTGATCTACGGCGGTAACGGTACCGTTTGGTACCACGATCTTCCTTATCGCAATCGTGTATGTACTGTAATCATCCTTATCCTAGGGAATATTTTTTTTTGCCCTTCTCTTCTTTTCCTTTTCCTACTGTATGATTCAAAACGTCATTCCAACATCTACTAGTTATTAATTCTACACCTTTAAATTAATTCTTGCCACCCCTCCTCGTGACACATCAAGCGCTCTCTTCCCCCCCCCTGCGTGAAATTATTGAAAATCTGCTGCTAGATCGGAAACTTTTCTGCACAGGGAATTCAACCAGGAGATTGTATTTACTGTCCCGCCAAAATAGGTTTTATACCTTTTTTGTTTCTTTTCAATTTTCTATGAACATATAGGACAACGGAATCCCTCGCCACGTCAATTGTTGCCCAACATAAATTGATTTACTCGATCCGACCAAATTAGCTAGTCTGAGGGACATACCCGACCAGGGAAACGGAGAATCATGTCGACTAAGCGCCCCCGAGACCGTGATGCAAAGTCCGAAGAACAACGCACCACCGAACCGCCGGTAAAGAAGAAGAAGGGATTTTCTGTAGGACCTGCAAATCTGCCTGATGGTACCTATCGTCGGAAAAGTACGGTCTCCCTTTACGTGTGACTGGTCCTGTAAGGTCCCTCTTGCTAATGACGACCTACTCTAGCCCAGAAAATTAAAGCCGACCTGATTCAAAAGGCCAAAGTTAAAAAGGCCTACGCCAAGGTGCAGGCCGAGGAACTCGCGGCCGCACCACGCAAGTCAGTCTACGAGCTAGCCGAGGAAAATGCAGAGCATATACCGCACCTAGAACCGGCCTCCCTGGAATTGCACCCAGACCGCCAGGCGATGCTGGATCAACCACAGCCCGCGCGCACGACAGACCAGGATGGCGAAGGTCGTCGGAAGCGGAAGCCCAAGCGGTCTGCTTTTACGAAAGAGATGGAGATTGCGGAGAAGCGCAGACAAGAGGCGCAGAAGCGCCGAGAAGAGCGCGAGCTTAGACAAAAGGACCGCGAAGCGATGGCGAGGGCTAGACGACCAGACCAGCAAGGTAAGAGGAGATTAGGTCGTGAAAGCCATGTGTTACTGAGTCGGGTGCAACGGATGGTCGGCCAGTCGTAGAAGGGAGGAGTTGTTCGCAGAAATAGGACGTGGTGATGGATCAAAAGGTTTCCAAAATGATACCCACTGGAATCTTGTTTATGTACGTTCAGTTGTACCTGTAGTGCTGGATACCAAAATTCAATTATATCTCATTATTTACTACGCTGGTGTCTTTGGCTCGGTCCGAGTTCTTTGCCTCCTAAAGCAAGCAAATTCTCCTTTAGTTCTCTCCCGCAACCGTTTCAGCGTTCCCCGCATTTCACCCAGCTCCGACTGAAGACGAGCTCGAGCCTCGTGCGTGGTGCGGCGATCGAGTTCCACGTAGATCTGACTCTGCACGGTGGAGGCTTCATCGGTAGAGAATTGTGACATGGTCTGCGCAATGAACTCGGTGTCGAGGGTGGCTTGCATCAAGGCGGCCAAAGTATACGACGATCGAGAGCTGAAAGCCGTCAGGAGAGATGAAGAGACCTTTGTGAGTAGGTGCGTAAGAATGATGGTCAGAAGTGGTGGTTGGGTTGCTGACGACGACCGATTGGCAGTTGGCGAAGAACTGGAAGGAATCGTAGTTGATATCTCCGTATGGACCAGCACAAGAGTCAGCATCGTGTTGTAGACGTACGGCCGGACTTGTTCGGGGCGAGGAACGGTCGGCTCCCAGTCCGGGGCAGTAACACCGTCGATGATCGTGGTGTTCAGTTTGTTCATGGTGGGCTTGGTGTACGATTGGAACAAGCGGTCGTCAATTTGACTAAGCACGTCGCGGATAGTGTTGGCTTCCTCTGTCAACTTGACTGAGAATGATGTCTCGAAGTTTGCCACCAGCTGAGGGACGAGATCGGCCTGGAATGCTTTGATATTCGACAGAGTGAGGAGTATGCGTATGTTCTACATTTTTTATTAGCTGATATGTATGCATTTGAGAGAAACAAGTGACCTACTCTATTTCGGGCATCTACTGCATCCGCAATGAACAGAGCCGTGGATGGATCAGAGAGATTACCTGCCGCTGGCCCAGCGAGCACCCATTCACTATCCTCTTGAGGAATAGTGGGATGCTCCGCGTTTTCCACCAAGCCGCTGAGGGCCTTGTATATACTGGACACAAATTGTGTGCGCACCATCTGTAGAAGCTTCGCAGGAGGTTGTGTGACAACATCCACGTCACCCGATTTTACCATGGCCTCGGAAATGTAAAGGATCTTCTGCATTCCACTAAGGATTGCGTTCTCAAAAGCCACAAACAAACCGGGCATCTTGGTCAAGTCCTTTTTCTCCGAATCCCTCGTCCAGTCCTCCAACATCTTGCAAACTTCTGCATCTTTGCCCCAAGCGTAGCATGCTGCGCGAACGGAACGCTCACGTGCAACGCTCACGAGTGACTTGAGGAGATCATAAGCATTGTCCGTGCTTCGTACGGGTGCCAATGCAGCCATTTCACTAGCTGCTCTGCCGATAAGCACTAGGAATTGACCGAGATAGTGAACACCACTAAGGGAGTTAGAAAACGGTGGCCAGAACGCAAAATCTTCCCAGGCTTCACCACGTTTGGGTGTGGGGAATGGCATATTCTTGGGATCAAGTTTGAAGCGGGACTCAGTGGGGGTGATGCCTCCACTCATTGGGCTTTTGGGGCTTGGTGGTGGCATTGAGGAGGTGAGTATGGCGACGTCTTCCACTGGAGAATCGGCGAACAGCGACAGGACACTTTCACGGATTAGGTTGACCAACTCAACAACGCCTTTCTGCAATTCACTAGATTCAATTGGCGAGAGTCGATGATGTCTACGACTTTCTCCTTCGAATCCGGTTGGGAGAAGCTTTTGTTTGCTACCTTCGATGAAGGATTGCGCCGCTTCCCAGAAGTCAAAGACTTCACCAAGGAGACCTCCTTGTGATGATAGCAGTCTAGTCAAGTAAGTGTTCACACATTCCCAGAGCTCGATGACCTGGTCAGCGTCAAGCATCGCTGGGGTACCTGCTGCACCGTCACGTGGAGCGAGCCGAAGATAGGATGCCACTGCTTGAGGCGTTGGCTTCTCACAAGAAGCGAGCCTGCGTCGAAGAATCTCTAATTCTGTCTTGCAACGTTCGCAAAAAGTTGTGATTCTTGTTTTCAAGTACTCATAGCGACCAAGAAGCCAGACCCAGATGGGATTGTCTTCGACACCCAGTTCCAGTAACGCGCCGATTAATTCCATGTGTTCCTCAACTGGACCGGAAGCTGTCACCGTTGTCGATGTGATGGGAGACTCGCTCAAGCGCCTCCATAGATCGTGCTTGAACGCTTGTATCTGCTGATCGACATCCATCCACATCCTCCCCATGGCTAAGATCATATGGGTCTCGTCGTCAGTCAGCGGCCGGTCCTTGCTCGTCGCTGTATCAGCAATGTTCCTGGCCTTCTTCGAGAGCGTCCTGGCTTTGGTGTATTGCTCAAAAACAGAATCGTAGTCCCTTTGTTTGATAGATTTCGAAAGGAGCCCGCCTATTTCATAAACATCTCGGTGCTTCTCCATGGTATCGAGGACTGATTTCAAGACCTGTTCTCTCTCACGGCCACCTAACGCAGGTCCCCATACTTCTTCAGCCTTGACGGAGGCTTCCAAAAGTGGGCCCCGGATGCCCTTCATTCCGTATTCACTCTCCTTAGTCAGAGCATTCTTCCCCGGTGCTGAATCTGAAACCGCCGCGGGAGATACGCTCTGCCTCCCTGATGAATAGCTCCGGAAATGCCCCGACTTGCGGCGAGCTTGTGGGGCTGATAATTCTTGTGCCTTCCCCTGGTTCCTCATCTCTGTATACACGCTATCAATTGTTGCTTTGGCTCGGACGAATCGCTCGAAGTTCGCCTCAACGAGGACTTTCAAGGAAGCTGACTTTTGATCGATCGACCGCGATAGGAACTCTAATCCATTGAGCAGAGACTTAATTGAGGCGTCGGAGTGAGCCTGCGAGAGAAAGAGTGCCGGGGAAAATGACGTAGATGAGAGCAAGAATCTGTTGCGCAAGCGGCTCTCTTCTTCTATGGACAGGCCTCTCTTCTTCAAGATCCTCAGGACGCTCTCGCCTGTCCCAAGCGGATCTGGCTCGTCCACCTGGACGAGGTTTTCCCGGGCATTGTTTCCTTTAAGTGACCCTAGGTTGGCGCCTTTCCGGCCACTGCCACTGCGCTCGAGAGCAAAGTACCGGGATCGCCGCGAACTAGTGCGGGCGAGAGCCTCATCTTCCGAATGATCGCTTTCGTCTAGCTCCGCAGGCCACTCCTCCGGAAAGGCCGAAGGGAGGTTGTAATAGTTTGCGATATCTGCGTCGGCCATTGTTGCAAGGTGTCACCGTGCCTGGTCTAGGAAGCAGGTGACCGATCAACCGCCGGGGTAGAACGATCCAGGAGGCCGCATGCAGGGAAAGACGCAGCTTGCACAGGTGGGGAAATTGGGACGTCAGATTATAGGTTAGACTAGGTTAGGGAGAGTGGAAAATTTACGAGGAAATGATAATCTCAATGCCAACGAGGAGGGTGACCCGTGACCGTCCCGCCAGTCGTTATCTGATCTAGGAAAGGACACCAAGTGGACTCTGGGCAGCCAAACACGGTATCTATGCCGGTCGGGTCGGCTGCGGCGCTGCCGAGAGAGGTCAAGATTGGCCTGAGGTTGAACTTCTTTCACTTCCCGCACAAGCAGCCCGCCGCCGCCTTTCTTCTCTCTCCCTTTCTCAATCCTTCCATTCACTCTCCTCTCCAACCCAGTGTTGTTTTTGATCCCGGGGACCTGCCACAATGTTTGCTGCTAGGAATATCGCTCTCCCCGCCCGTCAATGCTTGCGGAACACTCGTACCTCCCCAAGCATTGCTTCGCCTTTTTCGCAGGTATACCCAGCCACGTTCAATCTCCGACTCGACTTTCAATTCCTGCGTAACTAACCCGTTTATCTAGCTCCGTAGTTATTCCGCTGCTGCCGAAGAACGTGTCGCTAAGTTCAAGGGTCAGAAGGACACCGATGTATGTTACGCTCCGATGACATCGAATTTTTTTTTTCCCTCGGAACCTTTGGTCCGGCGTCTCCCGCCATTTCCCTGGACGATTAAATCGATAACGCAAATTTATATCAAGCGCTTCGAAGCAAAGTTTCTGATGGATATCACTTTTTATAGGGAAAGTACACTGTCACCCTGATTGAGGGTGATGGCATTGGCCCTGAGATTTCCCAGTCCGTGAAGGATATCTTCGCTGCCGCAAAGGTAATGTTACATTCCTTCTGGTCGGGTGTAGTTTAAGATGCATTACTAAAACTGGATATAGGCCCCCGTCAAGTGGGAGCCCGTCGACGTTACCCCTATCTTGAAGGATGGAAAGACCGCAATTCCCGATGAAGCCATTGAGAGTGTAAAGAGGAACTACGTCGCCCTTAAGGGCCCCCTTGCTGTACGTCAAACGTCGCGATGCATCGTGCAAATTTTTCGCTAAACAAAAGGATATTTAGACCCCCGTTGGTAAGGGACACGTTTCTCTGAACCTCACTCTTCGCCGTACCTTCAACCTTTTCGCCAACGTGCGTCCTTGCCGGTCTGTTGCTGGCTACAAGACCCCCTACGACAATGTTGACACCGTCCTGATTCGCGAGAATACCGAGGGTGAATACTCTGGTATCGAGCACGTCGTTGTCGATGGCGTTGTGCAGAGCATCAAGCTCATCACCAAGGAGGCCTCCGAGAGAGTCCTGCGCTTCGCCTTCCAATACGCTCGTTCCATCAACAAGAAGAAGGTCCGTGTCGTGCACAAGGCCACTATCATGAAGATGTCCGATGGTCTTTTCTTGAATCTCGCCCGCGATATTGCCAAGGAGTTCCCCGATATCGAGTTCGATGCAGAGCTGCTGGACAACTCTTGCCTCAAGATCGTCACCGACCCCACTCCGTACAACGACAAGGTTCTTGTCATGCCTAACCTGTACGGTGACATTCTGTCCGACATGTGCGCCGGTCTGATCGGTGGTCTCGGCCTCACCCCCTCCGGTAACATTGGTAACGAGTGCTCCATCTTCGAGGCTGTCCACGGCTCCGCTCCCGACATTGCCGGCAAGGGTCTCGCTAACCCAACTGCTCTGCTTCTGAGCAGTATCATGATGCTGCAGCACATGGGTCTCGGTGAGCATGCCGCTCGTATCCAGAAGGCCACCTTCGATACCCTCGCTGAAGGAAAGGTAAGCTAACCCGCACATTACCCTCTTTGATTAGTGGGACAAAAATGCTAATATCACATAGACCCTTACCGGTGACTTGGGCGGCAAGGCCAAGACTCACGAGTATGCCGAGGCCATTATGAAGCGTCTGTAAGGGATTCGGTTCGCACCATGTACTTTTCCCTTAATTGTCTCCTTTTAGCCTGTGAATGACTAGAACAAATGTAGTGACCTATTATACGTACAATGTATTTATTTAGATGCCATTTCCATTGCAATATGCCTTGGTCATTTTCTCCATTGTAATGACAACTCCATCGGTCGCGCAATTGCCTGTTGACTGAGCATGTCTTCTGGACGGAGCGTCGCGTTCTGTTGACTGACGGCTAAATTGTAAGAAGAACCTGAAGTGGGCCGAATATATTGTTAAACAAGCGCAATGTGAACCCTAAAGAAACGCCTGCCCTGAGTCCTCCGAGGTATCAAAACTTTCAAATCATTGAATGATAAAGTACATATTAACACTACCGTCGCCGACCACCTCGCCTGGTTCCCGTAGCGTTACCTCTCTTTTCCTTTTGCTTTGTTCGTGTTGTCTGGGCTCGTGTGCTTCGTGTTGTTGGAGACCCCCCTGTATCCTCTTCCTCTTCTGCTTCTTCGTCGCCTTCGCTGTCGTCTTTTGCCCCATCTGAGCCTTCTTCGTCTTCTTCCTCGTTTGCACCAGCATCCTCAGAATTGCCTTCTTCTTCTCCCGTGCCAAAACTCCTCCTTGGAGCCTCGACTTCTACTTGTAACCGCGAAAACCGAGGACCTCGCGTCGATTGACGACCTCCACGACCTGGCTTCCTACCTCGTGACGGGGCGGGAGAGGAACGGGGTTCTAGATGCGCGTAATAGTCAGAATCTGGATGGGAACTCAGGAACATGGAGACTCAGTAAGACACACCATCTGTGTCAGCGACCGTGCTACCTCTCCTAGACTCTGCTTGGGCACTATGAACCGGGGAGGTAGATCCCTCCATTGCTAGCCTCCGCTCAAACATCAACTCGCCGTACTCATCTTCAGGGAGCTCAAATGGACAGTATAGCTCTTTCGAATTATCGACATCATCGGATGTATTTAAGGAGTCCTCCTATAAGTAGAAGCGCAAGATATTAGCAATGTAGGGCCAACATGGATAAGCATTGGTGCGCACCCGTTCATCGAGTGCTGGAAGATTGTATAAGGTTCCCAGCTTTTTCCAAATCCCAGGTATCCGTGTATGTTGCGCGTGGGAAGGTGCATAGCCCTGACTTTTCATGAATTCGGAGATAGCGATCATACGGAAGTGTTTGTGCATTCCTTTGACGATACACGTTGGTTAGCAGGTGTCTGCTTACTGAAGCGTCGCTAGGGGCAGCTACGAACCAACTGGCTTCCATTTGATTATGCCCTTTAATAGAGCAGTCTCCTGTTCATCCGTCCATGGGTCAGTTACTGGGTCGTAATCTGTGTTAAGCTGAGCTGCGCTTTCACTGGCGGGGGTATTCGCTGAAGGTTGGGCGGCTTCGGGTTGAGCGGTAAGCTTTGGCTTCTTTCTTGGAGGCATGGTGCCTGATATCTACACAATGCCCGCTGCCGTAGGTTTGAGTGACGTTTGGAGGACTTGACTTGGAGGTGAAGACAGTTGGGGAGCTTCCGTAGATAATGAATCGCGACAAACTCATTCTGCTACGGTTTCCTAAACAAGCGGTGGTCCAAGCGTGAGCTGGGGAGGCGCTAGCACCTTTTAAGGCTAGTGAGGCGTGATTGCGCGCTGCCCACGCGTCGTCAACTGATAAGGATCTGTTTTTATGGTGTCAATCGGAGTAGTCCGTGACTCTGAGGATGGATCTGGAAGATTATGATGCCGACCCATTTTCTAGTAAGGGCCTGTGGAGGTTGTCTAAGTTTACGCTCCAGTCCCTGCAACCGTTAGAACCATTACCTTGGAATGAAGAGTTACCTGGTGCGTGGCAATGCTGGGTGGCCTGTCCCCCAATTCTCAAATGCTGACTATCTGCTTTTACCAGATCTGACAGGGGGGATTTTCAAAATTCCTCTTGATTTGTTTAATGAAGATAATTCCAAAGTGCACCAGTTGAACTTCGAAACCGATGTATTCGACCGGGACTTGATACCCGAAACATCAACCTACGCGTCAAGCGAAACCCAAGCCGAATTAACTATTATTCACCCGGAAACAGAAGATGTAGTAGAGGATATTTGGATGCTGGATAGCTTAGACGACGAACCAGGCAACAAAGGATTGTTAAAGACGTGGGAAACCTACCAAAACCGATCGTACCGTGAGCCTGCCTCAGCGTACTTTAGTGAATCGGGGGCTAGAGGATTTGATGCAACGTTGGCGCATCAGGATTTGGTGAATAGGCCCGGGAACCCGAGCCGTGTGGCTCGAAATGATATCTTTTTCCAGTCCCTGTTTCGGCTTGGTCTCGGTTGGAGCTCTATGTTTTTCCGATACAATAGGGAACACCAGATGTTCGAGCGGGTATTCGATGATGTTCGCCTTTCCGGTGTTAGTGTTGCTGCACTCAAAGGTTTGACTGATGAGATGATCCGGTGTGGTACGAATATGCAGCGGGTGCGAAACTTCGTTGGCAAAGCCCCTTCTAAGTCCACTAAACTCTCCGCCATTTCGACTCTTTCAAGCGCTATGGCTGTCATCATTTATACTCTTGAGAAACAGCTTCTTAAATATTCTAAGAACATAGCGTCCCTTATTCAGATCAGTGCCTTGTTTCAGCGATGTGGTGAATTGGTTGGTTCCTTGGCAGACCTGGTTGAAGCTATTAAAGGTGTTGTGTCGGAAGCTCAGATATTCTCTATCGTTTTTGAAAAGGCAGCTCATTTTTCTCAAACCTTCGGCCAGATGGAGGATCTCTTCCGCGAAATTGTTATCCGGACAGTGATCCCATTTCTTGAGCACGTGGAGGCTTGGATTGGTCTCCGTTCAGAAGCCGAGATATTGAGGGAGCCGGCGACAAGTGGCAGAAGCTTCATGGCCCTAGAATTCTCTGAGGAGAACTCGAAGACCACATCATCACAAACAACGAGATTTGACTATAGATATAACTCTGCCGAGATGCCATCATTTATTCCCCAAGACCAGGCACAATTGATCTTCGAAAGCGGACGCAGCCTGCGCCTTCTTAAAAGATTCCACCCTCAGCATCCAATTGCAAGCAACAAAATTTGCAACGGAAGTATCCCGAGGCTTAGCTGTGCAAGCACATGGGCAGATATTGAAAGAATCCAGCAAAAAGCCCAGAAGTACGAAAATCAACTCCGTTCTGAGATCCTCAAGTATAATCGCGGCGATGCCTCTGCGAAGGAAAACATCAAACTTGGTTCTCAGGCGCCTGCCCAAGCTGGGGCTAGTGACACGCTTAAAGATACCTTCGACCTGTTTGACATTGACGACGCGAAATATATGACGGGGTTACTGGCAAACCAAACTTCTATGGAAAAGGATGAACTCTCCCGACTGCTCGACTCAAGAAATGATACATATCATGAAATGCCTGAGGATAGTAGGCATAATTTCGGCCCAGAATTGGCTTCTGCTCTCTACCTGTCTCTTGCACCACTCCTTTCTTCTCAGGCATTGTTAATCGATTTCTCTTGTCTTCATCTTCTGTTTAAAGAGCACAAGGTTCGGTACCACTTAAGCCTGCAGTGGCGGTTTCAGCTTCTTGGGGATGGTTTCTTCACCTCGCGTCTGTCACACGCGCTTTTTGATCCGGAAATGCAAAGTGGCGAGCGAAAACCTGGTGTTGTCCGTAGCAGTGTCCACACCGGCTTGCGTTTAGGAAGCCGCGACACATGGCCACCGGCAAGCTCGGAACTGCGATTGGTGCTCATTGGTCTTCTTAGTGAGTGTCATGGATTTGATGACCACTCAGAGAACTTGACAGGCGACGAGTCGCGCAAAGAGAGGGAGCTTCCCGGCGGTCTGAGTTTTTCTATCCGAGAGTTGACTGACGATGAGATCACTAAGTGCAAGGATCCTAATGCTATCGAGGCTTTGGACTTTCTTCGCCTCCAATATAAGCCTTCAAATGTCCTGGAAGCCATAATTACTCCACGGTCGCTTAACAAGTATGACCGCCTCTTCAAGCATCTGCTTCGACTCCTCCGAATGGTTTCGGTCGTCAAAGGCCTCATCCGTGATTCTACAGGGAGGGACTCCCTCTCCGGGGATCCTCGGAATGTGTACCAGAAATTTCGTATTGACTGCCAGCACTTTGTCCTCGCACTGAGTGACTACTGCTTTCACGTGGGTGTTGGGTCAACTTGGCAGCGGTTTCAAGATAGCCTATCTAAGATTGAATATTGCCTCGACCGCGGCGACATTGATGGTACGATAGAAGCGGCTCATTCTGTCCCTAGACTTAGAGATTATCATGAGGACATTCTAGACCAAATCCTTTTTGCGCTATTCCTCAGCAAACGACATGCGGACGCAGCAAAGTTAGTAGAAAGCATTTTTGATACGATATTGACATTTGCTCCGCTGTCGAGGATGGATGGAACGAGCGGCGTACGCTACGAAAGCGAGGCCATCGCCTATCAGCTGTATGCTAATTTCCGGAAGCAAACGTCCCTTTTTGTTGGGTATCTACGCAGTTTAGATGGCGTGAAGGCGGCTTCGAAGTCTTTCGGTAGGTCCGGCTCGACTTTCGCATCCAGAGAAGCACCTACAAGTATCTTTGAACACCTTCTGGCACGCTTGGATATGAAGAAGTATTACTGAAAACTGATTATTAGCTACTATTTTCAACTTATTGTCTCTTTTCTCCCACCATCTTTTACACAGGACGCCGAAAAACTATCACTTGTGTTGATACATTGTGAATCTTGGTATCTATTAACGTGACGATGTATCCTATTCCCAAATATAACCCCTGTATATATTCCCAACGCCGTCATGACACACGTCTTCCATTTCATCAGGTCATTCTCTATATATTTTGAACTTAGAAGAAGTGAAGGTCCGACTCTCTCCATCCTTGCATCAAGAGAGACTTCCGAGCGGATTCTTCCATGGCTGGCGGTCCACAAACAAGTACCATGCTCTCATCTTCAGGCCCTGCATATTCCTTGAGAAGATCTTCGGATATGCGTCCTCGGCGCCCAGTCCACGAGTCTGGTGCTTTCGACAGTGTGTGTATGATGTTACACCGTTTACTATCGAGCGCCATAAATCCATCGAGCTCGGCTCGGCAGAGGATATCCTCCTCTCGTCTATTTCCATTAAGAACAACACATAAAGTGGGATCTTTTCGGTCTTGGATCACGGCACGCAGAACCTGGAAAATCGGTGTAATCCCAGTTCCTCCACAAATCATTTTAAACGACCGAACATGGCGCTCCTTGCCACTTATGAGAACTCGTCCATTACCGAGATATTCAAATCTGCCTGTTGGACCCTTACACTCGACCACAGAGCCCAATGGCAGTCTGTCAAGGGCCATCGTCATCTTACCGCCTGCCGCGGCGTCAGTTGCGAAGTATATCTTGACCAGCAGATCCACGGTTCCTTTCTGGCTTGTTTCCGAGATTGGGGTGTACGAGCGAATGATGGGTTCTTTGCTGGACATTGTGTCAAGAGCCTTTATCATGAGATGCTGCCCGACTGGTAAACCCAATGTTTGATCGTCGTGTTCTAATCGGAAACTAAAAATCCGTGTATCCCATGATATATCCCTTTTCTCTTTCAGCGTTGCCTTTGTCCACAACCGTGATTGGAGAAAGACCGGGCGGACTTCGTCGGACAGAGATGATGTATCATCCTTGAGTGCCTTCAAACCTGCTTGGTCCATTGTTCCAATGTGGTAATCCGGCATCATCGCTTTTGCGGTCTCGCTATCTGTGGTTCAGTGTTAATCAAAAGGCATATTTACAGAGTGATCTGTTTCGAACTCACGAATCGCGAGGAAATCCTCAGAGACATCAAGGCCAACGGAGGAAATAATACTCTGTGCTCCACCAGGGTGGCCCTCAAGGAATGCAGTACCATCATACACTTCGCCATCCACAATGAACCATGGCTTTTTATCGCTGGCACTTTCCTTAAATTCTTGAAGACCGATCGTTCTGTCAAGCCCGTCTTTCTTCATATTGATCTCCTGCACGGGCACTGGCTCTGTCGGCTCCTCTCCTTCGTACCTTTCTCCCCAGTTACCGTTTGTCAGATCCCCTCCGTCCTTCTTAACGCGTTCCATCCAACCCGTGGGCATACTGGGATGGGTTGGGTGTTCGAATTTCAAGTTCCCGTTCTCCTTGGTGATTGTGACACGGAACCAAGGATTGTTCATCATTCCAAGAACGGACCAGTACATATCCCGTGGCTGAACGCTCAGTGATTCGTCCATGGCCCTTACAAGAATGGCATCGCTGCCCTCAAGCTCCGGGATGAGGATGCTGAGAGACCAGAAGCACCAGCAGAAGCAAGTCTCGCGCCAATACATATCCACTTTCCCTCCGAAAAGCTCGCCTTCGAAATCACGATACTTGTCTTCAGCACATTCGATATCCGCCAATCTCCAAGCTGGGTATTCGTTAGCTATGATACGTGTCCTTACACATTGAGCGCACTAGGATCCCTACATTTGCCTTTGTCTAGGGATATTTCCACCCTGGTAACTCTGCGACCCCCTCCCGCGTACGCATATCCCTTGACAGTATATGACGGCCCCGCTGAAGAGAGATCTAGGACCTCGTTGTTCTCAGGATATACAACAGAAGAATTTGTGTTTAGGTCATAGATCGCGTATCGGTCGTCGCGCCACCAATTTGGGTTGCTTGAAGCCATCTCGGGTGAGACCATTGTTCTAGGGTAGACAGTTAGACAGGCGGTTGGCAGATAAGGCATGGTGCACCCTTGGACGTACGGTAAGACGCGGTTGTCATAAATATGATACCAGTTATCGCTCGGTACATCGGTCAAGATCAGCCTCTTCAGCCACTTCACGCTCCGGCCTCCTATTTGACCAGGCACGACGGCCCTCAACGGGCGACCATGGTCTGGACGGAGGGATTCCCCATTCATTTTGTGGGCAAGCATGATTCCCCTATTGGGATCCAGGGCCCAATTTAGTTTGATAGATGTTCCGTAGTGGCCGTTCGGCTGCAGCAAACCTTAGCAATCAGGGGATCATGAGTTAAAAATGTGCAGCGTACCAACTTATCCGCTCCTTCCATACAGACGTACTTCGCTCTACGCAGGGGTTTCGCGCTGCGCAGAACATCTGACATCAACGGGCCCGTGAAGAGGGCGGTCGACAATCCAGCCGATCCCCAAGAGAAGCCCTTGGTTTTTCGCACAATATTTTGTTCTTTGCGTCGATTTCCCGCACATACAAGGGTGATCGGCGCCGTTATTTGATCATACTGCTGCAATATTTCTCGGAAGTTCAGGACCAAAGGGTTTTCAACCAGCCTATGCTTTGATTAGCAGGGTCTGCGCGTATGATTCCGTGCAATTACTAACCCTTCAATACTGATTTCCCAGTTAGGAATGTCCTCATCTTTAACATGCGGTACTGGACCGTGATTCCGGACATAGAAAAGCTCCGGCGAGGTTAAGAATCCTGTTCAGCATGTGAGAACTGAATGGCTGAATGGCTTGACGGTCCGCATGGCAACCCCATGTAAACGAGGAAAAGGAGGCAAAAACGCCATAGCCCATACCTTCTTTATACAGATCTGTAAGAGGTGGCTCGACATTAAACGGATGAACGCCCGTTAATCTGATGAGCCGAGGGTCACGAGGAACATGGCTGTCTGGGGTTCCTTTATCTACGCTCAGCACCTCCGTCGGCCGCTTCGGTGGTGGTGGCGGCAAAGGAATATCGGCCAGGCCTTTCGTTGGGACCTCTTCGCTCTCGATTCTAATGTGACTCGTCTTCAGGAGCAGATCATTTGGGGCGCGCGCCTCCGTCTGAACCTCCGTGATAGTTGCCATAATACTGGGAGGGAAGGGCAGTGGATAATGAGTCTACGAGGGGGAGAGAGCATAGAATGAACAAGGGTAGATAGAGTATTTTGAATAAGTCACACAATCTGTCCGTGTATACACTCCAATCAAGGGAGAAGTTTACCGTAGTAAAAGGCTTTTGACTATCGTATGATGGCAATGGTATGTATTACCCACTCGTGAGCAGTGGTGGGCAATCCATATTAGGTCACGGGCATGACTCCTTGATACCGCATAACGCCTCGGAGAAAGATCAGATCATAAACAAGCAAGGTTCTTATCCACCATCGATTTCCGCGGAGTCTCGAACTCAGCCAGATTATGTGAGAGGGTGGGACGCCTCGAAATTAGGGCAAGGCAGGGCCGTGTCCCACCGCACCCTATCTAAGCATGGAGGCAAATAAATCGCACCGACCCATGGAAGTGGGTCGGTCCATCTGCCCGTTCGATCTTGCAGAAGTTCCTTCCCGTCATAGTAGTAGTCGGTACTTGAAAGAAACGGGTAGGAGTAGCTTTCGTTGAAGCCAATTTTGCATGTCCCAATCAAAAGTGATGTTCCTTATCGTCCGAAGGAGTATGGGTGGACTCGCTGCTGTCAAGGCCGGAATTAGAAGGGGGGGGGGATTTTCGGTTAGAGATATCATATTGTTCAGATATGATTGGTACTCGAAATATCTCAGTTGGGGTAAATGTTGCTCCATTGAGTCCTCGTTGCCAATTTAAGCCCATGTTTGGGGAACCGAAACATGTATCAACAACCGCCCGTCAGGCATATAGTATTAGAAGACAGCCCGCGGCGACTTGCGCTCCCTTCCTACGTTGGTAGAACCTCGTGCGGAAACGTCGGCATCCACCTGTCCAACATTGCGTTGACGAATGGGTGGTGAAACCTGAGGCAACAAGGGGGCGCGATTTACCAGACATTGAACATACCACATTACCAATCTCACTTAGTGAGTTTTCGTATATGATACTGTACAGATGGGGGTTGCTATGAGTGAAACATGGAATCTGTAATAGTAAATTTCGCCATGGGTAATACTACTACTAACACCTATACCTATCTAGTGGAGGATTTCCTATAGGATACTTTGCTATACGGGGAGGTAAATGTTGATAGATACTCAGATAGGCAGTAAACAAAGCCAAGTTTAAGCTTTTTGATCGAAGCACCAGTAAAGTCACACCGATAAGCCTGATAAAGGGCGATCGTGACTAACCATTTCCAGCATCTCCGCGGAGGAAACCCTGAGAGTCAATCTTGTGGTCATCGATCGTCCTTATCAATCCCTTATGCTCAATTGCCGATAAACTCCGTGCCGCATCCGCTTATCCACCGGGCCATTGAACGCGGAGCTGCGAAATCGCTGTTTACTATTCAACATGGGGTGATTCGACATCTCGCCACGGTCTCATGGTGCCACGGAGATGCGAGACCCGATCTGGGCTCTTGGCTCTAGAAGCGGTGGTGTTTTCGTTTTTGGGGAGCAGATCGTGGAAAGCGTAATAGATAAATAGGAAAAGGTCGCCAACACCGTGCGCGGCGCATTGGAATCCCTCTCATCACAGCGTGGTTCACCCTCCTCCCTCCGGACACAATGCCCCTCCTAGAAGCGCCCAGGAATGGGGGCGCAGTAAACAACGGCGTCCTCAGCAGGGCTTCACCTTCACATTCCCATGCTCGGAGCTTTGGTGTCGTCGACACAGAAAGTTCCCGCAATGACCCAAACAGACGCCAAAGGATTGTGGTGGTGGGACTGGGAATGGTGGCTATTTCATTCCTGTAGGTTTCCCGGGGCAGAGTGGAAGCGACGCTTAAAGATGCAATCCTGATTTCTAACGATGCATCCAACATCTCTGTAGTGAGAAATTGGTCAAACAAGATTCGGAGAGAAGACAATATGACATCGTTGTTATCGGCGAAGAGCCTCACGTTGCGTATAACCGAGTCGGCCTTTCCTCGTTCTTCGAGCATCGCAATATCGAGGACTTGTACCTCAATCCGAAAGAATGGGTGGGTATCTCCCAGTCGCCTCACGGGGCTTTGCATAGGTCTTCCTTTGTCTGACGTCGGTGTTTTGAACCCATTAGTACGGATCGTTCAAAGATCGATCGTTCGATTATCATCTCAACACCAGAGTAACCGATATATTCCCCGACCGAAAAACGGTAAAGACGTCGACAGGTGACATGATTGCTTACGATCTCCTTGTCCTCGCGACCGGCTCTGATGCGGTACTTCCTACACACACTCCCGGCTATGATGCCAAAGGGGTCTTTGTCTACCGAACAATATCCGACCTGGAGCGACTTATCGAGTTTGCCTCGAAGCACAAGGGCGAGACGGCAACTACTGTTGGGGGTGGTTTGCTGGGCCTTGAAGCCGCCAAAGCAATGACAGATTTAGAAGATTTCGGCAAGGTCACGCTCATTGATCGCAACAAGTGGGTGCTGGCAAGACAGCTCGATGGCGACGCCGGGACCCTAGTGACGCGGAAAATCCGAGAACTGGGGTTGGACGTGATGCATCAGAAACGAGTAGCAAAGATCAAGACAGACGATGACAACAGTGTTACGGGCATCGTTTTCGAGGACGGTGAAGAAGTTGATTGTTGCTGCGTCTGTTTTGCTGTACGCTGTCTAGTCACCCCTCAAAATACTATCAAGCTGCTGACGTAGGTACAGATTGGAGTACGCCCTAGAGATGAACTGGGGGCCTCTGCTGGTATTCAGTGTGCTTCACGGGGTGGCTTTGTTATCAAGGAAAGGTAAGGTGTCTTTGCAGCTCGAACAATTTTCGTGATCTAATGTATCCTCTAGCTTGCAAACTTCGATTCCCGATATTTACGCTATCGGAGAATGCGCAAGCTGGGAAAACCAGACATTTGGAATTATTGCGCCTGGCATTGAAATGGCCGACGTACTGTCTTTCAATCTGACGAACCCCGATAAGGAACCCAAGAGCTTCAAGAGACCAGACTTAAGCACCAAGTTGAAGCTTTTAGGAGTTGACGTTGCTAGTTTTGGTGACTTCTTTGCGGACCGGGATGGACCCAAGTTCCTGCCAGGTCGCCGGCCATCAGTCGCAACTGTTCCGCGGGCCAAAGACACAATTGAAAAGGAGCCACCGGTGAAGGCTCTTACTTACAAAGATCCCTTTGGCGGTGTCTATAAGAAGTATTTATTCACCATGGATGGGAAATACTTACTTGGAGGAATGATGATCGGCGACACGAAGGACTATATTAAATTGAACCAAATGGTGAAGAGCCAGAAGGAGCTTGAAGTGCCCCCGAGTCAGTTCATCTTGGGGGCCCAAAATGGCGGAGAAGAAAATGGCGATGACTTGTGAGCACTGTTCCCGATGACTAGGGTTCTCGGATCTAACTATTCGTGGACAGGGCCGACGATACTCAGGTTTGCTCGTGTCACAACGTTACAAAGGGTGATATCATCGAGAGCGTTCAGACTGGTACATGCAAGTCTATCGGCGAGGTTAAGTCGTGCACCAAAGCAGGCACTGGATGTGGTGGCTGTATGCCATTGGTGCAATCTATTTTCAACAAGGCAATGCTCGACATGGGCCAGGAAGTTTCGAACAACTGTAAGTGACTTTCTCCGTGGCTATGACATGGCTCTAACCTGAATACAGTATGCGTTCATATTCCTTACTCACGGGCCGACCTTTATAATATCGTCGCTATCAAACAACTGAGAACATTCGAGGGCATAATGAAGGCGGTTGGGAGAAAGCCCGATTCTCTTGGGTGCGAATTGTGCAAGCCTGCTATCGCTTCGATTCTATCGAGTTTGTTCAACGGGCACATTATGGACCACGAATACCATGAGTTACAGGAAACGAACGATAGATTCCTTGCAAACATCCAAAGAAACGGAACTTTCTCCGTGGTTCCTCGAGTTCCCGGCGGTGAAATCACAGCAGATAAATTGATTACAATCGGTCAAGTGGCTAAGAAATATAACCTCTACTGCAAGATCACGGGTGGTCAACGAATCGACATGTTTGGAGCCAAGAAACAAGATTTGCTCGATATCTGGACGGAACTGATCAATGCCGGCATGGAAAGCGGCCACGCTTATGCCAAATCACTCCGAACAATTAAGGTATGTGAAACATTATTTGATTTGTGCCCATATGGAACTAACCGTCTCCTATAGAGCTGCGTTGGCACTACCTGGTGTCGCTTCGGTGTTGGGGACAGCGTTGGAATGGCCATTAGACTTGAGGAGCGCTACAAAAGTGTTCGGTCTCCACACAAGCTCAAGGGTGCCGTGTCCGGTTGCGTGAGAGAATGCGCCGAGGCACAAAACAAAGAGTATGTTTACTTCTTCTGATGACTTGCTACCTAGAAGCTGACATTCCCTAGCTTTGGCTTGATATCTACCGAAAAAGGATTCAATATTTTTGTAGGCGGCAATGGAGGTGCGAAACCTCGGCATTCGGAATTACTGGCGAAAGACGTGCCACCCGATATGGTGATTCCCATTATTGATCGATATCTTATTTTCTACATTCGAACGGCGGATAAGCTACAACGAACGGCGCGGTGGATTGAGAACCTTCCTGGTGGTATTGACTACCTCAGAGAAGTCGTCATTGACGACAAACTAGGGATCTGCGCTGAGATGGAGCAGCAAATGCAGGAGCTGGTTGACAGTTATTTTTGCGAGTGGACGGAAACAATCCGCAACCCAAAGAGACGCAAGTACTTCCAGCAATTTGCCAACACCGATGAGACGGTCGAGGCCATGGAGCTTGTGAAAGAACGTGACCAAGAGCGGCCTACCTACTGGCCAAGCGAGGGCGCAAAGCAGGACTTCCAGGGACATCGGTGGTCTAGTCTCTCGTGGCAGCCCATGATCAAATCTGATCACTTCTCCGATGGCCCTCCTGCGATCTCTTCGGCCAATGTCAAACGAGGCGATACTCAGTTGGCTATCTTCAAGGTCAAGGGCAAGTACTACGCAACGCAGCAGATGTGCCCTCACAAGCGTGCGTTTGTCCTATCTGATGGCCTGATTGGCGACGATGACGCAGGAAAATATTGGGTGTCTTGTCCATACCACAAGCGTAACTTTGAACTCAATGGCGAGCAAGCCGGGCGATGTTCGAATGATGAGGCCATGAATATCGCGACGTTCCCGGTTGAGGAGCGGGAAGACGGTTGGATTTACATGAAGTTGCCTCCAGTTGAGGAGCTGGACTCCGTGCTGGGGACTGAGCGGTGGAAAGTAAAGAAAGGAGAAGCACCCGATCCATTCCAGAAGTGTGACAAGAAGTATAAGGGGATGAAAGGCAAGAAGGCGGGTGAGAAAGCTAGCCCGGGGAAACAATCCAAGACGATTGACTGGTAATGAAAACCGACATGATATGCTTTGATTTGATGTTTGTATCTTGCTGGCGGGGTGTCATGACTGTCCATTTCTCTCTTCTACTGTATATAGACCTGATTTGTTGTAGCTAATCGGTAAATCCGCGCACCGTGGCTTGCCAATTCCTTGATTAAACCTGCCCTTAGACAAGTCGTACTACATCTGACGTTGGTAATCCGGAAATGCGCGATTCGACACTCATCTAATCCAGCTAAGACCAAATAGGTCGAGATGTGCCAAGCTGAGCCTCCTGGTACTTGGAAAGGTAGTACGTAGGAAGGACTACTCCCGCCAGGGTAGTCCAGGGTAGTCCAGGGTAGTCCTTAGCCAAGAAACGGAGCGCAAGAAGGGCAGGTAACGTCACGTTATCCGTCCCAACCCTGAGACTACCCAATCCCATTCAAAGGAATTCCTTCTCGATGCTTATCTCCCAAGACTGAGATAGCGGTGGGCCCTCCATCCCAGATAAGTTCCCATTATCTATGCTCAGGATACTATCTCAGGGCCATAGTCGATCCTTCACAGCCCCCATCGGATGCTTTAAGAAGTGGGCTCTGCCCCTGACATTTCCGCGGAGCTCATATCGAATATGTCCTGGTATTGCCGTCCTCTTCGCTGCCTTTTGGCCCGGGAGTATTAGGGAGGCGAATGTTGGCCCGAAGCTTAAAGTGGCTCTGAAGTCAAGTTCCAGTGTCCGCCGGTATCCAATGAGAAGCGCTCCGTTTATCAATTGAAAGAGAGACCTCGATGATGTCGATCTTTGTCCGTGTTCCCTCGCCTTCTGGGCCCATGGCCTGCATCAGTGAGTGATGCAGGACACTCGAATACCGAAGGCCGCGGAGTTGTTGTAGGAAAAGGGAGGGCTTATCAGCCTGATGCTGTTAGTCAAGGGTTGAGTACCGGCAGATATCCCCTGGATGGCCTTATCTGCGTTGATAGAACCCAGCCTCTCGATTAGCCACGCTCTTTAGGTTAGCAAGAGAGCTATGAAGCTCTCTTGCACAACCATCTGTGCCCTCACCCACACTAGGGCCCTTGGAATAGGCGTGTGGATCGCCTAATCAAACTTCGTGGGCATACTTGCTTTTGATACTCCGCAATCTCCTATCTATTAATTTCATAATTAATGGCCAAGAGGTGTCATACTGCACCCACCCATCCTCAATCTAGCATTGTCGGTGGCATGGCATCCTGCAGAGTCTATGCCAGATATTTTTGCTCATCCTGGATAGACAAAACGCTAAATTCTGTATCACATTTCTTCACTGTTTCTGTGCTTTCCGTCATTATCGTAGCTCGGAATCTATATATAACCTCTTCTTCTCTGTTGACGCCCTTTCCAAACTACACCCTGCTTTGTTGAACACACCCTGGTGGTGACTTTGATATCCTCCATTCATATTTTTCAGTTTGCAATACACTGGGGCCGGCTACTTTGGGGATGGAAACGATTAAACTACTCTTCCTCTCTCCAGAGGTCAACCCGAGTAACCGAAAGGCAAGATCCATCCCGATCCTCAATCCATTCGACAAGTATGGCCGGGTCTACTTCTTTTCATGGCTGGGATTCATGGTTGCATTCCTATCATGGTATGCATTTCCGCCTCTGGTAAGCCTCCGTCTACGTCTGCCCTCCGGGAGTGAGGAAGAAGAGACACTGATGGTCTGTAGATGACGGTCACGATCCGAAAGGATTTGAAGATGACGCAGGCCGAAGTGGCCAATTCGAACATTGTTGCTCTTCTAGCGACGTAAGACACCCTTACTTTTCTCTCCAAAGCACCAGCTGACCTGCTCAGATTGCTTGTCCGATTCGTCGCAGGGCCGCTCTGCGACCGTTTTGGTCCTCGTCTGGTATTTATTGGCCTGCTACTGTGCGGTTCTATCCCAACCGTGATGGCCGGGCTTGTCACCAATGCCCAGGGCCTGATCGCCCTGCGGTTCTTTGTCGGCATCCTGGGAGGCACCTTTGTTCCTTGCCAGGTCTGGTGTACGGGATTCTTCGATAAGAAGATTGTCGGAACCGCCAACTCCCTGGCTGCAGGATGGGGAAATGCTGGAGGCGGCATCACGTAGTATGTCCTTTGCCTGCACAGCAGGGCCACAAACAACCCGCTAACAGCTTTCTCGCGCACTAGCTTCGTCATGCCCGCGATATTCGACTCACTTGTCCACAGCCAAGGCCTCTCAGCCCATAAAGCCTGGCGAGTAGCCTATGTCGTACCCTTCATCATCATCGTCGTTATATCTTTAGCAATGCTCTTCACCTGTGAAGACACCCCAACCGGCAAATGGTCCGAACGCCACCTCTGGGCCGAAGAGAACAACCGATTCGACGACAAGGTCGTGGACATCAGCTCCGGGACCTCCTCCAGCCGCCCGTCTGGCCCCCCCTCAACGACCAACATCGTGGCTGACATCGAAAAGAAAGGGGCCCCCTCGCCACCGGAGTCTATAGCCCCAATTCCAGGCCAACTCGAATCTCTCCGCAGTGATACCGTCGTGGCCCCCACGTTCAAAGAAGCCATGAACGTCCTCCTCAGCCTCTCCACCGCAGCCGTCGCAATCCCCTACGCCTGCTCCTTCGGAGCCGAGCTCGCCATCAACTCCATCCTCGGCGAGTTCTACGCCGAGAACTTCCCCTACATGAACCAAACCCAGACAGGGCAGTGGGCTGCCATGTTCGGTCTCCTAAACGTCGTCTGCCGTCCCGCCGGCGGCTTCATCGCCGACATCCTATACCAGCATACACAGTCCGTATGGTCGAAGAAGATCTTCCTGTCTTTCCTAGGAGTCACAATGGGCGCCTTTCAGATCGCGATTGGATTCGCCGATCCCAAAAGCGAAGCCACCATGTTCGGGCTCACGGCCGGGTTAGGTTTCTTTCTAGAAGCATGCAACGGCGCCAATTTCGCCGTCGTGCCGCACGTGCACCCTTTTGCAAACGGTATACTTAATACTTCCCCTCCCTAGCCCTATAGACCCGAACTCAGGCTAACAATGAACTGAACAGGCATCGTTTCCGGCGCCGTAGGCGGAATGGGTAATCTGGGCGGCATCATCTTCGCAATTATATTCCGATACAATGGCGCTCAGTATGCGCGCTCGCTATGGATTATCGGCATCATTGCCATTGCGGCCAATCTGGCCGTTGCTTGGATTCGGCCGGTGCCGAGGAACCAGATGGGTTGAGTGTTTTTTTTTTCCCCTGTCTGTGTTAGTTTTTAGATATGATTTAATGATGAGCGCTATGGGTTAATAATTTCTTCTCAATATCTTGTTGTATCTTCCTCGATAGTATCTATATAAAATTTCTAGAACAACAAATTCGATATTAGTTCTCGTAAGTTTGAATGATATGCACCAACCTGCAGATCGAGAGTTCCACTCACGTCAACTCGGGTCAAAGGCCCCCGAGAGTGGATTCCGTCTCATCATCAAATCCATGTATAGGACCTAGATAAACCGAGGGGCCCTCTTTCTCTGCGCTTATAATATCATCTTGGTCCCCCCAAGATACATTCATTCTCTGCTGTATGTTTGCACAACACAGAGTACAGACAGGTAGGCCCCACGACGTCCATATTCCGTGTCTTAAATCCCAAGCTGAGCCATAAAGTCGATCGAAAACCACACCGAGTCCCTCCGTATCTTCTTCAGCTTAACCAGCACCGAAACAGAAAAAGAAGAAAAGGGGGGGGAAATGCCCGTTAGAAGAATTGCTCAACTAGTCCACTTGAAGCCCTCTGCCGTGGCAGCTTACAAGGAATGTCACGCCAATGTGTGGCCGGAGGTACTCCAGCAGATCAAGGAATGTAATATTCGAGATTGTATGTATCGAATTTTTTCCCCTTGACAGGGGTGTTGGAAAGTGATGTTGCTAATGGGGGCAGATTCCATATTCTTTGACAATGAGCGGACTTTATTCGCGACGTTTAAGTATGTCGGGGAGGATTTTGAAGGGGATATGAAGCGCATGAAGGCCAATCCGAAGGTGAGGGAGTGGTGGGCCATTACGGATGGGATGCAAGAGAGTCCAACGCCTGGGGCTATAGGGAGTGCTGAGGGACCTTCGTGGTGGAAGCCGTTGGAGGAGGTTTTTTATACGGATTGAACAGTTTACGTTGAATGGAAATGAAAAGCGTACCAAGATAGAGATGTTTCTCATATGCGGGACTCAAGTCAACCGCATACAGAGATGAGATTAAAGTAAGTAATGTCCAACGCCAGACGTAGAATCTTCGTAGCCAGCTATTCCCAAAGCTCTCCAAATAATGGCCAGCATTACCGGACACCCCAAGAATGCATTATCCAGACTCATGTTTCTTGTCAGCAGGAGGTAAGAAGCTATGGTTACAGAACGGAGAAAAAGTATGTGAAGGGTATCTGCAGCAGGGAATTCCGTAGCCGCCCAAGAGCCGCTCCAAAACGCCCTGTCAAGAGAACAGAAGAATATGTGAAGGAAATCGTCGTAGCTCATCAAGTAGAAACAGAAGCGCAACTGACTGAACAGCCAGCTACTCCCCAGGGGAAAGACCACTAGGAACATCCTTCAAGATCTCCCAGCCATATTCCTCCTCGGGTTTTTCGGGTTCCATACCCAGAGCGTTACGATAGGCACGGACTTCATTCTGAAGCCCAGCCACGATGCGAGTCGGCACATTCTCCTCCTCGCAGCGCAGGCGATACGCAGTGCGAATCATCTCGGCACACTTCATAGTTTGAGCATGCCAGTGGTCGCAGTCCAGGCGACTCTCCAAGTGTGCATCACGTTCTGCCTGAAGAAGGTTGTTATAGTGACGTTTCTGGGCCAAGTAGTGCATGTTATTGTTCTGGCAGTAAGTGCGAATTTGCTCTACCATGGCGCCAACCGCTTGTTCGTACTCGCCGATGAGCTTCGTGTTCTCCATTTGCTCGTTTCTTAAAATCTCATTCACACGCTTCTCCCTAGCCAGGGCACGCTCCAGTTCGGCTATGCGCGCCGCTGCGGTTTTTGTTAGTAGCTGCAGGACGTGGGAAGAAGGCGAAAGATACGTACCCGAGATTTCGCCGTTGACTTGCTGCAAGTTAGGGGGGGCACCTTCAGAAGTAGAACGTCGCTATGTGATCGTTAGCGGGGCTCTGGGGGAAAGCGAAGCGAGACGTACCATAATCTCCTCAGCGCTAGTAACAATACTCTGGGTCATCTGGCGGTTGTTTTTCAGCACGTCGCTCAACTCCAAGACCATGTCATAGAGTTGATGAAGATCCATTTGGTGGCCCGCGTTCATCGGAATTCCGGCATTCATGCCAGCTATTCCAGCACCATTGACCTGACTAGGAGCATGAGACATCGCGGGAGACATGGGCGGACGAGGAACGTTGGTCATGTTGGATTGGTTCTCCGTGTTTTCGACGTAGCTTGAAGAGGCACTATTCATGGACCGTGAAATGGCTTCAAATTCACGATTGAGGTTCTCCAGCTGAGGGTCCACGGAAGGGTCTACGGCTGGTTGGGACGGTTCGTCGTCAAATCCGAACCCAGGAGATTCAATGCCCAAGACGTCTTTTCTGAAGCGGTCCAGGTCCTGGCGGGTGACGTGCGTGGAGCGGCGACGGTGGCCCGGCACGAAATGTCGCCGAGTGGGAGTTCCGGAGGCAGTCTCACCGATGGTGATAGGCTGATCGGGGGTAACAATAGTCTCAGTAACAATATCTGGCGAATGAGAGAGAGAGAGAGGAAGCAGGAACCGTACTCTGTGGGTAAGGGTGGTAGGAGCAGAAGTAAATGATTGTTGGTCGCCAATATCACTTTCACTATCACCAAAACGGTCAAGCACAGGATTCTCGGAAGTTGGGCGCCGATCCTCCGGGTTCTCAGCCAAGGCGGTCAGTGTTCTGCTAGGGTCCATCTTTGAACAACTGTATGGTTGGATTCAGAGCCCGATCAGGATTGCCTTTAGTGGTTATCCAAAATATTCAGACAAAGAAAGAATCCGGGAATCCGTGCTGATAGTGTGAATGCGTTCTTAGGAGTGAATATGAAAACAAAACAAAACAAACCAAAAAAAGAAACAGGTAGGGAATTGCTTCTACCCTTCACATGCCCCCGTCCAAGAGTGGTGCAGCTGCAGTGGTTTTTCTTACAATTGCTTCCCATCCCTTGCACTGCTGAAGAAAAGCAACCGGAGGCCGTTTAAATTTAGGATCGCGCCTTCTCCTTCTGGTGTTGAGGGAAATATATGATCGAGAACTATGGATTATTCAAGCATTCCATACTACATATATACATAGGTAAATTTAGAGTCATAATTACAGAACCGACGGCTTTTACCGCGGGTATATTTTTATATATCCATTTATCGTATTGTATTTTATTATTCTTGCCTTCGGTATATTTTTCATCCTTTCCTCCGCCCATCTTCAATCATATCCTTCATCCAGTCATATCAAGTAGAGCTTCCAACTTTTGACCAGAGCCCAACGGATACGAAGCCGGATCCTCCTGACTACCACCGTGCTGCTTCTTACTCTGCTGGATGCGACCTCCGACCCGTGCAACAAGCATTCTCATCTTTTCCAATTCTTGCATCAATTCGCCATTCCGAGTAACCAAATTCGGCTGGATATTCTGCTGCGGTTCCTGAAACGGTTCCAAAAGGCGCTGCAATCGACGCAATTGGTCCAAACGCAGTCGCCGCCGCCGCCGTTGGTTGTCGAGAGTAACGAGGCGTTCTCGTAACTCCTGATACCTGTAACCGTCAGCCGGATGAAACCCAAATTGTCCCGTTGTAGCCCAACCTGCGACGTTCTTCCTCACTTGCGGATTGGTCCTCGAGTTCCACTGGGAGCTGTGTAATGTTCCTGATACGCGTCAGTCGATGAGCGGGGATTCTCGCAACCAAGGGGGAAGGGAGTCCAGAGAGGTGGGGCTCACATATGGTTAGACAAATCGACCGTCTTCTCAACACCGCTCTCGAATGAATCCTGGTCACGTATGGCCTGGCTCACGGAGGACCAGTAGAGGCTGGCGATTTGCTGCGCGACATGTTGAATCGCTTGCGAGGAGTACACTATGCGATTATGCTGTTTCAACGCGCTGTTTACTACAGATGAGTCAGTGAGGAACAAAGCCACGAGACAAGATGACTAGACTGCTGTAGATGATACAATGTAGTCACTAGTAGAGGGCCACGACAGTAGCCAAGTAAAAGCATCCACGAACCGTACATTTTTGTAGGACATCCCCGACCACCTTATCACTCAGGGCATCCTCCTCCGATTCAGCGGCATAGCTTCTCCAATCCTCGGGCGCCTCAAGGCTTTCCGATAGGATTCGCACCTGCGCCCGGATGAAGGAGGATTTCAGTTCGGAAATGGTACGCGTTGAGTCCATTGCCCCATCGCGCCGACTCCTGGTCCTTCGCCGTCGCGATCGATTGACGCTAGTGAGGTGCTATCGATAAAGGGTCACGTGTGAACTACTTGAAACAGTGGAAGTTGGGTTCCAATGTATTGCAAATACAGTATATTTCGGGTCCCCTTGCCTTCTGGCAAAATTCACCTTGAGGGCTGGGGAGACAAATGCGTAAAAAAAAGTTCTACATGGAATTCTGTCGCGTCATTAAGAGACAAGAGTGACAAGAGTCCAGTTCCTATATCGGAGGATATCGGCGACAATGGATTATATGGCTGCGGAATTAGCTGCTATAAAACTATGAATATAGTTTAGGTGTAATGTTCTCAATATATTTTCTTATCCTAGAGACGTGAGGATATGTTTGGTCTCGGAGAGATAAGGTCTTCACTTTCTTACTATTATTAAATATATATAAATATAACATAAATTCCATACCTTTTTTCTTAAGCCAGTACGCTCTTATCAGACTAGTTTGAACATGGTAGCAAGCAAAAAAGGAAAAGAAAAGGAAGAAATGGGATCCTACCGTATGCTAACCTCTTTAGTTTCGTAGCTATGCTGTGGTAGTAAATACTCTGTATCAATTGTTTGCAGAGATCTATTATACATCTACAGCATCCTCATTGTTATAATATATACGGATTTATAATGTCTGTTATCGAGGTCTTGGGGTCATCACTAGTAATTTTGTAAGCCCTTGCCTGTGTACTCACCGGGGGTTTCACGCAAACTACCGGTGCTGCCTCAAATCTGGGGGCTTTTAACGCAGCACTTAATGTTAAGTATGGTATATCATCCCTCATGGTTCTACGGTAAGAGTATCACGTTAGGGGTCTTTTATGTTGTTTGGGCAGGAAGTTCTCTAGAATTACGCTTAGGACAATACATTATCCCTGCTGAACTGTGAGCCCTCTTGCTCAATCAACTCTTCATCTCCTAGTCAGGAAGTACAGCTGGTATATCTATCAGCTTCGTGCGCATCTCCACCAGAATACATAGTGTGTGACTGAACAGGTATATGTGGGTACATAAGAGGTAGGAACTGAAAATCGACGAAAAAACACGGAATCTTTATATAATAAAGCGGCGGTAAGTTGACTAACTTAACTAGGTTATAGTTAAACACAGCAACAACCGTACGAAGAATCTTCGCTAATCAAAATTTCTATCCTTTATCACCAGGAGAATCTGGTGGTTTGTGGTCTCAATTATAGGATTTCTGCTCACTAGAGAGTTCAGTCCGGCAGTACAGAGCGTCTTCTAGCCATTCAGTAATCCAAGGTTCGACTTTTCAGGAGATATTTACTTCCTTTCGCTGTCCTTGGATGAGTCTTGGCCTGTAATAGTCTCACTCACATATGGTAGCTGCGCGTCCCCCAAGGTCCCCCTTACTCCGACTAGGCATCGACATTCTTGGTCTCCACAGCCAAGTCCAAGTCCCAGCCTTGCAGAATTTTACTCCTACCACACCAGTCTTGGTTTTATGCGGAATATCTGTCCACGAACAACTCAGCAGCTCTGGAATGTGAAATATTCAGTACGCCTGATTTATGCATTGCTACGTATGCCGCACATTCTACATGACCCTCCATATATCGTACGTTCAGCCCTATAAGGCAGATGACCCACTCGGACCCCATCGAATGGGGGGTTACATTACGGCCAGACAGAGTCTTTCCACTTTCTTATGTTAGAATCCTATAACATTCATGGACATCCTCGTAACATTTTGGTCTTCCGAGATCATAACTTGGGTGATAATATTGTATGGTAGAGCACAACAAAGTAGAAGAGGAGGACAACTTTTATACCCAACTATATAGCAACATTACCTGGGTAACTCCTACGGCCGAGGGTGCCATGAAAAAACCAAGCCGGAACTTCGGAACCCTACATGAAACCATACTGTGTACGGCCCTCTCCGAAAAGGCTCCATTTTTCTTGTCCTTTTCGCTTTTAGGGCCGCCTTCACCTGGCACTTTCCTGGAACCCTCTATTTCCCTTCGCCCCATCCCCCTTGGTGTAGGAATCTGCCTGTGTCAGACATACATACCTAACTAAATGATATTGTTGGATGTTCAACATTCCTATATGGGAACATCTGTTGAATCTTCTCTGGTTTCACACCAAACCAATCTGATGTCTTTCGGTCTTCGATGGGTTGACTTTGCTGCACCTTCGCTGTTGTCCCCAGCTGTACCGGGCCCAACAGATATTTCCTGGATGATTGTCAGAGCATGATTTAAGAATTGCCAAGAGAGCACCTCCATCAAAGATTGAAAATGCAGTCGGACGAAGTCCCTCGATTCAGCTATTTCTCTTCGCTGTCTCAAAAGGTCGTTTCTTCTTCTAGCTGGGAGGAGATCTTCTCCGGCCAATTCACCGAGCATCTGCAGGAGAGCAAGAAAACGGAAGGGAATGTCTGGTGGCTCGACATCTGTGATGCCACCGAGGAAGACGTCAACATCGTGTCTCAGGCATTGTCTATCCATCCTTTGACAGAGGAAGACATCATCACGCGTGAGCCGAGAGAAAAGGTCGAGGTCTTTCGGAATTACTACCTAATCTCTTTCCAGACATTGGTGACCTCCGAGGACAATAATGGAGAGAAGGGTGGATCCAACTCGCCGGCCAGCATTTTTTCGTCGACCCCTGCATCTGCGGGATGCTACATCCTCGTCTTCAAGAATGGCGCGGTGACCTTTTCGCCTACCGGCTGTGGACATATAAGCCGAGTGAGGGATCGAATTCGCCGACTGCCTGACCCGGCCATCCTGTCAAGCGATTGGATTTGCTATGCTATGATGTGAGCCGTTACCACTTTCTCTAACCTGACGACTTTCTAACACTGTTTCCTAGAGACGATATCATCGATAGTTTCCAACCTTACATGCAAGCCGTGGAACGCGAGTCCGAAGCGATCGAGGATGAGGTCTTCATCGCACGCGTAGACGACGTCAGGTCTCTTCTTCCCCGTGTCGACAACCTCCGCAAAAAGATCACTCACCTCATCCGATGCCTCAGTGGCAAAGTGGACGTCCTGAATGGCTTCATCAAGCGGTGCCAGGCCAAAGATAAACAGCCTGTCTTCCCAGACGGTGACTTGATCATGTACTTGGGCGATGTGCAGGACCATCTAGTAACCACCATGTCGAGTCTGTCGCATTTTGATGAGATCGTCGGCCGATCGCAGTCAAACTGCCTCGCGCAGTTGAGTGCCAACAACCTGCGTCTGAGTCTGAATATCAATGAAGTTCTCAGCAAGGTGACTGTTTTGGCCACGATCTTCGTGCCGCTCCATATGGTAACGGGACTTTTTGGCATGAACGTTACTGTCCCTGGTGAGGGTGTGCCTGGGCTCGGTTGGTTTTTTGGGATTGTAGGTTGTTTCATCGCATTTATCTTATTATCATGCCTCATTGCGGTGAGGTTTAAACTGCTGTGAATATTGTTTTGGTTTTGATGGATATCAGTGTTTGCTTTCAGATTGGCTGGTTTGAGGCCATGCGTTTCTTTGTGAATATGCTAGTAAGCAATCATTTTTATATAGTCTTTTAAAGACAACCGCCGCTCACGTGACTACTTCCTTTATATGTCTATGTACTAGAGGTATAGTCTCCAGAAAACTTTCTCATTAATTAAACCGATAACTGCCACAGCAAAGAACGTAATCCGTTTATTTGAAAAAGGTAACTGGAGGATTGGTGGGGAGTTTGTTTCTTCCCTCGGTCTTTGACCCTTTGGCTGATAAAGATAAGTCTAACCTCGGCAAGTGCGCATCATCCAAACCCAATGGTTCTCCGCATACTTTCATGATCTATCAGCGTATATCAATCCCACCCCGGTCGATTAACTCTACACTTACAGCGAGCAGTCTCGCAGACACATCCCGCCCATTCCAACTTACCAGCCATAGACCCCTTTCTAACTAGTAGAGCACCACCATGACAGAGACCACTCGGCCAGTAGGCCTCCTCTTCGACATCGGCGGAGTCTGTGTACGAACCATACTAGCCCAAACTACAAAGCAAAGAAGAAGCCCCATCACTAACCTCCCCCCAAAAAAGGTCCTCTCCCCGTTCCAAGCCATCCTCGACTACGAAATCGCCAACAAGATCCCCCAGGGCTGGGTAAACTTCAGCATCTCCCGAACATCCCCCAACGGCAGCTGGCACCGTCTCGAACGCGGCGAAGTCCAAATCGACGCCGCCTTCTTCCAAGGATTCAACCAAGACCTCAACAATGCGGACCTATGGCGGAAATTTCACCAAAAACAGCAGACGCCCGGCGCCCTGCCCGCTCTTCCGCAGGTGGACGCCGAGTTCCTCTTCTGGGAAATGATGCGGATATCGCGGACGCCGGACCCTTACATGGCGCCCGCGCTGAGGAAATTAAAGGCCTCGGGGAAGTTTATTTTGGGAGCATTGTCGAATACCGTGGTGTTTCCGGATGGACATCCTTATAACGTCGATGAGAGTGGGGTGAAGGGGCACTTTGATTTCTTTATCTCGTCCGCGCATACGGGGCTCAGGAAGCCGGACCCGAAGATCTATCAGTTTGCCATTCGGGAGATGAATCGGTTGGCGGGGGAGAAGGGGTTAGGAGAAGTTGGGGCTTCGGATGTGGTTTTCTTTGATGATATTGGGGAGAATTTGAAGGGGGCTAAGAAGGCGGGGATGAGGACTGTTAAGGTCCACCTGGGACGGACACAGGACGCTGTGAAGGAATTGGAGAGGCTTACGGGGCTTGAGTTGTTGGAGGGTTCGGATCGGGCGAGGTTGTAGTATTATAGGGAGAGCTTTTTTTTATTTTTTTTCCCCCGTCTCTTTCACATCGCCACATAGACATTTAATTCATATAAAAAAATCATTAGAAACTATAAACAATTGTGACTATCAAAATAAAATAATAAAAAAAATCAGGATGAACTGTAATAATTGAAAGAAAGTGGTTCTAGATGTATTCGGAATTTAAAGTGGTGTGGGACATTAAGAACCAACTATGCTCGTGGCCAACCTCACTTCTGCGGCGGGATGCAGAACGGCGCTAAGCGAAAGTCTTCCACAAAAGTCATCCCACCAATTTTCCTTTCCATTCTTTCTTCAGCTCACGTCGACACCTCGGTTCTCAGCGGCAAACAGTCAAAATGGTGAGTTTTGCTGTTACCTCAGATGGATGACCACCCTTTTTGGTGTTGTCCTGTATCTTCTTTGACTCGTCTCGAGACATTCCTGTCCGTTGTGGGCAGGATTTGTGGGACCGGAAAAAACGGGTCTTTGCAAGATGCTTCGGATACACATTTTTATTTCTGAAGCGCAAATTGCTGACTCGAGTGTCTTTCTTGTAGCCTTTCCACAAGGAAGTCAAGAACAGCGCTTACTACAGGTGAGTTAATTTTTTATTTTTTCACGGAAAAAAATAAATGATACACAGTGTTATGAGCGAAATACTAATCTCCTCGCAGCCGCTACCAGACCAAGTACCGCCGTCGCAGAGAGGGCAAGACTGATTACTATGCCCGTAAGCGTCTGATCACCCAGGCCAAGAACAAGTACAACGCTCCCAAGTACCGCCTCGTTGTCCGGTTCACCAACCGCGACATCATCACCCAGATCGTCTACTCTGAGATCTCCGGTGACAAGGTCTTCGCCTCCGCCTACTCTCACGAGCTCAAGCGCTATGGCATCACCAACGGTCTGACCAACTGGGCTGCCGCCTACGCCACCGGTCTCCTCCTTGCCCGCCGTACCCTCAAGAAGCTGGGCATTGACGAGCAGTTCCCTGGTGTTGAGGAGGCCGATGGTGAGTACACCCTCACTGAGGCCGCTGAGACCGACGAGGGCTCCCGCCGTCCCTTCAAGGCCTTCCTTGATGTTGGTCTTGCCCGTACCTCCACTGGTGCCCGTGTCTTCGGTGCCATGAAGGGTGCCTCTGACGGTGGTATCTTCGTCCCTCACTCCGAGAGCCGCTTCCCCGGTTTCGACATTGAGACTGAGGAGCTCGACGCTGAGACTCTCCGCAACTACATCTTCGGTGGCCACGTCGCTGAGTACATGGAGGGTCTTGCCGACGACGACGAGGAGCGTTACCGTGGTCAGTTCCACAAGTACCTCGAGAACGAGGTCGAGGCTGGTGACATTGAGGACCTCTACACTGAGGCCCACAAGGCTATCCGTGAGGACCCCTTCAAGAAGGATGAGGATGAGGAGCCCAAGAAGACCAAGGAGGAGTGGAAGGCCGAGAGCCAGAAGTACCGGAAGAAGAAGCTCACTCACGCCGAGCGCAAGGCTCGTGTTGAGCAGAAGATCCGTGAGCTTGCTGCTTAAGTGTAATGCTTAACGCGATAGTCCACCGAAAAGTTTACTTCTCAGACAAATACTAGGGGGAATTAGGTTCTTTCTTGCCAACTTGGCGTTTCTGGTTTTGTAGATTTGATGATTGTCACGACCTCATGTTTATCAGGGTTCTTCGGAGCAATAATTGGGTGTATACCCCCGGCAATTTTATTAATCGTTCAACATGCTCCGATGGACTGCCTTCGTAGATGTATTCGTTGTAACCTTTGCCAAGTACGAAGTCTTTTTGACATCGAATCTTTCCCTAGTTAAAATCCTCTCAGTTTGGCTGTTCGGCCAATTCTCCCCAATACGCATTTCGGAACCCTGAAGTGTCCCTTGATAAATACTATGTATAAGCAATAGTATCCCAATTCATGGTAAATCACTCCCAAATTTAGAACGATTCAAGAGTACTTTAATCGCCAAGGGAAATAAAAATGGCGATGTATAGCGGCTATCGAAATCTGTATGCCTAAACTGGTATCGGTTCCTTACTCTCTAAATCATAAGTATATCGGAATGGAATTGTATAGAACATCAAGCTGGAATGTATCCTGTCTTTCCAAATAGACCTCTCCCCCTCGCTTAAAAGGAGAGAAATAGGAAAAAGAAACAAAGAAAGGATCCTGGTATAACTGTAAAAGGCCAAAACTCTAGCCTCCGAACTATGTCCCCTCCAAAAGTAAGATTGTCGTGGACGAAATTTCAATAATATACGCATGCTAGTCACTCGGTTGTGACAGCCATGTCATGGGCAGAACCCTGACTATATATCCAGCGTTCTATAACTAAGATCATCTCGGACGGATTTTGAATAAGATCTTGGGCCTTGATACCGATACGGTCGAGTGTTTGGGTGGAGCGGGGGTCTAGCGTGAACCCATCAGTTGTGTTCATGCCCGTGAGAAACTCATTGTGCGGCTGACCGTATATACCGGATGTGCACAGCTTGGTCCGCCGACATAGGTCATTCAATGTGCTGACGACAGCCTCAATGGCTTCGAGTTCCCCGTGCTGGGCTGTCCACTCGACCAGCATCGTCCCAACCCAAGCCGTGAGGGACATATCCTGTGCGATGACGGCAAGTTGATTGGTCGCGAGGATATGAGCGAATAGGGTAAGTATTACAGGGACAGAGTAGAATGTGAAGTGGCTAAAAACAAGTGTCGAGGACTAGTTAACTAAGATGGACTTTGTTTGTATCTTTTACAAGCTGGGAACCTACCATATCGGCTAATAAAAGCTAGACGACACTATCATTGCTCGCTTCATGATTTCAATTGCCCTTCTTACTGCCTCATGCGACTGGAGTTTGGACGTCTGGCTGTTTGATACAGATCTTGTGCGATTTAGCAGAATAATGGTGCTACAGGCATTTTGGATTAGTTCGTCGTAGAGCCAGGCGCTCATGACACAATCTACTGCTTCGAGACTTTCATCCTGGAGCATATAAAGATGAGAATGGTCTTGACTGGCCCGGATTGTTGTGCTGACTTACAATTTTCCAATCCATGAGGGCGGTCTGAGTCTCCCTGATCAAGTTTTCTATTATCTGATCGCACGGCTGCGATCCATCTCGTCGCATGTCGTCTATCAAATCAAAACACCGCATTTTTGCAAAGGCAAGGCGCGTAGACACCAGGAAGGTGATTTGGACTGATCGATTGAGCCCTTCGTGAGGATTCCATGTTGAGAGTTCGGGGAATTTGACGACCAGTGTGCGGGGATCGATAAGACCGGGCTTCCCTAGATGAAGACGGAAAAGGCAGTCATTATGCACCAACTGCCAGACGCAGAACCGCATCTGGTTCTTATGAATTGACTGCGTAGGGAGGGACTGGTTGTTGCCACTTCCATCTGCGTCTAATAGCAAGAAGCCTAGATTGCATGCTATCCGGTATGCAGAGCAATGGAATCTCCATGAGTTCTCTATCCAGAAACCAAATCGATTGCCAATATCTTTGGCTTGGTTAAAATCTTTCTAGATGGCGTGATTCCATAGGGCAGCATGGCGTACCGTGAGAAGTGCCGCATAAAGATCTGTGAGAGTGGGCTGAGTCTCGAAGTCCCAGTCTTTTACTTGCCGTAAGATTTTGCTGTAAACATATGAAGCGTATTGCTTTGTATTGCGAGTGAGATCTCTATCCATAAAGAGACCTTGCAGAAGAATGTTGTGGTATACGAGAACCGCTGATGTGTCGATCTTGATGTGTGGTAGCCCGAACAGTTCAGGAAGTTGAAGGAAGAAATCCTTAGGCAACGGAAGCTGAGGACCCCACAATAGATAATAGAAACCTGCGAAGGAATCAGTTCATGGGAGTGCTCAGACTGTGACGTTGAAAGACCGTACTGTTGACCCATTTGGTAGCCATGTCCTTGGTTATAGAGCTATCGTTCCACATCAATTCATCACCAGTCTCAGGCTTTTGTATTGGAACACGTGACGTGGTTTGTATGGGACTATGAGAGAGACGGTCTTGAACAGGACTTGGCGTAGCGTTGCGACTTCCGGGATGCGTGAGGCCTACAATACATTCTAGCGTCTGACCATTATTTTGAAACGGTGCTAAATTGCCATTGTAGGAAAGCGTTGGCAAGCCACTCTGGTCATCACCTGCAGGTGACTGGCACGGTGTTACGGCAATAGAACGCTCCAAGGAAGTAAGGCGTCCGAGAATACCAGATAATATCTCGTCTGAAGTACCATCGTTGTGTCTCGCGCGATATACAGCCCTGTCAAGGTTAGTATTTTCTATGTTAATAGAATACCTAATATAAACCTTGATTTTCTGGTCTTCCGACGCTGTGTGGGATAAGTACACTCGACATTAGATGCAATACACCGATTACACCGTGGTAGCGCCTTATTACAACCGATCTGCCCAGTAGAAGAGATATGAAGGTCAGCCGCGAAGCTGGCACGCTACTGTGACGAGTGGATACCTTTTTCTTCCTACACACCGTTCGCACTGCCGTGTTTTTTCAATTTAAAAACAGGGATCCTGAGCGCAACAGGGTACTTACCGAAAGGGATTGGTGTGTCAAAGAAGCCGTAGGAGTCGACATTTGTCCTGGTAGGTAAACCGAGTCACGAGAGATTGACATAGAACACTGATACTAGGTAGACTAGCTCACGGAGAAATCTTTATAGGCCGAGACCCCGAGTGCTCCACAATGGTATTTGCCATTGACAAGGCCCTTCGATGATGGCCTAATCTAAAGTGGTATGGTGTTATAAGGTACTCCAATGTACAGTGGAGCCGGAGCCCGCGGGCTCCAGATTCGGCGTCCCATTGAGGGTTCATTTCCCCTGGGAAGAGTAACATTGATCGTATCTGCCTAAAAATTTGACAATCCATTAACCTACGGCATACACCCACCTTCCCTTCTAGCCCAGTTAAGATGGATCTGGTACGAGAGCGCAGCCTCTCCCGAGTCCGCAGACAGGGTGCCAAGATCTTCTCGTCCTCAGCCTCCATCAGGTTGGATATCCCATACAAAGAGACAGCATGGTCTATCTATCCTCTGCGCGCTAGCTAAGCCACCGGTGGAGCTCTATGGGCCAAGAGTCCAAGTCCGAGCCCTAGTTCGATATTTTGGGTTCCGCTGGTGAGGATATGTATTGCCAAGCAGTTCAACACATGTGCTAAGGCATGCCACGAACACTTCGAATACGAAATTTCTGCGGCTCCATCGCTACTTCTCATGGATAAAGGACACTTCTCAGTGTTTCATTGTGCTGACTTTCGTCAACTACTCACCCTGAACCGCTCTTCATGAATACACTATTCTGGTAGAAACCTCCTAATCGCATTCACAGGCGGCAAGGCAAGCACCTTTGGAATCCTTGCGCGATTTACCACTTCGTTTCTTACTCACTCTCTTTCTCTATCTCTTTCAATATATTCCCGAACCACAGATGTTATCTACCCAAGGACATAAACCAACACCTCCGTCTTCCTCGGACATCGCCCTCACTATGGATGGAGGTACTAGTTCAGGAGCTCGAACCTACGCCAACAGTGTAGAGTCCGGCCTGGAACAGAAAGGCAAATTCGAGGACCAGGCTAAGGTTGACGAGCAGCTGCTCAACCTAGCGCGGAAACTTAGCACACGAACTGAAAACTTTCATCACCGCTCCCCATTTGAAGCGAGTGAGGGTAGCTGTCTAGATCCAAATAGTCATGAATTTCGTGCTAGAGACTGGGCAAAAGCTTTCTACAATGTGAGATACGCTACGGACGAAAGCTGCCCTCCCCGAGTTGCGGGAGTTGCCTTCAAAGGTTTGAGTGTCTCTGGTTACGGGAGTCCCGTGGACTATCAAATGAGCGTCGGAAATGCCCTGCTGAAGCTGCCCACCATGATGTATCAGTTCCTTGGCGGCAAGAAGCGGAAGATTAATATTCTTCAAGGCCTTGATGGATTGGTTCTACCCGGCGAACAGCTTTGTGTACTAGGTCCTCCTGGATCAGGCTGTTCAACTTTTCTCAAAACAATTGCTGGTGAAACCCACGGCTTTCAGGTAGATCCAGCAGCTTATATTAACTACCAAGGGATAACCCCCAAGCAAATGGCAGCCGATTTCCGGGGTGAGGCCATCTACACCGCAGAAGTTGATGCGCACTACCCAATGCTTTCAGTCGGTGATACACTATACTTTGCGGCTCTTGCCCGTGCACCTCGTAACCTTCCCGGTGGAATCAGTCCCAAGGAGTACGCCACTCATTTACGGGATGTAATCATGGCTATGTTCGGGATTAGTCACACGATCAATACCCGAGTCGGCAATGACTTCGTTCGTGGTGTCAGCGGGGGTGAAAGAAAGCGGGTCACGATCGCAGAGGCTGCATTAAGCTATGCTCCCTTACAGTGCTGGGATAACAGCACTAGAGGTTTAGACAGCGCAAACGCAGTGGAGTTCTGCAAGACACTGAGAACGCAAAGTGATGTTTTTGGAATGACTTCCTGTGTTGCGATCTATCAGGCTCCACAGGCTGCGTACAATGTAAGTTCGGGATAAGTACTGTGACGATGTTTTGAACTTGGCTAACAGGCAAGCTAGTTGTTCGACAAAGTTATCGTCCTATATGAAGGACATCAGATATACTTCGGCGCGGCTGATGATGCCAAAGACTACTTTGAGCGTCTCGGCTTTTTATGCCCAGAGTCTCAGACAACTGCTGACTTCCTTACATCCATGTCCAGTCCTACGGAACGCATCGTCAAACCTGGTTTTGAGAGCCTGGCACCGAGAACCCCCGAGGAGTTTGCAAAACGGTGGACAGAGAGCCCAGAACGCCAAACCCTGCTGCGCCAAATTGATCAGTATGCCAGTGAACACCCCTTTGACGGAGACGATCTGGGCCGATTTGCTTTATCTCGACACACAGAGAAGTCAACGAGCCAGCGGCAGAAATCCCCATATACTCAGTCATACTGGGGCCAGATTCGACTTTGTATGTGGAGAGAACTGCAGCGTTTGAAGAATGACCCAAGCGTTACCCTCGCTATGCTCATCTGTAACTTTTTCGAGGCATTGATAATTGCGAGTATTTTCTACAATCTCTCCGGGAATACCGCGTCGTTTTTCTCCCGTGGGGCTCTTCTATTTATGATGGTTCTTCTCAACGCATTTTCGAGTATGCTCGAGATCCTGAGTTTATATGCCAAACGAACAATCGTGGAAAAACACAACCGGTATGCCCTATACCACCCTAGCGCTGAGGCGATATCATCGATGATTATGGATATGCCATATAAAATCGTGAACTCGTTATTGATGAACCTAACACTGTACTTCATGGCGAATCTGCGGCGTGAGCCTGGGGCATTCTTTTTTAACTATCTCATTTCATTTATGATGGTGATGAGCATGTCAATGTTTTTTCGCCTCTTTGCATCACTTACCAAGAGCATCCACCAGGCACTCGCTCCGTCATCGATTATTCTCATGGCCCTAGTTCTATATACTGGATTTGCTATTCCGGTTCATTATATGCGCGGATGGGCTTCGTGGATTCGGCACTTGAATCCTGTGGCATACGGGTTTGAGGCTCTTATGGTCAATGAGTTTCACGGACGGACCTTTCCCTGTGTGTCGTTCATTCCCTCTGGACCAGGATATGGCAATATATCCAACGACCAACATGTCTGCTCAACTGTAGGATCTGTTCCGGGCTCGGATCTTGTTGCAGGTACAACTTATGTTAAGTCTACATTTGGGTACGAAAATAGTCATCGCTGGAGAAACTTTGGTATTATTCTCGCTATCACGGTCTTTCTGACAGTGTGTCAAGTTATTGCAACAGAACTTGTTGCTTCTGAGCGATCTAAAGGAGAAGTCCTTGTGTTCCGCCGCGGCAGCTCCCAGAAAGCCAGGACAAAGGAATGTAAACAGGATGAGGAGCGAACACAAGCCCCTGTCGTCCAAAATGAGAAGTATACAGAGGGGCCTAGCTCGCTTGCAGGTGTGGAGAAACAGGCTTCTATCTTTCACTGGGAGAATGTTTGCTATGACGTGAAGATCAAGAGCGAGACCCGAAGGATCTTGGATAATGTTGATGGTTGGATCAAGCCCGGCACTTTGACTGCCTTAATGGTAAGTTGTACCTAATAGGGTATTCACGACCGTTGGAGACTGACAAACGATGTATAGGGTAGTTCTGGCGCTGGAAAGACTACTCTACTCGACGTACTGGCTAACCGTACTACTGTTGGGGTTGTTGGTGGTGATATGCTCGTCGATGGCCGACCACGGGATAGTTCCTTTCAACGCAAGACAGGCTACGTGCAACAACAGGACCTCCACCTTCACACCTCCACCGTGCGCGAGGCCCTAGAGTTTAGTGCCTTGCTTAGACAGCCACCTCAGTTTACTCGGGAAGAAAAGTTGGAATATGTTGAGAAAGTGCTGGATCTTTTAAACATGAGAGACTATGCTGACGCTATAGTGGGAGTACCAGGAGAGGGCCTTAATGTGGAGCAAAGGAAGCGCCTCACAATCGGCGTCGAGCTTGCTGCACGTCCAAAGTTGCTTCTTTTCCTAGACGAGCCTACCTCGGGCCTGGATAGCCAGACCTCATGGTCAATATGCAATCTCATGGAGACGTTGACCAAAAATGGGCAAGCTATCTTGTGTACTATCCATCAACCATCTGCCATGTTGTTTCAGCGCTTTGATAGACTGCTCCTTCTAGCAAAGGGAGGAAAAACCGTGTACTTTGGTGAGATCGGACGCGAATCTAAAATACTGATGGACTATTTCGCTCGGAATGGTGCCCCTTCTCCATCACCTGGCAGCAACCCAGCAGAACACATGCTCGAGGTGATCGGCGCCGCACCTGGGGCTAGAAGCGAGATTGACTGGCCCGCAGTCTGGAGAAACAGCCCTGAATATCAGGAAGTGCGCCATGAGCTCTCGAACTTGAGAGCGTTAGCAAATCAACCCTCGCCTACCTCAGATGTCAGCGACAAACATGGCTATGCCGAATTTGCAGCTCCATTCTCGACCCAGTTAGCGCAAGTCGGACGTCGAGTATTCCAACAGTACTGGCGTACTCCGGCGTATATCTACTCCAAAGCCTTGTTGACCATCGGTTGCGTGAGTATCCTGTTAAACAACCCATGCAGCACACCACGTTCTAATCAGATGTTATATAGTCATTGTTCATAGGATTCTCTTTCTTCAAGGCCGATAATACAAGCCAAGGACTACAGAACCAGATGTTTGGCGTTTTCGTCTTTCTCTTCGTCGTGATTCAGTTGATTATTCAAATCATCCCATCGTTTGTCACGCAGCGAACCCTCTACGAGGCTCGAGAGCGGCAGTCCAAAACCTATTCGTGGCAAGCTTTCGTTTTAACCAACATAGTGATTGAGCTTGCGTGGAACACGGTGAGTTTATTTTGGTTTTATAGCTCTCGCTAACACATGGGTCTCAAGCTAATTCTAAAATGTCCTAGATCATGGCAATATTATGTTTCCTCGTTTGGTTTTACCCGGTTGGCCTTTACCGTAACGGCCAGTATACCGACGCACAGCACTCTCGGAGCACCCTCGCCTTTCTCTTCATCTGGGCAACGTTCCTCTTCGCCAGCTCGTTGGCGCACATGCTAATTGCAGGAGTCGAGAGCCCGGAGATAGCATCAACTCTTTCCAACGTATTGGCTATCATGATGTACGCATTTTGCGGGATTCTTGCAGGTCCACATGCACTTCCTGGCTTCTGGATTTTCATGTATAGGGTCAACCCGTTTACCTACTTAGTGTCGGGCTTGCTATCAACTAGTCTCGGGAATGCGCCTATGCATTGTGCAGAAAATGAGTTCTTGTCATTTTCTGCTCCTGCAAATCTGACCTGCGGCGACTACATGCAAGACTATATTTCCTCCCATGGGGGCTACTTGCTCGACTCAGAAGCCCGGGGTGGCATAAACTGCCATTTCTGCATGTCAGATAACACCAACCAGTTCCTGAGAAATGTTAATATTGATTTCTCGACACGATGGAGGGACTTTGGACTGATGTGGGTGTATGTGGTGTTTAATACCGTTGCGGCAATCTTTCTCTACTGGCTCTGTCGAGTGCCCAAGGGTAAGAAGAGACTCTGAAGGCCGTCATCTTGCCCTCTTTCTCTCTTCCTACTTTTCGATCTCATCATGGGCCCGGCACTTGCTAAGGTATCTGTCTACTCTTGAGAGGATTCCATTTATGTTCTTATAATCTATCACTTTCATTTTCGTCTTGGTCAGACAGTTGTCCTGAAGCTTGAGCTTTGTTTTAGACAATACTATATAGAGAGTAATAGATTTTGCTTGGAGGCAATAGGAAATTCTGTTATTACTGGCTGGAACGCTCAAAGCAATTGGTGGTTGACATCCTGCAGTCAGATATTACCGCGGATCAGTCATTGCTCACCAGCCCCCTCATTTTGCCGCCTAAAACTAGATACACAACCCAACTTGTCCCTGTCTTCCAGGTCATGGTGGAGAGCCTCTTGCTTTCTCTCCCAATCTAGGTCATTTGGGTGACCAGGTATAGGACCGGGATATCTCTATAACAGTAATCAGTAAGATGCTCTTCTTGATAGACAATGGATGGCAGGAGGACAAATTGGAACTCTCCATAGTCGCGTATCGGGACCTAACCGTGCTGGATACAAGCCAAAGCGGCTGTATGCCGTCTACAAACAATAGAAGTCGACAGGGGAGGTTATTTATGAGTCCAAAGTCAAAATGAATTAAGCATCTGAAGGCTAGGTTTACGAAGTACAGTCACATCAATTTTATTCTTGCAGAACTGGCTGAATTGAGAATGACACGATAACCGCCATGTTTCTACCATTTCTGCCTCACAATGTGGACAAGATCGGGCTATCCTGACTTTCGGCCGTACGGGATGTAGAGTGTGGCAGATTACCGGGCTAGCTGTGCCTACCCCTGTCGGCTGCATGTTTCCTTACCATCTTTTGCTTTTTTTCTCTGTATCCTTTGTTTAAAAAGAGGACTGGAGAGTCTTTCGGGCTTTGATATCTCGAGATCAAAAGTATCTTCAGCTTTTGGTCTAGTCAGCCACAAAGTAGACTAGAGCTAACTCCCGAGTTCGAGAATTCTGTGTATGGGAATCCGATACCAGGATTGCAGCAAATCCCGATTTTTGATCTGTCTAGTCTAGGTTCTAAGGTAGCTCATAATGGATTGTGACTATGCCAACATGAGAGTTGTACATGTCTAGAAATACCAATGGCGCCGCCCCTGACATGGCTCTTATCAATATGAAGGACCAAACAGAATTGCCATCCATTAGTACTTCCTATAGTAATTGGTGATTGGCAGCCTTTTCTATGCCACATAAGCTTATACCATATCGGGTTGATGTTGTGGAGAGCGGCAGCCCAGCCATCATGTAGCACATACATCAGTATCAGTTTAACAACTACTTACTACCGTTCGGGCTGCCTCTCAAGCATAGATCGAGTATGAAAAGCAAGGTATAAAGAGCAATACATTGCGGTAAAAGTACCCACAACTCACAAGTCAATGGCCTTGGCTTTTCGTGAGGCCTTTGAGGAGTGTCACCAACGCAAGATTCGTTGTGCCTCACGCAATGGAGCTTGCGAGAATTATATTGCTAATGGCCGAGGCTGTATATTTCGGCCGCGCAGCGTGATGGACCGTCCACAAAAACCTAAGGTAGGAAGACAGAATGGCAACCATACCAGGTTCAAGGAGACGCCACTTCCAACTCACGGCAAGTTTGATGACTCCCAGATCCATGGAGCAGGACCAACCTGACTTTATCTTGGATGAGATGGGGTCAGAGTTGGGATACTCAGCTGGTATAGCTGAACGGTGAGCCAACTCGTTCTTCGGGGAAATCCTCCACTAATCTGCCTATCAAGTTTTCTTCCACCCCTTGACGAGTTCTCGTATCCCAATCTCCAATATCCTTTCCCAGAATTTGATTTTGCGCTTTCTGGAAACATTGGAGCTAGCAATCTAATAGGAAAGAATGTGGTCAGCCCGAATTGGTGGCAAATAACAACCAGAACAGGGACTGTCTTTTCACCCAAGCAACTGCCACCTCCTCAACAGTTCTCTTTGAGCTTTGCCGGAACAGCGAACAGGTCAAATCAACAAGAAGCGATGTAGTTCTCGATCCTTCAGAGATTTTCAGGCAGGTGTCCACCTTCTGTCAGGTCCTTCTATCGTATATCGGCAACCTTCAAACCGCTGCTACCTGGTCGCATGAGATGCATATTGTAGCCCGATCAGTCATCACGACCATGTCGACAGCTATCTATCTTTACAGGGATAACACGGAACTTCAGATAATACATTCGGATTTTTGCATTTCAAGTCTCTTTTGATCTCTCTCGTTGCCATCGGTACAGTAACGGGATATATGGACCGTCCCATCTCACCAATTTGACGGAACCGCGGAAGGAACTCGCCCTGGGCGATTAAACTCCCCTATGGACTTCAGATCTGAAATCCAAATCCCCAGCAGTTGCAGCAACGCTTTGTGACGGTGTTGTACCTGAGTACTATGGATTGCCATATCGTCCAACTGCAGTGTGTGTTGTCCGCTCTCAAGGGTACGCTAGGGGATACCACCGGTTCCTACCTTCAAGGTCCCTCCGATGAGCTGGAAATGATCTATCAAGATGCCACCTAGCTTCGTAGCAGCTCTGGATATCGGAGAATGACCTCAAAGCCACCTTTCCTGTAGTTTGCTAGCCATTATTGCATTGCTTACATGTGCTTTACACACAGGTCTTGGACAGTAGTGACCTAAGTGTAGGGGCAAGTGAGATATTGAATGAAAGCTGTGCAGCGGTTGA